GAAAGTGCAGTAGCGAGGCGTTAGGCTTGGATGTTGGCTGCACGATCTAACTACGTGATAAGTGACAGAGTCGATGATGAGTTCAAGAAAAAGTACAGAGTAAGGATAGCAACGGCCAGCAGGATGGAGCCCCAGGCCTAGGAGCTCGAGGCCAGTGCCAAGCGCACGAGCCGGACCCGGGCTCCGGCGCAGTGGCGTCGTCACTAACGCCAATATTCTGCAGGTGTACAGCGGCCCCAGGACCGCGCCCGCGGGATACCTACGACTATCTGCTAGGCTGGACCAACTAGCCATATTATTAGTGTCCAGGCACGCACGACAGAACAAAAACACAGGATAAAAAAAGATGACCAAGTCAAAGTTGGGATGCTGCTGGTTTGGTTCACCCTGCAGCTTCCCCGGTGCATTAGCGTTCGAGAGACTAAACAAGGCCCATCTCCTTCGAGGTACCAGCTGAACGAGACTGGCTGGCAACCTGAAAGAGACGGACGGCATGTCTCCAGCCTGCGTGCTCGCCAAGAGTGTTGACACCATCATGGTCCTCCTCAGCATCGGGAGTCGCATGAGGTTTTCTCCTCCGGAGATAAAGCCGAGTACTTTTGCGCGAGGGCAAACAAGACAACGGTACGCACTTTGCGATATTCGAACCAACTCGATATGCGAGATGGACCCGGTCAGTATTCTTGCGATCGTCACTCGGTGCGTCTCAAGTTTCGCAATCCTGTGGCATCCCCACAGGCGTGGCGTTTCACAAAGATGGCCCGCGCTCATGACAGCATGTTCGTAGTAGGCGAAAGGAATAAGTAATACCTAAGTCAGCGCTGAACCTGTCAAAACTCATAAACCCAGTGCCCGGTCTGTCCATAATACCCGTTCCGATATTGCACAAGGATCATAAGCGTGCAAGAAATCCCTCGTTCCTCACGCTGTGCAGAGGAATACATCACTGTACTCATGGTTAGTTATGCCGTCATCGCCCGTCAGAGGCAGCGCGGTGCTGGCGCAAAATACAGTGGCGTAGTTGGACTATTTGCTTCGCATCCATGATTGTCCAGGCACTCCATCTCTCCTCTCCTGGTCCCCTGCGCTGGGTGGTGCCGAGAACGCCCTCGTCTCGTGCTTAAGTTTGACATCGCCTTTCGCCGCTCACTTGCAGTCACCCCCAAGGTACGAAGCTAGAGAACGCTTCCTTTTCTTTTCGTGATCGCCCGTAAGGATGTCTGCCATCATGCGAGAGCCTCGCACCCGGCGACCTGGTCGAGACAAAGTGGCCTCGTATGCATCACAATCAAGCTTATCTCTTTCCTTCCTCCTGGCCGACGGGGCGTGACACCGGAGACTGGCTGGCCCGTGCAATGCGGCTGGACTACCCGGACGGACTGAACTCCAGGCTTGTCCTGGGCTGTTTCTAGTTACATACACCTCTTGTTTCCCTTTGTCGCACCAATGACGCCCATCTCACTCTCCGGTCCCTGTTGCTGTGTTTCGGAGACACATGTTTGCTAGGCGGGATGGAATGTAAGATATTTGCATTCTATCTCTCGAGAGAATTGGGATGATCACGCATGCCCCCCGTCTATCTGTTGTTTGCTTGGCCGCCATAAATAGGGGGTTGTTGCGAGGATGGCAGCAGCACAACGCTTGGACGTTGCCGAATGGGGCGCGCCGTTTCGTCACACACCTCATCACACGTGCCGGGCTTGACCTGCTCGGCGGTGTGACTGAGCTCCGCCCAAGAGGCGGATTCATGGCATTGTTCGACGCCACAGTGGTACAGGGGTCCAGCTCGGCTTCAGCCAAGCAAGCACTTTCACCTGTAGACCGCATGGTGCGATGGGGAGATGCCACAAGGGGACTTACCTGATGGTTGTGCCCAGCTGAAAGAGACAATAGCCGTGAGAATTGAGTGAAGCACACAAAGGGTGATGGTCTCTTTCTTTGCTTCTTCCGCGCTGGACATCTTTGAAGATGCTCTGTAAATGGAGGCTGTAATGCTCCCGCGATCCGTACCTGCGCCAATAGTCTCATACTACCCCAAGGCCTGGCCGGCCAGCCTCAAGGGCCTTCCTCGTAAACATTCCGCGAGGAAGGAGAACGGATATGGAGGGTCACGAGCTCGGAACCGCGCATACTAGACCTCCATAGAACAAATACAGGCGGACCATCTGTCCCAGAATGGCCTTATTGTGACGTAGTTGCCGCCAAGCCACTTTCCTATCAGTAAGTAGAGTGCGGAAATGTCGCCGCCATTGAAACTATTGATGTTTCCTTGTTTCAGTTTCTTGTTTGTCTCCTGTCAAAGAAAAAGTCAACAGATGCCTCCTGCACGAGATCGAGGCAAGGGCAGCTTTCATGTGCGTCATTTTCGATCCGCGGGGGGGAGATGAAGCTGAGCGGGGCATAGAAGAGAAGGGCCCGGACGGGTGCTTTATTGCGATTGGCGAGGAGGAAGCTCGAGAGTGTGATCGTGTGCGTCCAGGGGGAAGACAGGTGAGACATTGATGTCTGCGGGGACTTCCGGGCAAGGGGCTGGTCCCGTGTGGCGGTTGCCCCCGCGTGCCGTGCCGAGCCGTTGTTGCGGACGAGGAGAGGTCGGAAATTATGTCACCTGTTGGGTTTAACAGGTTCAAAAGACGCTTTGTGCGAAGTCGGAGATTGTTGGTTAGTGCGATGAGAGAGGTTGGAGTTGCGATAGGTTGTTGCTTGTTGGCCTGTTCCTGAGTCATAGGTGTGATACCGGGTAGTCACGGAAAGATTTACAAGGCTTGGAAGCAAGAAGATTCTTCATATCAAATCACTCGTTTTTCTACAGGTTCATTAAACTTGATCCTCAACTTCTTTAAGTTAGTATTTGTCACAGTGTACAGAATTCCAAACTCTTCCCGGAGTTTCGAGCCAGAGGGTGCATTGAAAGCTATTCCAGTCTATCACTCAATATCAAATACTAGGGTATTTGTCGAATGTGACCTGCCTTCTTCTCTAGTCCTTATCACCCGTGCTGTTACGCGCCGTAACTCATCTGTCTGTGGATCTAGAACCTGTTTCTCATAGACCGTGAGAGTCAATGGCCGGTAAGTGGCAAATGGCGCGTAAGTGGCAAGTCTACCCCAAGACATCGGCCATAAAGTATTTCCTTGATCAAAAAGTCCCTCAACTAATTCCTTGCTTGTGTGATAGTCCAGGAGCTCACATAGAAGTGAGTCAGTGACAGTCGGGTCCAACAGCACTACAAGCTCACAGGAACCGACAGTGAGTCGGAAGCCGCAAGCAACACCTTTGACAGGAACGAAGGAGCGGCCCGAGAGATCCCAAGCTGCTTCAGGGACAAAGCGATCAGTATAGTAGCCCGGTCCTACTCCCGGGATGATGATACGGTCCAGTAGGAGATGGCCCAGGTTGGACAGAGACTGGCGAATGTAAAACTCGAAAGGGCCAACCTTGAGATTCGTACTGTCATTTTTCCAAGTGTAACCCATTCCGACCCGAACAAAAGTGTTGATGTCGAGTTTTCGTATGTACACCACAGTCATCTCCTGAGACGAGTTGACGGGGAGAGCTATTAGCTCTCGCCCGTCGCTAGCAGTGATGAGACGCCATCGGGACTCGATCAGAATCCCCCGATTGGTGACAAGGAAATGTTTTCTGCTAAAGTATGGTCTGACTGAAGTGGCATGCTCAAACTGATCGGGCGATTCTGCCAACATTGAACATCCCGAGTCACAAAAGACCTCCGGAACACCCCATGCAAAGATGCTGAGGTCTGCAGAATTCTTGATGATCTCCTCTTGTAGTCGTACGAATGCATTCCTGCCGCCTTCGCCATAAATCATGGGAAGATGTGTGCCAAATATGCCGAGCAGACTGTATGCGCGGTCTTCCGGCCGACTGGTCTGCCGTTTCGAGGCCCACGACATCCTTTGAGCGATGGAGACATCGCAGAGTTCCTTCTCGCCGGAAAGAACACCGATTTCGATGTTTGTAATGCGAGAGATAGTGTCCTGGAGAGATAGCTTGTCGCCTATTTCCATCCACGCTCTGTTGAAGAACCTCAGCTCTGTCGGTGCAATGAGCTCCTGCAACGTCCACCCCCTTCTGAACCATCGACACACTCCCATCTGATCGGCAGTGTCGACGTCAGATAGGTGAGCTACGCAGAGCCTAGCCTTTTGGTACCACGCGAACATGGAGTTGATACCCTCGCTCAGTTCCGCACTGCTAGACTTGTCGATACAGCAGGTGTCAATCCAGACGAAGTTCACAGAGATGGACCGCGCTATCCGACAAGTGTGCTTGACCTTCTCGAATGCTCTGTGCTTTTGACGTGCCATGTCGACCTTGGACACATCCTGGAAGGTGATTTCGTCACCGGCATGACCCCATGTATGTGTGATCTCGTCTTCCCAGCCCCATGTATGCGACAAGATGACGTAGGGTGGTATACTGGTTTCGTCTATGAGTTCTTCGAGTTGGATTTCTCCCCGGTCGAGGACCGAATCCACGTGAATCAGGCGCATCCTTCCGGCTCCGCGATTGCATAGAGTATTCGAAGCCCGGGCGATACTTGGGTTTCCTGTGGCTGTTTCCCAGTATTTGAGGTAACGGCGGTGATACACCGCGACACAACTCAAGAAACACAAGTTGTCTACGCTCAGAGAACTCGGCTGACAGATTGAGGGGTTGTGGAGGCTGAGCAACTTATGCATGTTGTGCGAATCACAGCACCTGAACGCAAGCAGCACCCCACCTGGCTGATTTTGCGTCCTCAAGAGCGGAAGGCATGATAGCGGCAAGGTAACATGAAGAAATCATTTGGTATGCGTTGGAAAGTAAATGTACAGGTCACATCAGAAATAAACAATCTCATCTCTAACTACGTGGATAATATGGGCTCTTGGGTTGGTACCTTAATCAATTTGTCGTCACTATAGCAATGTTTGCAGTCTGAGCAATAATTCCAATTCATAAGTTTGTCAAGAGGTTTCTCTAGCCTGCTAGGATGTTCATTTTCCGTCATAGGCCTTCTGCAATCCCTCCATGTCCAGCTTCTGCATGCCCATCATGGCGTCCATCGATCGGTTCACGGCCTCTTTGTCGCCCTTGGTCCAGACATCGCCCATCTTCTGCGGCGTAATCTGCCACGAGAAGCCGTACTTGTCCTTGGTCCAGCCGCAGGCGCGATTCGACGGGTCACCGCCCTCACCCAGCTTGTCCCAGTAGTAGTCGATCTCCTCCTGGTCCTTGCACATGACCATCAGCGAGACCGCCTCGTTCGGCTTGAAGTTGGGGCCACCGTTGAGGAGCATGAAGCGTTGCCCGTTGAGCTCTATGACCACCGTCATGACGCTTCCGGCCTTGTGGCCATGGACTTCTTCACCAGCACCGGGACTGGCGATGGATTGATGTCAGCAAAGGGTCTAGCTAGCTGAGTGACTGTGGTAAACGATGAGCGATGTAATGATGCCGCTGGGCATACACTATCACTCAAGGAGCAGCGAGTATGAGCAATGAACACTTACTAGTGAGTCGTCTCAATGATTCTGGAATCCTTGAATATCGACGTGTAATGCTTCGCTGCCTCTTCGGCTGTGTCATTCATCCAGAGGCAGATCGTGAATGGTGTGGAAGAGGAAGACATGATGCTCAGTGTAGAAGAGAGCTAAGCAATAATTTCAAGAGACGGAACAAGGAATTCAAGAGAATTTAGATATCGTGGAAGAATTATTGAAGTGCTTGGTCGACATCGTAAACTGGCGGTTGCTGAGAACCGGGCATTCAGTTAAATAAATACCCAAGTAGCTTTGCCAGTTGACAGCCAGAACCTCACATCATACTGAGGCAAGCCAGACGGCAACATGTAATCGGAATGTCCTGGACGCCAGGCAACAATGCGAAAGGGTCTCTTGTGTGCCCGTGATTTGGTGTTAGTATTTCATCGCGTGTGAGTCCAAGATTGCTAACAGCTGGTCACATTTGGAAACTTTCTTCTGTTAGTTCAACGCCACCAGACCCCGCCTTAGGCAGAGGGTGCAGAAAGGGTTGCCAGGGGACATGCTCGTTTGCCCAATCTGGACTCGCAAGAGAATCAATATTCCTCCGTGATTACTTTCAAAGGAAGACTTCTCAGGTTTGACGTCACCTCGTCTTTCAGTAGCGAGTAAAAGTAGTGCGACTGCTCACGGGCTTCAGTCGATGCCCACCAGAAGGATGTTGTTCATCCAAAAGCTGATCTATGAGCCAGCGACAAGTTTCTCGATAGGTTTCCCCTACGTATTCGCTACGTCGCGTCGCTCCTCCAAGTAGTTCTGAAACACAACAATGACTGCACATCACTTGGACGGGCTGTTTGGCTGTCAAATGTGTAAGACGATCAATACAGCACATGCTAAACACGCTAATAAGCAATAGCAAAAACATCTTTTAGAAACAAAGGCTTTACCCAAGTTGATAACACCCGCCTTGCGATCGAACATGTCTGCCCGGCGCAAACTTCTTATTGACCCCAATGCCATCTGTCCCTACTAGTTTTCAAACAAATAGTTGGGTCACTTCTTTAGGAAACGCACTGCAGGTGAATGGCGCGGTATTATCGCCATTTCTGAGGGACAGGCAACTCCAATGGTACGTTGCCCGCAGGTAGTTCAGTGGGGTCTCCCGTCGCTCTCCCTTTGTACTCTGTCGGTGTCTGCTGATAGCTCGGGGCGTGGGTCGGCGGAGGATACTGTTGGACGGGCGGCCCGGGCTGGACGTGCTGGATAGGCATGGGTTGGTAGGGCGTCTGCGGGCTGAGGCCCACGGAAGATTGATAGCTGCTCCCCGGCCGGAATTCTCCATACATGTCGCCGCCGCTGTCCATCTCAGCCACGCCCTTCTCGACCCGCTTATTCTTTCTCTGTCGGAGGGCGAAGAGCACGAGACCGAAGACGCCGATAAGCCCTATGCCCAGTCCGACACCCAGGCCGACGCCGAGAGCGGTCTTGTTGGTACCTTTTGATGCGGCCGCCGTCGTGTTCGCTGGCGGTGCCGCGCCACTCGTTTGTGACGCTGACGGCGTCGTCTGCACCGGCCCGGAGGCAGAAGAAGTCGGAGAGGTTGGTGGCGTAGTGCTAGAAGCGCTGGAGCTCGAGGACGACTGGACTTTGTCCGGGAGCTGGAATTGCACAGGGCCCGCCAGCCAGCTGTACTGGTCCTTTGCGAGGTAGTACGCCACGTAGAAGTTGCCGACCTTCATCTTGTCGGCGGTAGGCACGATCTGGACCTTGCCCGAGGCGTCGGGCGCGTACTGCCATAGTAGCGACGACTTGCCCGTGAAGTTCTGGTTCACGGGGCCTCCCCCGAGGTCATATATGCCTATCCAGTTTTTCGGATCGGGGGTGTCGGTCGAGTAGTGGAAGGTGAGCAATGGCTCGTCGAGTGCGAGGCTCAATTGGCCATCTGCTGCCCGGTCTGCGAGGGTAGCATCGTCGGTGGTGGGCGAGTCGTCCGCTCGAGCCCGGCAGCATAGCGCCGCTAGGACGAGCAATCCAGCGAGAAAGGACCTCATTTGAGCTGGGCTTGAGCGCGCCGGAACGGTGCGATTGGGGAAAAGAAGATACTCTCCACGGCGAGTACAAGAGATGATCAGGACATCTTTGAGGGAGGAGGGGAAGCAGGTTTCGATCGAAGATCAAGTATGTACGACAGGCCAATCCCACAGCGACCGGGGGGGTCTGCGAACCTACAAGTACTCCGTGGATGGGATGATGAAGCTTACAAGGGTCCGAAAACAGAAGGATCTTCTCGGCAGAGTAACCTTGTACTCGATGTGGGGTGATTTGCTGCTGTTGGCAGCGAATTCATTGGATCTCTTGCGCAGCAGATTCGCGGCGCAGCAACGCTTATTCGGCTTCTATTTTCGAGGTCCATAACACTACTCTTTGGATAGGTCAAATGAGGTTGCTTAAATCGCTCACTCTTCAATGCCAATGCGGGCCATGCCGCCAACGTAAGAAAGAAAACTCGGGCGCCTGTCAGCCCGTCGCGCGGGAGCAGTCCAGCTCAGCCTTGCTGTGTAGCCGCCACGAGATCTGAGTGTCTGCAGACATGGCCGCCCGTCCTCCGACCGAGAAGCCCTGATCTACACAGGCACAGCGAGTGAGTAGTGATTGGCGAAGCACCCGAGATGGTCGCTAGACCCAGACCAGAACGGCCTGGCCCGTCGCCGCCGTTGGATGGCTGAATCCGCACCATTTCCGCACCGGCGCTTCTCAATGGGCGGGGGTAAGCTTCTGGGGACGTCATCATACATGGATGCACCACACCCATTGGGCAAGCAATCTGGTTTCAAGAAAATGAGACGACTGGCACCCGTGCTCTCTTTGTTACACTGGTGGCCTTCGCCATGTACCACCCCATACAAGGAACACGAGTACTTGCGGAGTAGTAGCTGAATTTGTTCGGAATGAGATGGTGCTGTGTTCTTCTTTTCCGCAGTGGACCCAGTGCTTGAAGGCCGGCGATCCTCCTATGTCGTGTCTCTTGCACATTTCGACCCACGGAAAGTGCCATGTTCTCCCAGATATGGCTGGCCTACGAAGTAGCTGGAGTACATATCATCCGGTTGGCCCGTATCCATAGATGTGGGATGGAGAGTTAGACAGGTATTAATGGAGACTTGGGCGATCTTACACGGAGCTCCGTTCCACAATTGGGGCCCGAGTATGCACATACTTAATGAATGTCGGTGACTTAATCCCTGTACGTTAGAATGACTCTATTGGCACCTAACTGGACAATATACGGAGTCTCGAGATGTCAATCCGATATCAAGCTTGACAAGGTTGATAAAAATGTCCGTCCCCGGTTCCTCGACGAATTGCTCTGGAGAGAGAGGTTTCAATACAAGACTCTGACCTCCAGAGAGATAACGACACCAGGCTCTCCTTTAATGATACTTGTTCTTATCGTGGTGAATGTCGTTCTCCAAGAAAATCTCGGTCTTGTTGTTCATCTTCGCGTCTATGTTCTCGCAGAGAATGCAACAGATCAGCCCCACACCGGCAAACGCAAGCGAGACGAGGGCGGTCATCTTGAGGCCGTAAGCATACGACCACTTGAAAGCGCCCGAAGCTGCTACGATAATGTCGGGAGTCTATCAAGCACATTAGTCTTGGCTCCGGGCTAGAGGCGACAGACAAAGCTACTTACAATGCCAGGAATAGCCTTGAATGCATCAGCGCCGGCGGAGAAGGCAGCAAGCACATCCGCGCCATACTTGGGGTCCAGTCCGGCGGCCACAGCCGCAGCCGGCACTGAGGTGGCTGCCCGCTGCGCCTGGGTGTTTGTGAGCACTGTCGTGTACACCGCCTGGGCAAGTGAGCCTCCCGCGTAACGCGCAACGCCTGCCAATCCTCCAGAAATGCCCAGCTCCTCTTGGGGGACACCCAGCTGTGTGAATGCAATGCTCTCGTATTGAGCCCAACCAAAACATGTTTGCATCAGGAAGGCAAGAGCAATCATCAGACCTTTGTTATCAGGCGTGACAAGGGCTAGAAGGCCACCGAACAACGTCATGCCGCACCATGAAGTGACCAGAGTCCACTTCCAGTGGCCAAATAGATTGCCCAGGCAGATGAGGAGCATAGCGCCAAACACAAGTCCTAGGTTGCCAGGAAGTGTGAGGAGGAGCTCCTCTGACCGAGAGGTTTCCGGGGTGACTGTGTTTTTGAGACATAGTTAGAAAGTGCTGCGAGGCTTGGCCAGTTGTACGAGGCGGAGTGGGCTCTCCGGCTTCTTACCATAAAAAACATTGACCATCGTGGGATAAATCACGTTAATTCCATAGTAGAACATCGTGACTATCAGGGCGAGAATCCAGGGCACGCAAAACGCCCTTCCGTTATTGTATTTGAAGATGTGTGGTGGGCAAAGGGGATATTTGACCCTGTGACCCCAAATGTCAGCTCCCGCATCATACAAAAAACACACGGCGTCACTTACTTGGACCATGTCTCCCATATGCCGAAAAGAATGAGCGTGCCGAACCCGGCACAAAGCGGGGCCACCACAGTCACGTCTGAGGACTTCTTGTACTGTGTGTTGAACTGTGTCAGCCTCATGGGGTTGGACGTGGAATTTCGAGCGTTCTCTTACTGTTGTGTTGATAATACCCACAAGTGTCAGGCAGACTCCGGGGGTTACTAGGAGAGCTCCGACGTAGTCTAGGCCTCTGAGAGCATCTTTCCATGGGACACCGCGAGGATGCTTGGGTGGATGGTAAAGGAGGCTGATACCAGCAAGGGAGAAGAACTGGGCAATGAAGCCGGCCCAATAGATATACTGCCAATTGCGTTCTCCAGCGTCGATTGCGTACTGTAGAGTCTCGGTCAATCGGCTGATCAAAGATTCATGTGAAGTGGGAAAAGGCCGGAAAGACGACCAAGACCTGCAACTAAGGCGACTTACCCTACCGACCACAGGGCCAATCACCACAATAACAAAGACAAACCCATCCGAGATACAGATACCAATATGGCGATACTTGTTCGGCATCAGTTCGGGAATCGAACACATGGCCATCTGGCAGAAGCCTCCACCGAACCCTGTTATTCCCAGTCCGGCAACAAAATGATTCGAGCTGCGAGCCGTCGCGCAGACAATGAACCCAACACAGCAGATAGCATTCCCGGCAATCAGGAAGAGGCGGCGTCCGAACAAGTCAGAGTTCCTGTCGAGAGGTTAGCTACTTTTATTCGGATAGCCTGGATCGCGAATACTGACGTTCCGGCCAGGAGAAACCCAATCGCATTTGCCGTTGTGTATGCAGGCACTGAACAAACAAGAGCATCAGCTGTGTCCAACCGAGCTCTAAAACTCATAGACTGCCATTCCCGGATACTTACCGTACCAGCCGACCAAGGTCTGATCTCCGCCAAATTGTGCTGCAAGTTTTGCCTGAAGAGCGGCGGTCGTAGGAACAGGCCAGAACGATAGTCCAAACGTAGATGAAAGGATCTAGTGTTATCCTGTTAGCCCAATGCCGACGCGCTTGTCCTCTCCGCAATGAAATTGGACTGACAAAGATGACGATCCATGTCTTCCAAGTCATGGTAATGGTACCACCGTCCAGCGTGGTCAAGCCTTGTGAGGCCCCGACCGTACCCTCGACATGCTGGGTTTTCTCCAAGTCACGTTTCTCATCATCTCGTACGCTGGCAGCGGCCGACTGAGCCGACATGTTGGCGTCAGACTCCAGGATCTCCGTGGCAGTCATGTTCGTAGCTCCAACAGATCAGGCGATGGTGATGTGGCAGATCGGGATTGCTTAGCGAAGCACGACAGCACCAACTGCCACGGGTCCAGATCAGAGATATAAGGAAGGAGAATCTAGATTGCCTCCGCCATCTTAGGGTGTTCCATCCCGGGGACGGTTACTCAGCCCGGCGGCCATCCCGGAAACACGGGATTCCATATGCATTGGACTGCGAAGTGAACGGTTCTGCTTTTCCAGGTCGTGACACCCAAACAGACTTCCCTTCCCCAGATTACCGGTGGGGCATCCTCTTCCTGGGGTAGTGGGTTTGACAGTTTGGGGAGGAGAAGCTCCCGTAGGATCTTTACCCATTTGAGAACAGACGTCACGCTAGAGGCACTTTGGCAACAAGTGCCAACAACCCAAATAAGACGCTACGCCTTACAGAAGCTTACAATGTTTATGTCCGAACCCACTCACCTCGCCGAGTATTGATACGGGCAGATTGCTACAGCGGGAATAACAGCCCGGAAAACATGACCCCGGGTTTCAAGCCTTGAAAACCTGGGTCTCCTCACATTCCCCTTGCTCCATGGCCTGGTAAAGGGGCGAAAATCTGACTCGATACCTCGGATTGCCCACTACCTTCGCCCTAGAACAATTCCTCACTGACTCACTTCTCATCTTTGGGGGGATGAATTGTTTTGTTTTTGTTCTCGGGCTAGCACGGCAGTGAGAGATCCGAGTGAGGCTGACCGCCCGTCAGGCGAAGAATCTAGCACATCGGTACAGTTCCATTTCTGACAATCTCTCTCGTAGGTATTGTGAAGACACCACGAGCAACTTAATTGATCTTTCTGGTGCGTATCAGAGCATTGGCTGTTGATTTCAGAGCCTCTCAACGTCAACGCTCACGCTACATATACCTCGACTGATCCACGCTCTCCCAGAGCACCGCATCCTCGAATATGCTCAGCCGCCCGACGCGTACTCGGTCACTCCATCACTGTCTTCGATACCCGGCGTGGCTTTTCCGAATGCGATCATATCATGGCTAGATCAGTTCGTTAGCCCCACCCTTCGCCCGGGAAGTTGGCAGGATGGCGGGAAGACGAGTAATCCATAAAAGCTTACCCGGCAAACAAGGTGATGGAAGACACATCCAAAAAGTGGTCACAGTCCGATGATAGCGCAGCGTACTCAGGACTGTTGATGAACTGGTCAAAGTCTTCCCAAGAGGCAAGCCAAAGCGTGCTACAGCCGTCGTAGTCCATTACGCTGCCGTACTTCTTGGCTCGCTCCTTATCCTCGGGCGATTGGTGATGCTGCTCGACGGTTCAGTAGCAACAATTGACCTATTCTCGGGCCAACTCCTACCTGGATGTAGCGAAGAACCTTGTGCCGGGCGAAGGGCTTCGAGCCGACGGTCAAGTCAGCGTGCACTGTCGCCCAGTGCTGGTGGAAGTGGTCGTACGACACATCCGGGAGTTTCTTAAAGTAGAAAGACACCTTGACGCATGCTACCAACGGATCAGTGTCCAGTTAAGCTCTCGAGATCTGGCTGAGGCCAAGAGCTACTCACGCTGATAATGAACACCGGCGTCGTAGCTTAAGGTGTCATAAGTGAACTTGTGAGAGATACGTTCGTGTCCGACTGCTCTATCAATAGACATTTTGCGGCGGTTTAACTTGTCCAGTCCTGATATGAAGAACCTGAAGCCTAGCCGACGACCTCCATCCTCTGCCCTTCCACTGTCTCTAGAGCGACTTCAAATACCTGAAAGTGACGCTGAGAGGCCACGATTGTAGAGTTCCAGCGTGACCTGCCATCTTGTCGTGTTGGGTCTTAGCGTGCGGGGATCGACACAGCTTGATAGGAAGGATTCGCCTCATCGGGTATCATACTGCGACTAGTATTTCCCTGGCAGATCTGATGAGGGGCTCTCCACGAGCTGACGGCAAAGAACATCCTCTCCCTTACCTGGGTGACGTAATTTATTGAAGCTGAAGCATAGCATGTCTAGTAAAAATATTGGAGATTCGCCATACGAACATCACAGATCAAAGTGCAAAGTCCCCTTGCCAGTCCAGGCCTCCGACTGGGAGATTCATGGCGAGAATTGCCTTACTACAACCACTTGTGCAATCAGACCATAGTAGTATTTCTCTCCCAGTGGCTCATAGACATTCAATGCTGGGTTTTTACAAAAGATATATTACCATGAAGCTCCACATCCACGACATGACACATCAACCTCCATCTACAACCTCTACTCCCGAAGCATATTTGCGAGATATACCCTGGATTCATTCGTGCTGCAAAGAACACGACTCCCCAAGGGTGAGGCAATCCGTCATGACAGGGCCAAGAGCGAGAGAGCCGCCCCCTCTCCAGAGACTCCAGTTTGGGTAGGTCAAAATCAATATGACGGGCTCTCGGTCTAGGCGTGGATTACTTCCTAAAGCAGTATATTGCTAGCACGCGCGTGAGGCTATCATATATCAAGCACGAACTGTTCGTGTTCACAATCTCGAGTTCCAACTCTCACGGACTTTTGTACATGAATGTTTCAACTGTTATCCTTACAGGAGAGGAGGATAAAAGACCAATTTGTGATTGAAGAAATTTTGCAAAGACCTGAAACTCTGGGCTGTAGCACTGGTAGACTTCGTGGGTTTGGAGACCATCCTGGCCTTCTCAGACCTGTGCAGGTTGCCCAATCAGGTAGCAAGACAAGTTCATCGAATTGCGCTGTCTAGTGAAGAGAGTGAAAGTAATAACAACGATCTTTAAGCACTCCACCAACTCAGACAGCTGTTCCAATAGCCACAATAAGTGTGAAGGTGTTCCTGAGCCTGGCGGCCTAAGTCAATGATCTGTGACAGTCACCGTTTAATTTTTGAGATTCATCACAGGCACCCGCTTGAAAGAGACAATGTAGTAACAACAATGATGCTCGCATTCATTTTGAAGTCCATTCAGTGAGTAACTCGTCGTCGTCAAAGAGAGATCGAATACTTTAGTGACTGTGTCTATGTTCTCTTTGTTACTGCCCACGACTATCACGTCAACTGCCGATCATAGTCTGTAGCTCTCTGTCTCCGAGTCTAGTTGATAGAGTGAAGTTCAAGCATAGTCACTAAGTCTTGTGCAGTTAGTAACCATCTTGCAAGAGACAGATATTCTCTAGAGACCTGCTTGCCGTCAATATTGTGTCTTCCATTCACTTGCTTCAGTCTGGATAACCCTCGGTTTAAAAGAGTTCGACTTTAGACAGCCATGGAAGGAACTCTTTGCTCTCTACAACCTTCATCAGAATCAGAACCCTGGTACCGGTCTCAAGATGGATTCCATCAAGAAGGCTATGAAGAAGCTGTCCTGCCAGGACCCGTCGACTCAGAGTCAGTCCAGCGCGAAGACAATGCCACGATCGAAGACTCCGGTCCCCAAGAAGGACTGGATAAACCCGCACGACGAGGACAACACTGCGACGCCTCCCTACAACCCTGCAATCAACGCAGTCAAGGCCGAGAATCAGAAGTCATTCTTCCTGGATGACTCGGACGAGTCGTTGCCTCCTTCTCCCGAGAGCTGCACCTACATCCAAGTTGAAGATCCGAATAAAAAGGAAGACGACCCCAAAGCCCGCTACCACATTCGCATCTATCTCCAGGAGCCCTCGACTCCCCCCGACTACTATGTTGAGGGAGAGTACGATCCGGAGTTCGCCAAGAAGCTCACCCGGGAGCTCCACGATCTTCAGGACCGCATCGAGCTGCGGCGCTCCGAGTACGGTCCGGTGGCAGACGAATATGCGATCGACCGCACACCTGCTGAGGCCATCAAGTCCATTCATGAAGCGATGGAGTGTTCTTGGTATGATGAGGAGATCGCCAGCCAGTGGCTGTAAAGCATCACACGCGCATACCTGCACTGTCATGTCCGAGACTACTCTCGGACAGTGCTTGGTCGGAACTCTGTACATCAACAAGGTGAACCCTAATAGGATAAGAGCCTTCACTTCTTTCATAGCTAGGATTAGCATCGCGTCGGTCACAGCACTCGCAATCAATATTCGCTGAGGACAATCTATGATTTTGATTCGGTGGCAAGTTTGTGCTATTCTGCATGTACCTTGAGTAGATTATCAGTTCTTAGTACTGATACGATGTGGTCAGTACATTAAAACCGATGCTTTGGGACAGTTTCAGGCTTCAGCAGCCGTTCTTTTCGCTTGGCCCATTAGTACAAGTCAGATATCAACAGACAGCAGAATTGGCTTATGGAAGCAAGTATCAGAGCCGTTGGAAGACAAGGCAAAGCGCGTCCAACAAACACTCATATTTATCCTCGGGAAGGAAACGACGATGAGATCGCAGACCAATCAGCAAGAGTGGCAACTTGATAAGAAAGCGGTTGACTATACGAATGGCGGGATCTCGTCACGCCCTTAATGTTTGAGGCAGTGGGGCAGGTATGTTGTTGGACTGCTGAGCCACTCTTGTGTCGTGCGCCCTCCGGTCAAACGCCTTGAAGTCAAATACGCCAGCCAGTTCTTCCCTGATGGCCATCAGCTCGTCGTGCGCCTTTTGCATCTTCTCTGGCGAGTTGTCCTCCAACACGCTGTTCTTGGCAACCAGCAACCATGCTCCTGTTTGGTCGACAAGGCTAAGCTCTTCCCATGGCGGTAGGATCTGAAGAGGCTGCGCTGAGCCATCGGGAGCCTGGTTCGGGGGCAACCGGTAATATCTAATGATGGAATATTCCACGTTGTCTCGGAAATAGGTGAATGACTCTTCCACCATCTCACTCTTGAACCTGCAAAGGCGTGTTAGTCCTGTGCAGCGCAGGGGGTGAAGGGCTGGAGCTTACCTGTGATTGTTGTCTGCCAAGATGGCCAACAAATTCCTCTGATCTGGAATGTCGACCTTCTTGCGCTGCGTCACAGGCCGATTACCGGTTGGATCCGGCAGGTCCGCCCACCTCAACATGCCCGGAGTCGCGTTAAGATTGCTTGACCTAGCAAACAATGTCAGCTTGTAAGTCCGTTATTGCTGGGAGGGAGTGGTACCCACCCTGCAGGAGATCCGTTTGCATCCTCTTGGGCACCGAAGTCGCGACTCCGTGATACCTCATAACGGGCCTGCAAGAGGTACGACTGTCGCGTCAAGTGCTGCTTGAGCTCGGTCCACTGTCTGCCGTACGGGGATGGCTGGATGGACCGCGTGCCAGGGAGGCCGCGAGGTTGAGGAGGACCGGAGAAGAAGAGAACCCGTTGGTAGTTGTTCCAGCCGTTCATGCCGCACAGGCCCTGGAGGACAGCAGTCGCCGCATCGATGTCGGTGCTGCCGATGACGGCAGTGAGAAAGAGCTCGTGCATCGGCTGTGCGGGAAGCCGGTAGAACGGCGGGAGCGGGAATTGCGCGTGTCAGCGATGGTCATGCGCCGAGGGAGACACGATGAGACCTGACGGAGGTATATGATGGGATGGTGCGATGCTGGGTGATGCTGAAGCTTTGATGAGTTGAAGAAGGCGGGTGGATGCCGCTAATTGGTGAGGTGCGGCCCGATTTGCGCCAGATCTCTCGTTGATATCATCACGTGATTGCTTTTTCCTCCCTTACGAAAAACGTCACGCTCTCAACAGGAACCACAACAAAGAAAGATTTCCCAGTGAATAATACCTATAGTATGTAAGCTTCAGCTTAGTCTGTAGCAGGGACCAGAAAGGGTTAGTAGCGAGAACAAACACAAACAACAGACACTTATCCCCGCGGTGATCTCTTGCTCTGGGGCTTCAGAGCCGACAGCGAGAAGGAGATGGAGAAGGAGTGCTGCCGTCTCAAGGTCGAGGTGTTCAGGCTCAGGACCCTTTGTTGCTGGAGCAAGGAGGGTGGAAGCCCGCAGAGGTCTTTGGTATCGCGGGATGCACGGCGTGGCGGTCGTAGAGGGCGAGCCCGAGAATAAGAAGATTGAGGCGGCGGCGGCTCGGTCACGACATACTCATCATCAGCGTAGATGGGTCCTGACAAACTAACTACTTCTCTTCCCATATCAAATAGAGCACGCCTCCAGAATATTGTTCACTTCATCGCTGAGAGCTGGGGTACTGGCTTGACTAATACATCGCCATGATCCGGCAAACATCAATCCGTCCGTGTCCCCGAGAACAACGAGCGGGACTTTTTCTTTTAGTGTGCAGCGGCATCCTCCCAGAGGCACGAAGTCGCGTTGGACGCACCCAAGCCCCTGCCCTTAAGCTTTCCCCCGCCGACATAACAGTTCTGGCTCGCAATCTGCAAGTTGACCGCCATGGCCAGGGCCGCAATGTGGCTGTCCGTCTGCTCCATGTACTCCTCCTGGGTGAGCCCGTGCTCCAGCTCCCACGGCGCTCCGATAAAGTCGACGTACAAGACGTTGGGGTAGGAGAAGGGCGTGAACTGGTGATAGACGTCCCAGAACAGAGAGCCCACGACGGCGGACGCGCGCGTTGCCAACGAGGTGATGGCGTCGCGGAAGGAGAGCGTCATGGTCCACGACAAGACGTGCATGCCGTCCTGGGTCTCGGCGTCGCCCTCGCGGCCCAGCCGGCGGTTCGCCTTGAGCCTGGAGATCTGGTCGCTCCGCATCCTGTTGTAGTCGTCCGTGTCGGAGTACTGGTTGTACCGCTCCAGCTGGCCCACCAGGTAGAACCCCTTGTCCGAGTCGGGCTCGGGCGCGGGGTTGGTCCGCACGACGGTCAGCACGCACCCCTGGCCGTCGCCGATGTATTCGTTGATCGTGCGCTCGGCGAGGTTGGAGTCGCCGAATCCCCTGCAGGGCTTGGAGATGGAGTCACGGAACTCGGCCCAGATGGGCCTCCACTGCTCCTCGGTCAGGCGTTTGTACCTCTCCAGCTCACGGTGGTCGGTGTCGAAGGCGGTCTCGTCGTTGACGTCGAGGATGACGAGCTCGCCAGGATGGTCAGTCATGAACCTACGAGTTGGATGTGTGCGTTAGCAATCCAGGGGCGATCATGGAGAATACTAGATGGAACTTGTCTCCTTAAGGCACGCCTACCTGTTGATCTGTTTGATCGCCTCTCCAACCTCGAGGCCGTTCGCACCGTACGCAGAATCCTTCTTGACGGTATAGTGGCACAGCATGTGTTTCCCGCCGTTTCCCAGGCAAGGCCTTATGTCAAGCCATCTCGACCCACGCACCAGCTGGCCGTAGATGTCGAGCCACTGCGTCTGCGTGTTGGCCCAGTCCGCGAGGCTGGTGTGGCCGTCGATGGTGCTCATGCCGGCGTCGTGGCTGCCCGGCATGCACACATACTTGAGCTTTCGCTCACCGATGATGTCGCGGATCGAGGCCATCCCTGCCCCGGGCGGGGCCCTGCTTCCGATGAACCCGTAATTGTCGCTGCCCGTCAGGACCCACGACTGAGCCACGCCGTCGTACTTGGTGGGCATGCCGAGGTCGAGGGTGCCACTGGGGCCAAAGTCCATCGTGGGGAGGGAGTGGTAGACGATGCGTGTGCGCAGTGGGGGCTTCATCCCTTCGGCGTAGTCCGTGGAGACGTAAAACGTCCTTGTGGTGCCTTCGAGCTGGTAGCATGCCTCGCCGGCGGAGTCCTCGTCGCTGATGCCGGCACCTTGCAACTACCAGATGTCGAACTGGGCGGACTCGCCTAGTTTCATCGTGGAGGTTAGAAGCGTCCGCATTAAGGGAATGCACCCCCCACGAGGAGGTCTGGACGTCTTACCTGCTGGGATGTCGATCCACTGCTTATCCCAGTTTCTCATTTGCCAGTTGTTCTGTCCCAAGAACCTGAACTTGTGCGGGGTCCCGTTGACCAGGGTCAAGTATGTCCTCTGTCCTTCCTCTGGGACGGCGATATCCAGCTTGCCGTCTCTGAGCGTCGGGTTGGTCTGCTCCGGCTCGCCGGTGCAAGGGTTGGTAAACTGTCGGGGGTCAAAGACGGCGATCTGACTCCAGCGCGGATGAAAGTCAACCGCCTGGTTATCGGCCGCCTTGATCAATGTTCCGTCCGCCTCGATCATGTTGACTGCGCCTATGGTGACGAGGTTATGGATTCTGACACCACCGTGGTTCTCGCGCAGCTCGATCAAGGACTTTTGGCAGTTGACGGTTTGTACTTGACCACTCTCTTATCAGCACACCTGTGAGTAATTCGCAGCTTGGGACACGGAAGCAACGGAAGAGCTTCAAAAAAGACAAAAAGTACTGACAGCATTCTTGGGTGTACTTGTCGAACCAAGAGTACAAACCTGCTCCGTGGATCATGATGTCGCTTGAGTTCAAGATCCGCAAGGCCCACGACGAGTCTCACGTCTCGCCGTCGCTGCACTTGTAGGCAGGGTCGCCAGGCATGGCTCCGACGGCATCTTTCATGGGTTCCAGCGGACTGGGCAGGGGCTGGTAGTATGGTGACTCCGTCTGGATCATAGAGGCGTGAACTAGCTGAGCGTTGTAGAACTCGTACTGATAGAAGGTCGCATGCTCCGATGCGGTACCATAGAGCCAGGTGGGATGAGTGCTCTCGACGAGGAGGCCCCGGGCAACAAACACTGAGCATTGTTCCTAGAAAAAGAGACATCAGTAGATGCAAGACAAGAGACCAAAAGCATCCCTTCTAGCCTTCCGGGCTGAAACTTGCCATGAAGTTGTTGTCATCGTCCCAATTGGGGTCGTCAATATCGCTACAGGGCGCTTTTAGCAAAGCAGGACTGCTCGGTCTGACCGTAGATATATCTTACTGATCTGCCACCCAGAGCCAAACATTCTCAAAGTAGCCCGAGCCGCTGGGCGTGATGTGCATGAGCGCGCTTCCGGCGCGGCACTTGTCGTTGATGCTTCCAGCGGGGCATTCCTTCACTGTGAGTTCGGTGCCAACAGCACCTCCGACTCGAATGTGGCAGTCTGCATGCATCACGACACCGTCAGGCATCCGCAGCAACAGAGAATAGGCCGCACGCATAGACCGAAGGACTCACCCCACATGCCGGCCGATGCCGGTCCTTCACTCTTGAGATTCCACTCGACAAACACCACACCAGCCGTGGGACCCCTGGAGGTGAAGATGAGGTCCTGCATCTCGACATTGCCACGCTGCCCCTTATCACCAATTCTGACCAGAGGGCGAGGGTGTCTGGACTGCATGTATAAGCATCGAAAGAGTGCAAATGGCGTCTTGAAGGGACTCACTTCGCATCTTCAAAACTTTTGCCAAAGGCAACGAGCTGTGCCCAGTTCTCTCCTACGATCCGGAGACCGCTCGGGATATTGATGGTATCGCTAATCATGTATGAACCGGCGTCGAAATAGACGATATCTGACGAGGACGCGCGATTCAACGCGTCCTGGATGCATTTTGTGTCATCGGTCTTGCCGTCTCCTACAATACATAGGCATAGGGATGTCAGTGTTGCTGGGAAATTCGAAACATGACAATTATTCGGAGCAGATACTGTGCACGAGTTCTAGACTGACCTGCACAGTTCGACTTGATGTTGCGAACAGCCGAAGACGATGTCGTCTCGTATTGCGGCTTGGCTCTCTCGTAGAATGGGCGCTTGGGCAAGTCGTTTGGGTTATTGCCAACAAGTGACTCATCCCTACGGGTTTTGAAGGTGGTGTGAAGTGCCTCGTCCTTGTTCTGGTCCACGTAGATGCGACCAAGGACGAACGTGTCGATGTTGTCCTTGGTATCCAGGTAAGACGTGCCCGCGTTATCGACGACACCCATATCAGTGTTTATGAATTTGATGTTGTCTAGCGTGAGGCCCGTTGTGCCGTCTCCCTTCTCACCTTTGGCCGGGAATGTGAGAATGGCCTTCTTGACGTTTTCAAAGACAGAATCGACTACGAGGATGGAGCCTGTGTTGTGGACCCCATCCTCGGAGAGTAGCTTGAATCCGACGTCGGCGTTCTTGACGTAGATGCTTTTCCACGCCTGCGAGGTGTGGTCAGTACCTGGTCGGTAATTTGCTTTCGAGGATCAATCAATTACCCAGCCCCAGTCCCAGATCAGCTGCACGGCTGTGGTGCATCCATCGAACATCAATCTCTGAGCAGTGAATTGCTGGTTTCCTCCACTACAGGGCAGTTGAACGGTTAGGGTGCCAAGGTGAACATGGGTATTCAGGGGGATTTTCGAGAAACTCACAGATTCCAAAGTTGCCGCCCGTGAATACTAGATCGCTCATATGTCCGCCGCCACCATTCTCTGCGACTGGGAGGAGTCTCAGCCTAGATGTCTAACTTTTTGCAATGCACTTCTCATCTTTTGGTAGCTTTAGCTCGGTTCATTACTCACAGATTGCCTGTTGTGTTGTCCCCGTCTTGGCCCTGAACTCGACAAACTGCACGCTGGTCGCTTGAGCAACCTGGTAGTGCAGAGCGCAGACATGGGCACCAGGATCCGTGTCGCGGATGTCAATGACGAAGTTGCGGATCTGCCGATAGAAGTTGCCCTGGGAGTGTTCGTCAGCAAGATTCTTGGGATCAACCTTTTCCGTTCACGAGGCCTGCTAGTCGGCAGCGAACCCACCGTGTTGATGAACCACTCCTTGGCATTGCCGTCTGAGCCAGATCCTCCATTGTCGACATATTTATCGGTGGAGATGACGCCGAGGCCAACGAAGGACCTGGCCGCTTTAATCACGGGGCGGTCGGTAGGCTAAGAGGCGGTTAGGTTCTGTCTGGTGACGAGGTAAATGGGCCGCGGGTCGGAGCACTCACGTCGCCGATGAATTGAGTTCCGTAATACGTCTCGATCGTGCCACTGACCAAGTACACGCCTGGCATGAGAGGATAGTAAGTTGTTAGCAGTACTCGCAGGTCCAGGCGTCAAGACATATTACCAGGCTGGAAATATATGATGGCGCCCTTTGTAGTCGAACTGTAACACCCAGGCCCGCACATCTTGCCAGCAGAAACAGCTCTGCGAATGGCCTCAGTGTCGTCCTTGATTTTGGTAAAGGCGTCAGTTACTCATACACCCTAATAGAAACCTAATAAGAAGAGAAACAAGACTACTTACCGTAATACCGTTACCTGCGGCGCCGTAGTCGGCGACGTTACGAAATACAGCAAAGTCCTTGTCGTTGTTGCCAAAGGGCCAGCTGCCCTTGTGCTGCTTGTTGGCAAGCCAGTAGCTACTTGCACGAGTCTGTAGCGCGGTGTGGTCCGCCGCCCCGCGACGACCAAGGGTGATGTTGGTCGCCTCCTCATAGGCATCGGCCTCAGCAATAAGGGCAGCTGCAGTGGCAATATCGGCGGTGACGTTAAAGAGAGGGGCCACATCCTCGCTGCGAAGCCTCAAGGAAGACCTTGTACCCGGCTTGAGAGCCTAATTGTTTCGCAGAGGTTTGTCAAGGCGAGCCTTATTGTGCTGGGCCAACGCTTGCATAGCGGTCTTGACCAGGTCCCGCGCCTTCTGGATGTCAGCCCGAGTAGCATTGGCTAGACGTCGAGGCTTTGGGATATCCAGACTTGGCTCAGGATCGATGAGCGGGGAGCGTTTCATGTAGTCACGAGCATCATCAGATCCACGGCTAGGAGAGACATGATGACCGAGCGAGGGATTCTCTCGACTGTTCAGCAAAGCTGACTTGCAGCCGACAATCAGCAACGGAAGGAGAGCAAAAACAGGACGCATTGTTGCAATAATGAATGAACAATTCCTCTGCCAAATTGGTGAGACTCGATAAACATTGATACATGCTGCTTAACGGCTCTTCCATGGAGCACTTATATGGAAAACTACCAGGCCTTGTAGTTGCTCATGAGCGGGATTACTCTGCCTGAACAGACACACCGAGGCCGTATGGAGTCTCCCAACTCCCGAAGATTCTGCAATCAGGCTGGCCTGATGGATAGTTGTGTTGGTTCTCAATCTTTCATCCTCAAATCTCGTCAAGTTTCTGGTATGCAGGGTTTTGAGTCTATTTCTATCCCTTGCGCCAACAGTCTATGGCACGATTACACCCGACAGGATAACCCTATATCTGGTGCCAGAAGGCAATTTTGGTTTGACGAGGCAGAGTTTGTAAACACAGTGAGGAAAGCTTTGATGGCGATGTATATTGCTTGTGACGTGCCGGAGATTGTGTGCCTTGGCTTCCCCTTGCTCAGCCAGTGAACAGTGCAGTTGATGGTTGTTGGTTGGCGAAGGCAAAGACCAACAATCAATACTGCTTGGACACTTTTTAACGCATAAGGCAGGTCTGGTCTGGTAGGCGGCAAGGTTAAATTCATTGCCAGGGGGATTCTGGCTCTGGCGAGTTTACCCGGCCTGGCTCGCTAAAGGGTGCGTAATCTTAAGCTGAGCCCAACTGCATACATAGATCGCAGCCTTCAACTTGACCCAGGGAAGGAAAAACAGGGAGACCTTAATGACTAGAATTCTCTCTCTCGACTACCGATCTCTCCACACAATACTGCGTCCCTCGGTCGAGTCCCCTTGCTGCGAGCATGGGCCTCACCAGCCCCCATCTAGTGCTACCATGGTTCCGACTGGTGCTATGCTCACTCTTTGTGATGCTGGACATCGCCGCATTGGCCATAGCGGGGTATTGCAGCTCCAAATACGGGCAACATATCACGGGTATCTACTCTATGGTATATCAACCTCGCAATGCCTACCACGAACGACAGTCTTCAACGCTAATGAAACACCCCCTCGGTAAAAGGCCGGCATCTTTCTGTTATGGGGCGCTGTCATCACGACTAGAGCGTGGAAGATGCTGTCTCCACCAAGACGGCGTCCAAGTCGGGCAGAAGCCGGCTGGTCTCTTGTCCTGGAAGTCCTGCTTGTGGTCGCCGGATTTATGATCGGTTATATGGTGTTAGTGCTCGAGGGTCCTGGGCCCGAATGTACGTTCGAGGAGTGCATCAGGAGGTATGCTCCCGAGCAGGTGATTTTTGCGGGCGTTTTGTTGATGTGGGTGGCATCGTGAGTCACATCGTCCTTCGAAATGCTTGCATGCGTGGTCTACCGTGCGCTGACCGGGCTTGAAAACCAGGGCGCTTTTGATCTTCTTGTGCTGTGTGGACGCGTTCTATTGCTGTTGTGCAGGAAGGCGACGGAGTGGCTAGGATGAAAACATCGCAATATCCTGATCGCTGTCATCACTTTTGTGTATTAGGGAAGCTCCTGCGGTCACAAACAAGAAGAGCCAGGTCACTGGTAGCAGAGGAGATATCGGACGGGAGTGCTTGCAGCTTTTGGTACGACTTTCAACAGTGTCCTCATTTTGCGGGAATCCTGATCCCGCTGAATTGTCTACATCCTCCTTGCGAAGATGAGTCATCCAGGGAGGGCCGTGGGGATGAAATCAAACCGAGGAAAGACTGTATGATGAAATGAATAGCATGGAGCTTGGTGCCAGATCAACAGCGTAGAGTTTCTGAAAGCCAGGTATTCCAGATCCCCAAAGAACATTGAATCCCGGAGATAGGTGATAGAACACGCTGGTTCTCATCAGCAGATACCCATTCACCCCTTTTGTTCCCGAGATAGCTTTGACACTTGACTATTTGCTGTTTCTCTCGCAAGGCTCAGCTTGGCAAGCCACAGCTTTATCAGTGGTACGAGGGCCCATCCGATGTGGATTTTTCGTGAGCGCTGTTGTCACGTAAAAGGGCACCTATCACGATGTCACAGATAATGCTAACAATCTGACTAGATCACACCTCCACAATTGATCCATGCCGCGGCTGATGGTATCGGAAGTCTAGAACTGATGGAGAGAGGGACTTTTAGACTCTGGGCAAGACATGCTTTCGCAGGGAGATAGTCCTATCTCTAACTCCATCGAGACCTTGGCCCCACAAGGATTCACCGGGCTCATTTCCTGATCCAGCAGGTCCAGCCGGAAATGCATACCAGGAGCACGGCGTGCCAGGTTGCGAGAGGGGTTGCGGCAGTAGCAAACAAGCTTATCTTGAAGAAGCCTAGAGAGACATCCCCAGTTTCCCCAGACAAGGATGGGCTCCGCATGCTGATAAGACCTGGTTGGCGGGTGTTGTGCTTACACCTCCTGCGGTGCTGCCGATCTCGCACCAAAGAAGCCGTGGCTGACATGGACAGCAATCCGATGGAACGGGCGGGCGGGCATAAAACCCGGAGCTGGCCTTCCTCGTGGAAGGGATACGCTCTTCCTGCATCATCACCCTTATTCCGTTGAGACCAGCTTCTCCTACATCCAATTTTGTCAAGATGAAGGAACACGAAGAGACCCTCGACGATATCCAGCTGGCGCAGATGGGCCACTCGCAGTCCTTCAAGCGTCGGTTCAGCCGGTGGACCATGCTCGGACTTGCCTTCGCCATCCTGAACTCGTGGGGTGCGCTCTCTGCCTCGTTGTCTCTGGCTCTGCCCTCCGGCGGTCCCGTTGGCATCATTTGGGGTCTGGTCACGGCCGGCATCTGCAACCTTTCCCTCGCGGCCAGTCTCGCTGAGTTCCTCTCCGCCTACCCCACTGCAGGAGGCCAATACCACTGGGTCGCCGTCATCGCTCCCGAGCCCCTTCGGGTAGGACTATCGTGGGTGACGGGATGGATCAACATGTCCGGCTGGGTGGCCCTGGTCGCGACCAACAGCTCCTTGTCTAGCACCTTGGTCATCAACATCATCAACCTCTACAACGAGAACTACGAGTTTCAGAGATGGCATCAGTTCCTCATCTACCTAGGCATCACCGCCTTCGCCTTCATCGTTAACACCTTCCTCCACTCGATCTTGCCGCGGTTCAACGGCTTCGCCCTGGCGTGGAGCATCTCGGGCTTCTTCATCATCTCCATCACCCTCCTCGCCTGCGCGGCGCCCAACTACGCGACGGGCGAGTATGTCTTTGCCACCTTCATCAACACCACCGGCTGGCCCGACGGCATCGCCTGGCTGCTCGCCCTCCTGCAGGGCGGGCTCGGGCTGACCGGCTTCGACGCCGTGGCCCACATGATCGAGGAGATCCCCAACGCGGCGGTCGAGGGCCCCAAGATCATGCTGTACTGCCAGTACGTCGGCATCACCACGGGCATCCTCTTCCTCGTCGTCGTGCTCTTCGTCTCGGGCGGCACCGCCAACGCCCAGACCATCATCAGCTCGTCCAACGGGCCTATCCTTGAGATATTCTATCTCGCGACCAAGAGCAGGGTCGGCGCCGTGTGCCTGCTCATGTTCCCGCTGCTGTGCCTCGTCTTCGCGGGCACCGCCGTCATGACCACCTCGTCGCGCATGGTCTTTGCCTTTGCGCGCGACGGCGGCCTGCCCGCCTCGAGGGTGTGGTGGAAGGTGCACCCGAAGCTCGAGGTGCCCCTGAACGCCCTGTACTTGAACTCGCTGGTGGTGGTCATCTTCGGGTGCATCTACCTCGGCTCCACCGTCGCTTTCAACGCCATCATCGCCTCCTCGGTCACGGCCCTGGGCCTCAGCTACGGCATCCCCGTGGCGCTGAACCTCTGGTCTGCGCGAAGCCGGCTGCCGGAGCGCGCCTTCAAGCTGCCCAACTGGCTCGGGTGGACGTGCAACATCATCGGCCTTGTCTACACCATTGTCACGAGCGTTTTGTTTTTGTTCCCCCCTGCCCTGCCTGTCGATGGCACGTCGATGAACTACTGCGTCGTCGCGTTTGCCATTATCCTGACCATCTCTACCATCCAGTGGATTGTCGACGGGAGGAAGAACTACAAGGGCCCTCGTGTCACTCTCGGGGAGGAGGTATATGGCGAGCACACCGAGCATACCGAGGAGCACCCCACTGGACATTGAGGGATGTCAATGAAGGCAATACGTGGAGACTCTGTATATCACATTAACTTCAACTTCATTGTAAGAACGGGAGAGACTACTGAGAAAGAGAAGAAAGGACGAAGTTCTACAAGTGGGAATTTCTAGACAGATAGACAAGTTCAATCAAGAGAGTGGAATAGACTCAAGTTTCCACGATGGAAGCTGATTCATCAACATGCCAATAGGGGCTCCCACCGTAGCACTGAGGAACACCTCAATCGCACCCGTTGTGTCATCCAGAATCGTCGCGATCCACCTATAGATAGGAGAGCGTTGCATTAGCCCAGCCAAGGATCACACGTACGAGATACAGTGTGGTACGGACTTGGGACAGTTATGATCGAAGAATCCCTCACAGCACAACCCCGGGGAGGTTTACGCGGAACATGTTCAGAGAACTTGCTTATAGCCGCAAAGTCAAAGGCGCTCTTGGCCTGATTAGGAAGTTCAGAATGCCATCGATTGAGAGATCAGCGGCTCTGCCTCGTCATCCACATTCAAGAATGTTCTTGTTCACCAGATCAAATTCATGTTCCATCAGCCAATTTCCAGGTATGCGAAACACCCTCACTTCTATGTACAAAGTGGCAAGCTCAAATACCCGATCCTCTTTATCTTCGGCATGGCGTTGGTGACACTACCATTTCAATTTTTCAAGGGCTTCCCGAGACATTGGGAAGAATTTGACGTATGGCTTCTGTACCGGACCCGCGACACGGGCGGCGGGCTCCCAAATACAGCGCTAGTGAGGAACCCGGCCCTGTTAGCCTTGCTAAAAACGGTACCCGGCATGCCCTGGGACCTGCTAGGACCCACCAAAACGGCGCTGAATTTTCACCCTAGGACCCCTGGACTCCACATGAATCGTCATGCACGAGTTTCCAAGGTTGAGATCTCGAGATCTTCAGATGAGGGTGCGACTCCCAAGAATGCCTCTCCTTTGTTCAATTCAATCGCTGTCGTCGCCAATCCGGGGTTGAAGACGCAAAGGCCGCAGAGCCGAGGCCGGGATCTTGTTCAATTGACCGTCGCTGGTGCCCTCTATCCTTACCCCTGCGACAATCCAACCGACGCAACAGCAGAGAGAGAAAGACCGCACTGGAACAAGCCGGCGCCATGTCGTCAACGACATCTTTCCGGTCGACATGCAGCAGATGGCTCGCGATAGCCGGCGCACTGTCGGCCTGCCTGCAGCCAGCGCTCGCCGCCTACGTGCAGTTTCAGGACTGCATCGACGCGATCCCAATGCCGAGACTCGCCAACCAGACGCACTTCGTGCCCGAATCTCTGCGCGCCGAGCTGCGCCAGTGGAATGATGCGACGGAGATCGACCTGCAAGTCTGGGGGCGCTTCCCGGGAGTGCGCACCTGCGATGATGCGCCTGCGTCGGCCCTCTCACGGCTCACCGTGGCCTCTGCCTCCGGTACGGCCGTCTACGAGACCGAAGCGGCCAATGTGACCTGCGATCCAGAGGTGTACTTCGCGGCCCGGCAGGGCGTGCTTGTCGGATACAACATTCAGTATTCTGTCGACCGCATGCATCCTGTCGAGACCTTTGAGCTGAAAGTCCGCCTTCAGGGCGACGACCGCATACCTTTCGCCTGCCTCGAGGCACCACTGACACCTGAGATCGGGTCCGGCGTCACTGCCGTTGCTCGGTGGGTTCCGGCCTGCGTTCTGGCCCTGGTGATCATAGCGGCTGGCCTGACATCGCTTTCGCAACTGCCATCGAGCTCTGGGTTTGAGATAGACCAAGCCGGACCGTTCTTCCGCGAGGCCAGCCGCTCGCACCTCACGCACGTTGCCGACTGCCTTTCCTACATCCAATTCATCTTCTTCTCGGGTGTTCTGAGCATCAACTACCCCGGATTCTTTCAGCCCGTGGTCAGCCACAGCAGCTGGTCCACGTTGATGACCTCCACCGGCCCGGCCGCTCATACCTCGCCCTACTATGGGATCAAGGATGGTATCTACGAGGTCAACGGCACATTGACCGGCACCTACGGCATGGAGCTCATGACCCAGGTCATTGGGGCCCCGGTCACCATGGAGACGTGGACAAATGTCATCACCTACACAGCCATGGTCTTCGTAATCCTCGTCGTGATCGTTCAGGTCGGAAAGCGCCTCGACCAGACCCGAGACTGGTTCGCACCCCCGCCGACTGCTGAGGCCCAAGCCGCCCAAGCCCTCAGCGGTATCCAGCACACTGCTTGGACGGCTTTCAGAGCACTGGTCAGCTACTTCCTCCTCCCGCTCGTGGCATGGACGGCATACCAGCTTGACCACGCTCGGGTTCTTCCCTACTACCACACGACCATCTGTTCCGTCGTCCTCTTTGTATTGGTCGCGTGCTACATGTGGGCTGCCAGCCGGTCTACCCCTCGCGATATGGGCTACCTTATCCTCGACAGCTCCAAGGACAGCCTGACCCTGGCCTCCATGTCCCGCTCGCAGGATGTCCTTAGCATCGCAATGTTCGGCCTGCTGTTCGCGCGCGGCGCTGCCATTGGTGGCCTGCAGCTTGCCGGCCTTCCTCAGCTGGTGTTTCTTCTCACCTGCGAGATCGTCCAGCTCGCTCTGATCACCCTGCTTCGTACCCCGGCCGCTCTCCTCACCATCAGCGGTCTGACTACCGTGGCGCGCCTGCTCGTCACCCTGTTGTCGGTTCTCTTCCTTCCCGGAGTCGCTGGTCTCGAGCTCAAGTGCATATTTGGCTACGTCATCCTCGCACTGCATGCCAGCATCCTTTTGTTTGGTTTTCTTTGCCCGTCTCTGTTCCAGATCGCCCGTGTCGCTGCACTAGCCCTGAGCGGTTCCGCATCCGACTTTTCCGAACCCCGTCGGGAGGAGCCCCAGGTGAGCAAAAGCCCCATCATTCCCTACTCTGAATCGACTGCTAACTCTGTCTCGTCCAGATCTACGGCCTTCGCAGGCTGCGCCAGCGCCCTTCCAACGCCAGCAATCTGGTTCTCCCCACCGTGCCTTACCTAGCCACGATGCAGCCCACGCCATCCCCGTCGCACCACGGGCGCTTCCCGAGCGCTTCCTCCTCGCCCAGCCAGAGCAACAGCACCGAGAGCCCCGTCTACGAGGATACGAGCCGGTACTACCGCCGGCCCCGGTCCCGCATCTCCTCGGCCGAACTCCTCGGCTCGCAGGTCTTCGCGGTCTCTCCCTCTATCCCGGAGAACCCGGCGCTGTCCGCGCAGTACGAGGGCGTCGGCGGCAGCTCGCTGTCCTCCTCGAGCGAGGCCAGCTCGGCGGACGCGGCGGACGCCGTGCACTGGGTCGAGGCCGTGCGCGTTGCCAACGCGAGCGTGGACTACTCTGTGCGTGAGGTGGATATGTACTACGGGCGGGCCAAGCAGGGCGAGGGCGACGAGGAGGAGCAGCGGCTGCGCGAGCCGGAGGAACCTGCATCTTCAGCGTCGGAGCCGGCATCGTCGTCGTCGTCGTCGTCATCGCCGAACATAAGGCGGAAGGTGTCGGAGCTGTGGAAGGAGTGGACTGCGAAGCCGGCCAAGGGAGGCGGCGAGGAGACAGGATTCGTAGTGATCCGGCCGCCGAGGACGGTGGCTCCGGGCCAAGCGCCGGTGCCGGCGCAGCCGCGGGAGGGGGAGTAGGAGAGGAGGTGATAGATACCTTTGCCTTCAACGGCTTTTTCTTTGGATCCTTTTTTTGGCATAATAGACTAGCATTGAAATCTTGAACCTCTTTCATCCGTAAAGCCATCCACTTCCAGCAATGTATTTCGATGCCCTGCCATGTAATTATGCGCCGCTTCTCAAAATCGCAATTTTTGTCTGCAATCTGCAATCCGCAATCCGCAATACCCGATTCCTCATGATCTAGGTAGCCCCATCTGAACCGCTACTAGTACTTGGCTCATCGACAAAGCCTGCACCACACCACCCTCATCCCGTTGACAGCATGGCATTCAGACTACGAATGTCATGGAGCACCTTCTCAACTTCCTCATCCAGCATCCTGGAGACAAAAGCAAGAGATACCTTGCCCACATGCCAAGTCGTCTGGTCCAGCTCGGGATACCGATGTCCCAGATGGGGGAGTTGGGCCAGGACCTCTGCGGCCGAATAGACCCTGTCATCCTCAGCCTCCGTGTCCCATCTACCGCATTTCCAGAGCAGAATGCGCTTCCGAGTCGGGTCGTAGTTGACTGTGACGCGGGTATGCCTGTCACCCGTTGCACAGCCCGAGGGGCCAGCTTCGCCGACAGTGATCTCGGTGCTGGCAGAATGAGGACCAGAAATCTCCCTCGCCACCATGGCGTCTCTCTTGAATCCAGCAAGCGAGTGGAGCAGGAGCGGAATCCGGTGGTCGTGGTCGTGGTGCTTCTCCAACTCTCCGGGGTGGTCGAACTCCTTCTTGCACGTCTGGCACTGCCAGAAATCGGATTTGAACGGGCAGCCGGCCGCGTGATCAGGCCAGAAGTCGAATAAGGTAGCGGGCTTGCTCAGGCCGGAGAGGGGTGGCTTCGCGCAACTCGAGCACTCGACGGGCTCGCCGCTGTCCTTCCAGCAGAACCCGCAGGCCGCGAACATGTAGGCGGCCTCGGCGCCGACGGGGCATTCGGGACACAGGAAGGTCTCGAAACGCTTAGTGAAGGACTTGGAGAGGTCCGGGCAGGGTGGCGCGCCTTTGGGCATATCTGGATGCTTTCTTGCGTTCGCCAGGCGTGGGGGCGTACCGACCGACGATGCGTCGTCTGAAGCGGGACGCTTGGCGGGGATGACCTTGCGTGGCGGCATCTTGGGCTGGGTTGTGGCACGCGTGGAGATTGGGGAGGTGAATAGAATCTGGAGAGCACTTCCTCAGAGGCCGCGACTGTGGCTCGGGTCAGTGCAGACCTGGCCTGAATCTGAGTTGGGTCTTAAACGGAGGTGAGGCTGTAGTAGGCCAGGTAGACCAAACCAAACCAATAAGACGAAAAGCCCAGTCTCTACCGGTCGCTATGGGTGGCAGAGCTAATTTGGAGCCCTTGTTTTTGGATGTGTTTGATTCTGGGGTGGTGCATGGCTTTGGAAGAAATGATGCGACGACTTCTTCAGAATGGGGGTTACGGAGGAAATCTAAACACTTGACCTTGCTCAAATTGTCGAACAATCTTCTTTCAAACACGCATCTAAACGCACCCCCCCCGTAGTCTACACACCTTTCCACTGAAGTCACGGAGCAGGGAGTGTATGCGATGTCTGTATTATTCCCCTCTTCTCAGGCGAATGCTTATTGTGATGCAAAGAAACCAGAATCGAAAAGAGAAAAGAAAATAAGAAAACGGCAAAACCGTGCAAATCCCGTGCCCTTGGATTGGAAATGACATATCAAAAACACTACAAGTACAGTTAGAAGTGACTCACGATGGCCAGCCCGGTCTCGGATCGCATGTGCAATTCACCATCCACCGTCCACCGTCCACCAGACCTGCCAAGCTCTATTAGAATGCAACATAGTGAAGGGACTCCTCATCTCGCCCTCAACGCGATACTGTTCAGGTGGAAAACCGCAACTAGCTCATCATGCTGTTCATCACGTCGACGCGCCGACCCAAAATCTCGTACTCCGTCCACGCCATCTTGACCGTGATGGAGGCCGTGCAGGTGAGCAAATTTGAGGCCTGGCCGGGAGCAGGGGTAATATGCCTTTGTGCCTCTCGGAGCTGAGGAATCTGACGAAAGACCGTCTCAGCGGTACACCTGGGCAGCTCCCGGGTCGTTGCGACTAGCCCAGCCGAGGTGAGACCGATTTTCTTCTCGGAGCTGTCGAAGGTAATAATAATGACAAGCTCCGTGTCGGCGTTGATTGCGGTATGCGATTGCATGTCCTTGGAAGACTGCTGTTCGGGTGGGCTCGGGGCATGCTTCAAGATGTGATGTCCTCTCCAACTCGCACCGTTCGTCTCGGTGATGCCGCAGCTCTCGCAGTGCAACCTGGTGGAGAAGAAGCCACAGGGGACCCAATGGTGATGTTCGGAGTCCCAAGACAGTGAAGAGGCAATCTCCCGCCAGGAGATATTATCCAGAACATACCCGCAAGAGAAACAACTGATCTCATTCGAGGATGGGAGAAATATGTACCCATTGGCCGCCAGGGCGTACCGGTACCTGGGGTTTCCTGGCGCGGGACAGGTCGCGAAGCTGTCGTAACGCTCCTGCAGGGAAGGAGATGGTGCCACTTCCTGTCTGGTTTTCTTCTCTGGCGGTGCAGAGGTCTCCGATCCTCTCCACTTCGCCGATCGGTCTGAGTCTTCAGGAGGAGATAAGGCCATGGCGATGCTCCCAAGTTGACGCAGTGGTAAGTGGATGCGATATGAAGTACGGGAAGTGAACTAGGCCACGCCCAGCTCGATAAGAGGAAGAAGGGCAGAAATATCAATGGGATTGTAGTTTCAATTGAGCCCGATTTGAGCTCAGAGCGGTCCGCTGATGAGCTGAAGCCGAGAACCTCAGCTGGAAGGAGCGAGCGAGAAGGACTTGGATTATTGCTTCCAGTAGAGTGGATAATACAGATATCAAGGCGGGGAGAGACATGGTTTGTCTCGGGAAGCAGTGATTCAAACCAAAGCAGGTCTAGAAGAAAACGAAATAGATATGCGAGGCAAACATTGATGGTATACCGCCAGGAGGTATCTTGCCAAGTTTCGACTGACCAATTTATTGAACTCCCCAGTTTCGGTTTTAGGGAAGGAGACAGCCCGTGAGACGGAAGCTCTTGGAAAAACATACGGGAACCATTCTGTCCAAGAAATTTCCATATCGTCAGAGCTCAAGTCTAGAAGTCGTCTCAGCCAGCAGCTGGCAATTTCTGGCCCGGGCCGGCGCCTCCCTGAGCATCCCTATCGTGTCTCGAGAGAGCCTTCCTCCAACGAATGTCTGTCTCAAGCATGTTTGTGTTTGCCTGCGCTCCTACAGAATTGGGATGGGACTTTCTTGGTTTCCGCTGGATGCGCAATGCCTCGCGATTTTTGATTACTGCATAGCTGGAAACTTCAATTATGCCTGGGAATGCAATGGATTGGTCGAGTGCACTAGCCTGGCACCTACCTACTCTGGCCATTACTTGCACCCATGTCGACACTCGACCGATGAGCGAGACATATCGCACCTTTGTCATTGGCCGCCCACCAGCGAATCTGATGGTGTTCTCCGAACGCCTCACTCATGTCGCCCAGCCAATACTGAAACCCCTGGGATGCGAGCAGTGGACCCCAATGCTACCCAGCGCTGCCGATGACCGAAGATCCCGCTACACCGTATGCCTGGTGCTGATATCAGCACTTAATTCGGTTGGAAAGACGAAGGAGTTAGCTGAGTAACTACTTGTAGATGCCTAGAGCAGCTATAATCTTGACCGTGGCTTGATCGACAGACCCGCGCCCGCGCTATTTTTTTCTGGCAACCCCCCACGTACGTATGTCTCTCCCATGCTCCAGCTGGGTCTTTTAAATGGTTGCTAGTGCTGCCCCTTTCTGGCCCTGGCAAGCATGCACCACCTCGAATACCAGCCGTCTCTCCTCTCTCTTTCTCGCACACAAACAAGCCATTTAGTGACGAAAAGCGTCTGACCAAGAGTCCATGGCCAAGATGGACAGGCCGCGCCGGCTCCTGCTGCTGACCAACTCCGAGTTGGGAGCCGCAAACATCTTCCTCGCCGCCATCCACGAGCTCATGCAGCTCGACCCGCAGCTCGAGATCCACGTCGTCTCATTCGCCAACATCGCCAAGGTCTACCACAGCGCCGTCGACTACGCCGCCAAGGCCGCGCCGCACGCACGGCCTCCCGTCTTCCACCAGCTAGAGGGCCGGAGTCTGTCGCAGGTGCTCGTGGCGCGCAACCCGCGCTTCTGGGACGTCATGTCCAACCGGCTCGGCGGCCTCAACCCCTTCACCATCGCCGCCACGGCCAGGGCCACGAGCGGCATCTTCATACCCTGGGACGCCGCCGACTTTGTCGCAATCTACCGCCAGCTGGAGGCCATCCTCAAGGAGGTCCGGCCCGACTTCACGGTGCTGGACCCCTGCTTCGCGCCCGGGTGGACGCTCTGCGAGCGCGAGAAGCTCGACTACGTCCTGTTCATGCCCAACACCGTCAAGGAGCTCTCCGTCGGCTCCCAGCCCCGCGGCCAGGCGCTGTGGAAGTATCCCACCATGGGCACCGGCTTCCGCTTCCCTGTGCCCTGGTACCAGATCCCGCTCAACATCTACTGCGGCCTCGCCTTCTTCATCGCCCTCATCACGGACCCCCGCGCCGCCAGAGTCGCCAAGGAGGTCCAGGAGGAGCTGGGCTTCAAGATCACGACCATGAAGGAGGGCGGTGTGCTGCAGGTGCCGCAGGTGCCCGTCATCCTCGGCTGCCGGCAGGAGCTGGACTTCCCCATGGCGGTCGTGCCCGACTTCCTCCGGCCGTGCGGTCCGATCGTGCGGCCCGGCCCCGCGATAGGAGAGACGGACCCGGTGCTGGAGAAGTGGCTGGCGCGGGGCCGCACCGTGTACATCAACATGGGCACTCTGAGGAGGTATGCCGAGGACGAGGCCGTGGAGATGGCCAAAGCGCTGCGCATGCTGCTGGACAGGGTGACGCCATCTGATGGCTCGCCGCTGCAGATTCTGTGGAAGCTGAAGAAAGAGGGTGACTATAGCGCAAAGGAAGGATCGAAGCTGTACTCAATACTGCAGCGCGAGGTTGACGAGTACCGGGTCCGGATCGCAGACTGGCTCGAGGCAGAACCCAGCGCGATCCTCGAATCGGGCCATGTGGTCTGCTCGGTGAATCACGGAGGGGCTAGCTCGTGGTATGAGGCCCTATGGTAAGTCTCCGGTAACCTGCGACCCTCACCGTCCTGAATGCAGTTAGCTGATGGTGCCCCAAGTGCCGGTGTCCCTCAGGTAATCCTCCCCGTCTGGTCCGACACCTACGAGGCTCCCCGCCGTGCAGAGCTACTCGGAGTGGGCTGCTGGGGCAACCCTACTTCAGCGCCCAAGTGTGCGGCCGTCGAGGTCGGTCCGGCGCTGATCGATGTGGTCCTTGGCCCCAAGGCGGCGCAGATGCGAGCCAGGGCCAGGGAAGTGGCCGCCATATGTGTACGTGGTGGGCTCGGCAGGACCAAGGCAGCCAAGGAGATCTTGAAGTTCATCTCTGCAAAGACCTCGTAGATCTGCTGCATCTTGCGTGCGTGACGGTTGGACCAGTAATCTTGATATCCCTTGATTTTCTATGGGCGACTAGGCTTTACGTTGAAAGGGAGCGCTCGCTCAACGGGTTAGAAGCTTGTGGAGGGTTGGCGCTTTCCTCGATGATTTCTTCAGAGACAATAGATCTGATCCGAACAACTTGTTATATGTGAGGCGATCATCCTGGAATGGCAAAGTCTTTTGATGCTATGTATGTAGGTAAGCTTCATCAGTATGAGCTTCCATGTCTGTGCGCAACAGCGGGAACTGAGAGAAATTACCTAGGTAGGCAGGAGCATTCACGGGTCATTTGTGGTCCATGGCCACCAGCCCAATGACGGACAAATTGAGCAGGTACCTCTCTCTGGTCACGACTGTGGGCTGGGGCTGCCGCACGAGTTGGGTTGAGGATGTTATTGCTTTCCTCAAAGATGTCCATCGAGACCGCGACGTGTTGGTCAACATTCCAAAAGACAGCCAGAATCTCCTGGCCTCAGGTCTTCGATTCAGTCCTCCAGTCATTTCAACAACACTTTCTCTTCTGATTTAACCACATAAAGTTCATCGAACGCTGTCAACCTCACCATGGAATCTGTTGAGAAGGACGCGCTCCCCGCCACTACGGAGACTACGAAGGACCATGACCTTGCCAATTCAAATCTATCCGATAGCAGGGCACTTGAGACTATTCGAGAGAGATACAGATCCCTCCCTGAAGAGCATGAAGGCATGCCGATCCCCCCAGTCACCCGGTACTTCCTCGCAATCCACGGCTTCGAAGGAACCGGCGCGCCCAACGTGATCAAATGCCCGTGCTGCGGTAAAGAGCCGAGACAGCGCTCCCTCGCCGATCCGAACCCCAGCCGGAGGAATTACTTCCAATTCCATTGGGCAAGGTGCCCTCGAAAACGGAGCAGCTGCAGCTGTGAAGTCTGTGGTATCGGGACTTCTTCCCGTGTGGATTGGCGCCTGCATCACCTGCGAGCACACTTTCCAGGCTTTGAGAACGAGGAGGGCAGGGGGCACGCTCGCGACAAGTCACCTCCGATCGTACAATACAATCCTTGCGGCGCCGAGGAAGTGGTCATCGCTGCTGTCTTTGACGCGGAGGAAGAACCGGGTTGCATGTGTGTCGTGGAGACCAGCAATACCATCCCTCGGGACGATCACGATCGGCTCACGGCCAATGGCGTAATGAACATCATCGTCAATGAGATACAGCAAGGAGCGCCAGAGCCTGTTTACGTCAGCATTGTGGCTTGCATGGAGGCGCACGAGTATCGCACGTTGTTATCGTTTGTTGAGGGGATCTAGTCTGGTATGCGCTTCTTCAACAGCAGTCACATTGAGATCCCATCATTGTTGAGTCAAGTTGATTAGATGAACTGTGGTCATTTGTATAATTCCATGCCTTGCAATTCTTTAGCTCCCCTTTCCTTCATTGCCAGCGATTGTCCCAGTGGATGAGCTCTTTGAATGGTCAGAAAGGCAGCCGCAACAACAAAATACCTACGAAATGAATCATCGCCACCAAAGAACTTCCAAATCATTGCCTGCTCTCTTCGATGTGACTCGTGTCCCCAATCCTCCCGCCTTATTCGGACCGTCCAGCGGAAGCCTCGCTCTCGCTGTGAACAAGTCCCAGGACCTGCCGCATCACACGCACGTTGGCCCGCAGAACATCGTACTCGGATCGGTCCATCAGGGCCGTGATGTTGTTCTCGATGGGCGAAGAGGTGCTCTCTTGTTCTGTCAAATGAGCCATGCTCCGTCGGCTGGGGATCATAGTCGACACCAGTTCCATTATCTGCGCCGCTGTCATCTGCCGGATGATACCCGCCGAATCGATCTCGTCCACAGAAGCAATCGAGATCGCCTTGCGCGTAGGATGGTAGGAAACCACTACGGTGACCTTGCTCGAGAGCCTTGAGGTTGGCTCCACGGAGACCACAGTCGTGGGTCGCACCAACGTGGATGGGCTGATCAGCTTGTCAGAGATCTCCGGTGAAGGCTGCAGGGAGATCACAGTCGATGATTGGGTCAAGGTCATCGGTTTGGTCGACTTGGGTACCTTGATGATGATCTTCAGTGAAGGCTCCACGGACACCACTGTCTTGGGCTGTACCAATGTCATGGGTTTGACATTGGGTGCTGCCTCGTTGGCCGTTTCCGGTTGGTCCCACGTAGGGGGCAGACTTGGGAGCAAATGTGCGCGCCATAAATGCTTTGTCCATTGGTCTCTGGAATACCCATCGACTTGACACATACGGCAGGATCTCTTGATTTGTTTGAAGAGACTGCATTGACTCTCGTGAAACTTCGTCGCGTCCCAATCCTTGGACTCGAGCAATTCTGCAGTCTGAGCGAAGGTAACTTTGCGCAGGCAGCAAGGGCAGCCCACTTCGTCGTTTGAGCCGAAATACGCGAGTCCACAGGCGGCCAGGATAAATACCCTTGCCGAACCGTAGTGCGCTAAATAAAAAGCACTCGATTCTTTGAAGCTTGCCAGGCGTTTCGCTACCGTATCATAGCGGCTCTTGTTTGGCCAAGATTCTCTCATGTACTCTCTGCTGTGGCTGAACCTGCGTCTGTGTGGGAACCGCTGATAGTTCGTGGCCTCTTCCCGAGAACGCTTGCCGAGAACGCTCTCCAATATGGCCGCTTGTGAAGGAAAAGCCATTCTTTCGTCAGCGATATGCAACGAATCTGCCTAGTCTCGCCCAGTTTCTTGAACAATGAGGATTTCCGAATTCCCGGCTGCTTGACTTGATGAATATTGACACTGATACTGGAGTCGTAAGGTCGGCGTTACTCCGATGGAATCGACCTTGCAGGACGAAAGGTGTCGATGGGTGGCCGTCGATGATGAGCAATGAGGAGGCCACACGCTGTGAAGTATCGTGACTGTGACGTACTGGTGGAGTTGATCTGAGCTGTGAATGAAGCGCGATAATAATCGTGAAAAGGGTCTGGGGAGGAAAGGGTCCACGATGTGATGAAGGAGAGCTAGTTCAGGCGAAGTCCTGGTCCTACACAAGGTAAGGGATTGTTGGCTGGCGGCGAGGGTGATTGTCTAGCCTAGCACAAGCTGTCCATGGGGATTTAATAGATGGCAATGTGGAAAGAATGGGAAGTTGGTAACTGGGCACTCATTCAAAGAGCACTTTGGCACTTGTGAGCTTGGTCCACTTCTAAAGAGCAGCAGACATCACATGTCCAAGCTGCAAACCAGTGCTGCCGGCCCCAACACCAACAATAGCACGTTGTAGATCATACAGGTTGAGTAGCGTAGTGGTTCAACGCGTCGCTTTCACACAGCGAAGATCGCAGGTTCGAATCCTGCCTCAATCAAGTGCTCTGCAATGATGATGTTTGCTCCCCTCCAGGGGTAGCAGTTTGTCTTCTTTTTTTGCCTGTGTCACAATCGACCCCTGCCACAACCCGGCCCTCCTCCACCTCACCCTCAGAAATACCTAGGAAACTCTTTTGTCCTCGTCTTCAGGATGCGTTTGACTTGGAACCAGCGTCAGTAAGTCTCGGCATAATCAACAACTGGGATGGTGATACTAACATCCACTAAAGCCTTGCGGCTTGTACGCCCTCTCCACGCCCTCCTGCCACGCCCGCACGCACCACACGCCGACCAGCGCATCCAGTAACCTGCGCGGCAGCGGCACCATCATCACCATCCTCAGCCGTCCCACGTTCTCGCCGACCTTGGCTCCCGTACCGCTCGGCCCGATGTCCCCGAGCGGCACCTCCTCGTCCTCCTCCTCGATCGCGACGACCGTGCCGAACGAGTCCCGCCACTCGAGCCGTCTGCGGTCCTTGCGCACGACGTCAAACTCGGCGAAGCCGTTGTCCTTCCGGACGGCCCTCCACCCGGACTTGAGGTGGTGCTCTTTCACGTGCGCGAGGCTCGTGCGCACCATGCCCAGGCTGCCGAGCGTCTGCCGCGACTGCGACCGGAGCTCGTACGCGAAACGGGGAGCCGTGACGGGCGGCGGGTGGCACAGGTCGTACACATGCTTGCCCCGCGGCGGCGCGACGCGCGGGGTCCCGTCGGCCGCGGTCCGGACCTTGTAGTCTAGCCGCTCGAGCGCGACAGACTGGTCGTAGTCGCCTAGGTCCGCGAGCGCGCGGGACAGGGAATACATGGCGGTGGGCGGGGCCGAGCCCGGCGCTGCGCCGGGCTGCTCGGCGAGGATGGAGCGGCCTGCGATGCCGAGGACGATGGGCTGGACGAGCTCATCCGGGTCGTTGGTGCTGCCAGCATCCTGGTGCGATGGCGGCGCGGCTGAGGTGGAGGATGACGGCTGGTATGGTGGGGGGTCGTCGCCGGGCGGCGGCGGCGGTAAAGGCTGGTCTTGTTTGGACATGGCCGAGTGTCGTAATGCAGGGGCACTGATGAGAGGACAGGACGATTGAAAGCACCAAATATTGCTATTCGAGGCGTGTAGAAGCCTTCTCTGTCATGTTTTTGTCGGCGATGCTTACGAGATGGTCCGAGGTGTCGTTGAAACAAAGCCGGCGGCTGAGGTAACCGTTTCAGTCTTGGTGGGCCTGCTTCGCCCACACACGACGTAAGACGTGATTGGCGTGAGGCTTGGCACAACAGCTTTGAGGACGAATCCCACAGGCTTTCCCTAGGTGCCTTGTCACGAAATATCTCTCCATCAGGTGCTTAGTGACTATTGTAACCCCTCGGAAGTGGGATTGCAGCGACAGTCAGCTTCTGAACTGGTGTGGAGATATCTTCCTCGAAGTCGCACACAGTCAAGCTTCATCGACGAACATATCCTGAGCCAAGACGATGTCCTTGGCATACTTGGCTTGCAATTCCTGGAGCTAACCTTCGGCACAACCTGTTCCAGCAGTTCGATTTTCATGGAACCTCACTTCCTTTGCCTGGGAAGATGTCTACTCATCGTCAGCAACACGTTGGATCGTACCAGCTCTCAAGATGCGTCCAAAAATGTAAATTCCAAATACCCTAGGCTTTCATAGCTCAAGGTTCAACTATCCCCCTTCATTTTGCCGACCCATCCCTTCATAGACACAACTGTGACTTGTCTGCTCTCCTCCAATTCCCAACCCTTCCCGCTTCTCCTCCTTCCTCTGCGCCTCCGATTCTCCTCCTCATCACCTAAGCCTTGTTTTTCTTGTCCTTGGACTTAGCCCTGGCTTTAACCTTGGCAGCCTCTGCTTCCTGGTAATTCCTAACCGCAATGATGTGACGGCAGTCTTCGCTCTTCCAGTGGTGAAGCTTGACAGGGTCAAATCCCTCCGAGTAATCGTTGCGGCAGATGACCACACTGCAATACGGGCATCGCAGGGTCTGGGTGTTGTCCGGGAAGTAAAAGCCGGCATACGCAACCTGCTCTGCCGAGGGGTGCACGTGATTCCAGCCACGAGTATTCAGCGTCCACAGGCGGCTGCCCTCATCTTTCATGTTTGAAGGCATGGTTGTCGAGATGGCCTCTGGCTATGGTTTATTGACTTCTATGTCGGAGACGTCCTTGATTGAGTATTGCTTTTTTTGAAAATGAAAAAGCTGTAGTCTTCGGGATCTGTTGACTGGATGCTGTTTTGCAAGAATGCTGAACCTCACCCGGGACACCGAACATTTTATAGACACGAGATCTCGGTGTTGAAAGCTCGTAGGTGGTTGTATCATGCAGTGAGGATGGACGACACGACTTCAAAGCGGTGTGAGACTCAGCGATTCATATTTGATACTCATAGTACTATCGAAAGTAGCTATTAGGGCTCTTCCGTGATACGCACATCCATGACACGCATCGAAACGATTCCAAACGCCCAAGAAAACATCCCAAAAAATAGTCAGTTTGAACTATGAGGTCCAACCATCAACACCTTGGAACTGGCACTTTCCCCTCCCCTCCCAAAACCGCATAATCCGCACTAGTACTTCCGAACGAAAAGGAAAACCCTCCCACATACGACCCATCTCAAGGCCGCTCAACAGCTAATTTTCTTGTTGCCGCTGCTGCCGCTGCCGCTGCTCTAATTATCGGATGCTACCCTCAGCGCACTGCTGATTCGTCTGCTGCTGCGCCTAACTATGAGGTGCTCAGTGTTTTTTCTTCAGCCAACCCTTGACATAGCGACAGTTTGGACGCTTCTCTATGTGGTATGTGTGCGGGTCGAAGCTTTTATCATGTGGGACAGCCACCAGCTTGCAGAAGGGGCACTTGACGTGCAGTTTATCTTCAAGCATGAAGAAGCCAGAAGAGCCTACCGCGGCGGCAGAGAGGGTCTCATGATGCCAACCCTGGAGAGTCATGCTCATGATGCGCTGCTCTTCTTGAAAGAAGAGTGAATCTTCATCGTTCTTCTCTGCCTCTGTGACGCGTACGGTCGCCATTGTGAATCGAGACGGGATTTGGCTTTGTTGACAGTTGTATGTCTTTGGTGGAAGATTCGTCAAACTCAGTGAATATGATGCTGAGGCTCTGAGAAAAGTTACATTTCTCCACAAAGGATGTTAGAGAGCAGTGCTTAAATAGTTCATTGCTACCTACAATGGTATGTGGTGAGGTCTCTCGATGAACTAGCTGGCACAGGTGTCACGGATGCTAGCGGTATTCTATGTTAGATCAGTACTTCATAGCTTCACCTCGCACCTCCCAGGGACACTCTCAGGAATCATCAATGTACTCACTACTCATAGCCACCATTCACTGCTGATATACACTCTGTTCAGAGGATTGCTTCCTTTGCAGATCCTATATAGTCCCAACATTCTGCAAATCCTGTGTCTCAATACCACCTCATCCATCATCCAAACAACTCCATCCACCTAATCGAACAAGACAGGCCGCGATCGTACCATCATCATGGAGTCAAACACTAACCTGCGCATGTCCTTGAGGGCTCGCTACAACAGCTTCTCGAATGGCACTCACGGATGGGGCCTGCATCCATCGGTCCGCTACGCGCTCGCCGTCGGTGGCTTTTACTTGCCGAGCCGCGACTCGGAGCTCGCCCAGTGCGTCGCCTGCCGGTCACTGATCCCACGAGCTGGCGCCATGGAGGTCTTCGACAGCGCCGCCTGGTCCTCGGCCTCGTACCACCACCCCGGCTGCGGATACGTCTACCAAGCCAGGAAGACCTGCACCATATGCGAGGTTGCCTTCTCCAGCGACCCGGAATGGCTGAGACATCACATACTACACCACATGACGCCCGATCTTGATGAGCCGGAGCCAGTGGAGACTACAGAGCCGCCGCAAGATCACATCATCAACCCGCCTCCGATCTCGCCTTGCTTCGAAGACAAGCCCACAACCCGGAGAGACCAGAAGCTGGCCGAGGCTCTCCACCAAAAGTCGAGATGGACCACCATGCAGATGCTACTCGTCGCTCTCGTCCTGATCCCCAAACTTGTGGCATGCACGGTCGCGGGCGCGCAGCTCCTCGGCTACGATCCTCCCATCTGGCTCGAACAAGCCTGCGAATCATTCTTCGAGATGTTCCGGCACGCTAAGCTCGTCGCCGAACCTGTCAAGACCTGGGTCGTGAGGCTTGCTAGTATGATGAAGCTGTTCCGCTCCATCCCGACTAAGACGGCACCCTAAGACGGCACATCACTGATGAATCGAGACCCGGAATTCTTGCTGACCAGTGTCCAGTTCTCGATGGGGGAACAAGCTAGTGCATTGCTTGAGTGGAGAACGGACAAAATGTTATCCTGAGGATGGGCGAGGCTTCCGTCCAGCTGGGAGCTTTGGCTGCTGTTGTACGGATCGCTTATCCAGAAGATACTCCAAGCTGTACGAGATTTTATGGCTTTCCCATTTTTATGACCTAGTATTCAATTATTTGCAGAAATCAAGCATTATTGGTATTGGAAGCAAGGTCTTTATTCCAGCTGGACGAAAGATCACCGTCTGCCCAAACGTGCCCTATGACTCAGTTCTGAACGGAAAACCAGCAGTACCCCTATTTCCATCGTCGCCCGTGTGGCTCACACTTATTTATCCCTACTTCCTCTGTAGGCTGTTGTCTTTGAGAATGGGAAGGGCCACTTCTGCTACCACACACCACTGGCCTGGACCTGACTTTCCTTTCACCATCCATCCCAAACAAAGCAACCAGCGCCAGTCTCGGCTATTATCATTTCACTCCATTCTCAAAGAGCCTTGACAAAAGACTCCAATTACCAGATAATTTTCTTGTCCACAGCCTCATTGATCCATTTCAACGATCCATTTAATCGTCATCACCTCACATCGAAGACCTCTCGAGCTCACACTCGAACATACCATGGGTTCCTTAATAGAAAGCCCCTACGCGAGCTTGATGGCCAGATATGACTCGTTCCAGTCTGACAGCTGGCCCGTCTCCCCGCTCAAGAGGTACATGCTCGCCGTCAACGGCTACCGCAGACGACCCGGTGGTGACTTGGTCGAATGTTTCGTATGCCTCACTTCGATAAACCGAGCGGCTATGGTCGAGGTATTCGAATCAACCACCTGGAGCTCAGCGGGACATCACTCCATCGACTGCCATTTCTTCCACAGAGATACTTTGAGATGCACGATTTGTCTGGTAGACTTCTTGTCCAGACGTGAATGGAGGGGACACCATCTGGAACGCCATGTGTTGCCCGACTTCACCGGCCTGAAGGCCCCAGAGCGTCCTTTGAAGGAGGAGGAAATATGCACTGATACAGAGACTCTGCAAGGCGGCGATAGTGGAAGCGGTGTAGCTGATTCCCGTCTCAATCCGGCAGCTGCTGCCGCCTCAGTCTTGGGAAAGCGAAAACACTCGGATTCTCCTCGCCCAGATAGAGAAGCATCCCATTCTGCGCAGTCCCTCCCCGTGCTCACGGTCATGGCCACGTTCAACCCCCTGGACAGAACCATCATGACTGCAACCGTCGACAACGTCGACTCTCAGAAGGAGATCCCATTGCGGACTGCGGCGGATGTGGTCCAGAGGCTCTGCCACACGGGCATGGAAATAACAAGTTCCGAAGTTCCGGGACGCGACTTGGAGATACTTGGAATGTCTGTGCTGGTGAAGATGACGCAGGACGAGTATTTGAACCTCAAGGTTCACGTCGACACGATCAGGCTCATGGCTCGGTCACGAGCTTAGGGGAGAAATAATCGTGCGAATTTACCTGGACTGTGTGGCTTCGTTTACGCGCTATGTACTCTTGTCCATGAGGGAGGCATGTCTCTTTGCTTTTCCTTCAATTCTTCTCGTACACATTGGTTTTGTTTGTTCCTCGGGCAAGGATTGATGGTATGGGAAATCCATGCGTATGAAATGGTTAGCAAAGTAGATACAATACATCAACTTGATTGAGATAGACACTTTATTCCACCAAGGTCATCTCATACTCAATAGACTCGAATGCGAATTATTTTCATCCCTATGTTCGCGCATGGCGAGGATAATTAATTCTAGAATATTGCGTACAAAACTTTCTTTGGTCCAGGCACAGATGTTCTCTGTTTCGACAGGTTGACGGTTTAGTCTCAGGCAACGCATAAAGATCCCAGTCCAGGTGATAATGGAACCATTAAAAGGCATGCTATTTTTTAAGGAAATCAAAGCTCAAGACTTTATTTTCTACATTCCAGTGTCTCGTGATGAACCCAAGTAAGGTCGGTATGGGCCAATTTGAAAATGCAGTACATGTGTTCAAATGAAGTTGAGCGCGTACAAGGTCTGCTGGCCAATCCCCTAGTCAGGCTGCCCGAACGGAATAAATCCTCCTATCTCAAGTCCAAACGCCCTTGAAAGCATCAACCCAGGTTCGGAGAGCACTGTACTCAGCCCGGGTCATCAATGCCTCCACCGTCCTGTTGTTCTGTGACTCTCGGGCAATCGCCGGAAATTGACTGCTACCGCCGGATTGCGGCTGCGAAGTTGCAGTGCTCTCTGGAGAAGTCACTCGCGTAAACATCTGCAGACCTGTGAGGACAGGCAGCTCTCCCATTGTATCCGGATCGTCGACGCATCTGACGTTGAGCAACTTGCTGCTGGAGCTGTAGGAAGCCGTGACGAGGACGTGGTCGGAAGGTTCAATCGAAGCCACAAGCATTGCTTGTGTCTGGGCGAGTTCGGACTGCGGCTGCGCGTCAATGAAATAGATGTTTCTGCCACGAACAATCAGCTGCTCGTACTCGTGGTTGTTGCCACTAAGTTTGAGCAGAGGGCCGACATGTGCTTGGACGACATGGTTTTTCCATATGTCAGTGGATTCCATCTGGATACCACATGGTTTGCAAGACAGAGCTTGCGCAAATTGGCAACCATACTCATGCAGTCCGCTGACATGCAGGGCTCGACCAAAGGGAGAGTCCTCTTGGCCTGGGACAACCTTACAACATTTCACGCAGGCAATGACGGCCTGGGCATTGCGGTGGTAGCCCCTGAGAGCAAGGAATAGCCTCCTCGTCTGGGATGCCGGCGACTGGCCAAAGCTGTGATAACGCTGCTCAAAGGAAAGTTTGACCTCGCTGTTTTGAATAGACCGTTCCCCCAAAGGCGTTACTGTGCTTTGAGCAGGGACAAGATGCTGAGGTTCGCTGCACTCTCGAGGCTCCACTGTCCTGGGGGCGATCTTGGCGGCCAAAGACTGCGCAGGACGCGGAGCGGGCGCCTCGCCCTTCTTGCGCGCCTCTCGCAGCGAGGACTGCGCAGCTCTAATGGCCCGATCAAGTACGAGAGTAAGCCTGCTGTGCTCCTCCCCGATGACCTGTTTGGCCTTGGTCTCAATCTAGCTCCGAGTCAGCAGTGAAGGATCTGTTAGGGCATAGTGGACCTACGGCATAGACAGCGTCGGCGGCAGCAATGGCGGTCTCCAGATCCGGGATGACCGAGAGAGGGAGCTATCACAGGGTATCAGCAGGTGAGGCATAGCAGCGGAAGGAGTGCAGACATACACGGACACACGAACGGTTGCCGGCCGCACAGGCCACGCAGCGTATTCCAGAGCCTCCGAACATAGTTAGAATGTGGTAGTGGAATAGATAAAGGCAATACGCACCCTCAGTCTCCTCACATCGGAAACCGGCAGTGGGTGCCTTGTTCCTATTGCCATCCCACGCGGCAGCGAGGCGCGACACGCAGGAGGCGCACCAGGCTGGCGCCGCACGGGGCCCGAGCGAGGCGACCTCTTTCTCCTCACCACTCGCCATATGATCGGATTTGAGAATGAGTCTGCGCATCAACGGCGGAGCGGTAATATCGCGACAAACGCAGTGGGCAACGGCGGGCGAGACAGCAGGAGTCTTCGTGTTGTCGCGATGGGGCGATGCTTCCCGTAGGATTACTTTCGGGAGGAGTGGACTATTGGATATCCAACCCAATCTCGTACCGGAGTTTCTGTGAAGAACTTCGGGATCAGGGAAGCGAGGGAAGAATCGTTCGATTCTGTCGCCCAAAAGTCAGTTTTCATCCGTCAGATTCCCATATTTTGATCACTTACACTTCGCCACCTCCTTACACTCTTCGAGACAAGTAATTTATCGATACTTGCAATTGGTCAACCATGTATTAGTGTTTTGGAGTGGCGATGAGGTATTGGTCATAGAAGAGAAGGAAAGGTGATATTTGGGTGAAACAAGTCGATGGGTGCGCGTCGTCCTATGGAGGTGGACGCGAACTTGAATGTTAGTCACTCAGCTATCAGACGAGTCCCGCGCTTTCGGGTCATTCGCTTCTTAAACAAGGTCCATCGCGCTTTCCAAATTATTTCGAATAGTTTAGGTTCCGGGACATCCCTTACAGTTCGTACCCCGACTTGTCAATCACGAGAAGGATAACCATATGATGGCGACTCAGTGCGGCGGTCTACACTTCACCAGCGACACCAGGTCAGCATCCACTGGAGCGCAAGCGGCGACATATTGCACGATGGTATTTCGTATCGATAAGTGAATTTTACACTTCTATCTAAGTAGACTCAACTAGGACTGAGTCAATGTCAATCCATGCAGATTGATCAGCAAACCCTCTCCCTTATTTCCATCCATTAGCCTGACTTTAGGCTTGATGCAACCATGCTCGATCTTCATACCAGAATCCTCCATCATCTTCCACTGAAAGTTCCCTAGTAAAGCAAACCTTGAACAGCAGCAGCCCACATTCGAAGTGTGTCAAACTCTGATCGGGTCATCATAGTGACAATGCGCGAGTTCTTCTTTGGCAGAGGGAGAGACTCGTCTTTCGCCGTGGTGGTATCAGTTGGCTGAGTCTCCATGCGGGTCATTCGCGTAAAGACCTCGAGCGCAGTGAGGATGGGCGTGACGTGTGAGAAATCCGTCATTTCGGTGATAGCCAAGGTCTTGTCGGCAGCGTCAAAAGAAGCCACTGCGAGGACGTGACTCGACGGCTCGATCGAAACAACGGTGACGACTTTTGACAGGGAGAGGTTCTTCTGTGGCGAAGAGACTGCGCTCTGTCCAAAAGGCTGTTGTGACATTGGAGGAAGGGGGGCCGCCAAAATGTTTATGAGTTGTGGAGTGTGCTGTGGGCGAGCCGGTGCCGGTGCCGGTGCCGGGGAGACTTGAGAGAGTGGCTTGCTCGAGAGTTGCGAAAGTTCGTGGCTGTTTCCTACAAGACGAGGCTCAAGGTGGGCGGAGAAGACATGCCTGCGCGCCAGGCTTGCTGAAACTCCATTCAACTCCTTACAGATACCACAGATCGTCTTTCCGCTGAGAAACTGACAGTCCGGCCCATGGAATTCCTTCCATGGAGTGTTCTCCGAGTCAAGAACCTCATCGAGCTTGTTACATTGCAGGATTGCAGAGCAGCCAGAGCATTCCACACCGTCGGCACACCTACGAAATCCCAAGGTGGCAAGGTAGATTCGTTGAGCCTCCGAGTGCGGCCAGCCTCTACACGGGAAGGATTGGTAGCGTAGTTCGAGCATCGAGTTCTCCCACATTCCGATCGCCTTTTGGGTTGGCTGAGAATCGCGAGCACCAGTGCTATCATTCTTCAAAAAATTCGCGTTCTCCTTGAAGAGGTTCATGTCCTCCTTGAACTTGCTCATGTCCTCGTTGAACTTGTCCTTCAACTTGCTCATGTCCTCCTTGAACTTGCTCATGAAGTCGCTCGTGGTATCCTTGAAAGGATTTGTGTGCTCCATAGACTGATTCGAGAATGCCTGGAAAGGATTTGCGCTGTCATTACCAGTCGCGGCGCTGCTGGCAGTGGTAGTGGTTGACGGAGCGGATGCACTGGTGGCAGCCGTGGATCCAAGGAAAGATCCAAAGAGTTGCGGATTTTGAGGCTCCATCTCGGGAATTTGAGGCACCCGAGATGTCTGAGATAATATCCGAGAAGTGTGAGAAGTCGGAGGGACGTGTGAGCATCGAGCGGCGCGCAATCGACGACGTCGGCGAGAGTTGGGATTGCCCTTGTCCCCACGCTGGCAGTTCGCCAGGTATCGATCGGAAGAGAAACGAAGACTTCACATGTCCTCTAGAAGTGGAATCAGGACGGGCAAGGGTTGTGGCCGAGTTCGTTGGTGCAGCTTCGACGCGCGCGATTTGTTTGTGAATGAGGGAAGGGAGCTTTGACAGCCCGAAATTGCAGCTCGGCAATTTGGGTGTCAAGAAAAAGGGAGTTGAGAGTGACGGTTTTGAATCATGAGCTGCCCAGGTGGAGTGCACCTTTTTCAGTGCGAGGAGAGAAGATGCAAAGTGGGGGGAGATGTTTGGTGAATTATCTAAAGTACCTAGGTACCTAAGGCAGCGGCAGCCTCGCCCTGCTATTAACTACCTAGGTACTCGACTGGCCCGACCGCTCGACCAAGTGTCTCCCTGTATTTTACATTGCCTCGCAGGGAGTCCCCAATTCACCTTTTTGAAAGTCTGAACAGTGACTGCCCTCGCCTTCGTATCTGTGATAAGCAGCATTTTCTTGATCATACCAAGCTGGTCGCTAGTCTTAGTCTACTTGAGCTTGTTTCCATTCAGGCGGAATATGGAACAGAGAGCCTCGAACTCCTGGCAGCTCATCACCGCCACCATGGGCTCCATCGCAACAGGTGCCTTGGGTAACTCTGCCGCGCCCCTCCAGAAGAGACGCTTCCTCTCTGTCTGTCCGTTGTTCATCTCCGCCGCCTGGCGAACCGCCATCTTGTCTTTCATCGCCGAGGCAGACAGCTTGGGAAGGCCGTTTCCAAAGCCGGCATCGATGTTGGCTCGAATGGTGACCTCCTTGGTAGCAGGATCGCATGTGGCAACAACAACCACTTCGCCAGACTGAGACGACACGTGAGCTCGCTCGAAGCGCAGCTCTTGCATCCGTGCGAGCTCGGCGGCCATGATAGCGACGAGACGCGTCTTCTCGGCGTTTTCTTGTTGCGTGCTGATAAGCTTGTCCTCGTGCACGGCCTGTGTTCTCGCCAGCTCCGCCTCGTGCTCGCGCTTCAGCTCGCCGATCGCCTTGTCGTGAGCACCCTTGAGAGCTTCCATCTCTGCCTGGTGAGCTGCGATGCCCTCGGTTGCGTTGCTGGCCAGCGGCGGCTGCGGAAGGATTTGTTTACCGGACTCGCTGTTGTTGTTCTCACCCGCATTGTGAATCGCGGTAAAGTAATCCGTAGTGGAATGGTGCGCGGTTCCAGCAGGAGTCTTTGGCGGGGAGACAATAGTTTGCGGAGTGCAGGGCATGGAGGTTCCAGGAGACATGCAGCCCTCCCAAAAACGCTTCAGGGGGTTGATGGGGTCAGCAGCCTCCCACTCGGCAATCCTGGATTCGATTTCGGGCGGTAGGGCGGGTAGTTTCTGCGGTCCCACGACCATCTGGAATACATGGTCCCTCGCCGTTTGCAACAAGATTTCGCAGTTCCTCGCCTCAGGCTTCATCCTCTGAACCAGGTGGGCCACGAGAGCATGCTCCAGCATGGCTTTCCAGTCCGCGCACTCGTGTTTGCATGTGAAGCACTTTAGTGAGCCTGTGCGTTTCCAGTAGCAGCCCTTGGCGTGGCGCTCGCTCAAGATGTTTCCCTGCGCCACCATCTCTAGTTCTGCCTGGTGGAATCCTTCGTAGCAGTGGCCGCATCGTACAGTGAAGTGATCATAGTCATTGGTCAAAGCCAGGGAGTCTGGTTCGTGATAGAATCCCGCAAAGGCCAGGATGCAGTTGGGAACAAACGCGTGGACTGAGCCGAAGTTGTTGAATGCGTTCAGCCTGTTTTCAAAAGACTCTAGCCGAGCTTCAACGTAGTGATGCACGCGAATGTGGGCGGTGACCTTGTCACTCGCAGTTGTTGCGGCCGACATCTTATGGGGCATGCCCGGGTTGATCGCTGCTCCGAGGTTGCTGGACTTGAGCTTGCGCGGAGAGAAAGAGCGGAAGAGAAGGAAATTGAGAGGGCGATGAGGTGGAGTTGATGCTGTCAGTGCAAATGAAAGTTTTTGTCGGGCTATGACTTCAGTTCCTGAATCAAATCATGATCAGACGAAGCTGAGTGGCGTGGAACTTGACTGTGGACTGACTAATGTTGTGCAAGCCCTCCCGTTTGCCCATTTCCCGATCGGCAAGATTTGCAAGGGCAAGGTTCAGCGTTCTGGGAAGGTCTTGGGACAGGAAGAAGGGACTAAAAAAAAGGAGAAGGAAAAAAGAACGAAACAGGCAGAAGTTCGGGATTCAACTAAACTTTATCTACCACTGTTTGTTGTCAGAGGTGGCACCTGCCTACCTGGTGTCTCCCCTTCTTGTGGAAATCATGTTGCGCATCTTGAGGCTTGCCATTCCCATTCCTTTTCCCAGCGAGAGGCCCCAACTTCAATTCCACGGCATTCTGCATCAAGTCCTCCCCATATTGTGCCGGCCAAGAATAAGTGCAAAATGTGAACCTTAAAGCCCACCACTAAAACCCCGGAGGTACCAGGCCGTCGTGCCCTATATCAATGCAAGCCCATCGCCAATGCTCCCGACCTGTATATCCTCCATGGTCAGCGATACGTTATACTTTTAGGCTCCTTGTATAGCTTACCTTCGATGGTCACCTAACTAACACCCAATGTTCACGTAACGTGTATTGTATTCCCTTGGGTTCTCAGGAATTGTTCCCCTCGACTCTAACGCCGTACATGGCGCGGAACGCGTGCACGTAGTCCACGAGTTTCAGGTACTCCCCCCTCCTCATGAGGGCTGTCAGGGTTGTGTGTACCGGCCTTCGGATGCCTGCATCGTTCTCCTCCTGCGGGCTCCATCCACGCACCGGGGCGATCCTGCGAATGGCCTCCAAGGCAGTAAGACGTGGGACTTCCTCGCTGTGCTCAAGCTCCTCGACCGCTGCAACTGAGGTATCCTCGCGCTCCCAGTTGTAAGTGATGACAGTGACGACGTCTTCTGGGACGGTCGGCTCGAAGGACACCACAGTCGAGATCGCTGTTTGGGACAACTTAGTGAAAGTTGTTATCTTGGGAGGAATTGGCTCGGGGGACTCGGATGGCTGGTAGTCAGAATCTCTATTCCTCTTGCGGGGACGTCGTCTTGCTGGGGGTGGTGGTCGTTTCGTTCTGTTGCTCACGAGCGGCAGAGTCGCGTAACTATCGATCTCGTCGCTGCTTGTTCCGGCATCCTCGTGGTCAGGGGAATATTTCGCTACTTCCTCGCGAATACTCATATGAATCAATTCGTCATCCATTGCAGCTTTTGCCATGAAAGTGAGTGAGTGACTGCTGTTTTTGTTTAATCAGGATGAAGTTTTCGAGCGATAAGTGAAAGGAAAGAGAGGCAGTAGTTGAATAATGCTGGTGTCTAGGTTGAATCGGGATATGGAACAAGTCGGTCATGACATGGTGAAGATGGGGAGGGGATAATGGATCGATGTATGTCTAAGGATAGAGAGAAATCTGAAGACTAGCAGCACATTACACCATGGAGAATGAGAAAGAACTGGCATGACGAGTCATTTGGGATATTACTCGGGGTGCCACTTTTGTCTTTTATCATGTAAGGACTACGATTTTGAACGCAGAATCAACTCTAGGGCTCCTCTCGTCATACTCCTCAATATCGACGCTTGTCCCCAGCCGCAAACCCACAGGCCCGAAACGAGCTCCTCTGCCCGCGCAGAATAGTCCTCAGACTGCGGATCATTCGCACGCTTTCCATGAAACCAGCCCCGTGCATGGTCGACGTCAATGCTCCCTACCATGCCGTCTTTTGAGATATCGTCTTCATACAGCGCTAGTAGATCATATTCTGACTCCCGCTGCTATGGTGCGCGTGAATGAGTGTTCGAATCTTTGATTCCCATCCCTCAGGACCTCAAGCTGTTGGTACACCGGCAACTCTGCTTCCTCAGACCTGCATCATGCTTACAAAACGAATGTACGTTTGCAGGTTCTCGAACTCGTCTCGGGTCATAAGGGCGAGGATCGAACTCAGTCTTGCCACGCCCGGTATATCATCTCCCTCACGCGACTCCTTGCCGCCCTTGACCAGAGAAAATTTTCGGATAATCTCCGAGGCGGTGAGGCGTTGGGGGCTTTGCTCCTCGTAGATCTGCTCAACCGAGATAACCGTGATGGTCTTCCGATCCCAGTCGTAGGATACCAAAGCCATGATATCATGCGAGGGCTCTGTAGACACAACAGTTGTAGCACCGAGCTGAGATAGCTCAGGTGTGCAAGGTTCGATTTCGTGTTTTGGCGAAGGAGTGAGGGACGCCACAGTTCTCGGTGCGACATGCAAAGTTTCGGGAAGATCGTTCTTGGACTTTTTGACGGGCAAGGAGCTGGTGGACACAAGTGACCCTGATCGCTTCAGATCCGTGCGCTTTCCCAGGGAGCTCACTGTAGAGGGTTTTGAAGTTGCTTCCAAGATTTGACTGCGTGAGAGAATGACGGATATCATATGCTGGTTCGTCATGTGCGTCTTCCAGCCTTTCCAACCCCGAAATGTGACTTCGCAGTCATGGCATTCCGGATCGCCGCAGGTGAAGGCGCAGCCCTCGCAGTGGTATCCTGTCAAGTCCCAGTCCGATGAAGCTACCAGATCGATTAGAGCTTCGCTTTCAATCCCCCTGAGGCAAGAGACGCAGGTGATCGGACGATCCTTGATGTAAACGAAGCCGGCACATGCTAGGAAGTATCGCACACTCCGGTTACGTGGCCACGCCGCCTGGCGGAACGATTTGTGCCTGGCTTGGATAGATGTGTACACGGGAGATATGGTCTCGTGTATGAGCGGGAGAGGTTCTGGTATGGCAGGTTCCGAGTACTTAGAATCTGAAGTCATGATGGAGGCGGTTTGATGTAGTGGAGGCTCAGAAGAATCGACTCGTTCGTGACTTTGTCAGTGCGATACTGACACCTTGCTGGGGTCTTCAGATGAGCTCTGAAGATAGCTATAGGCTGAGATTGAGAATTTAACACCCGCGATGACAAAACATGGCCTTGATCTGAAAGGCTTTACGGTGTCGAAATTTAGTCTCGATAAAAGGTTGGTGGTGGGGTAGCTGTGAAGAAAAGATTTTGAGAGAGAGACAGAGGGGAGTGGCAGAAGTCAAGAGATTGGGCATCCCGCTTTGACTAAAGGTTTTATCACTCAGAGATGAAAAGGCATATTTGGTTTTAAGCTGAGCTGCTGGTAAGGTGTTCTGACGCGGCTAGTCTCTCCTTGTCAACCACAAATCCTCACGTGGATTCTGCTTTCATCTCATACTCTACTTGCGGTAACATGATTTGCATTCTTGTAAAAGACCCTCAGTTCACACCATGCACTGGTTCTTGACCCACAGGTCCCGAAACAGAACGTTCCACCAGCGATGCCATCCTCCCGCTCTCCTTGTCAATTTTGGCAAATATGAAGGCCTCAAAGCTCATATCCGCCCCGCCAACCTTCATCATGCCTGTTACGTGGGCCGCCAGCTGATCACCGTCTCGGAGGAATTCGTGGCTATGGAGCTCGAAGAGTCAGCTTCCAGCTCGGCTATCCACAAACAAGAGAGAGAAAGAAGCGCCTACAGAGTCGCCTTATAGTCGGTGATCGTCTTCCTCCACTCGGCAAGTCCCTTGACGAAGTCGTCGTACGACAGCTCCTTGCCGTTTAGAACCTCGTGGAAGGTGGGCACAGTGATGGCCTCGGCATAGAGCCTGGCCTCTTCCGGCGGGCCGTTAAGGCTCCAATTCAGGGCTTCCTGGAAGCCTTCGCGAGTGGACGTGTATTTGGACATGGTCGCCAAGTCGAGAGAATGAAGAGGGTGGTGTGAAACGGAGAGAAGATATTTGTAGAGCGATGGAAGCAGAAGATGCAAATATTTATGCACGTTTGTAGGAAGTCAGCACTTGCAAGGACAGAGTGGGAGGCTATTGGATTGGTCAGATCGGACGTGGGACCCAGTGGGATTCGGCGGTAGGAACGGGCCCAAAGGGGAAACGTGGTCGGCTGTCGACTACTTGTTCCTCTTTCTGCACTAGATCTGACTGGTGAGTATCGACTGGACACGCAGGTTGTCGGCAGCCTTCTTGAAAGGATTGATTGTGGAGGAGTATAAGGCTCTAGCCAATCGACACACCGTCAAGTGGGGTGTCTGAATGGTTGCGGAAGTTCATCAGGAGCTACCTCAATCTTAACAATCAATATCCTTGTCACATCCTTGCCCTAAGAACTCGGAAGGGCTACTCCACTACCTAAATCCGATGGGCTTGATAGATAGCCAAGTACTTCTGTTAGCAGTCCGTCAACTAATCTGACCATCACTTGACCGCTTACCTCACGAGGCCTTTTAGAAGAGAGGATCTATATCGGGCCGCACTTGAACCTGGCGCCGGCACGCTAGATGTACTTGTACCATAGGCATCTTGCTTGACCGCCTGTTGGAAGGATTATGGGCCAAGCCACCGAGCAATCTTGTGGCAGAACCTCCGAACAGTCAAGGCTCGAGGCCCGCCCGACACGCGAAAAGAACATCATCGTCACGAAGGAACAGTTCCGTCTCGCGGTCTCCATGAAGTCGTAAGAGCGGCTCTTGAGCCCCCAACCCCACACTTGGTTCCTGATGCGGCGATCCGACCTTCTCCACCCCCACACTGCCGCGCTAAGAAGCCAAGTGCCAGACGGTTGGTGGGTGATTTCTTCCGGGGAAGCGCGTGATATTCCATCAATAGGATTGAGAGCCTTGGCCCCAGCCCTCTCCAACACCAGCCTTAAACCATGCAGACATCTGGGGAAGCTCCAGCTGAGTCCTCATCAAACCTGAAACGAAGTTAGCCTGAAGTCGAGCTTTGAGCCCAAGGTCCATTGATAGGCGGATCTCCTACTACCACCACCAGGTCCACAGCTTGGCCACCAAGTTCGCACTCGGAGAATTTCCCCAATCTCGCGTAATGGCCGCTGCAAGGTATAAAAGTATGAGCTCAATGGCCTCTTCACCTCACCCACCTCAAGCGGCACTGCTTTCAGCATCCACATTGTCAACATGAGGTTCTCAACCGTCTCGGTCCTTCTTTGCGCGGCCGTTGCGGCGGCAGCCCTTGAGCTTCCCGCCGGTGTGCCTCGGTCACCTTCTGAGTTCAGGGAGAAGCACCCGTATAAGCCGCGCAAGGTCTGCGCTCGCAAGACTATCAAGATCCGGGCAAGTGCCAACGATACCGACGACGTGGCCAACGAGTTCCTACAGGGTCTCAAAGACGCCAACAATGGCGGCACGGTCTACCTGCCCAAGGGCCATACCTTCATGATTGGCAAGCCTCTGGACCTGACCTTCCTGAATGACGTCCACGTCAGGCTGGACGGAGAGATCAAGTTCACCAACGACACAAAATACTGGCAGGCAAACGCCTATCATCATCCCTTCCAGAACAGCATCATGTTCTGGAAGTGGGGCGGCAAAGACGTGAAGATTTACGGCCACGGAGTGCTCAACGGGAACGGCCAGCGGTGGTGGAACGAGTTTGCCGGTCTCGAAATCCTGGACCCGACCAACGCATACTTACGACCGATCCTGTTTTACGCCGAGAACGCAACCAATCTGGATATTGAAGGAATCCACTTCAAGGACTCTCCCTGCTGGACCAACTTCTTCGTCACTTGTGGGTCGCAGATCCCAGACACTGTATGAAGGAGGCTTGCTAACCTGCTCTACAGCAAAGGGAATTTCCCTTCGCGACGTGATGTGCACCGCCGAGTCCAACAACGCCACTGCGCTTCCCAAGAACACTGATTTCTTCGACTCTCTGAATGTCGAGGACGTCACTGTCGAGCGCGCCTGGGTCAACATTGGTGACGACTGCTTCTCCCCCAAGTCCAATGCCACCAACATCTATGTCAACACCATGTACTGCAATGGTGAGTACCTCATTCACGCCAGATTTTCCAGAGATGAAGCTAACAGGCTATCCCAGGCACTCATGGCCAGTCCATGGGATCTATCGGCCAGTATGGCGGCGAGAAGAGCTTCATCCGGGATGTCCACATCGAGAATATGTGGATGCTCAACGGTCAGCATGGTGCCCGCCTCAAGACCTGGGCCGGACAGAACGTGGGCTATGGGTTCATCGACAACATCACCTTCAAGAACTTCTGGAACGCAGACAACGAGTACACAGCGTTCCTTGACTCATGCTACTTCAATGTAAGCCATATGCAAATGACCTCCTTTCGCTAGTGTGAATACTGTCTCTGACTAGTGGCATCTAGATCAACGCGACGACCTGTGCGAAATATCCTTCGCAAGTCAATATCTCGAATGTTCTGTTCGAGAACTTCACCGGTTATACATCAGGCAAATATGGTCGTGTCGTTGCCTCGTTGACCTGCAGCTCCAACCCTAATGCGGTCTGCGAAAACATCAAGTTCAAGAACTTCAACGTCACTTCTCCCTGCGGAGGCCCGCCGGTGATCATCTGTAACAACATCAAGGGTGGTATCGGTATGCCCTGTGTCGACTCCACCAGCGCTGAGGCAAAGGCCGCACTAAAAGACAAGTGCAAAGTTCCGTTGGCTGTGCTCCCAACGCCAACGCCGTGGTAACGAGCAAGCGCGAAGGTGCTTGACTCTGTGAATACCATATTGTCAGGAGTTTAGCATCGGAAATCTTACTTGCATAAAGGCAAAAGGATTGACGTGTGGATATGGTAATAGAAACGCAACCTAAAAATAACCTTGCAATCCATTCCCAGATCAAACCGTACTGTCTTTGCTATTGCGTATCCTGGTTGCCGCAAGCGACGTCGTGGCTCCCCGGGTAATCACCTCATGGAACGTATCTTCCGGCCCGCTGGTAATTTTGGTAGATATTATCACAATCTAACAGACGAGTGGAATCCAGGGAACTCGCTTACGCTTTTCCCGGGTTCGACGGCCCAACCGCCTGGTTATGAGCTGATCATTGACAGACACAATGTAAGTGATAATTACAAGGTTCGACGTATATATGCTATCCAGATCCGCCTCCTCGGTCAATCGCAGACGGGCGAAAACTTGAACTCTATCCAATGACCTCAAAATGGCGTTCTCATGGAGTATAAGCCTCGCTTTATTCTGCATTCTGCAGGCTCTTCCAGTGCTCGGCAATCCGAACTGCCCTGTCTATGGTCCGGAGTTTCCCAAACCCCGTAATCTGGCGGAGGGTGAGGCATGGAAAGCAGCGATGAAGAATCTCTCGGCCACCTTTGACTCTGTCGAGGCAGGTGGCCAGAATTACTCCTTCTCTGTCCAGGTCTTCTCCACCAACCCAGGCCCGCCGATCCTGTTCGAGAGGTTCCATACAGCTGACACCATCCCTTCCAACACAACGGGAGTCAAGAAGATCGATGCCGCCACAGTGTACCGGATCGGTAGCGTCACAAAGCTGTTCACCGCACTGACCTTCCTAGCCGAGGCCGGAGACAAGCATTGGAACCAGCCCATCACCGACTTCATCCCCGAGCTGGCCGAGATGACTACCGCGGATCCATCTCGCGGGGGCGTCCGTTACGTAGACTGGAGCGACGTGAATGTCCTGTCGCTGCTGTCGCAAATGTCGGGAATTGAGCGCGACTGTAAGTTAATGCCTGCGTGGAAGGGCGGCCCTGATTTTCGTGTCGGGTCCTCGTGGAACAAGGCACTGACTCTGCTATTAGACATGGTCCTTGGGGAGGTTGTTGGCTCAATAAATGCATCCGATGCAATCGCCATGGGATTCCCGCCGTTGGCTGCGGAGCCGCCGTGCGGCAAGAATCCTCTTTGCAACCGGACTCGTAAGTGCCATGATGCGGAGGAAAGACATTTAGCAGGCCTGACATGTTACTCAATAGAGTTCTTTGAGGGAATGAAAACCATGTATCCTTCCTTTGCTCCCTGGACGACACCGGCCTACTCCGACATCGCATTCCAGCTCCTGAGCTATGTTCTGGAGAACATCACTGGCCGCCCATTCAACGTGTCCCTGGCCGAGAAGGTCCTAAAGCCGCTTGGTCTCTCACACACATTCCTCCAGGGGGCTAACGAATCTATGGGTATCGTGCCTCGTCTGTCCGACAGCCGCTCTTGGAAAGTGCATATTGGCGATCTCAACCCGTATGTTCTCTCTCCAGATGACCTGTTTCTCGTTGACCACATTTTTCGGGATCAAGAGACTGAATTTACTAATCATGCTTGGTGTCATAGCTCGGGAAACATCTTCTCGTCGGCAGGTGACATGTCGAAGTTCGGGATGGCAGTTCTGAATTCGACCCTCCTCAAGCCATTGCTGACGCGTCGGTGGTTGAAGCCAATGTCATATTCGTCCGACATTGTGGCGGCGGTCGGTGCACCATGGGGACTCCGTCGGCTGCACCTCAGCAGCGTGAACCCGCATCGAACAGTGACGGCGTTTACGAAGGCAGGTGGAGTCGACCCCTACTCCGCGCTGCTGACGATTATCCCAGAGTTCAACATCGGGTTCACGGTTCTCATCGCAGGGGGGGATACAGCGGGGCTTATCTGGAAGTTCATCGACTATCTCACGGGGGCGGTGATCCCGGCGCTCGACGCGGCGAGTCGTGAAGATGCACGGGCGAGGTACGGCGGAGAGTACCGAGCCGAGGGCCTGAACTCGTCTCTGACCATTGACACCGACCCCAGTAAGCCTGGACTGGGCGTGTCAAACTGGCTGAGCAACGGGACCAACATGATAGTATCGGCGTTGGAGACACAAAGCGGCATGGCCGTTCCATCCGAGCCCAACGCCCTGAATTCCACCCAGCCATCCACTCGCCTGTATTTTACCGGTCTCGAATCGCCTTCTGCCAGCGGAAAGGTGTTGCAGTCCTTCAAGGCGATCTTCGAAACTCTGGGCGGGCCTTCCAATCCTGGAACTGGCATCTCGACCGACTGCGGGACTTGGATCGGATACACGGGCGTGACATACGCTGGTTTGCCTTTGGACGAGTTCATCTTCGAGCTTGACTCTGCAGGAGACGCAACTAGCGTTACTAACCTAGCTCTTAACGTTACCTTGATTAGGATCAAGAAATAAAGAGGAAGAAGAATGCTGGCCCTTCCTACTTTGGAAAGAAAGCATGGCAAAGTGTCGTTATGGAAAAGTTTCACCCTATACTGCGTATCTGGAACCTACGTCAAGGCCCCTCAGAGAAGAGGCGCAGCAAGCCCGTCACCTCTCATGTCGCTCCCAGCAGAGTACACCCGCTGTCCGTCGACCGGGTCGTGATGCACCCTGATGATCTGCCCGCGCCCGAACAGCGATCTTGCCATACCCTTGACATACTTGACCTCGTATCCTATCGACTCGAGCCCTCTGGCTACGTCTTCTGTGATACCTTCTTCCAGATATACAGCGTCGTCAATCTTCTTGCTCGGATCAGTGGCTTTGCCCGGTATGTTGATACCGACACAGATCCTCGGCGCATCGAGCGCGACCTGTGGGTTCATGTCAAAGAGCAGCATGTTGAGCAGCACCTGCACGTGGCCTTGCGGCTGCATCGCACCACCCATAACGCCTAGAACGGTGTGTAGTGTGCCGTCGTCGGAGTTAGTTACAAGGGCCGGGATAATGGTATTGTATGGTCGCGCCCCAGGTGTGTAAACGTTGTGGCGTTTCGGATCCAGATGAAAGGCAGTGGCGCGATTCTGAAGCACGAAGCCGGTTCCCTTGGCGCCGATGCGGCAGCCAAAGAGGTCGGCGACACTGTTCACAAGTGAGCAGGCGTTGCCGTCTTGATCCGTCACGGCTAGATAGATCGTGTCGCTGGTTCTCTTCAGAGTTGGCGAGCCATGATCTGGAGACGGTGTCGCCTTCTCGGGATCGAAGAGTTTGGCTCGCTCGACTAAGTAGTCCGGGTTGAGAAGAGCCTCGGGACCAACATCCATGTTATTAGGGTCTGTGATGAACCAAGCGCAGTCGGCGAAGGCTATTCGTAGAGCTTGGATAAGGGCATGAAGATATCTATCCTTGGTGAGTAAGTAAAAGGTTGTTGTCAGGTTTGAAGGGATGTGTACATACCTGGGAGAATTGTGGTCTCCTGGTGTAAACTTGGAGATCTTGCCATCCCTTTCCCACTGTTGAAAGAGACCAAGAGCCATTTGGGCTACGAGTCCCTGGCCGTTGGGGCCGTGCTCCCAAAGATCAAGGTTCTTCCCATCACACCCGAGCATCGGGCTTTCTAGGCGAAGCTTGACTGGCGTGCTGATCTCACTACCGGTTTCGCCGTGCTTTTTGAGATCCTCAAGAGTGAGAAAGCCACCAAGTTGTTGGCTGACGTCGACAATAGCCTGAGCCACGGGTCCTTCATAGAAGCCCGCTCTGCCTTTCTCGCCCAACAATCGAAATGTTTTCGCCAGATTCGGGTTCTTGTAATACTCTCCTGGTCTCGGTGACCTAAAACCTCTAGGCGCGCTCGGGTCCGTCTTCAAGACCTCTGTTCCATTCGCCGAATCAAGCAGTTGACCCTGACATTTTATCCACTATTACAATGTTAGCCAGAGCACGATGCTACCCAGCAGCTCGCTGCACTTACACTATAGCTAGAGATCTCGCTGACTGCGAACCCGTTTTCTGCCAACTCGATCGCCGGGGCAAGGACCTGCAAAAGGGACAAGGCGCCAGATCCGAATTTCTCCACGGTGTCGACCCACGCGGCCGCAGCGCCGGGCACTGTCACCGAGTGTATGGACAAGGCCGGGATGGATGCAGTTGTGCGATCTGTAACTCCAAGAGCATTGCAAATCTTGTCCAGGGTGGCGTTGGCAGGAGAGCGGCCAGAGCCGTTCAAAGCGTACACCTGCTTCTCTTTGGCGTCGTAGAAGAGACAGAAAGCGTCACCGCCAATGCCAGTCATGGAAGGGTCGACGAGGTTCAGCACTGCAGCTGCAGCTATGGCGGCGTCCTAGGGTGCGTGAGACGTCTTGCGTGTGAGGTGTAGGTCGGAACGGCATGGGTCTTACTGCTGCGTTCCCGCCCTCCTGCAAGATGCGGATCCCGGCTTGGCTGGCCAGAGGCGAGGTCGTGCTGACGATGGCTTTGGAGCTGTGGACGACGCTCCGCCGGCCACGAAAGACAGTGAACCTTTCGTCATCGTGTGGATAAAGCCCGTGAAGGCCTCGGGCTGAAGCTGGCATATTGCCGGCCTTGAGAGCTGTGATGAGCAGAAGACTGTCGACGAACTACCAGCAGCTAGTTTCGCTAAAGCTTCAAGGCCGCTATTGAATCTAGACAGATCGAGTCTCCAAGCCCGACATCGGAAGCGGTGTCACGGTGAGCATCATACTTGGTAGGATTCAATGTCCTACGAATCAACAGGAAGAAGCCCCTCACTAGCCAACCCCGCCGTCGCGGAACAGCTCCCTACAAGAGAGAAGCCTGCAGAGGGAATAGGTAGAGAAAAGAAAGACCATTTATGGTTGTAGAGGAACTATCAAAACAAACAAGAAACTCCCAGCCAAGTGCTTTTATCCTTCCTCTTCATTCAGGTTCATTGTGTCGGGCACGATTTCAGTCCACAGTGTCACCAAAGTTCCATTGTGCTACAGATTCAAGACGCTAATTTCAGGCGCTAATAAGGGGCGGTGGCGGCTTGTCAACGAGAGTTCCACTGATAAGGTCCACTGATATCCGCGACTTTGGAGCACGGTAGGGCTATGTAGGGTGCCTGATGCTCATCGTCGTCATCAGCCGCCCCGGTCGCATGACCTGCCAGTTGTCACAAACCTCCCACGGTCTTCTTCCCAATGCCCTTCCGACATATGCCTTATGCACCTAAGGTAGTCTGTGCTCCTACTCGCGTCCATGAGCCGCTCGCCGGCGTCCTCGGGGCTGTTGCCCTTGCCATTGCCTGGCTCAACATCGTCGTCCTGGGCGCGTTACAAGTCTCGATTCGCGTCCGTCTTTCGCAGTGCTGACACCTCGGTCATCGTGGCCTTCTGGCTGTTCGGTATGGTCCTTATCCTACATCAGAGCTTATACTATCCACTAACTGGTTGTATCCCGCAGGCTTGATCAACAATGTCCTCTACGTTATCATCCTTACCGCCGCCCAAGATCTCGTCGGAGCCGATGTCCCCAAGGGCGTCGTGCTCCTCGCCGACGTCCTTCCCTCCTTCTTCACCAAGCTTATCGCGCCCTACTTCATACACCGAGTACCATACAGGCTGCGCATCCTGATACTGGCAGCTCTCTCCTCTGCAGGAATGCTGCTAGTCGCGCTGACGCCGTCGACATCGTCGGTCGCCGTCAAGCTTGTCGGCGTCGTCCTCGCCAGTCTCAGCAGCGGCGGCGGAGAGCTCAGCTTCCTCGGATTGACGCACTACTACGGACATATGAGTCTTGCTGCGTGGGGTAGCGGCACGGGAGGTGCCGGCCTGATAGGGGCAGGCTTATATGTCATGTTGACGGACTGGATCGGGTTCTCGGTCAAGACCAGCTTGCTCGCGTCCGCCGTGCTGCCGGCATTCATGGTCTTGAGCTTCTTTGGCATCCTACCTCTGGGACCGCTGCAACAGGGCTCGGCTAAGACCTACGCTGCTGTACCGGATCAGGATCTAGAAGACGAGGATCTCGAGGACATACCGACAGGAGACGCTGCCTCTAGCCTCCTGGCTCCTGGCCCTGGCGTCGCCTCAGCTGCCATCTCTGCCCATCCCGGGCACGATACATCTTTCGTGGCTAACCTAAAGCGCGCGAAATCACTCTTCTTTCCGTACATGCTGCCTCTCCTCCTGGTCTACATCGCCGAGTACACCATCAACCAAGGCGTCGCACCCACGCTCCTGTTCCCGCTAGACTCGTCGCCTTTTTCTGAATTCAGATCGTTCTATCCATTCTACGGATTCCTGTACCAGCTCGGCGTCTTCATATCTAGGTCATCGACCCCATTTCTCCGCATCCATCATCTTTATGTCCCCTCATTCCTTCAAGTGGGCAACCTCATCCTCCTAACCCTGCATGCCCTGCTCAACTTCATCCCGTCGGTGTACATCATCTTCGTCGTTATCTTTTGGGAAGGCCTCCTCGGTGGGGCCGTGTACGTCAATACCTTTGCTGAAATCATGGAGAATGTGTCTCCCGCCGAGCGCGAGTTCAGCCTTGGTGCCACCACCGTCAGCGATAGTGGCGGCATCTGCATCGCAGGCTTTGTCGGCATGGTGATGGAAGTGTGGTTGTGCAATTGGCAGACGCAGCATGGCCGTGATTACTGCAAGCGGATCGAGGCAAGCTGAGGACTTGCGAGGTAGTTAGACTACTTGTTCTCCACAATGTAAATTGGAACGCGCCGCCAAGTAGGGTGCTCGTCCAGTTCCCTTGCCAGGGCTCTCCTCAGAACATCCCTCAGTTCGTTGAGCCTCTTTCTCTTCAAGCAGCGAATTTGCGACTTCGTCTTCGGTTCCTCTGAATCCTCCCCGAAAGACACTGGGAATCTGTACAGCAACGTGACGGACTCGAGTCGTGGATACTGTTGGATCATCCTGATGCCTCCCATGCTGTTCACGTTGTTCCACCAGATCCTCTGCAGACCCCAGTCCATGACAAGGAAGCGCATGTTCTCCCTAAAGCTTGGCTGGTATGAGATGGATGGCCACACTTGAACAGGTTAGTCTGAAACACCCTTGACGCGGACGAAGTCCCAGAAAGCTTACAGCCTGGTCTCGCCAGGTAGATTTCGTCTCTCTTCCAGTTCACATAAACTCGATGCGGCTCCTTCTCCCACTCTCCATGGAGCAGATAGTATTTGTCGGGATCCTCGCGGGCAAGGGGGACGTTGTTCTCGTACGTGAGATCGAACCGACTCCCCTTGCACACCTGCAGAACGGTGGGGACAGGCCTCCGGAGGGCCGTACGGCCCTTGGCATTATTAAAAACCTCTTTGACCCGAACGACGTTCAAAGCTGTGAGTCTCCAGATCTCGGTACGGATCTCCAAGTGGAGCTTGCCGAACTGGCGGAAGGCGCACGGCGGAGAATCAAAGATGATTTGACGGAGCAGCAAGGCCTCGGCATCGTAATCTGTCGCGCGTAGATCCTGGATCTCAGTATCGACTTGTCGGAGCAACAAGGCTTCAGCTTCAAAATCCATCGCGTGTAGACCCTGGGACCCAGTATCGACTCGTCGGAGCAACAAGGCCTCAGCTTCAAAATCCATCGCGTGTAGACCCTGGAACTTGGTTGAGATGCTTTCCTTGGTCCAAAAGGCTGAGAGGATTGATGAGCTTGTATGTTGAGATTAGGTTGGACACTGGTTGTAGATAGAATAGGAAGTTGTTATAAAGCCTGCTCTACCCTATGATTTGCCTACTGAAAGCGTCTTCGCTGTTTTCTTTATTCATAGGGGCAAGAGATGATGACAATGTGGCTAAGCACATGTGAATCGATCATCACCGGTATGGAAATTCCTCATAGGCTTCCAAAGCCTTCTTGGTCCCTTCACCTTGTTCACTACTCCCAATGACAGCTCTTTCAGTCATGGATAGCACGCTGGACATAGGAAACCCCTACAAACATGTTATTGTTGTGCTGGTTTCAGGCGTGATGACAGCAATCATCTGACCAGGTTTTCAGTTTGATGTCCCAGCACTTCATTGGATTGGCTTAGGTTGTCTGAAGGAGTTGCACAACACAATCATCCGTATTGAGAGCATGATTTGAAATGACTAATAGAATTTGTTGCCCTTCCATCATGATTCAATGCGAAGTCTACGAAAGAATCGATATCAAGCTACAACCCTCTGGGTCATTGATGGAACCTATGCAGTCCACGAGTATGCCATACTCCTTCTGCCGAGTGACTGATAGGTTCAAGTAAACTTCACCTCAAGAATGCTAACAGACTCGCCCTTGGGAGGCATGATGACCTTGCTGATGCCCAGCTTACCATCGCTCGAGTCCTTGAGTAGCGTCTCCCACATCTCCAGAGTGCGCTCCTGGGAATTGAGTTGCGCCAGCATACTCTGCCAGAGTATTGTCAGTACTGTCCGCTGAAGCCACCGTCACTAGGTCACTCACCACATCGAAACTTCGCAACACCTCCTCCTGGCACTGAGGCAGCAGTCCAGGAGGCGGCATGACAGCATCAGCAATGACGAGCCTACTCTCAGGGCCCATAGCCTGCACAACATTCCGCAAGATCTTCTTTGCATACGCGTCCGACCAGTCGTGCAGGATGTACCGCATGAAATACACATCCGCGCCCTTGGCCACATCAGGTTGCGGCTGGAAGAAGTCGTGCGCCACCCACTGCACCCTCTTCGCGACGCCGACAGGGGACGACGCGATCAGCGCCCGCGCCTGCTCCATCACGGGCGGCTGGTCCTCGACAACGAACTCCAGGCCGGGGAACTTCTCCGCGACCGCGAGCGAGATGTGGCCCGCCGCGCCCCCGACGTCGACGACCGTGGCGCCCCGCGGCAGCGCCGCCCAGTCGTAGCAGTCGCGCATGTGCGCGCTGCCGTCGCCCGCGCTCCAGCTGCCCATCGCCGCCGCGAAGCGCTGCATAGTCTCGGGCCGCGCCATCTTGCGCTCAAAGAAGCTCGCGCCGCCGAACGCCAGGCTGAAGGGGCTCTCGCCCGGCTCGCCGCTGTAGGGGAACTTGTCCAGCGCGTCGACGATGCGCGCCGACGCCGGGAAGGCCTCCTCGGACATGTGCGCCACGAGGGCCTGCATCTGCGGGTCCGTGCCGAGCAGGAGCGAGGCGGCCGTGTGGGCGACGTGGCCCGGCTGGGGCTCGGCGAAGATCCGGGCGAGGGCGACGCGGCGGACGAAGCGGGCTACGTTGAGCTCGCTGAGCCCCGTGGCCTTGGCGAGGTCGGCGAAGGCGATGGAGCCGGTCACGGGAACGGCCTGGGCGACCTTGAAGTGGGAGATGGCATGCAGGCTGGCTGCTAGGGTGTGGTCCTGGATGCCGTTCGGTGTTAAGATTGGGAACTGCTAGATGGTGAAGGATGGGAACGAGGCTCTACACACAGTCATGATCATCCATTTGAGCGTATCGGAGGGATAAGTGACGAGATCCCTGAGCTCTTTGGTTGCGTCGATGAGTTTATGACGAACGGCATTAATGTCAGCCTCTTCGGGGCTGGCAGGGAAGGTCGTTGGTCCGTTGGCATCGAAGGAAGGTTGGGGGAGCTTGTGTGACGCCAGATACTCGTCCAGTTTCTTAGTCTGGGCGAGGATGCTTTCGGCAAGCTGAACCAATGAAGAAGTAGTCGAGGCCATCGTGGAGTTATGGGAGCTAACAGCAGCAAGTCAATCAGTCCCAACGAAAGAGAAAGTATTCGAAACTCCCCTTGTTCTAGTAAACTTGGAGCAGGATATTTGATTACAGCACCTATCTCCTACAGACGAAAAGAGGCATCTTTATATCTCACGGTGCAGGGTCGGCCATTAGGCCGCCAACTTTCGGCCCTGCTCTTGAGTCCATCTAGGTGGTCAGAGAAGTGGGCAAAGTCCGATCCAATGACGTGCCGCACGAGGGTTCCATCTCCAGGGCAGGCCACCGACGAGAAATGTTCCTCATTGGTGAGGACCGTTGTGAAATAATCCACATCAAAATGGTGCATACTTTAGTTGACGCCAAAAGCTTACATAGCAGGGCTAAGGGATGGCGACTCGAGGCGCGGTGCATGCCTGATGAGTATCATTGTAGACCCCCAACAGCAAGCAGGATCGGGTATTTTTGCATCTGCGGTTAGAGAGCAATAAAGGAGAGCAGGCCATTCAAGGTAATCAGATCTCGGCGTTAAACTATTCGAAAAGGGGCCAAGGCTTCGCGCTTAACCAGAACTCATCATGCTGCGGGCGTTCCAGTACAAAGCTCGCAATAATCAACATGCGAGCCTGACTGGAACCTACTATTTACGTAACAATATGCCAGTACGAGAATGGTCATCCACTTCCATGCCGGGATATAGATAAAGTTCTTTGCGTTCCGCCATCCAGCAGCTCGACGTGGTATATCGACAGAGGATGGCAAGGCCCACCGAAGCTTGTTTTCCAAACTACAATCCAATAGCCATTACTTGCAAGCTTGGGTCGGTATAAGTCACAGATCAAGAAGCAATAATCAGGAGTGCGAAGTGAGGATGTTGTCCAACAATGTCTTGCAAAACGAATACTATTTAATAGTATCCCATGCTCTTGAAATACGATCCCCAATACCAACTCGACACATTCCCGAACCCAAGTCAAGGAACTAGATCCTGGTTACTTTCGAAACACCCCCGAGCTGTTACAATGAATTAGTAGGATTCTACGCGACTGGTGGAAAGGGAACTCACAAAAAGCTGTCCTCGGCCATTCGAGCCGTGATGTTGCCGGCCGTCACCTGGTGAGCATACTTCTTTGGATGGAAGACGGAGCTCTGCTGGAACTTGTCCCAGAACCACCGCAGGTCAATATCGTCGACGGGAGTGCCGCCCGGCTGGGTTTGGCTCAATAACTCCTGAAGCGACATGCCTTTAGCCTGCGGTGTGCCGTTGGCTACGAGCTGCGCACCGGGAGACGCAGGTCCAAACCACTCTCCAAGTTCCTCGAGCTCGGAGAAGAGGTGGTGGAACCAGACGTCGCCGTCGTTATCGCCCCAGATGGTCTTGCCCGGCTCGCAGAATCGCCTGCCCTCAAAGTTGGGGTCGACGTCGATGAAGTGCAGACCGGAGGAATTGCCACCCAGCGGCTCGATGACCTCGGCCTGGATGCGCGCGTTGACTTCCAGCACGAGCTCATTCATCTTTTGGCGCGTGGCCCAGCGCATCTTGAGTGGGAACACCCACTTGCAGGGGATGTCCCACTGGCAGAAGCTGAAGAAGTTCTTGCGGTCGCATTCGTCGCCGTCGCGGCCCTCGGGAGAGAAGAAGCGCGCGTAGCCGGTGATATACAGGTGGCCGGTGGGGGAGGGTAGGAGGATTTTGTCTTGGATGAGCTGGATCTGTTCGCGGTATCTGGCCCAGATGGAAGCGTCGCCGATTTTTGCCTCGGCTTGAGACAGTCGATCATCGCAAGCTTTCTGGAAGTCTGAGGGGGCGTCGGTCATGCCTTTGAACGGGTAGACACAGTATCGCTAACACGTGCGGAAATTAGAGAAACACAGGCGAATCTGAGGGATTGAGGACATCTTACTACGACATCGCCAAAGCCAAAATCGTTGCCGCTGATGGACAGGCTGACAAAGTCTTTCTTGGTGTTGTTGACCTTAGTGACCTGGTCGTCAATATCGTCCAGCACATCGCCAGAGCAGGCAATGAAGTCAAACTCGGTCAAGACTCTCTCCGAGAAGGATTCCTTGACGTAGTAGGGGTAGGACTTGGTCATTCTGGCACAAATGTTATTCCGTCCGTCGATAGTGTTATTCTCGTCATCCGGGACCCAGAGCCCGGCTCCAATGCCGGATGCAAAGCTGTCTCCGAGTGCAGCATATTTGAACGTGGTGCTGTTGTCATTCTGATCGCTATTGATATGAGGAATCAAGAGTGGCGAAGCATAGCCCAATGCAGCCAGAAGACCAATGATAACAGAAAACACGAACATGGTGACTGCACACAACCTGGGTCAAGGCCGCTCGTTGTCTTGCAAGCACCAAGATGGAAGCATCCTCGACGGCGTAATCCCTTTATATGGCGTTTTAATCGGAGCTCCCACCTACGGACTAGTCACTCGTCACCCATATAGTTGCACTGGTCTTCGACGGCGCGGTTGGAACACATACCTCGACGGCCTTTTCCGAGATGAGTAATCCCATGAAACCAGGCTGATCATAGGAATAGCCTCACACGACACCCCGCATCTTCAGGACCACAATGAGTTGTGACCCGCTGGTGGAATATCGGAAGATACCTGGGAGCCGAAGGGGAGCTTCGACACAGTGACATGTGCTTCCTGGGACAAAGACCAACTTGCTTGCCTCCTGCATGTTTACGCATGCTTGCTACTAGAGCCCAAAATACCCAAGATTGAAGGCGCCAGAAAAAGGTAAGACGCTTCTGGGCCCGGTGCCTGGTGCCACTCTCCAGCCGCATCAGCCGTGGCTTGCGCGGGGAAGCTGAAGGCCGCTCTAGAGCTGACACACAGAAGTCCTGTACAACAGAAAATGCCAATTATCCAATCATTCATGCTGGTGTCACTGTAGGCAATTTCTTTACGAGAAAGCCACAGGTTCTCCTGTTGATGCATGTAAGCCAGCTGATCTGGACGCAGTCAGCGCGACTGTGTATATAAGCTGGGCCTTGATTCATCTGCTGTCCAACGCCTTTCAAACCTCATCTTCTCAGGCACGCATCCATCAGAGCAAAGGCTATCATCACAATGGCTGCACCAACTCACAGCAGAGTCCTCCTGATCCTGTTCGATGGCTTCAATACCCTGGACATGAATGGGCCGTACGAGGTCCTCAGAAAGTCGGGTGTGAGGACCGGGGTCAAGATTGAAGTTGCAGCCGAGAGCGAGATCACCACATCAGTCGAGGGTGTGCATGTCAAGGTATTCTCCCGTTCGTACGCTTCCCATGTCGCACTTGTAACTGACCACAATGTATTAGCGCGACATTCCTCTTAATGACAAACTCATCGAGTCGCTGAGCATGTACGACACCCTTGTTGTGCCTGGCGGGCCCGCGGGGAAGGGCAAGCCCGTCGACGAACAGGCAGCCAAGATCAAGAGCCCATTTATGAGGCTCATCAAGGCATTCGCGGAGTTGCCTACAACTACCGAGCAGTATCCCCGCCTCCTCCTGTGAGTGGCCGCCTCTCATATCCCGCCGTTCCTCAATGGTTGCATCCATGCGCTGACACGAGCATACCCACAACAACACAGATCGATCTGCACTGGCGCTCTGTTCCTTGGTACGCTGGGCGTCTTCAACGGTGGCCGGATCTGTACCACGCACTGGGCCGCGTACGACAACCTTGCCAACCGCAACAAAATCTCCGCGAGTAGCGCGGGTACAGATCCTGGAACGGTGCTAAAGGCCCGCTTCGTCGATTCGGGTCTGAACGACAAGGGTATCCGCATCTTGAGCAGCGGTGGTATTAGTTGCGGGTTGGACGCCAGTCTCTATGTTGTGAAGCTACGATGGGGTGAGGCAGAGGCCATCGATACTGCATCCATTCTGGACCTTGCCTGGAGGAAGACGGAGGGCGTTGTTGCTTATGAGGGTTGATTAAATGGGATATGGTCATCCTTTGCCCGAATCTGCCAATCTAGTAGCTGAAAAGAGCCCGAAGAGTCGTCGTATTGATTATACACTATCTCATTCGCCGGAAGTTGGCCATAAGAACATTGTGAAACCGAGAGTTCACGCCACAGATACCAACAGGCGCCCAATCGACGTGCCGGCTTGAACCTTGACTCCTACAGGCTCGGAAGAAGGACTAACCGCCTGACTCGACGCAGTCTTCGTCGCCGTCGCACCCGACCTCGTAGTAGTAGCCGTGGTCGGACTCGCCTCCACTTTGTCGCAGCTCGAGTCCCAGTGGCACAACCATCTCCACGTCGAATCGGCCAAGTCCACCTGCAACCCCGGGCAATTCTTCCAACACTCGAACCAGTCGTACGCCGTACCGTTGATGGAGTAACCGAGAGCGTCGGCGGACTTGACGCCGCATCCGCGGAAGCACGCGTACGATGGACAAGGAAATGTCACTGTAGGGCCTGGTCCAGTCGCCGCACTGCTCCCACTTGGTCCGCCAACCCGATGACCATTCCGCCCTGGAGCATCCTTGGAGCAAGCCATTCTAGACCAGGTCTTTCGTCAGTATCAGGAGATCTCAAGTCTCCCACAAAGGTTTCGATATGCCTAAGCAGTTTCATCAAAACAGGACCGGAATTTTGTCAGGCATGGGTGGCCGTGTGCTTCTGAAGGACCCCACTTCCGGCCCTTCGACTTGACTCTTGGCTCGGTCATGTGGCAGTTTTATGGGCGTCCAACAGTCTGCTCCTCCGGAGAAAGAAAAGCCTGTCAACAGAGTAATTTCATGTTCTGTGATCTTGTGTCGATGGTGTTGCCAGACTCGGGCCTGCCAGGTGGGGCCAGCTGTAAAGACTTCAAGAGAAAGGCGGTGTGGCGCCAAATCGATTCTGCCGTCAAAATTCCCCGCCAGGTAACTTTTTTTTCTTGAGCTCCAGGCTTGTCGGTCTGCCCGCCAAACTTCAACAGCATTGACTTCGGCTTCCACTCCAAGTTGTACTTCCTGAATCCCAGCAACCAGGAAAGATCAAGCACATACGGCAAGGATATAAACAGACTCGATCAAAATGCGGCCTCTCACCGAGACCGAGACGCAAACCCTCTTCAAGAAGCTGGCGGACTACACGGGCGCATCCTTGAAGAACCTGATCGCACCGCTCGACAACTCCCCCAATGCCGACCGATATGTCTTTCGATTGTCCAACGGAGGCCGCGTCTACTACGTCCGCTTGTCAATAGCGAACTTGGCCACCTCCGTATCCCGCGACAAGCTCTTGTCGTTGGGCACTTGCCTAGGTAAGAAGAACCCGTCCTCAAAAGACGAAGGGCGGCCAGAGACCAATCGCTGACATGGATCCCGTTCTTACAGGCAAGTTCACCAAGTCCGGAAAGTTCAGGCTGCACGTCACCGCGATCTCGATCCTCGCCGAGCACGCCCGCCACAAGATCTGGATCCGGCCCAACGGCGTCATGCCCTTCCTCTACGGCGGCAACGTCGTCAAGGCGCACGTCGGCCGCTTCTCGGAAGACTGCCCGGAGCACCAGGGCCTGGTGGTCTGCACCATGGACGATGTGCCGCTGGGCTTCGGTGTCAGCGCGAGGAGCTCTGCCGAGGCCCGGCGCCTAGATCCCACGGGCATTGTGTGCTTCCGGCAAGCGGACTGCGGAGAGTACCTGCGTGACGAAGATACCCTGTTTGCGACTGGTTAAGAGGGAGAGAGAGAGAGAGGAGACAACTTTTTGCTTGGAAGCATGTGCAAGTGGCGTTATTGGAGTATGGGCTTTGTTTCTATGGAAGATAGTCATATTGAGACAAGTATGAAGACAATCGATCTATCAACAAAGATAATTATGGTATAAATACATGATGCATGGGCTACAACATGCAGGCCTGAAGCTGGAGAAATGCTCAATTATTAGCGATGGTGGTGGGGCGCTGGTTGATCCCACAGGCGGTGTTCGGAGTTAACTCGAGCTCAAGCCAGTGGCGTTGCCGTCATCGATCGCGAGCTTTCTCTCTTCACCTTCACAATAGAGTGTCCCAATTCCCACACGTTCAATCTCTTTTGAAGTGCTGTTGCCATGTACATACTAACACCTTAACGCACCCGGCAACGATGTCGTCATACCGCACAGTCTGTCGCCGCTGTGCGAGAGCGCTCGACCAACGCAGCACGCGACACCTAGCCGCTCCCCTCGTCCGCCACTACTCCGACCAGAGCTCCCCCAAACCTCCTTCTCCCGTCACCGACCAACCCGACAATGGTCCCGAAGCCACCGGGTCCGAACCGGGGCCCATGGCGCGCCGCCTCGAGGAAGCCACCGAGGAAGCCCTCCTGACGGGAGGCCGCGCGGGCCGCCGGGCTGTCGAGGACGCCGGCTTCAGCGACGAGCTCAAGCAGCGGCTCTTGAACCGCATCGCCGACGCCAACTTCCGCGCCGACCACTCCGAGGCCCTCAACGCCGCCGGCATCGACCCAAACACCATGCAGAGCAGCATCCCCGCCTCGGCGGGCGAGGGGACGCGCGCCGCCGCCACGGCCCGGGCCTGGACGGGCGAGGAGGCGACCGAGGACGCGGTCCTGCGCATGCTCGACGACGCGCGGAAGCAGCTGCGGCCCGAGCTGCGCGGCAAGCCGAAGCTGCCGGACCTGGCGCCGGTGGACATGCGCCTGCGGGGCCAGTCGAGCGCCAGCCCCGGGCGCAAGGTCGCCGCCGCCAGGGACCGGGCGTCGTCGTACGTGGGCATGGGGCTCGGCGCCGGCGCCAGCGTCGGCATCGGCAAGCAGGGCAAGGGCCTCACGGACAAGGAGCGGGAGGAACTGCGGCAGGAGTTCCGCGAGCGGTTCCAGCCGGGAGCGCGGGCGATGCCCAACACGATCACGGGCCTGGCGGCGCTGGCCAACGAGCGGATCGAGGACGCCATCGCGCGCGGCCAGTTCAAGGACATACCGCGCGGCAAGGGCATCGAGCGGGACGCGCGGGCCGACAACCCCTTCATCGACACGACCGAGTACATCATGAACAAGATGATCAAGCGGCAGGACATTGTGCCGCCGTGGATCGAGAAGCAGCAGGAGCTCGTCAAGGCGGCCGGGATATTCCGCGCGCGCCTGCGCAACGACTGGAAGAGGCACGTGGCGAGGATGATTGCGAGTAAAGGCGGGTCGCTCGAGGAGCAGATGCGGCGGGCCGAGGATCACGCGCGGGCGGAGGAGGTGCATAACCCGCGGCGGAGGAACGTCGATGAGATTGCCGTGCCGACGAGCTCGACGGACGACCCCGTCATGGTCAAGATGCGGGCGCAAGGATTGGCTCTTGAACCTGATGCTGATGGTGGCGTGTCGTCTGATGCCAATACGGCGGGAGAAGAGGGGAAAGAGGCCAGCGGCGAACCGCACATTTCGGTGGTCAAGCCGTTCCGGGATCCGGACTGGGAGGCTGCGGAGCGGAGCTACATGGAGCTGGCCGTGGCCTACCTCAACACGATGACGAGGTCCTACAACCTGCTTGCCCCGGACCTAGCTAAGAAGCCGTACTTCTCGCTGGACCGGGAGCTCAAGGCGTGCTTTGCGGATGTGGCGCCGCAGGTGGCCGACAAGATCAGGGAGCGGGCGACGCGGCCGGCGAGGTCGTTTGTCGAGCCGGTCGGGAGTGGCACCAGCATCCTGGACAAGTTCGGCGGGCCGGCCACCCGTGCGAGGGTACACGATTCCAAGACGCCCAATTACGGTTTCAAGGAGATGTGGCGAGATCTCTGGTCTCGGCCTGATCATCAATGAGCAGTGGAAATATTGAAGAAATTTGAATACAATATGATATCCATCTATCTATGTTCTCCAACCAATGCGCCGTGCTAATTCGATCAAATGGGATATCCCTGTCGTATCCGACATACAGCTAGCTAATAAACATGCTTAAAAGAAGACAAGCCCTGCGGACTTAACATCGTACCACACCAAACCTTCTCTCCCAAGTATCCTACGTGTGATGTCTCCGCCTATTGTTCCTCCTCTCCTTCTCCCACAGGCCCAGCGCGCTCACGACGGCCATGACGGCCCACCGCTCGCCCAGCAGGCCCGAGTTGCCCGTGCCCAGAAAGGTAAACTTGGCCGACTTGCTCATGCTCATCGTGGCGTCGGTCCAGGCCGCCACGACCTCGCACCCGTCGCTCGTCACGTAGCCACCCGGCACGAAGCCGGACCCCTCGGGCGCGCCGGGCGGCGGGCCCTTGGCCACCCGCACGAGCTTCCAGCCGTGGGAGCTCCCGCCCAGCGAGGCGATGGCGTCGCCGTAGCTGTGGCGCCACTCGAACGCCTCGCGGCGTACGGGCCCGCCGCCGCCTGGCCGGCCGACCTCGATCTGGAAGCGGTACGTGCGGTGCCAGCCGCCGTAGTCGGCGTCGATGTGGACCTCGGTCCCGCCCATCCCACCGCCGCCGCCGCCGCCGCCGCCAGGCATGGGCGGCAGGGAGGCCGTCATGTCGCCGCCGAAGCTGTGCATGTCGACGGCGGCGAGCATGGGGCAGCGGTCGGCGCTGGGCCCGTTGTGCAGCACGACGTCGGGCTCGCCGGACCAGCCCGAGTGCAGGCGCACGGCGTAGAGGGGCGCGCCCTGGTGCTCGCCGAGGACGAAGGATCGGCCCCAGCCGTCCGAGTAGACGTTGAAGGCCGGCGGGAACTGGCGCGCGATGGGCCCGGCGGCGGCGGAGGCGGGCTGTCTCGGCGGCGGTGGGAGGCCGCCGGGGCTCGAAGAGGAGGGCCCTGATGGCGGGAGGGGCGGGAGGGGGTATTGCTGTGATGATCGCTTGGGCGGCCTGCTGGCGGAGGGGGTTGGTGGTGGTGGTTGTAGGTGCAGTCTTGAGCTGCCTGCTACGGCATCTTCGTAGGATGGGGGTGGAGGGAGATCATCGGGAATGTTGTTGGTGGTGCCGCTGTTAGAAGGCGGCGGCAGCGCCGTGGAACTGTCGCCGGCCTCATCTCTGTCGGCCTTGCTTGCGAAGGGGTTGTTGGACATCAGTTTTGTCTTGACGCCCATCTTGTACCAGACTGAGGGTATTGCTATGCGGCTGTCGTGTTATGTTTAATTCTTCTAGATTGAAAGAAGCCAGAAGAGGAACTGATGAGAACCCAAACAGGGATGGGAAATCTGGTGAGAAACGAGAGAGTGAGCCCCGGAGTAAGCGGCAGTGTAGACCGGCGCAGTCGTTGGTTGCGGAGGAGGAGGCAGTACCTCCAAGTCCCTACGTCATGTGGGGGGAGCCAGCACTCCATCCATCCCATCGTCTCACAGCCACCCACCACGCCACCACCACCACGCTCCAGCTTTCCTTTAGGCGCTCTTGATTTCCTGATTCGGACTCGGATTGCCTTGCAAGAGATGACTGGCTGGACGGCGCGCTTTCAAGAGAATGAGTTTTGGTATCTTGATTAATCCACACCTGCCAGGTCAGGTTGCATTTCTCGTAGGCTTCGTCTCGAGGTGAGATATTCATTTGGGGAGCATGCAACTCCATCCCGCAGCGATATTGTTGAGATGCAAGGTATTTATTGCAGGCATAGCGAGCACCACAGCTGCCACGTTCCGGGCTTCAACAAGTCCAAAGGATGAACATGTAAGCATCGTGGTGGATGATGTTGAGCGTAGGAGCAGTGTACGTCTTACACGCCATCGGACGTTGTCAGCCCAGCCCGGACCAGTCGCCTTCAATGATTACCAGCGTGGCGCCGAAAGACTGATCAGCGCTGTCAAGATGGGATAGGAGCCAGGGATTGTAGGCACAATGTTCCCCGATTCTTAAAGTTTGAAGATCCCCAGAGACCCGGAGCTGAAAACCGCACAAGGGCACGCCAGGGGTAATAAATAATACCCTTGCATGCACTCCCCTAGCGCTCGATGGCGGTTTCCAACCCCTCTGCATATTTTCCGCTCGATGGTGTCCGCTTGCTGGTGATGTATCAAAAATTACACATGTCGGCAGGCTGGAAATAGCATTGTCATTGGTGGCGCTCGTCTGGATGTAATTGCAATTGCCGTCCGTGGTTGCGCTCGTCTGTGTCTGGTGCCAAAGCTCATGTCATTCCTCGATTGTCTGTTCGAGAGCTCACCATGCATGGCGAGCTTGTCTGCCGGGGACGCAGAAGCACATCCCGACCTGGTCGTGCATTAGTTTCGACGTTGCTTGCCCTTTTCCAATGTACCAAACACAAATTCGAGCTTTCCACATGCACCTGCGGGAGGACTGTCACACATTCAAACTTAGACATGGTGACTACAAGTATTACAAACCATCATGTCAAAAGGGTCAAAAAGCAATGTTGTAGGTAGCTTGTCAGAGACTGAAACATTATCATTTAGCTCTATGCAGGTAACTAAGCCAAGGTCATAACTCCGTAATATGTGCTCCTTCTCCCATCCCTTCATCTCGTCCCAGGAACACCACCCCCTTTAACCAATGGTGGAGACGGCCCAGCTCTGGTCGGGCGACACGACCTGCCCGTTGACGAGCTGCTTGTCCGTGTACGAGGGCCAGGCGATCTGCCGGGCCGCCTCGTCCTTGACGGCCAGCGTCGTGAAGCCGTTGCCGGGGCCCCACGAGCCGTCCCAGCCGGAGCTGACGGCGAACTGGCCGCAGGTGACGCCGTTGACCTGGGCCTGCGAGGCCGGGGCGCCGGTCTGGTCGTAGGCGCAGGGCACCGGGGCCGAGGTGTGCGTGTCGATGGTGAAGGACCAGTGGCAGCTCGTGTCCTCGGCGTTGCAGCTGCGCACGAGGCCCTCGATCGTCCACTCGGGCACGTTGGCGGTCATGGACTTGGCCGTGGCCGGGGCCGGGGCCGCGAGGGCGGAACCGGCGGCGGCGAGGGTCAGGAGGGCGGTGGTGAACTGCATTTTGATGGTTTGTGGTATTAAGTTTTTTTGAAAGTGTAGAAGAGTGTGTAGGTTGTTGTTGAAGCGATGGAATGCTTGTGTAGGTTGTTGTTGAAGCGATGGAATGCTTGTGTTGTTGAGTTGTTTGATGGTGTTGTATGATGATGTTGTTCTATCCCAAGAAGGAGAGGACAGAGTCCTCCCTTTATATACACATCCGTTCCCTGTCACAGTCCACATCACGCTGGTCTCGGACACGACATGTGCATGTCGTCAGTCGCTCCAAGACACAGATCTCAGAGTTGTTTAGACGAGACGGCAGCCAAGATCCCCGCCGCCCGTATTCACCCCGGTTTTCCAAGGCGGTGCTTCTTCTCGTGTCGCTCAATCTCAGCTCAGCATAACTCGAAGTGATCTACACCTGTGCTACACTGATCCGGTGGTGATCGGCAACTGCCGTGCAAGGAACATCCTCTCCAAGGGTCGCCTTGCCCGCAGGGGCGGCAACGGAGATTCGATGCATCGCCCGGAGGCGGGCCCCGTAGCGTGAGATTCCCAGGTAACGTTGAAGTTGGTGCGGATCCAGCAGGGCTCCAGAGCACTGCTACGACTGGCGTAGGCCAAGAGAATGCCGAAGGCGGGACCCTTAAACGTCCCCCTGTCTGCCGACCTGCCGACCTCGTATTCTGAAAATCCCCATGCAAATTGGACCGCTAAATTGGCAAACGGTCAGCAGGTGGCCAACTCCACTAAACAAGGCCGAACTCGCCGGGCGGACCGTTGGCAGGGTCCTGCTATTTTTATCACACTTCTAGAAATGATTCGAGGTTGAGTTCCCCATCACTCGGCAGGCATTGTGCCGGGTCTGACCTTGAAGCGCGCTGGCGCTCGCAAGAAGTGAGCCACTGCAACCGAAGTAGCAGGCAGAGTGGCCGCCAACCCAAGCATTCACCAGCCGAGGCGAGGCTTCACACGCGTGAGACATGTTGATGTCGTCATTGGGCGGAAAGATGCAACTCTAATGGGACGTGTTTTCCAAGTTGGGCAATTAGTATGCCTCGTATCAACGAGCCCTTCAGAACTTGGAACATAAGCGAACCGAGAAAGGGCGTCCTCCTGGCCAGCTCAGGTAATCTAAAAGACATCCACCAGGAATTCGCAAATGAGAGACTCCCCATCCACCTCGACCCCCCGCATCACCCAGACCTCGCGAAGGAGGTCGTTCGCGCTGACCTTGCGGTGGTTCGCAAAGCGCTCTCTCGCCAGCGGGTCCGCGGCCGGGCCCTCCTGGAGCCGCCTCTCGAGCGAGAGCTGGTTGCTGGGCTTGAACGTCTCGAGCAGCTCCGGCAGGCCGGCCACGCACAGCTCGCCCTTCTTGTTGGTCACGTGGAACACGACGCCGCGCCGGGCCCCGTGCCCGAGGTACGCCTCGATGATCTGCGCGAGCCGCTCGAGCCACGCGACCGTCAGGTGGTGCGGCCAGGCCGCGCCCGACTTGCGCTTCCAGCAGTAGTTGTTCACGTTGTTAGCAAAGTCACGCAGGAGGACCAGCCACACCGACGTCGTCGTCGTCATCGTCTTCACGGTCCCGCTCCACATGGAGATCACAGCCCTACCCTCGGGGCGGCGGCCCTTGTCGAGCAGGTATCGTGTCAGCCGCACGTCGCTGCCCAGCGAGGCGCTGAGGAGCAGGTCGAGCCCGTGGTCGTCGTCAAGCTCCAGCCCGGGGTCCCGCTCCATCCGCTCGATGACGTAGTGGCCCTGCCGCCAGTACGCCGCCCAGTGCAAGAACGAGCAGCCCCTGCCGATCGTCGTGTGCCACCGCCACGAGTGCTCGCCGCCGACGAGCATGACGCCCAGGAACGCCACGTCTGTCCACGGCGTGGCCGGCACCGCGGATATCATGGCGAGCTGCGTGGCGTGCGGCTTCCTCCTGGGCCCCAGCGACGCATACTCGAACTGCTGCAGGCAGTCGAAGGGGACGGGGTGGGTGTGCGCGCAGTCATTGAACCACCAGAATGTATTCTCAAAGAGCGAGCGCAGTATCTCGACTGTGCTTTTGTGCTCGACGGGACCGTTGGGCACGCTGACAAATGTGGTCTCGGCGCTCCGGAGCCGGCTGTAGGCCTCGACCTCGGCAGCGTGGGTTGCGAATGGGTTGGCGCGCGCTCCGGAGTTCCAAGATTCCCTGAGGTGGTCCCGTACCGATCTGTGGAAGAAGTCGACGCGGTACCGGAAATATGGCGATGCGTCTGGGACTTCGCGCGGCTCGAGCAAGCCCTGGGTTAGTTGGTGCAGCAGCCTTTTCGTTCTCTCAAACCGCGCTGCAATCTCGCTCTCCGTGTATGGCTTGTGTTCTCGGTCAAAGGGGAACTGGCAGAGGGGATCCGTGAACCACTTCATGTCGTGCAGCCACGAGTAGACCAAGGAGTTCAGTGGCTGGTTGTAGGGGTTGTGAACCGCTATGTAGAGGAGAGTGTTGGACCGCGCCCGGATGACGGCACTGCGGTCGACCCTCTCCAGCATCTGGTCGACCAGGGTTTCCAGATCAGAGCTGCACAGTCGCAACGTCTCGCGGAGACACTCCTCGTCGGCATCCTCGAACGCGATATTCAAGAGCGACCGCACAGCTATACTGGCCCACAGGAAAACCCCTTCGGCCCTATCGGCAATGGTCTCGACCAAATCGAGGCAAGTTTCCCTGGCCTCGCACAGATTCTCCTCTTCAAGCGACGTCGCGAACTTCCATCTGGCAAACTCGACGATGTCGCTGCGGGTCAGGGTGTGGAACTCGATCATAGGGCCCGCAGGGCGGAATATGTCCAGGAAGACGTTGTATGGCCGTGCCGAGCATAATATCTTGATGTTTGGCGCTTGCGCCCAGCGGACGAGCTCTTGAGCTAGCTCTCGGTACAGCACATTGTCTCCTCGGCCCAGGTGGTTCGTGAGCTCGTCGAGGCCGTCGATGAACAAGCAGAATGCTCGACTCTCGTCTGCACTACAAAGGCTGACTAGTCTTTCGAAAGCAGCCGCCAGTTGCGGCAGCTGAATCTCTTCCGCCTCTGGCAGCTCCGCCGGGCCAAAGTTCCCAAAGACCTGGGCGGTCAGGTCAGGACACTGGCTGAGGATCTGGTAGAGAATAGAGCGATGAAATCCAGGCAGCGATCTGAGCAAAACATCGTCGGACCGCCAGACATACGCTCTCACAATGATTACTCTTCGCCCGGACGCCCATTCGTGCAATGTGTGCTCGACTATGGGGTTCCTACCGAGGAATTTCATCAAAGTGGACTTGCCGCAGCCAGGCTTGCCATGGATGAATAATGTGCCATGGCTCTGCGTCAAGAAGCGGTTGAGCGCTTCGGCTGCTTGATGGCGTGCTCCACACTCGGTTGCTTCTCGGTCTTCGTCCTGCGCGTTCCCGACGTTATCGTCGTTGATTGATAGGCCCTCCGGCCGCCCTGACAGCTCGTCGTCTGACAGTGCAGCATCCTCCTCTCCCAACATTGAGTCAAGGTAGGCTGACCGTGGAGCGTCCGGAACAGATCGTGTGATTACTGCAAGTCTTTCCTTCTTGAGCTCCATCAGGCTCTTGTGTTTCTCGACCAGAGATTCAGTCGGGCTTGCCAGTTGATACTCCAGCATCGGACTCTTGGACCTTCTAGGGGTCTCCGTGCTTTCTTTGCGCTGCACGGCTCTGCTGGAGCTGTCGTCTTCCAGTCCCTGAAGGATCCATTGGTAGGTGTCTGAGACAGTGTCGCGGTGCATGACCTCGGGCTGCGACAATGAATTGAAGTAGAGCTTGCGCAGCACGTGGTTCTCATTCGGGATAGAATGCATGAGCGACTCCAGACGCTGCATTTGCTCGGTCAAGGTGCGAAGATCGCACGAAAGATCTGCCTCGGGATCTGTGAGAGTAGACGCATCTTCAACTGCTGGTGCTAATGTATCTTGAGAAGCCTTCTGACGGAGCCTGGGACTTTGACGGTCCGTGGGCTCGATGCTTAAGCGCTCCAGGGACCGGCTTAGCTCATTGAGTATGTCTCCGCGTACAAATTGCAGTTGCTCGGCATGTTTGTTGGCCAGCTTCTGACTGGAGTGGTAGATGTCTTCCAACTTCTTCCTGAGCGCTGAATGCTCTTTACTGAACAGTGGTACCCGTCAGCGCAGGATACTGAGGCAACTTAAAGATGGCAAACGTACAAGGTATGCATCGCCAACCGCAACAGGATCTCCTGTCGATATTCACTGAGGCGATTCTCCAAGGCCAGGATCTCCTTCTGCTTCCGCATCGAAGCGATGGCGATCACAAAGCTGTTCCACGAGCCATGGCTCTTGCTCTCCAGCTTCCGCAACTTGCCCAGCAGTTCGCCCGACAAGGCATTGCAGTTGAGCGCAAGCTGGGCCAGCACGGGATCGACCTGGCCCCCAGTCGGCGCCTTGAGTTCCAGGGTCGCCTGCTCGAGGTCGTCGATCACGGTGCGTATCTGCGCGAATTCCTTGAGGCTGCCGGTGGCGGAGGTGTGCACCTCGTAGGCGCCGCGCAGCACCTTGTACGAGATGTCGATGAAGGTGAGGATGCTCGACGCCAAGCTGACGGCGTCCATCGCGGGCAGATAGGTCTTGACGTTGACGGCTTTGAAAACGGGTCAAGTCGCGCACAAAGGCGGCAGAGATGCGGGCGAGCCTTTATCGTGTCATGGGCTCGTTGAGGCCTCACGTTCATCGCTGCCTCGATGCTACGTGTGTGGCTGGCCATGGACAACAATGCGCCACTTTCTCTGACCAGTAGGACCCCGCGATGTGCTGACCCCTGTGGCCCCTGCAGCTGCTGATTCGCGAGTTGCTACTTTCGTACTTCAAAAATGCTGCCCGCAGCTGCGCAGCTCAGCCATCTAGGCTGCACCGTCCCCAGTCATTGGATAGATAGTACTAGCATGTTATGTGCACATGTTTCGGAGGCCGCATAGAGGATCATTTTTAAGTTTGGTTAAGTCAGGAAACAATGTCCTGGTCGAACCCTCCCGCAACTAGTAGATGATGAATATACCTCAAAGTTAACTTCCAAAGTTTAGTTATCCAGTCGCGGTCCGTCCCGCCCGCAGCCGATGCAATTTGGTAACTCCACCACTGCCCAGATAGATTCCGGTCCACCAACCTCACGATGACCTCTGATACCATGCCAAATGGTTGCCTGACCCAAGTTGAATGGGCATCATAACGTCACGGAATTGAGATACGTAATAAAGACAGCGATGCAAAGACAATAACACACCTTGCAGACTGTTTGAGGCCATTCTAGATTATAGTCACCTCGCGAATTTCCCACATATCTACCCACGCCCGAAGCAAAATCATGTTCAGACTCCCGCTGAAGGATCCGACCCGCTTATAGCAATTTGGGCGTTGGTCCACGCCTTGGAGCACAAGCCCTCTTAATGTAATAGTTGGGTCGTTAAGGTTTTCTCGACTGAAGATAATAGCGACCAGCTCAAACCCAGCTTCAATATAACGCTCGCCTGGTAACGTGACCAAGAAGTCAGGACAGATTTCAAAGGACATTGGCCGTAGCTTCATTTGTAGACTGGTGGCGACTAAGCCCGGCTCATTGCTGCCAGGTTCGTAGCATAAAACCCCCAAGCCGCAGAAACCCTGGAGGACAAGGCTCGCCTCCTGAGGAGTACCGAAAGTGTGATATCCCGGGGTGAGCTGGTGCGAGACAATACGGACAATACACTTTCCAGCTAAGGGCGGGACTGAAGCAGAGACTGGACCGGGTACAGAAGCCCAGGACCAGGATGGCAGCTCGCAGGGGTGGCTCCTGGCTACATGACCACCTGGGACCACCGACCCTAGCAACAAGGCCTGGAATCCCTCAGAGTCGAGGAACAAGCCTGCGAGATAGGTTTCCCAGCCTTGTACTTCTGCAAACCGCTGAGCAATGCCTGCAAGAGCGGGAAGCCTGTCACTCTCCCGGGATAGCTTGGCCCGGGTATAGTTCTCCACAATGCTCCTCCAATTCGAGAGGTCACGCCTGTCTGCCGGACGCTCAGAGCCCCTCGTCCTAGCTGTCAAGTCTGATTCAGTTCCCAAAGGTGGTTCGCGGCGTTTCGCTTCCGCCAGCAGCGTTTCTTGAGAGCGGCATTCACACCAGACTGCCCGCCGGTACTCCCATACCAGCTCTCTGTCGGTGAAGTGGACGATATTTCTCGAAATCATCCGCTCTTGGAAAACCCAACCACGCTGTTGCAAGGGGTATTTATCAGGGTTCGTGATGAGCTCTAGTGTTCCAGGACTGGGTGAGATTGGATGTGAAATTTCGTCGCGAAAGGAGACCTCGACTCCGCCCGGGACGACTACAGTAGTCGTCTGATCACGGTCATCAACACTTGATGAGAAAAGTCCCTTGGAACCGCAGGACCCGTCACTTGACAGAGCAGACAAGGTCAATGTAGCATTTTCATATTGTATGCTTCTTTGTGCCAATCGTCGTCGTCCGGGTCCTGATAGATGCAGAGGCAGTCGATCCAGAGATACTGAAAGCCAAGCCGGTATGTTGCCTCCACGGCATTCCGTAATAAGGGATAGAATAAGTCCGGTGGTTCCTCTTGAAACTCCGAGCCATTGTCGCGGAGAAGCTTCGAGCCCTCGGTGACATCCATCCATCGATGGCTGAGGAAGGCATACGGTTGTATGGGTGGGTTTTCGACAAGGCGCACTTTCGGCTTCAAAGGGTCTTCGATGAAGAGAATTCTTGTCGGCATGCCATTGCTCCGTCCTTGCTGGCACTCGGCATGCTCATTCCGACATCGCTCCATCCAAGGCTTCACTTTGCTCAGAGCGAGTTCACTGCCAGTATTCCCTGTTGGGTAGTCTCCATCTTCGACGTATGTATGCAGTTCTTCGGGGTACTGAGAGCGATCTTTGACAAAGACCTGGAGGATTTGCCTGTATCCTATGAGGACTATGCCCGGCATCCACATCAAGTTGTGATTTCCCTTGGTGAATAGGTATTCGCACGGCGCACATCCACGGTCCGCCAAGGGCATCAACCACTCCAATTCCTGTTCGACAATGTTGAAGTAATTGGCGGCATGCCTCCTTGTTCTCACCTCCTCTGAGTAAGGCGTATCAATGTGGCGAGTAGGAACGGTTTAGGGGAGCTCGAAAAGACAATCCCCACAGCGCCACCTTCCGACTTGCTGTCGCCGAGTTTCGTCGATTAAAGTGAGAGGGTGAACTTCTTGAAGTGGAAACCAAGACTCTGGGACATATTTTCGGAAGAAGAGTCGAGTTCGACAGCCTCAGTCTGCTGGGGAGACATTTTCTCGAGTGCTGGGGTCAAGACAAAATGGTACGCGAAGGGGAGTAACGTGATGCAACTTGAAAGAAGGCACTTGAAGAATTTATCAGTTGTTGCGGTGGGCTTGACAGGAAGAGCGGAGAATGTAGGCGACGAGCAAAGGGCTTGGGCAGGACGGGACAGCTGGGCTTCAACGGTTTGCCGACAGTGTAAGGGGCTTCTTATAACATGATTTCCTGCATCACTGGTGGTGCACTGCAAGCAAATATAATTGGATTGAATATGCTGGGCAAAATCAGAAGCGTACTTTGTAGGATTATAAGGGCCATTCACCTGAATGCAGTTAAGCCATGCGAAATAGTTCTTGTGTCGTGTGCAATGTGCAGATCTGATTGAAGATATACTGACTCCTGATGTGCTGTTCTTTGCATGCGCGCCCCAAATGATCCATCTTATCCACAATGGGACGTCTAGAGGCACTGACTGTAGTAATCATTGCTAAACTTGCAAGTGTAGCCCGCCTCGCAAACCGTACATCCCTTGAACCCATTGCCTCCGCACTGAGCCCAATGGCTTGCAGTGCAGCCGCCGGGGGTTGATGACGTTGTGGGCGCCACAGACGTCGTGGCCTGGGTTGATGGAGGAGGTTTTGTCGAAGTCACCAGCGTAGTCTGGGAGGGCGCAGTGGTGGTTGTCGGGTCCGGACCACTCGAGTTGCCACCGCCAGGGCATCCTAACAAAGACGTTAATGATGTCGCACACACCACCTTGCTACCCGCCCTCCATATCACGTACCTGGGCCAGAGACGCAAGTCGTGATACTGCCGCTCTCGATGTACACCCCCGACCAGTACAGGTCCTCGTCCGCGTCGGCGTACCCGTCGCGCGGCAGCTCCAGCACGCCCACGTGCCAGTCGGCGCCGTTGCTCGACACAGACGCGCTCTGGGGCGCGACGACCTGCGCGAGCGCTTCACTGCCGGTGCTGTGCCAGAAGCCGACCGTGTTGGCAGAAAAGTCAATCTCGTACGCGACGTTGTGCCAGACGTCGGCCGCCCACTCGGTGCTCCACTTGGTGCTGCCCCCGATGCACCAGCGCAGCAGGGTGTCGCTCACGCCCGGGGCGCCCGAGAGCCAGCCGGCCTTGAGCTCGGTGAAGTGGCTCTCGAAGAAGGCGATCTGGTGCTCGCGGTAGATCGAGGGCGGGTTCGTGCCCTTGCGCATGAGGGAGAAGTGGTAGAACACCTTGCCCTTGTTGATGGCCGCCGAGGTCTGCGGGATGAGCTCGGTGCGGCGCATGTTCTGGCCGTTCCAGAAGGACGTCTTGTCGAGGGTGATCTTGGCGCCCTGCTTGGAGCCGCCGTCGGCCGGGTTCTTGTAGGAGGGGGACAGGTTGACGTAGGAGGACACCGAGGAGGGCCCGTGGATGTAGTACTGGTAAGGACCGACTTGATTGCTCCAGGACCAGTTGTTGAGGTCGGCGCTTGAGATCATGTCATTGAACCGGCCATCCCAGAGCACCGTGCCGGCTGAGGCCGTCGCGATGAGGGCGACACCCAGTGTGACCAAGGCGGGGGACTTCATCCTGGTTCTGGTTCTGCAGATCAGGTTGGCAGGCGAGAAGTGAGTAGGAACACTGGCAATTGCTCCAATAGTTCCCAGAACCTGGCACTTCTTCCCCCAAAGCCTATTTATACCACGGCCAGACAAGGCATCATGAGGTCAGGAGCCCGCTTTGTGCATCTCCGCTTAGCTTGTTCACCGGTGATAGGGGGCATCCTAGGCATTGTGAGCTACAAAACCGCAATCGCGGCCCGCGCAGCACATTGTATGCAAGTGAAAGAGAAGCTAGACAAAGGTTAGAGTTGCAATTTCCCGGAGTATCATGTTGCAGGCATGGCCGTTTTGAGTAAGGTCCGATGCGAGGTTCCGCGGTTCGAGGGCTCCACAGCGGAGGACCAAGTTCCAGGTGCCCGGTCGCCGTATGACAATGTCTAAAGAGTGCACCAATGGGAGAGAAATCTCCGTCGTTCCGGGGTCAATATGTTTGGGATCCGCTATGAGAATCAAAGTGATGCATTGGTCATGGCGCCAAGTGGTTCTCAAATGAGACCACGACTTGTCGGGTTAACTCTTTGGGTGACGAGGCCCATCGTTGATCCCAACACATAAACAATAACGTGAAGATGGTGCTGCAGAGCGAGTATTTCCAAAGCTTGATTGCGTATCAATTGTGGTATCTCGCTCCTCGATGGTTATTTATGGAAATTAAGCAAGTAGAATGCCAAACAACATCGCTAGAATAGGAACAGCGACAGTCCAAAAGAGACCGGCACCTCCTTCGCTTGGTCGAACACCTGGGGCTGCATCGGGCGAAGGAGCGACAGTGACCCTCTGTATTACCGTCGTGGTCTTGGCGGCAGTGGTTGGTCGAGCTGTTGTTGTAGTAGGTTTCGTTGTGGTTACTTCTGTCGTCACTGGATACCAGACTATTAGGCTTGGAACTGACCCAAAGGCTTTGATGGAGCTTCGAGGACTGACTTACACGCAAAGGTATTGCGATAGAATGAGCGAGGGACCCTATAGAAGTTCGAAGACTCGAAACAACCTATCAGACTACGAACTCCTGTAGCCTGGACATCTACAGAATTGAAGATGGTGATGGTGTCGCAGAGTTGCGTGCCGCTAGTGCCTGGTATCAGTACTGCCTGCCATCAGAGGACCTTCGCAGACGAACCAAGAACATACCAGTCACCTCTGCCTCCTCCAACTGCCAAGGCAGTGTGGCCATCGCAACCCGTAGCGTACATGCAATTTGATGATGTGCTAGCGCAGCAGGCGCCAAATGTCGGATCTGCAGCAAAGTAATTGCCAGGAGGACACGTCCACGAGTACCCTAGGTGGTTAGGTCAGTGCCGGGCTTCGAGACGCTCAAGAACTATGTATGCGCCCACAGTAGCCAGCAGAAGAGAAATACCCAATGAAAGGGTTTCCGGTCGCCCTCTTCTCCTTGTCTCCCCTCAGGTCGAGATTCGGTAGTTCGGGTGCAGGTGTGGTGCTGACCAGTAGCGGTGGGCTTGTCGGGGTATGGGCGAGCTGGAGAGGCGGAGGAAAGTAGTCGACAGGCTGCTCCTCCGGGATTTGCAAGTCTGGTTCCTCGGCCAGTGCTACCGTCGCCGCCACCAGCACGGCGCCAAGAATGACGGGAAGAGCCGAGGAGAACATCGTGGCGTCTGCGATCGGTAGACGGGCGAAGACAGAGAATCGTGTGCAACGGTGTTGGCGGTGGCGCTTTGGGTTTTTGAACATGTACATCATCACTTGTGCCCAACGGCCACTTCAGCTGACCCGACATCGTGATCTCATATCCATGCGCTAGACAAGGGGTGTTCAGGTCTATCTGACACTTGCCCGCGCGAGCTGAGTCGACTGGGCAATCAGAAGGTTCGGCGATGGCTTGGCATCCAACGGTTGTGTGTAAGAAACGTGCTAACGGCCCAAATTTGCGCCGATTAATCCTGGATCCGCGCATCTTCAGATCAAACCAATCAACCAGAGCGGAGCGCCTGAGAAGCTTGAGAAGAATAAGCTGTTTTTCTTGGTAGGGCTGCGTTGGGTCAACACTGGCGGCTCGACTGACTGGTTGCGGATAGGTATTGGTCCTGGGCGCATCGAGTCCTAAGCCCTACTTCTGATGCTTAATTCTCGATGGTGACCCTTGGGAGCCTGATCTTGACACCTCTCAAAAGTCATCACCTAAATTGGGCTTTCCGCGTCACGGCTCACCTGCACACATTGATCGACATGCTGAGCCCTCAGAAGACCTGCAGCCCCAAGATTGAATCACCTCTCACTGTTCTGATGATTATATGGCTAGTAAAGAAAAGGCATATCACTCAGCGATCGCGCTGCTTGCGGACTCAAATAGGAGGACTGGAAAGGTGTTGAACATTTCTCAGGCCCGTTTTAAATTGCTCATGCGACAATATCCCTTTGCGTACATGATGAGGCAGAGCTCTCCCAATCAAAGCAAGTAGTCCCTAACCTCAGACTCGCCTCTCGAAGCAACTAATATCGCGGTCAGTTCAGGCATTATTATCAACCCTGAAGGCCGCATCTTACCGGTCATTGCGGCCCATCGTACGGTTCATAACCTAGGCACCCAGTCTTCTTAAGTCGACACTGCAGTGGTAGACGAGGCCAGAGCCAGCACCATTGGTGCAACCAACGTCATCGTCGTGGGTATGGCACCCAGCCGGAACGTAGTTCACACAGCAGTACTCGCAATCGTGGTTGTCCCCGTCAATCCACGCGGTACACTGTGAGGTGGGAGGTTCTTCACATTCTTCCCGCTTCGTAATCTGCTTTCCCAAACCAGGAAGGGCAGTCACACTGACAGCGGTGGCGAGAACCGAGGTAAGAACGTAGACAGCACGCATTTTAAGGTGTCTTTAGGGACAAATTGGCTATTCAGTATGAGTGAAAGTGGGAGAGGCTTGTAGATGGTCCATTTGATTCCCATTCCTTTTCAAAGCAGATGTCGACCATCTTATAGCAGGATGTCGCGCTGGAAGGTTACCCATGGGTCAACCCGAAAGTCGGCATTGCCCTCAGCAGCTTCCTCCGCACATTTCAGAACCCAGCCAGTTGCTATTCAATGACTGATTCGATTTGGAGACGATAATTGCCAATCCCACAATAAATCGTCATTTCTCAGCTGCACAGGCTCCAGCACAGACTTGACAGGGTTGCGAGCTTTACAAGGTTCTTGCCGAGACTCTTGGCCCAACCCTGATGGACTCAGAATGTTGACAAGGCTTGACTAGAACAAGCATAAATAAGCTTAAGGAACGGAAAAGTTGCCCAAAACAAAACAGAGTAACCCCCACGCAACTGCCACACGGTATGAGTCGGTTGGCTGCGTTTTGATGGCAGTCCTTGGCAGGCAAGGATTTTGTTTTCAAGTGTGCTAAACCCGGATGAACCCAATATTCCCTCGGTACAAATGGGCGAAGACCTTGTCATATGAGGAGAGTAACAGCTGTATATAATCCTGTCCTATGGCTGCTTAAGACGCAGGAATGCACCCGGGGCGACACCTGTGAAACAAGCTTGTATTGCTTCAGTGCTTAATGATCGCCGCCATGAATCACTTTCTACGTGGACTTGTCCTGCTTGCAGGCCCCGTGGCCGTAGTTATGGGGCTTCCACAGGGTCCCATAACCGCTGCTCCGGTCGAGACTTCTTGCGCGTAAGCCATTCTTTCGGGCAATTAACTTCTGCGAATGAGACACTGACACATGTGTTTGTTAGAGACGTGACAAGCACTCGATGGGGCATCGATACCACAGTAACAGACTACTATGGATTTGCGCAGTCGCTCATTTCCAAGTACTTAACCTCTGGGCATTCGCACACAGGAACGAGAATCCCAATCCACACCACCACTCGCTACGATTCGAGCCGTGGGGTACTCTGGACGGCGTACGGCTACATGCAATCTGACGTATTAGAAGCGGAAGGCTACCGCATCATCAGCTCGGTCACCACTACAAGGAGATGCTCCACCAGCTCTGCAACATGCTCGCCCCACGGCGATCATTGGCATTGTCCAGCCGGAGTATCACAGCCGACTACTCCTCCTCCGCAGCTGACCAGCCCAACTTCAAAGGAGACAACATCTCCTCCACAGACATGTTCGCCTCATGGGGATCACTGGCACTGCCCATCAGGCGTGCCACAACCAACCACGCCTCCGCCTCAGCAAACCACTGCACCGGACACCACATCTGTCTCCATCGGGACCTGCACACCCCATGGCGATCACTGGCACTGCCCATCAGGCGTGCCAGAACCAACTACCCCTCCGCCTCAACAGACCACTACACCGGACACCGCCTCTGCTTCTACCGGGACCTGCACTCCCCATGGTGATCATTGGCACTGTCCTCCAGGTGTGAGCGAGCCTTCCACACCTCCAGCTCAGGAGACGACCCCACCTCCACAGGGGACAACTACGCCCTCGGGCGTATGCACGCCTCACGGAGCCCACTGGCATTGTCCTCCAGGGGTCACTGAGCCTACCACCACTCCTCCACAGCACAACACGGAGACAACAAAGACCGGGGTCCCTCCTCCGGCGCAGACGTGCACTCCGCATGGAGATCATTGGCATTGCCCATCTGGGGTCCAGGAGCCGACGTACCCACCTGGCAGCGGCGATGATGGCCATGATCACAGTCAGAACGGTGGACATACTAACAACGCGGGCGAATGCGTTGCCCACGGGGACCACTGGCACTGTCCAGCAGGTGTTTCAGAGCCCAGTTATCCTCCAAGTGATGACCACACGGGCTCTGGTGATGGTGTCCGGAAGCCAACCAACCTTCCCAGCAGTACTGCTGGGGCATCTGGCTCTGGGTCAAAGTCAGGATCTGGCGCAGTAGGCGGCTCCGCGAACGGCTGCACTCCACATGGGGATCACTGGCATTGCCCCGAGGGAGTCAAGGAGCCATCATATCAGCCTGGCAGCACCCTGGCGCTTTCCACGCCTACAAGACCTGGATCGGCTGCCACCTCCTCCCCTGCCGTGGTTGTAAATGCTGCCGTATCTCTGCAAGGTTCAAAGACTGCCTTCATGGGGATGATTGCGGCTCTGTTTTGCCTCCTCGTATAGAGAAGCACGCACCAGATGTAGTTTTGTGTCTCTTCATATACAGTATTCTTCATCAGCCTAGTCAAATTGATGGTTGTTTTCACTATTTTCCTAGTGTTGTGACATCGTGGACTTGTACGACAAGAAGAGAGAATCTTAATCCACACGATTGAGAAACATCATGAAGGTCGCGATTGCCACCACCTCATCCAGCTCTGCTGAGTTGAGGAGGAGTACCCAGTCCTTGGTGTAGCCATGCTTGGCTGCAAACAGGGCGATAAGCACCCGCTTCTCGTCGACAAGCTTGTACAGGGCCCCTTTGCTCTCCACCATATCCCAAAAGAAAGGATTCGAGTCCTTGACAAAGACCTCCTCGCTCCGGCCCGGTGCAATGAGTTGACTCTCGATATCGTGCGCCGAGTGCGGCGAGCCCTCGGGAAAAGTCACAGTTCGCGTGCCCAGCTTGAAGAGCGAGCCAGACAGCGAGGCGAGGCGGTTGCCGTCCTGGTCTGCAAACGCGAGATCCATGGAATACCAAGCCTTTCGTTTCAGGACGTAGACAGGCCGAGCTTTGTCTTTATTCTTCTGTGCGAATGCCTCGACTTGAGCGCGGAAGTCCTCCGGTAGCGGGTAAGCAAGTCCATCTGGAGCCTCTGTCTCGCTGCAATCGATCACGCGCGTCTCTGTGTTCAGACCGAGGGCTGACTGGAGGAGGAATATCTTATCGGGGTGGAATGAAACAGATGTGTCGATGGGAAATTTGGTCGGATCCAGGCCCTTGAAGAACCCCATGGATACCACACTGATGGGAAGGCGAAATAGGTTAGCGGGTCCAGGTGTATCGAAAGGAACTGGCTGAAGGAGCTGGGGCAAGATGATGTAAATAGGGATATTTAGCCCAGGAAGGCTCTCTGCAGTTAATTCATGATGTGATAATTTCCCCGCGCGGACCGTCAGGCATTCCGTGAGCAGTACACCAGCGGTAAGACGCGCAAATATTCATCCAATCAGATGCCACCGTTGAGAACTTGGTGTTCACGCTTCAGCCAGATACAAAATGCGCAGTCGCATTGAAGGTGTCCCATTGAGGCGCAGTCCACGCGTGGAAAAGCCCCGACCTATGGCCGGGCATAGGAAATATGCACATGCAACTACTAGCAGCGTGGCTGTTCAGAATGAGTTGATTGGACTCGTTCACTTAAGTGCCTGCCCAAGCCAATTGAGATGGCTCGTTGAGATTGGCATGCCACCTTTATTATCAGCCGCAAAAGTTCAGTCTGCCTTGTGTCCAACTAGTGCAGGTGTGCTGACATCAGTGCACATGTTGAATTAGGCAGCATTGCTGCATATGAATGCCCAACTCGATTTCGACGAGGACTACTTACACCAGGAGATCCCCTTGCCCCTCCTGCAAATATGCGTTTTTCAATCACAATGCACATGGGATGCCCCTATTGTCTACTTTCCATAAAACAACGATGAATAACAACGATGATGCTGCCAACGACGACGCTGCCAGGGAAAAGCTGCCGAGACGAAAGGTTGACTCAAAACCCCCTGTGTGGGCTTGTCCTTTCTACAAGATCAATCCAATCAGACATTTGAGATGCACGACCACCAACATTTTGACGGACATTTCTTTCGTAGTTCAACACCTTCTGCGAAGTCATCTAGCTCTAAACTATTGTCCAAATTGTGGAGAGAAATTCCATACGAGAGACCATTGCGACGATCACATACGAGGGCGGCAGTGCGTTGCGCGACCCTATCACCTAGAAGGGATGTCAGAGAAACAGTTGGCCGCCATACGCAGGAGGCGGGCACCCAAGCCTCAAACGGAGCGTTGGTATGACATATGGAACATCTTATTTCCTAATATTTCACCACCGGATTCACCCTATGTATGCTCTCCAGGAGACGAGGCATCTTCAAACGGGCTGTATGGGCCATCCGTGATAGCCAATCATCTACATCATCGGCTATTAGAGGGGCCACAAAACATGTCAGTCCGGAATCGCGGCAAGAAATAATAAGAAATGGCCTCGTGAAGCTCGAGTGGGCGACTATCGATTCGCTCTTCTGTGACCAGGATGATCTATCTTTCCTGACTTCGGATAGTTGGTTCTCATCCGACCCAAAGGCTATCGGCGGATCATCTCTCGACCAACACCGGCATCCACCTTCAGAGCATCTTGGTCCTGAACTAAATGCTGTTGCGAATAGTACTCTCTTGCCTTCGGGTTCTCTTCTCCCAACCGATTCTGGGTACAATTCCTTGCTCACCAAAGATCTGATACCTGCTCTGGACAGTTCAATCCAGCAATACTCGTCTATCGCACAAATCGATAAACAACAGCTTGCGGTCGAGACCACGACACAATATTCGGATGCATCTAGCCTATTACACCACCAAGATGTCATGAAATGGATCAGTGGGTTTGCCAACGAAGTCGCAAGCTCTCTAGCTATACAGCCTTCCTCTGCTGAAGTATTGGCCATTTCTTCAGATCTCCCGCGCATCTTTCAATCTTTCGCAGCCCGAATGGGCTTCGAAAGTCATGAAAAGGAACACCGCGATCTGATGTACCTCGCTCGAAGATTCCAAAGGTACTATTTCACATCCGATGATATGCTCCTTCTCATCGTCTGCTGAACTAACGGCCATCAACTCTCGAAATAGAGAGATCTCGGAAGGTTTACACAGAATTTGGGCCGAACACAATGCTGCAGTCGAGAGTGAAGACAGTATCTCTAGCAGTCAAGACGACTTGCACACGTCTGAACCGTCTGAACCTGCTATGCACTTCCGTGACAAGTGTGCGGAGTGGAACATAGATGCCGACTGGGCACAGCGTCTTGAACCTGCAGATGATATGGAAGGCTGGCTCCATTCAGCTAATACCGCCAGTCTTGAAGTCGGGGACGACTTTTTGGATATGTCAGGGCTTGACGATTCCGATATATCGGGCTTATCAAAGTACTATGCAAAACTGCGGGAGGCCGAGGCTTATCAATGGCTGCTCTCCACGATCCGAGCAAAATTCTCTCTAGAGACACGAAAATCAGAGATCTGTCTCCAGCGTGTCGGCGATGACATTCTGCAGAAGGTTACCCTCCCCCGCAGAGTAAGCCGGGCTGCGTGCTATGGGCTTAGCATGCAGTTTGTGGTCGAATGGGACCCTTACAAATTCTCAGATGACCAGGAATACAGCCATTCTTTGGATTACGTTCTTGAGCACGCCGTTACCTTGACTGGTTGCAGCAACAATCTTCAAGCTGTCACTTGTGGAGAGTACATGAGACAATGCTGGCCAAGGACTGGGCCATGGCTCCTCGCGTTCTTGCAGCGCACACTGGTGAACACTACAGCTAGCTATCAAGGTATGTGTGCTAGAACTCACAGTGCCGGCTACGCAGCGTGAAAATATAGTGGTTAACGATGTCAACAGATACCTTCCCCGACAAAACACGTCTGGCTGCTTATCACGCAGACTCCAAGCTTTACCTGGATGCAACCGGGGCCACCTCCTCAGTCGCCGAAATTGGCGATCAGATTGCGTGGATAGGAGCCGCCCTTCGCTCTTCCCCTTATCCTGAAGAAGCGGTTTATAGCTCCGTTCATCTGCGGTATCTCGCGATCACTGCCACAGCAGACTCTCATCATATGTTCCATGGAAGCTGTGTCCTTGCATTCGACATCCAGCAACTGCAAGATTCAGAAGTCGCTGGAGATGGCGGGTGCTGGCGTGGCATGTTCCGAAACCCTGTCATTGTCAAAGGATATCCTATACCGCGAAGAGGTCGGCCCAATACCGGGCTAGAGATATCTCTAGACATGGTGGCAGCACTAACAAATTGCCAAAGAGTTATGTCGTTTGCCGGAATTACATTTCTCAAAGGGTTTGCCGCCATGCTGTACGTGCATCAAGATCTTGGGGGTTTCATCTACTGGCATCTCTGCTATAACCCAAAGGGCGAGTACATCTCGTACGCAGACCCAAGAGTCCTCCGCGGAGCTGCCAACACCGTGCGAAAAGTCGGATTGGATACGATGAAGATGCGTCGTCACATCGTGGGCTGGACCGATAATGCGAGGAACTTCACAGGTTTGTCAATAGCCAAAGCCTCAACTTACATCGCTTCATAGATGTTGCTAACAAATCAGGTTCTGTGGACGCAAACTACGCGATTGAGTGGACAAACCTGCCTCCGCCTGACGCAAAGTGTGTCCTGGAGAAAGTGACCGTGACAGGCTCTGGCATCCCGTTCATCAACCTCGGTGCGAGCAATCTTCTAGGGGTCAAAGACAAGCCCCTTCATGTTGGGTTTGCAAATGGCTATATGGAGCTACTTCAGGCGATCGGCGAACGGAGTTTCGTGCTATATGAGCCTGAGGAGAGGCGTGCTTGGCTCGTCGATGGTGCCAGTGCAGCACTTCATGTCCTCCGGGCTTATCTAAAATCGCAACTCGACGACAGTCGTGTGAACAAGTACATAAGGTATAGTGACGGCGATATTGACGAGAAGATAGAGCCAGATCGATCGTATAGCGGAGCAGAGGCGGCTTTCGATATTCTGCTGAATCCGGAGAACCAGACATTACCGATACACGCAAAGGCGCCTGAGCAGGCAGAGGAGACGCTGGCGAGGCTGGGGTCAAAACATGAGAGCGACAGCAGAACAATCAAGACTGTGACTAGCCACTTTACGCTCAAAGAGAGGGTAGAGCAAATCTGTCACGTCCTTCTCCTGATGGCCGCTTATTATGACGATGTCTCCGCACAGTCTGGGTACGGATGGCGACTCGCAAATACTTTGTATCATAGAATAGAAGGGTTTGAGTAAGTCATGTCCCGGGTAGCTTTCTGCCATTGAGCTTCGTACTCAAACTTTCATCACCCAGATTCATGGATGTGGCGACCAGTTACGGCACATTGCATCCCAAGGTGGCTACAATACACAAGTGCAGCATCGGGTGGGTTCATTTCATCCGAGCGCTGCGCGCGATCCCATTGTTCGGTGTCGGCTTTGGCGATCTGATCAGGCCAGCTGGGACGGGGGCGCCTTGCTGTGCATCCACATCTCCAGTCCCAATCGGAAGAGACTTCCTCGCTGTTTATGGCGCTGACCTTGAACGGATTCTGCGAAAGGGCTCCATGAGGAGGAAACCTTGGCGGTTGACTGGAAACATACATTGGCACTCCCCCGGAGGGAAGGCTTTTGAGCCATGCAAGTGTGAAGGAAAAGCAGCCACGAAGGGCAAAGAACAGTGCTCAAGCGGATGGTCTCTAGCGGGACGCAAAAGGGTGAATATGCCGACTCCTGCCGATCTGGTCCAAGTTATTTTGCCAGGGAACTTTCCACAATTGTATGGCCGAGGACTGCGAAGCCCCGAACGGGTTATATCTAGGGGTGCGGTTCTTTTTGGTCACTCTATGCTACTTCCCCTAAGGTGGAGCTCTGTAAAGAACGAGCCACCAGAGGAATGCGATCCGGAGCCGATATCAGTGGACGACGTTACAGAGCTGGTCGATGATAGTGGTATTGGGACAAGCAACGATCTTTCGTCAGGGCAAGATTCTCCTGGTCCATCCTCGTTTTATGCTTTAGGCGGGAATCCGGGGTTTACTGACACTTTACCCAACTACTTGGAGCAGGAGGCGACAAGCTCAGAAGACGTCACTGACAATGATGCGGTGGAACAGATTGTGCCACTCACAGAAGGAAACAGAAAACGTCTATCTCAAGAACAGGGCGCAGATTCTGAGCATGCGGGCAAGGTGCGACGTGTGGATGAAGGCACATCTTGATGCGGAATAACTTGCTTTTTTTTTCTCTCTATATTGTTTAGTTCTACCTTCAGGAGTGTCACGCAATCTTTCCGGTGTTTTTTTTCTGGTATCATTTCGTCCAAGTACCTGTCGAGGTCATGAATTTACTGGTTGTGCGTAGTCCATGCGTAATGGCACCTTTTTAGACTGATCGCTTCTGCTTCTGAGATTTGGGCATTCGATGTATTTGCTCATCTCGGAGCTGCAAAATCTTGGCCGCCGCTCCGGCAGGACCGCCAATGATCGCCCAAGTGCAGATTTTCCCTCCCAGCCGTGCGTAGCCCTTCCAAGTATGCTTGCCGCAAGTCGGGCGAGAGAGATAAAGTGCAAGGGCCCAGACGAGAATGGCTGCGGATCCCACGTACTGGTCATAGTGAAACCAACGGTGCATCTCATCTGGCACTGATCCGGGCGGACCATATGAATAGAACGAGCCGGGTTTGAAAACCTGTTCGAACGTCAAGGCCTGGGCGATGTGGTCCGGAAACAGACTGGGCATGAGCCAGACGGTAATCAAGATGGTGTAAACAAAGATCTGAATAGTCGCTGCGAATTTGAAGGCGACGTCGTATGCTTTTGACAGGATCTTCAAGTCTTGGTCCTCGTGCTTCTGGTCCGGACGTTGATCCTCGTGCTGGGGTGATTTCGAGGCCAGAACATGCTGGCATGCGTAGAGGATGTGCGGGTACAATTGCCAGGCGGTGCAAAACCATTGACGGAGGAAATTAGATGAAAATGGATACACGAAGAGGATTGTCGGAATTACATAACCGATCGCGAAGCTCGGAATCAAGACTTGAAGGGCAAGAGGTGCGCGGCGACGTAGCCGGTTGGCGTCTGAGCTCCCTGCGGCAGTAGCCGAAGTAAGAAGATGGAGGCAACCATACAAAGGCATCACTATCGCGTAGCCAACCACCTGCATGAGATGGCACCAGAACAATGACCTGGAGTTGAGTGTCAGTCAACCGCCTGTGGCCACGGCACTGTCTGACTGATGTGACGACTTACCAACGCAGCATGCGATTTCGGTTCCCAGCCCTGAGGCCTTCAATCATCAGCACGGCCACCACGGGGACGAGCTGTCCTCCGAACTGCAAGCCGTAAAGGGACATCTCTGGCCTTGAGCCGTCGATGGTGTTGATGAAACAGAAATTGGCGAGCACGAGAGAGTCGTCGATTACCGGTATGCCGAAGTATTGACGGATGGCAGGCCGCGAAGACCCAGGCAACCGGGCATCGGGGTCGTTGAGCCAATTCCACGCTGTCTGAGCGAAACCAGAACGCCAGATTTGGCCATACATGCTGTTGATCCCGAACGCCTCGACGAGTGCTAGCAGGGCCGCCGCGCCATAACGGATCCGCGACGCCGAGTGTTCATGGGCCACTGGGCTTGACATTCTGTTCATGCAAGAGCTTGAGTCACTTCAAGCGAGGAATGTGCTTTCTAGATGTTCCTGTATCCGAGTTTTCGAATGGTGCCTCAGTGAGGGGTTGAGGATGAAAGAGTCCGAACGAGTCCGAGCCATTGTTGTTGGTCAGATTCATTCGTCTTTATTGGGCAACATAAGCGAGAATCCTTCAGGCATTCTAACTATTTAGGCATCCAGGAGTCATGTTCTTCAAGTTGTTGCAACTGCTTTTGGAACGATGACCAAAATTCTTTTTCTATCTGAATGTCAAGTGAATCCATGATCAAAGGGAATCTAGCTCTGGGTGCTTTCTTTGCTGTCAACATCGGCCTACGATGGAGGCACTCTTACCATCAACGTCCACTAGACTGGAATGGGAATGCAGGACCAGATCCCTGTAGACGCTATTTTGCCAGCCGCAAGCATGGTGCTTCAAGGTAAGGTAAGGTTAACTAACTAGACCGCGGCTACAATCTGTGTCATGTGCTTGGCAGCAATATTGAAGCTCCACATAGCGGATCGGGGCTTGAAGCGAAACACCGATCTCGATAATCCGGATGCGCGACAAGTGCCTAATGTCATGATATTTTTCGATATTTTCATCTTATCGGTATCCTGACCTGCGGTGCGCCGGTCAGCCGGGACCTCCGTCCCTGCAGGTCAGCCCTTTGGCATATGCGCCGGATTCTTCGGACCAGCCATATTTTTAGGCCAAGCCTCGGCACTCGGCTGCCCTAACGCCCTTTGGGCTTCGAGAACTTATCAGCCAACCTCGTCGCTGGGTGTTTTTGCAGAAAAGAATCCCTATCCCATCCCCTGAAATTGTGCATGGAGTGACTTTTGGTGCCAAGCCCCGACAAGCTTTCGTCAGATCACAAGCAAGAGCCCACAAAAAGTACACCCCGACATTCCAGCGCTCGTCTTCACGAGTCATACCGAGTTTATCACGAACGCAGGCGGAGCGCCGACCTATCACGCCACGATTGCTCGTCATGAAGTCTCAAAAATGGAGCTGGACTGCGCCGTCTCCACAGTAGCTTGGGACTTTTTGTTTTGCTTCGGATCATATATGTAGTGAATGGAAGAGTCATGAACAGTGCTGGCTTATCTATGTCAAGCCTTTCTTCTCTGCAGTGATTATGCTTGATGGCCAAACCACAATGACACCTCCAGAATCAGATGATACGAATGCTGGCGACACGATGCCACACGAGGAGCACACCACTGATGGTGAACGGACACCCCAAGACGACGCCTGGGTACAAAAGCCAACCCTCATCGCTCGCCACGAGCGTGACGAACGCTCGGGGTTCCCGCCGCGGAAACTCGGAGTAACATGGCAAAACCTCACCGTCGAGGCGGTGGCCGCCGAAGCCACCATTCACGAGAATGTAATCTCCCAGTTCGACATAGTCAGGCAAGCACGGAGCCTCCGGAGGAAGCGGCCAATGAAAACGTTGCTCGACAAGAGTCACGGGTGCGTCAAGCCGGGCGAGATGCTGCTTGTTCTCGGGCGTCCCGGGTCCGGATGTACGACGCTCCTCAGTGTTCTTGCCAACCGGAGGCGCGGATACGCCTCCGTCACCGGGGACGTTCATTACGGCTCCATGGATTCGAGGGAGGCCAGGCATTATCGCGGACAGATCGTCATGAACACGGAGGAAGAGCTCTTCTACCCCACCCTGACCGTTCAGCAGACTATCGATTTCGCGACACGTCTGAAGACCCCGTTCCGCTTGCCCGAGGGTATATCGTCCAAAGAGCAGCTGCGAAACGAGACAAGAGATTTCCTCTTGCGCGGCATGGGCATTGAGCACACCACGACGACCAAAGTCGGTGATGAATTCGTCAGGGGCATCTCGGGCGGAGAAAGGAAGCGGGTGTCTCTCATCGAGTGCATGGCGACAAATGCATCAGTCTATTGTTGGGACAACAGCACCAGAGGTCTAGACGCGAGCATGTACGTTCTCATGCTTATCTCCCCGCTGTTTCATGTGCTGACTCTTGTTTCCAAAAACAGGGCATTGGAATACGCGAAAGCGATCCGTGCAATGACCGACATCCTCGGCCTCGCATCCATCGTCACCCTTTACCAAGCCGGAAACGGCATATATGAGTTGTTCGACAAGGTTTTGATTCTTGAGGGGGGCCATGAAATGTTCTACGGGCCTTTAAAGGAGGCACGCCCGTTCATGGAAGGCCTGGGCTTCATCTGTCAAGAGGGTTCTAATGTGGCCGACTATCTGACCGGAGTTACCGTTCCCACCGAACGCCTCATCCGACCAGGCTGCGAAAAGAGCTTCCCGCATACCGGCGAGGAAATTCGGGTTCAATACGAGCACTCCGATATCTACAAACACGCAATCACCGAATACGATTACCCAACCACCGAAGAAGCTGCGGAAAATACAAGACTATTCAAGGAGGCTATCAAGGCCGAAAAGTCCAACCACATCCCCGCCAGCAGCGTCATGACGGTCAGTTTCCAGAAGCAGGTCAAGGCTTGCATCATGCGGCAGTACCAGATCATCTGGGGCGATAAGGCCACCTTGTTCGCAAAGCAAATTTCAGTGGTCATCTTGAGTTTGATCGCTGGCAGCTTGTTCTACGACGCGCCCAACGACTCGACCGGCCTATTCCTCAAGAGTGGTGCCTTGTTCTTTTCGCTACTATACAACAGCCTGTTGGCTTTGTCCGAGGTAACGGCGTCCTTTACCGGCCGACCGGTGTTGACAAAACACAAGTCCTTCGCTCTCTACCACCCAGCTGCTTTTTGTTTCGCACAGATCGCAGCAGATATCCCGATATTGCTGGTGCAGATCAGCAACTTCTCCCTCATTCTCTACTTCATGGTAAACCTGACAAGAACGGCCGGTGACTTCTTCACATTCTGGATCATACTGTTTGCCACGACCATGGTGTGTCAATCCAATGATACCATTCACTGAACGTACGGTTGCTAACTCGAGTCTGACACAGTGCATCACAGCCATGTTCCGGGCCATTGGCTCATCTTTCCGGACATTCGGTGCTGCCTCCAAGGTTTCCGGGCTGATCATGATCGGATTGGTCTTATACAGCGGCTACTTCCTTTACAAGCCAACCATGCACCCGTGGTTCGTGTGGATCTTTTGGATCGACCCTCTCGCGTACGCTTTCGACGCCCTTCTCTCCAACGAGATGCATGGAAAGACCATCCCTTGCGAGTCGGTCAATCTGGTTCCGTTCGGACCAGGGTACGGAGACTCAGCGCACCAAGCATGTGCTGGCGTTTTGGGCGCGCTGCCCTTTGAAAACTTCGTTCTTGGCGACAACTACCTCAAGGCGCTGTCTTACAGCCATGCTCATCTCTGGAGAAACTTCGGTATCGTGTGGGCCTTCTGGTTCCTGTTCGTCGCTATCACGATCTTCTCGACATCGCGGTGGAAGGCGAGTTCCGAGGCCGGGTCGACGTTGCTCATTCCCCGCGAGAAGGCAAAGGTTGTCAAGAAGGCTATGCACAAGGACCTGGAGGCCCAGGAGAAGAGCACCGGCTCGAGCATCCCCGACAACGCCAACGACAGCTCCGGTCGTGACGACAGTTCCGAGAACCTGATGCGCAACACGTCCGTCTTTACGTGGAAGAACCTCTCGTACACTGTCAACACGCCCGAGGGCGAGCGCAAGCTTTTGGACAACGTCCAGGGCTGGGTAAAACCTGGCATGCTGGGCGCTCTGATGGGTATCTCTGGCGCCGGGAAAACGACGTTACTCGATGTGTTGGCGCAGAGAAAGACGTTTGGCACGATCCATGGTTCAATTCTCGTCGATGGAAGGCCATTGCCAGTCTCGTTCCAGAGATCAGCGGGGTACTGTGAGCAACTGGACGTTCACGAGCCGCACGCGACGGTCCGGGAGGCACTGGAATTCTCGGCTTTGTTGCGGCAAAAGCGAGATGTTTCGCGAGAGGAAAAGCTCAAATACGTGGACGTGATCATCGACCTGCTCGAGCTCAACGACCTGGCAGATACCCTGATCGGGCGCATCGGCGACGGCCTGACGGTCGAACAGCGGAAACGCGTAACGATAGGTGTCGAGCTTGTTTCCAAGCCAAGCATCCTCATCTTCTTGGATGAGCCGACATCCGGTCTCGATGGGCAATCCGCCTTCAACACTGTACGCTTCTTGCGCAAGCTGGCTGATGCCGGGCAGAGCGTTCTCGTCACCATCCACCAGCCCTCAGCCCAGCTCTTTGCCCAATTCGACACTCTCCTCTTGCTCACGATCGGTGGACGCACGGTCTACTTTGGCGATATCGGCGACAATGGACAGACGGTTAAGGACTACTTTGCGAGGTACGGGGCACCTTGCCCGCCCGACGTCAACCCTGCCGAGCATATGATTGACGTCGTGAGCGGCCACCTCGAACATGGACACGACTGGAGTGAAACGTGGCTGGCATCTCCCGAGCACAATGCTATGGAGAAGGAGCTGGACCATATAATCACCGACGCGGCCTCCAAGCCCCCAGGTACCGTCGATGATGGCCACGAATTCGCACTCCCACTCTGGGAGCAGATCCATATCGTCACGAAGCGGATGAACCTGGCGCTGTTCAGGGACACGAACTACGTCAACAACAAATTCCTCCTTCACATATTCTGCGCTCTATTCAATGGCTTCACGTTCTGGAAGCTGGGAGACTCCGTCGTCGACCTGCAGCTGCGGCTGTTCGCCATCTTCAACCTGATCTTCGTGGTCCCGGGCACGATCAACCAGCTGCAGCCGCTCTTCATCGAGCGGCGCGACATCTTCGAGACGCGCGAGAAGAAGTCCAAGACGTACTCGTGGGTCAGTTTCGTCACCGCGCTCATCGTCTCCGAGGTGCCCTACCTCGTCATCTCGGCCGTGCTCTACTTCGTCTGCTGGTACTACACGGTCGGCTTCCCGCGCAGCTCCGACCGCGCCGGGGCCACCTTCTTCGTCGTGCTCATGTACGAGTTCATCTACACGGGCATCGGCCAGTTCATCGCCGCCTACGCGCCCAACGCCGTCTTCGCCTCGCTCATCAACCCCTTCGTCATCGGCATCCTGCTCGCCTTCTGCGGCGTGCTCGTGCCCTACCGCCAGATCCAGGCCTTCTGGCGCTACTGGATGTACTACATCAACCCCTTCAACTACCTCATGGGCAGCATGCTGGTCTTTGACGTCTGGGGCGTGCCCGTGCGCTGCACCGAGGCCGAGTTCGCCTACTTCCGGCCCCCGGCGGGGAAGACGTGCGGCGAGTACCTGGCCCCCTTCCTGCAGGGGTACGGGGCGGCCAGCAATCTGACCAATCCCGAGTCGACGACCACCTGCAAGGTTTGCCAGTACCGCGACGGCAGCGACTACCTGAGGACGGTCAACCTGAATCACTACTATTATGGTTGGCGAGACGCAGCCATTGTGGTTATCTTTGTGCTTAGCTCGTATGGTCTAGTGTACGGCTTGATGAAGCTACGGACCAAGGCATCGAAAAAGGCAGAGTAGATATCAGAGGATTAACCCATCTTCGCTTGTATTAATACTTTGAAAACATACGTTATTTAATCATAGACATTTAGAATCCCCTTAATACTCGTAAGGATGAGTCTTGCGAGAACTAAAGAGCGACCAATCCCCGAACGCGGTCATTCCGGTGCCAATGGAACCTTATCGATGATTTTCTCGGATTCGGCATCGCCAATGCCTGGTGTGTCTGCTTTCCTTCTTCGACAGCGCGTTGTCGTCATACAATCGCTGGTAGCTCGGACATATGACTACATATCCTTCCAGGTGTTGTAGAAAAGCGCTCACTGCCAAACTTTTATCTAGGTTTCATATCTTGAGTAGCGTGTCTTGAGACATATGCTATGCTTATCTGAAGATATTTACTGGTTTATTGTGATCCCAGTGGTGCAGCTGCTCGATACATTGTTGTCCAAGTTGTGGCTCTTGTTGTAATGGCCTCATAGTGATGAGCATGTTAATCGTATCATCTAAGACCCGGCCTTGCTTCGAGTACCGTAGGATGCGAATAATGGATGGATGTGCGTAGTCGAAAGATAAGGGGTCAGTATATTGGACCGGACTCCCCAATTCTTCCTCCGTAGTTTGCGACCTGCCACTCCTATTTCTTTTGTTCAACCCTCCCAATGAGGTTGGCACCCCTCAAGCTTTGATCAAGTGCAGCAGTGTCTCGTCGACTGCCAAGACCTGCATCATGGCAGACATTGAGAATGTGCTCATCGGACAGCAACAAATGCGGGGAGCCGCGTCCGACATCAAGGTTGAAGAAGCAGCCGTTGAGGCTGGCAACGAGAAGGAAGACGCCTCCTCCAAGGAGCAGGGGTCGGTCGTGTATCATCATGGCCATGCCCTGCCCACCGAGGAAGAGCTCCACTCACTCCGCCGTGTCGCAGACCGTATTCCCTGGAGCATCTACACGATTGCCTTTGTCGAACTCTGCGAGCGCTTCTCCTACTATGGCACCATTGCCGTCTTCACCAACTTCATCCAGTGGCCCATGCCGAAGGGCTCCACCACGGGGTCCTCGGGCGGTTCGGGGCAACCCGGCGCAATGGGATTTGGCCAGCGTGCTTCGACCGGGCTGACGACGTTCAATTCCTTCTGGGGATATACCATGCCGCTATTCGGTGCCTGGATTGCCGACTCCCGCCTCGGCCGATACAAAACGATTGCCTGGGCGTTGGCCATCGACATCTTTGGCCATGCCGTGCTGTTCACGTCCGCGATGCCACCCGTGTTGAAGAAGCCTGAAGCCTCCATGGGCGCATTTATCATTGGCATCATCGCCATGGGCATCGGAACTGGTGGTTTCAAACCGAACGTCAACCCCCTTATCATTGAACAGCTGCCAGCCGATCGGATGCGAGTGCGGACTCTCCCGACGGGCGAGAGAGTGATCGTTGATCCCGCAGTGACCGCCTCGAGAGTGTACAACTACTTCTATCTGGTGATTTAGCTCCTTATTATCTCCATCTGTGACTTTGCACGCCACTGACCGTGTTATAGTTCATCAATCTTGGTGCGATCTTTGGCCAGCTTGGCATGGTGTATGCAGAGTACTACGTCGGCTTCTGGCTCTCGTTCCTCCTCCCGACGATCCTGCTTTCCTTCTGCCCTGCTGTCATGTGGTGGGGGAGAAAGCGGTATCATCGCGAACCTCCATCCGGATCCGTCCTTGGCAAAGCAACAAAGCTGTTTTTCATGGCCAACCGGACTCGATGGTCTCTGAACCCGGTGACGACGTACAAGAGGCTGCATGACGGGACGTTCTGGGAGAACGTGAAGCCATCGCGCTTCCCACCCGGCCTGCGCCCACCCTGGATGACATTTGACGACAACTGGGTTGAGGAAGTCCGTCGCGGCTTTCACGCCTGCGCCGTGTTTCTATGGTATCCCCTGTTCTGGATCTGTTACAATCAGAGTAAGCCTGCCTGCCGTTGTGACAATAATGGATGGTACGTACTGACAATGCAAACAGTGACAAACAACTTGATATCACAAGCAGCAGTGATGCAACTCAACGGAATCCCCAACGACATTCTCACCAACCTGAACCCTCTCACCCTGGTGTTCCTCATCCCAGCCATTGACCTGCTATTCTATCCCTTCCTCCGCAAGATGCGCATCAGGTTCACCCCGATCAAACGCATCGCCACGGGATACTTTGTCGCAGCCTGCGCCATGGTCTGGTCTGCTGTCGTGCAGTACTACATCTACAAGAAGAGTCCCTGCGGTTATTACGCCTCGGGCGATCTCCCGGATGGAGAGCGCTGCCCTCCCGCACCCATTACCGTGTGGGCGCAGTCGGGCTCGTACGTTCTCATTGGCCTTTCCGAGGTCTTTACGCTCATCACTAGTCTCGAGTACGCCTACTCGAAGGCGCCGTCCAACATGCGGTCCATGGTGCAGTCCATCGCGTTGTTCATGAATGCCATCGCGTCGGCGATCGGGTTCGCTCTTGTTTCGCTTTCTGCCGTAAGTCTTGGCTTTTCCGCCCACCTCGCCTCTCACCTGTTCCTGACTGACAAGTCTTCCCAGGATCCTCTGCTGGTGTGGAATTATAGTGTGGTGGCGATCCTGGCCGCTATTGGAGGAGCCTGCTTTTATCTCCAGTTTCGGGGCCTGGACAAGAAGGAGGACGAGCTGAACAATCTTCCCAAGGGTAACTTTGCTGCTGGCAACAACACTGAGGCGGGATAATCGGCGAGTTCACGGGTAGTAGCATGAGGACTTTGAAACTAGAATCAATGGGCCTGGATGACAGCAGGCCGTGCTTTCTTATCAAATTTCATTCCCTTTGTCTTGCCCTTCAATCGATCTTTCATCGGAAACAAGCATACCAAAAGTTGCACTTCCTCTTAAATAGCTTCTTTGAATATCATAATGGAAATACAAGTTGTGTCTACTTCCACCCCAAGACCTCCGCCTGCACGGCGACGTACCAAGCACCCGGGTCCTCACCCCACGCCTTGAACGCCTCCCTGACCTTCTCAATCTCCTCATCCGTGATGCCTGCCGCCGTCCAGCTGTCCCTGTAGGGGTCTCCGGGCGCGAGCTTGGCCAGCGACGTAGCCGCGATCCACTCGCGCTGCTCCCGGCCGGCGTACACCGTCATCCCGGCGCTGGGTTTCACCCTGTCGCCCGCGGCGTCGAACCCAACCTCGGCGTACAGCGCGGGCATGTCCCCGCCGGGGAACGGGAGCATGCTCTCGTCGCCGTCGCCGCCGTGCGCGCGGGCCCGGTCGCCGTACCGCGTGAGTAGCGCGTCCGGGTTGCGCGCGCGCGGGTAGAAGTGCAGCTCCGCAGCGTCGCGCGTGGCCAGCACGCCCCCCGGGCGCAGCACGCGGCGCATCTCCGCCAGGGCGGCGCGGCGCATGCGCGCCGACGGCAGGTGCGGGAACAGCTGGGAGGCGAAGACGACGTCGAAGGCGCCGTCCGGGAAGGCGAGCCCCGCCAGCAGGTCCGCCTGCTGGAGGGTGACGTTGGCGGGCGGCGGGTCGAGGCCGGCCAGGTGGCTCCTCGCGAGGGCGAGCACCTCGTCCGATATGTCGATTGCGAAGACGGAGCCCTGGGGCACGAGGCCGGCGAGGCCCGCTGTGATGGTCCCAGGCCCGCATCCGACGTCGAGGATGCGGTCGGTGGGCTTGATGTGGGGTAGCAGGAACGCTGCATCTGAATGGATGGTCCGCGCTGCATGACTGGCCACGGTGGCTGCTGAGTACCCCTGGGTGTAGTTGCTCTTGGTAGGCATTGTTGCAAGAATCCTGAGTTTGATTGCTTTTGATACTAGGTAGGTAGTGTGTGGGAAAGGCAGCTAGTGGCGTATTAATAGGTGATAATTAGACCACCTCCGTCAACACCGTCAACGCCGGTGTCAACCCCGCTCCTCAATTACGTACTCCGTGCTGTAAATGTGAGGTCCGGACGCGAAAGACTCGGCACAAGATCGTGACTAGCCGCCTTTGAAACAGATCACATGCTTAATGACCCAGAGAATGCTTTTCGCGACACACAGGTTTCGCAACTAGGCCTATCTATCGAGCGCCGCCGAGCAAGAGTCAAGCAAATCAAGTCCGCAAGACTAGTGTTCACAGAACGAATAGCTGTTTGACTGGAACATCTGCTCCGAGTCTTCGTGGAATCTGCTCCGCTCCGCCATCAGCGCCAGCCGGTGCTCCCGCGCCTCCTCGACCGTCATCAAGCTAGGCGGCACGACCCCTTCCTTGCGGACCATATCCATGACCTCGGCCGGCAGTCTGTTGGCGTTGGTGGATTTGTCGTCGGGGTAGACGTCAGCCACGCCGCTCTCCTGGAGCATCTGGAAGACCTCTGGCGGCACAGTGCCTCGTTTCGGCTTCTCGCCGGCGCCAAAGGTGGCCTCAACCCACCAGTTGAGCTGCTGCGGCGGGACGTTGGCAGTCGAGATGATGCGCACGTGGGGATCGACGAGCCAGAGAGCTATGAAGCGCCTGTGGCCCGGCTTCGTCGGATCCTGAAGCTTGAATGAGGAGACCCGATGTTGGCTGAAAGTGGACATGTCAGCAGAAACACGTTAAACGTTAAGATGCACAAAGCACGGCGTGCTACGTACAAGGTGTTGGGAAACGCGAGGAGCCGGCCCTCGCGGGTTTCCACGCTGCCGTAGTTCTGAAGGCAGGCACCACTGTCGGTAAAGTCGGTCCCGTAAATCTGCTCGAGGTAGTTATACGAGTCCTGGCCGTAGTCAAAGTCCTGGTTCGCGTCGGGCGCGGTGGATATGCGGAACGAAAGGTGGCTAGGCGTGACGTTCTCGCTGTCCAGGTAGTAGAGAGCCGTCGCGCAGATCCGTTCGTTCATCTGGCCCTCGATCTGGGAAAAGGGTTAGGTCCTTGCTAGAGTCCTAGGAAGGGCTGGAAAACATACATGCCAGCCGCCCTGGGGAAACTCGGGCTTTTCTGGGGTAAGCTCGATGGTTGCCATCTTGACGATGACTTGCAGGCCGCTAGATTTGAACGAGTCGCGCAAGGTGTGATGGGGCTTGTAGCTGATATCATCGGGGGCCTTGTCTGGCATCGGGAAGTCTGGGTCTCGCATATTGCGCCATATGTGTTCCTTGGTGACCTTCTCGCGAGCCGCTTGCAGTTTTGCTTCCGGCGTGAGCGATGCAGTGTCCAAGTCTCCTTCATCTAGCTCTTGCTGAATGTCATACTCCATGTCCTCTTTCTCAGAATCAGATAGTTGGTATCGGTCAAGCTTGTGAAGCGCGTTATACTTCGCCTCGTCAAACTCCTCCCATAGCTCGTCCATGTCGTCCCTGGGAACATCGAAATAAGAAACTCAACTTTGGCCTGTGCCCCATCAAAACGAGTTAACTTACGCGACATAGCCAGGCCTGTCAAAGCGAGGTTTCACAATTCCCACTGGGGCAACGTCGACGTAATCGCGTTGCTTGCGAAGGCATTGCTCCCAAGCCGGGATTGCCGTATCGATGAGCCTTTCGATGGCCCTGTAGATGCTGGGATACTTGTCTGGGTGAAGGTTGTTGATGTAGCTAGTGGATTTGACGGAGCCATCGCTCTGGAAAGCGAGATTAGCAGGGAGCCACTGATAGTTGGTAGACCAAAGCTCCCGAGGAAGCTCGTCGACACTACGAGCCCATCGCCAACGTGTTGAAGCCTTTTTCTCAGCCGCCTTGGGGATCACAACCCCTGATTTACCAGACCACTTCTGGACCGCATCCGATACGCCGACAACTTCCTGTTCGATGAACGGCGAGCGACCTATGGCAGCACGTCAGTTCTTGCATGCTTGGAGCATATCTCAGCAGATCAATTCAGACACGCACCGTACACAAAGGGGTACATGGATGGATGGACGAGATCCTGCACTTGGTCGTTGCTTCGCGGGTGCCAGTCCACATTGGAAGCTTGATCAGCACGGAGCTTATCGAACGAAGCTCTCAGCTCAGACTTCAGAGCATCAGAAAGAAGAGTATCGGATTTGACGATGCTGTTGCCAGCCGAGTCCAGGGTTGGGATGAGACACGTCTTCTCAAAGTACTTGGCCTTCCTCTTGAGTTCCTCGAGGCACTGTCCAGGATCTTGTTAGTGCAACCGATCTCAGGTGGCCAATACACAGACAGGTGTAAACAGACGTAGTCAAACACCCCGGAGTTGATAATCGGAAACCCCGGCTGGTGTATCCTGTCCATGTCCTTGCCTTCGGTGACCTCGCGATACCAGGGGCCCTGGTCCATTTCCTCGGCCTCTTTCCGCCACTTGGCAGTGATTTCGTCGTCGAATACCTTCTTCTCCCAGCCCGGCTTATCCGTCAGTCTATCCATGAGGAGCATCATGAACACCTCCCGGACCTGCAGAACATCCGAGGACGCGCCCGGGCAAGACTGGTGGGCGCCGATGGGGTACTGCGCAACTCGGTGGTCCGGCACATAGCGCAGATCCAACTGGTGCCCGGGATAGCGATTGGACTGGGCCATATTGTCAACGGATGCTCGTTTTGCTTTTGCTGAGAGTGGGAGAAGCATGCAACGAGGGAGCTGAGGAAGAAGAGCCCGAGGCCAAGTGCGGCTGAAGCACCAGTGGGAGACCAGTGGGGCTGGTCTGTGGAAGGCGGGGCGTTTAGTTGCGGCAATTCTTGCTCTTAGGCCAGTGACCATGCTCTGAAGCAGTCGCATCGAGCTTCGTCGTCGAGACGCATTGAGGCAGTTTATACTTCAGTGTCATGATCTAGTTGGGTTCGGAATCTTGCGTCCATGGCAGGCAGTCGCTGGCTGCCTAGCCTCACCATAGGCTTCAGGGGCGAAAGTGGATCAAGCCAGACCCGATACGGACCATGCTAGGCCGACCATTGTAGTGTACATCAGGACATCAAGGGACATGAATGGCATGAGCAAAGACTCTTGATGCTTTGTGGCTAGGACCCATGAGGCCTATCAGCCTGGACACCATTTAGTACTGAAAGATGCAAGTCTAAAAGCAAGATCAAGAGCAGGCTTTGTTGCACAGAGTACTCTTTTTACCTCACGACCATTCAGTAACCAAGAAATGGGATACTAGTATTATGAATGTCTATAGTGAATGAGAAAATAGGAAAAGCCAAATCTATATATTGCAGATATCACGAATAACGCCCAGCCGATGCCAAAATTGACCAAATGCCTTCTTGTTGTGTTGTTGTGGAGAACATGGCGAAAAACATGGCGAAACAGACAATTGTCAGCCCCTAGTAGTAGGAGCCCTGGGAAGGATATCACTGGTAGGGTTTGATCTGTCCTTCGGTCCAATCCCAGAACTTCTCGGAAGCGCCGGTGCCACCCTGAGATTGGGGTGTTATGCTCTTGGTCAGGTCTTTCGTGACGTTGCTGAGTCTTCCCCATGGAGCAACTGGAAATGAGATTGATTAGTCTTCATCTTGCAAAGAGAAAGATACTTCAGGCATGCGACTTACGGAAAGATCCGGTGTTCGCCATCGAGATGTCAGGGGAGAACCCAGCGTAGAGCTCCGTGTACGCGCCAAAGATGGTCGGGTGCAGGATGAAGGTGTTGAGGAACCACGACGCGAACGCGCCCTGCGTGCGCCAGAGCTCCGACCTGAGGTTGCCCGGGTTCAGCGACACCGACACGATGCCGTTGGCCCTCTGGCGCTTGGCGTACTCGGACGAATGCCAGAAGTTGCCGATCTTGCTGATGAGGTACTTTTCCGAGGAGGACCTGTCCCTGTGGTAGTCGAGGTTCTCGGTGAGGCCCACAGGGCTGACGCCGAAGACGGCCGAGGAAGAGACCCAGACGACGCGGGTGGCGCCCTCGGGCTCGGTCTTGGCCGTCTCGGCGAGGATGGGCGTCAGCAGCTTGGTGAACAGGAAGGGGCCGACGCAGTTCACCCCGAGCTGCAGCTCAAGACCCTGCTTGGTCTTGGAGCCGGCTGCGGGGAAACCGACACCGGCGTTGTTGAAGAGAACGTTGAGCCTCTTCTCCTTGCGGAGGAACTCCTCGGCGGAAGGCTTGATGGTGGCGAGGTCTGCCAGGTCGAGATGGAGATAGACCAGCTGTCCTTCCGAGTTGGGGACGGTGGTCTTGATGTCATTGATGGCCTTGAGAGTCTTTTCCTCGGAGCGGGCGGCGAGGTAGACCTTGGCGTTGCGCGAGTAGAGGATCTGGGCAAGCTCCTTGCCGACGCCAGCGTTGGAGCCGGTCACAATGTAGACCTAGAAGCGAGTCAGTCAGAGGGCATTGGGGCCCACGGATGCGTGGTGGATCATACATTGTCCTTGAGATCCCGCAGGTTCTTCTCGGTGATCGTGGGCTTGGCGTTGAAGGTGTGCCGGATCATGCACCAAAGCCGGTCCATTATGACTGATGTCTGGGTTTGTTTATGTGCGGTTTGTTGCTAGGGATGTGCTGGACAATGGGCAGCAGTAGCTGTATGATGCTTGTGCGGGGGAGGCGTGTAGTGGTTGGTGTGTCCTCTTTGCGGTTTGAGCTGGTTCTGCCAGAATAGGAGAGCGCTGAGAAGGAGGTGGATCAAGGATGTTATATACTTAGGTAGTTGATGGTCAATTTGCAGAGGCGAGGATCAGATGTCGTGTCGCACCTTTGAATCACGCTAGTATTCTAAACCCGCGGGATTGAGAGAAAAGCCAAGCCCGCTCCGCTGTGGGTTCTTAACAGAAGTTACTTGTACTTCCTTGGGCTTTTATGGCTGACCCTATGTCGCCTTCGATAGACACCATTCCCATGAATCACTGGGAATCCAAGAAATCCGTAGGTCTTCCGAATCCCCCCGGCCCCGCGCCCATGTCATGATCGAAGTCCGGTTTTCCTTCTCGTGATGCTGACATCCGTCGTAATCAGCCTCGTGCAATCACCATTCCCTGCCCCAAAATACCTCGGAAACCACTGTAAGGACCACATACAGACAGTACCAAGATCCACCGGCTCAAAGCTTGGCTCCCCCTGCTTTCTGCGGCGTAGTGTGTATCTGTCTCGGCATTCAGATCACACCAATACACTAGCTGGAGCTGCTTATCCCGCCGACCTAAACCCCATGGAGTCCCGCGCGTCGCCGTTCCAGCCCGCAGCCTACGGGAAAGCCTGTGGAGGCTGCTCTAGGGCCAAGTGCAAGTGCTTCTATCGTTCTGACGGGTCGGGGTGCGAAAGATGCAATCGCCTCGGGAGGGTCTGCGAGCCAGCCGTGCCTGTGCGGAAGCGCAAAGCCCAGCCGCAACAGTTGACTCCGCCTCCACCTCCACCGCCGTCGTCGTCACAGCCCCTCCAATCAGCAAGCCGACTAGAGGAGAAGCTGGATGATCTAGTGACGTTGTTGAAGTCCCAGGCGGAGACCAGACACTCACAGGAGCTGCAAACTTCGCCGAGCAACAACTACAACACCCCTTCCACCACACACACCCTTGTCGAGTACACCGCCCGTACCCCAAACATTGCCATCGATAAAAGTGCCGGCCTCGTCCAGTTGATGCGGCCAGAAGACGGATCCGATGGCGATGGATCTGGCCGATCGATTCTCCTGCACGATGTATCAGTCTATGCCATCGCAGACACCATGGCGCAACAGCAGCTGGAGACATTCCGGTCTTCATTCCTACCCATGTTCCCCTTCGTACACCTCCCTCGCACTCTCCGTCCTACGAACCTACAGCAACAAAGACCATTTCTGTGGCTGGTAATCATGGCTTTGACCACCAAGTCAGTGAATCAGCAGTTCGCTATGGAGGACACAATATGGCAGATTCTATCGCAGAGAGCGGTGGTGCAACACCATGCAGACTTGGATCTAGTCCTCGGTCTTATCTGCTTCGCGGCCTGGTCACATACGTTCAAGAAGGACAGGCCATTCATGTGTACTGTGGCGCAACTGGCGGTGTCCGTCGCGCTTGAGTTGAACCTGCACAATGATGCTTCACTGAGGGCTGGCGCGAAGACAAAACGACTTTTGGGAGATCCAGAGCCTCGTGCTCGTACGATGGAGGAACGCCGGGCGATTCTTGGCTTGTTTCATGTCACTTCGATGTAAGCTGTCTCCTTTCCTTTTGTATTTCCTTGCTTCGTCATTCCTGTCCCTTTTGCGCTTGTTCGTCTCTATATTCAAAAGTTAAAGAGAGAAAGATAGACAAGATAGCCAAGGGAAAGCAGACACACATATCTCAAACCTTCCTGGTATCACAAGCAACAAGAATGCTAACAATTCCGCTCACAGCACATGGAATGCGTATCGGAAGACGGAGCCTCTGCGATGGAGCACCTATCTTGATGAGTGTCTTCGAACCCTCTCACAGACTCCTGAAACCCACCTAGATATTGCACTCGTCTTTCAAGTGAAATGTCTCCTCATCAACAACCAATTGACTGGTCCAGATGCTTCCGCCCAGCCCGTTGGCGTTGAGAGCCACGGTGCCCCATCACCGATCCTAGTGTCAGCGCTCCTAGCCCAGCTTGGGGATTTGGAGTCGAATCTCCCTCGAGAGGTTCGATCAATGAGTAAGTATCAGACCGTCTGCTCACGTTCCAACAACTTTCACTCATCAGCTTGCGCCAGATATCATCCACTGCTACATCCACAACACCGAGTTGACCATTCGCGAGTCTGTCCTACGGAGACCCCGAGTACAGGACCACGGCGGCGTGGCCCAGATGCAGCGTCTCCAGGACCTAGAGGCAACGCTGTCCGCGGTAGAAAAGTGGATGCAGGTGTTGCCGGCGATGAGGACGGTGGACTGGGCCGGCATCAACGTCGACAACTTTGCGCAGTTCACCCACTGCCTCGTCGTCCTATTCAAGCTGACCACTCTCAACGAGCCAGGGTGGGACACAGCCGAGGTCGAGAGGCGCCTCGATCTGTTTGACATCATGGACAAGTCCAGCGACCTGATCGCCAGCATACCTGGGGAGATTGGCCTGATCGAGGCGGACGGGCCCAGGAAGGGCATCTTTCCCAAGGCTGCGGCACTCATGAGAGCTATCAAGGCTTTGTTCATGGCCGAGTTGAAGGGGGAGCAGGCGGAGAGCAGACCGCCGGATCCGTCCAAGCAGACACAGACACAAGATGACGCCGAGATGGATGCTTCTGGTTTCGATCCATCCCTTCTCGCAACAGACGAGTTCCTGCTCAACTTTTCGAACGAGCCATGGCTGGCAGATATCTTTACGGACAACTGGTATTTGGACCCCAGCTTACAGCAGGAGCCTATTGTTGTCGGCTGGGATGGTGGGCAGTCTGGGTGAAAGGGGAGAGAGAGTATTGGCGGTGACAGCAGGATGACCCGCGATATTACATTTATGATGACACTTTTTTTCGCTTTTTGTCTGTGTGATATCTACCTCTGCTTCGTTATCATCGCCGTCGCCTCCATCCCCTTTCCCTCGAACAGCACGCCCGCCTTGCGCAGCACGTCCACGCAGCCCTGGATCGTCGACGCGCTCACGCCCTTGGTCGTCTGCGGGAACCGCACCGTCTTGAGCCACTCGGTCGCGTCCTCGGCCGAGTAGTCCAGCTCGGTGCTGATGTACCGGACCGCCTCCTCCTTGTTCTCGTTGAAGTGCCTGATGCCCTGGTCCAGCTTCTCGAGCAGCGTCTCGACCCTGCCGTCCAGCTCCCCGCCGCCAGTCAGCCCGGTCGACGCGACGATCTTCCAGCTGCTCCAGGGGGTGTAGATCTCGCCGACGCGCCGGATCTCGCCCGAGTCGTAGTACCTCTTGGACGTGAAGTGCTCCCACATGAAGAAGTCGGCCTCGCCCGAGTTGACGGCCCCGCGCAGGTTCGCAAACGTGTTGAGGACGACGGTGTCGGAGTATGGGGCCCGGCCGGGCGTGAGCCAGCCTCGCTGGTCGGCGAGGACGAAGCCCATGACGTAGCTGCCGGAGCCGATGCGCGACACGCCGATCTTGCCGCCCTTGAGGGATTCGACGGAGGTGATGTCGGTGCGGTCGGTACCCGTGGAGATCGCCCAGCCTGCGGAAGGTGAAAAGGATCGTGGTCAGCAAGTGATTGGGGGGCGACATTCTTGTGGTTGGTGGCCTGGCGCAAACTCACAAAGCGGCGTCTCGACGTATGTCCCGACCAGGCGGTACCCGCCGTCGCCCTGGACGTCCTCCTTGCCCAGCCCGGCCACCCAGCCCTCGGTCAGGCCGATGCCGACGTCGATCTCCCCCCCGCGGAGCGCCGTGATCATGTGGCCCGTGCCGGAGGGGAAGGGGATCAGCTCGGCGTTGAGGCCAAAGTGCTTCTTGGCAAAGTAGATTGGGGTCGAGAAGTGCTCCGGCACGTAGCCGACTCGCAGCGGTGCCGTGGCCATGATGTCTTTCTCGGAGAGGTAGCAGGTCGGAGAGAACATGAACAAGGCAGGACCACGAGCAGGAGGGAGAGCGAGAAGAGAAGATCAAGTACAAGTACGAGTTCAGTCGGCAGTCATGGAAGAATGTGGAGAGAGAGGCGGGGAATCGATGCCGAAGATCGAGTCGAGTCGCGGGCCGACCCCACCATCGACAAGTGCCCGGCGTAGTACGAAAGACGCAATTCCTGCTGTATTTCAGCGCTAATCATACTCTACTTCAGACATTGCCGAAAGCTAAAATTCTGGGAGTCTTGCATCACCGGATACTGGGCACGCTGAAAGGTTACTCTCATCTATTGGTCAATAGAATTATGCATTGCTTGGCTGATTTGTTCAAGGCATGTTTGATGTTTTGAACGGCCCATAAGGCTTCAGTTGGAGCATACCCATCATTTCCTTCGACAGGGAAATATTCCTGAAACAAGACGAAGCGAACTCAGTACCTCTGTTGAACGGCCAGGCTGCCAGTGAACTTAGACACCTTTTTTCTTTTTTCTTTTTTCTTCTTTCTTCTTTCTTCTTTCTTCTTTCTTCTTTCTTCTTTCTCTATTTTTTTCTTTACTAGTATACATAACGGAAGTTCTTGTTGAGAGCATCTGTCAGGTCTTCCGGCCCCCCATCTCCTTCGATGCTAGTCAGGCTTGTAGGAACTGCCGGACCATATTGACGATCACGTCTCGAATTCTCCATGCGCCAGCATAAAGCTAAGGTCAGTATGAAGAATATGGCGGCCGAAAAGCAGATAATGACGGCCAAGAACCCGCTCTAGAGAGACATAATCTCGATTTGTTAGCCCAGTTCACGAATGCTAGCTTTAGCTGTAGTCTGCGAAGGAGTGTCGTGCAGAGGCAAGCTTAGGGTTAAACTCGAGAGGTTTGTGAAAGTGAAGAACAAGACCGACCTGGTATCTTGGAGCCTCGCGGCTGAAGAAGAAAAAGGGGCCGAGAATGTTTCCAACGCAGTACGCGACGAACATCATAGCGTTGACTGTCGCCTTCTTTGTATACCCGGCAACGTTGGATGCGACCATTGATAGAGACAACGGGAATCCAGCAGCGTAGGCGGGGAAGATGAAGAGGCCGAACAGCTTCGCACCCTTGACATCGCTCGCATAGATGATGATGCAGCCCATGAGACTACGGCTTGTGTGAGCAAAATAGGACTTGTACTGGCTGGGCTGGTTAAGTCAGGTGACACATACGAGACAGAGATGCATCCCGCTGTCAATAGGCAGCGTGCTTTGGGGAACTTGCCCGCCAAGAAGGTGCTGGGTAGCATGTCAGATCCAACAACCCGGGCTTGATCCCACGAGAAACTGGGGACCTACCTTCCAATGGCAAAGAACGCGTGAATGCAGCCCGTTGGAATCGACAGGAGGAAGACCTGTAAAGTCGAGAACCCGAAGCCGGCCATGACGAGATTGCTGAACTGTTTGATGTGACAAGCGTCGGATTTAGTACTTGAAGTAGCTTGCCTGGGAGAGTGCTCCTATCACGGCGCGGGCGTCCTTACCGTGGTCAGACCTCCGTTGGGGATGTTGTTGGACAAGTTAAAAAGGACAAGGAGCCAGATCTTGTAGTCAGAGAAAGCCTCCCACACTTGATCCCATTCGATCTTATGATTGATAGTACCCGTCTGGTTAAGTTTGACTCGTTCCACAGCTTGGGTTCGCTCCTCTTCGGTGAGGAACCGAGCGGAGGATGGGCTGTCTGGGAGTAGATACCCCAGGCCTACTGCCCATAGCACTGTTATCATTGCGTAAATGAGGAAAAGCCACTGCATGACAAGGTCAGTTTTGCGACGGGCTGAGTGGTAGTCAGTGGAAGCTTGTTACGTATCACTTACCTTCCAAGAGGACAGGCTATTGCGAATGTGAGCGATGCCATACGCTAGCAAGCCAGAAAATGCAGTTGCGACCGAATTTCCAGCAAACCAGAGCCCGTGTCTCAAAGGTTGTTCATCACGTCGATACCAGGCTCCGGTGATAAGGCTGAATCCCGGACTGACAGACGCCTCCGCCGCACCCAAGAGAAATCGTACAATCATGAGGCCGGTATAGTTGTGCGTCGCCGCGTGGCACCCGAGTATTATGCCCCAGATGAAGCTGCCGGTAGTCAGAAGTTGTAACACAAACCCAAGTCAAGGTCTATATGGATGCGTCAGGCAATATCTTACAAGTTAGACGAGAGATATTTGCCGATTGGAAACTTGACCATTAGGAGCGAAGCAGGGTAGGAAAATGCTAAGAAGCCGAAGTAGAAGACCGACCCTGCCCATGAGAACTGCGGTCCTTGGAGATTCTAGAGTTTTGTTTGTTATCTCGCCTGGCATCTTTTCCCTATGCTTTTCTTGAGATCTCTTACCAGATCTTTGATGATACCCATCAACGATGCCTGGCTTAAGGTCTGTTTGTCCAAGAACTGGATCATATATGACAGACACATGAGCGGTATTAGACTGTGATCATCAGAATACAAGTGGTCAGTAATCTCGAGTGTCCTTCTCTTACTTCAATGTTCTTACTGCAAGTCGATCTTTCTTAGCAACGTGCTAGACCAGCCCAGCCGTCCTTCTTCCACTTCGAAGGGCTCTGTCGGGCCCGCAGTGATATCTCCGGGCTTCTCAACATCGTTTGCCTTGATGTCGGCCACTTCACTAGATAGCTTGGGAGTTGGATCGGCCATGATGTAACAAAAGCTGAAAAGTAGTTGCCTTGATGAGAAAGCTTGGGGGAACAAGTAGTTGACAAACAGCCTTCAACGAGCTTGAATGGCTCTTGCTACGACTGGGGATGGCTGGTAAAACGACAATCCAACAGTCCAACTCGACCGTATTTGTATTCTCCCCATACCTTAACATGGCCGTCCCGAGGTAACTTGCCGTCCGTTCTTAGGCACGATATCTGTGCTCCGGAAACTCAACACTTCCTCATTCCGCGCCCCAGGGGTAGTCTGGACACCCTTATCAATTAGTTCTCTATGAAGTAGTGTCTCTGTTCCCCGCTCGCTCACACTAGCTTCGCGTAAAGATGGTCCACTCGCAACGGGCATTGAGTGAACATAAGTTAACAAACAAACTCGCTGATTGGCTGTTTCGGCAACTTCAAAGCTGGGCGGCTACTTTCCCCAGCTCTCGTCGTGCGTCTCGGGTGCATGATCAAATTCACTAGTAGTCGTTGATGAGAGGCCAAGCGATAAAAGCAATGATCAAGAATTTGCATCTCAGCTGCATTTTACCGAGAATCGGCAGTGCTTTGTGTAATTCAGACGCTCAAGACTATCTCCTGCTCTCCAAAGCGATAGATTTCTCCGACATCTTATTTCGGTTCCGCCTCAGTGATTGCCGTTGCGGCAGCCCAGCACAAATGTAGATATCAAGGGCTGGGCATGAGGCTTCCTGTTCACCCAATAGTAGTGTTCTATGTGCTCCCACAAGCCCAGATGACCTTGAGCTTATCGCCGATTGTCCCAGACATGCCTGCATCTCGACGAAGGTACTCTGTGGTATCATGCATCCACCTGCGATCTTCGGGGTCCTTTAAGAATCTTGCAAACACTGGGAGACACCACAGAACCCTCAGCATGGCCCGGGGTTTCATTGCCATGATCTTCCTGACAATACCCATTCCGGCTGCGAGGGCATTTCGATGGCAAGCAGGCGAGCCGTTGCTCGCTGTCACACATATATGATGATGGTAGAGAACTTCCAATGCGTGATAGTCGGCGACGGCGTAGTACATGTTCTCCGCTTCACGCGTGGTGATCGTGTGATAGGGCTTCTGTGCCAGAATGATGAAGTTTTGGAACCGCTATGCGGACACAAATTGGGACGTCAGCGACTGATCTGCAATACCGAGTGGGCTATTGTGTGGTAGAGCATACTTTACCTATCCGTTCGAGACTTCGGAACAGACTCTCGGGTGCGGTCTGGGATTCTCTGCCAAGGTTTACATCTCTGACGTATGAGACAAGGTTTCTTTTTAGCTTCGCACACTCATGAGCAAAATCCAAAGGCTGAGAGACGGCTAGATCATCGGCAAGCGCCTCGATTGGGTATTCCTCAGCAAAGATGGCTGAGTGTACGGCCCGACTGTCGAGGAATGCAGTGTCGACAACATTACAAAACTCATCATCCGCTGCAATGCAATTCCATGAATCGTCTTCAGAGACGTCTCCCCAAGAGTGACTGAGGTCCATATACCTGCGGCGAAACGATTAGCCAAGATAACACGCCAGCGGGATGTCTTTGGTATGAGCTCAAGACTCACATGAGGGACATAAGAAGCCACTTGCTCAGCACAGATAACTCTGTGTCTACCTTTGAATTCTTGCTCGGGAGGACCCCGCGGGCCTTGAGAAACGCGTAGGCGCCAGATATGTGAGAGCGCATCGCAGACCACCCGCTACCGAAGTGGCCCTCGTACACGACCATCAAGACAAAGGCAGCAATGACGCCGTCCATCCTGCTCTGAGACGGAGGGCCCCGCGCAAAGTGCGCCAGCTCATTCCGAAACTCTAGGAGGGCGGCACTATAGTGGGCCAAACCGGTCCCCCTTCGGCACGGAGCTGTGAACTTGAAGTTCTCCGGATCCAAGTCTCTCCGGCCTTCGACTTCACTTGCTGATATAGCAAGGATCAGCCGCATAACAATGGAGGATTCGGACGCTACCCGGCCGTAGAGATAACGCAGAGTGCCCCACTTCCAGGGCTTGCCGATCAAGGTGACGAGTGAGGTATTGGGGAAGTACACGAGATACTCGCGGTCAGCCAGGGATAGGTGGAGGGAGTTGCGGAGCTGACAAGCCCCATCGGCAGGGACGAACACGTCTCGCGGGAGAAGTATCTGGTACTGCGGTGACCTGCGAGTCGGCGACTTGTCTGCACGGATGCGCTTGACACACCGTCGTCTGGCTGCCTGGAGCCATTCGCAGCCCAGCTGGGCACTCCGACATCGTCGGCATGAAGGACGTTCTTCGTCGCATTTGACTTTCCGGGTTCGGCAAGTGGAACACCCTGTTCTGCGTATTAGTAAAGGGATAGTGGAGGTGTGCGCGCCCCGTGTCGGCCACTTACCTGTTCTCGAACGCGGTGCCCCTCGTCCAGCCATGATAGGTCCAGGTATTTGCCGAGAACAAGCAGCTGGTTCTCAGGAGGGCCGCGGTTGGAGCACGGTTGTCACGTAGTCGGCCTTAGATATGACCTGTCCTACCTATCGGAACGTCCCTGTCTTGTCGGAATGTCCGTGTCCGTGTCTGTGAGAACTTGAGATGACAAGGGGAATGGAGAGTTGTCTGAGGAGTTATCTGGGCTTGTGAGGGGTTGCCAGCTCTCTTGAAGTAGCGGCTTCTGTGATTGGTCGGCGAGGAGCCGACTCGGTAGCTCTAATTGGCTGGTAGTCTGCCGAGCTGATAGCCTGGCGATCCACGATTGCGCGGCTAAGATAGTACCTTTGTTGGTAGTGACCTCAAAAAGATAGCTGATATGCTGGTGGTGGCCGGATCGTGAGATTTTCACTACCCCTCCTTGGCAAGTGATGGTCAGATTAGTTGACGGACTGCTAACAGAAGTACTTGACTACCTATCAAGCCCATCGGATTTAGGTAGTGGGATAGCCCTTCCGAGTTCTTAGGGCAAGGATGTGACAGGGATATTGATTGAGGTAGCTCCTGATGAACTTCCGTCAACCATTCAGACAGCCACTTGCTTGGTTCGAAGACCAGGCGTTCGTGAGTAGTATCTGTTACCGAAGCGACTCAGATGCATTCGGTCCAGGCAGTCCTGTTTCCATCGGGCAATCGTCTCACTCCTGTCTCCAAGCTAGCTCCTCCAACCATTTCTCATATTAAGTCTCAAAGCGTCGCCCACATCCATAAGCTAGAGCAAAGTTCTTCGCTTCTCTTGAGGTTGTCTCGAAAGCCACACTATTTGTTATTGCATACGTTCACTCCATAGACAGAGTCTCCTCGACCAATATGGGCTCTATACCACCTTGTCCTACGGAGAACGAGCAGTTGAATAAGCTCTTGAAGAAGCATTCAGAGCTGATCTGCAAAGTCAACAACCAGGTACATCTAGCTCCATAACACGACTTCCACTAAAGAAACTGACAAGCGCACGCACCTGTACCTCAGATACACGACAACCCAGAAGTCGCCTACGAAGAGCACTATGCGCATGACACGCTGTGCGACGCCCTAGAGAGGCTTGGATACAAAGTCACTCGCCATGTTTATGGCCTTAAAACAGCTTTTGAGGCTGAGTCGGGCCAAGGTGGTGCGCTGGTCACGTACAACGCCGAGTACGACGCCCTTCCTGGGATTGGCCACGCATGTGGACACAACTTGATTGCTTCATCCTCGCTTGCCGCCTTCCTGATCACCGCAGACGCACTGAGAGAAAACGGGGTTGAAGGCCGCGTGAGACTTCTTGGAACGCCTGCTGAGGAGGCCGGAGGTGGCAAGATTGATCTCCTGGAAGCTGGCGCGTACAAGGGTGTCGATGCATGTCTGATGGGACATCCTGATACTTCATCCGGAGACCTGAGCGGCGTCATTCTGGTCAGCACTATGGCTCGTGCCAGCGCGACTGTGACGTTTCGCGGCGTGAATGCTCATGCCGGTTATTCTCCCTGGATGGGCAAGAATGCTCTCGATGCTGCCGTTGCGGCTTATACCAACTTGTCGATGTTGCGGCAGCAGATCCAGCCAAATCAACGCCTCCATGCCATCATATCCCGGGGCGGAGATAGGCCCAACGTGATACCACACCTCACAGAGATGATGGTCACTGTCCGGGCAGAAACAGATGCTGAGCTACAGAAAACCTGCAAGCGGGTGATTGCTTGTTTCGAGGGCGCAGCCACTGCTGCTGGATGCACCCTTGAATTTGTCTGGTTTGTACCGACGCACCGCAGGTTCAGATGGCAGGAAATGTTAACGATATGCTTTCAATAGGGACAAAACCTACAAAGACCTACAGTGTAGCAAGTCTATCGCCAAATGCTTCCAGAACATGGCTGCTGGGCAGGGACTCAAGTACCAGTTCGCGCCTCCGACTGTGAGCGGGGCCTCGACAGACCAAGGTTTGATATCCGGATGACTTACTCGGAAAACGGCGTCGAGGTACTAATGCCCACTATCCTGTAGGTAACGTCAGTTACGAGCTTCCGAGTCTCCATCCTAGCTTCACCATTCCGGTAGACCGTCCGGGGATTGGGCCGCATCAACCCGACTTCGCAGAGGCAGCCGGAACTAGCGCAGCATTCGACGCCGCAATGAACTTTGGGAAAGCTATGGCAGCCACCGGGTTGGAGATTCTACAGGATAAAGAGCTTCGCGATGAGATGTGGGCTGAGCATAGAAGGGAATTCGGCGCGAAAGAGAAGAATTGAGCTCTAGTTACTCAACAGTAGCTTCTAACCCACTCTTTGGTCTTTAGTCTACACAATGTTCTCTCTTTGATGTTTGAATAAAGGCCGGCCCCTGAAGCGACGTTTCTCTTGAAAATGAGATCTACTTAGCATGAGTATCTATCTCTAGCTTCTATGTTATCATTGCAAAGTATGTCTACCTAGGCAAAGGCGCCTCGCTTGCAACCTTAAGTATCTCCTCCTCGACATTATCAAAGATGTTGATCGCCTCGCTCTCCCTCTTCAGCTCCTCTGCCCTGGCCCTGAATCTTTCCTCCCTTAGCACCTGCTCGATGGCATCCCCGAGCCGCTCCTTGCCGGGCCGGGTGACGCCCAGATCGAGACCGATGCCAGACCAGCCCACCCTCTTCGCGCACTCCGGCTTGTCCTGCCCATCGCCGGCGATGACCATGGGTATGCCGTGGGCGATACCCTGCGTGACGGCCCCGTACCCGCCATTATGCACCCAGAGATCCGTGTACGGCAGTACGGCGCCGTAAGACAGGTAGTCGGCCACGCGGGCGTTTGTCGCCATCGCCACGCTCGCCGGCAGACGGGCCCCCCTGCTACCCAGGATCATCACCACGAGCACGTCCTCCCTCTGAGAAAGCGCCTGCATGGCCGGGATGAGCAGATCATCCGGGTTGGTCTGCACCGTGCCCTGCGTGACCACCACGACCTTCTTCCTCGCCGGATCGTCCGCCGCGAGCTCGGAGTTGGCGAGAATCTCACTCCACCAGTCGAACTCGGGCCTCTTCGCGGAACCGGTGGTGCTGCGCGGCATGATCCCCACGATGCGAAACTGCGCAGGGAAGTCGCACCGCGGGTACTCGAGCCCGGGGAGGCCGACCTGCAGTATCCGCTCGTGGCAGGTATAATTCCCGCCCGCCATGAGCACCCCGACCTTTCCCGCGACGACGACCCCAGCTTCGCGCAGCTTCGCGTCCAGCAGGCGCGTGAGCGGCGCCGCGCGCCGCTCCCACTCGGCCCACAGCGCCGCGTTCCTCGCTCGCCCCTGCGCCGAGGGGTCGAACGGGAACGGGAAGCCAAAGGGCGGGAGGTCGGCGCTGCGGATCGCGGGCGGCGTGACCGACACGCAGAGGCTGCGCGGCCGCTCGGGCACGCCCTCCGGCAGCGGCGCGCCGAGCCGCAGCGCCACGGCGCCGTAGAAGAAGGCCTCGGCCAGCACGACGACCCTCCTCCCCGGGGAGGAGGAGTACAGGTCGCTCAGCGCGGCGCAGAGGCTCGCGTAGGCGTCGGGCAGGGCCTCGAGGCTCTGGTACGACTGGCCTTGGGCGGAGGGCGGCGCCTGCTGCTGCTGCTGCTGCGGCCAGGGCAGGGAGTCGTGCTCCGGCACGTTGGCGCTGTTGGGTCCGGCCGGGCGCTGCAGGTCCGCGGCGCCCTGGAGGCGGTAGAAGGCGACGCCGGAGGCCTCGATGGCGGCCTGGTGGAGGCTGGAGCCGAGGAAGGAGACGGACCAGCGCCGGTCGAGCAGGCCGCGGGCGATGCCGAGCATGGGCGTGATGTGGCCGGTCAGGGGGTGGCAGACGATCAGGATGGCGGGGCGGTCGCTGGTGCCCGCGGTCGCGGCCGCCGTTGTCGGCGCCATTCCTCTCTCTGGCTTGTTGAGGATGGGTGCTTCTGATACCGGCTAATACACCTGATTGAGACAAGGACTTGGTGAGGAAACGAGGTGGCCACGAATGAAATCTTTGTCCGGGAAGGATTAATTTGCTTGAGTTGGAGTTCGGCGGCAGCAATGAAGTGGATGAAAGGTGGCCCGTACCGCCCGGGAAAAATCCCACGTGTGTAGGTTCTTAGCGGCCGTCCTGGTTTCAGCATCATCACATTCATCATATCACAGGTCTCGAAACATCGCAACCCAACCAATTGTAAAATAACGCCAATGCCGACAAGTTATTGCTCATCGTATGTGCTTCGCGATCCAAAGTCGTGGTCATGATCCCAATACGTCTACTCTATCTACACCAAGCCGACCAGAACGGAGTTGAATTCGCGTCCTAAACATCATCATCAAGCTTGTCCAGTTGTGTGTTCTTTCTACCCGGCCGGATACCATGTTAAAAGGGTACCATCTCAAATGTCATACCAAAAAGGTCGTCATCATTAATACATTGTTCTCCTCCCCCCCCCCCTCCTCCTCCTCCTCCTCCTCCTCCTGACACTCTCACTTGTAGTCCCAGCACCCTGCCTGCTCTACTCTCTAGATAGGCTCGTCCCTCGGCTCAATGAGAATCTCATTGACGGCCACATGCTCCGGCTGCGAGAGCGCATAGACCACCGCGTCCGCCACCTCCTCCGGGGCCAGGACTTTCGCCCCGGAGGGCGCGCCGTACTTGGCCACGGCCTCGTCGTCGGTAGACATGCTCAGCAGGTCCGTCCGCACGTTGCCCGGCTGCACGCTCGTGACCCGCAGCCCGGTGCCCGCCGTCTCGAGCCGCAGCGCCTGCAGCACGCCCTCCATGAAGAACTTGCTGCCCGAGTACACGCCGAGGCCGGGAAAGACCTTGCGCCCGGCGTCGGACGTGATGGCCACGACGTGGCCCTTGCCGCGCGCCAGGAAGCCGGGGACGGCGGCGGCCAGGCAGTGCAGCAGGCCCTTGCAGTTGACGTCGACCGTCTGCTCCCACTGCTCCGTCCGGGCGCCGGCCATGAGCGTGTAGTACATGACGCCGGCGCAGTTGACGAGGATCTCGACGTCGCCGCCGAGCTTGGCGGCCGCCGCGCGCACGAGCTCCTCGACCTGCTCGCGCTTGGTCACGTCGGTCGGGTGCACGAGCACGTTGGCGTCGGTGCCGCCGCACTTCTTCTTGAGCGCCTCGAGCATGGCCGGCCGGCGCGCCGCGAGCGCCACCTTGGCGCCCTCCTTGATCAGCTTGGTCGCGATGGCGGCGCCCATGCCCGACGACGCGCCGACGACGACGGCGACGCGGCCCGCGAGGGGGCCCTTCTTCTCCTCCTCCTCCTCCTGGGGGGTAGCCGCCGCCGTGCTGGCGCCCTGCAGAGGCGGGCGCGGCAGCCAGCCCCGCGCGTAAAAGTGGCGGATGTACGTCCTCCAGAGGTCGCGGTCGATCGACGGCCGGGTGAGCCAGCACTTGGCCAGCACGGGCGCCGTGCGGGGGTCCTTGAGCACGGTGACGAGCTTGAGGAAGCCCTCGCTCGGCATGCCGTTGCGCAGGATGCCCACCGTGAACGAGTTGTCCTCGGTCTTGTCGTCGCCGCGCTCCCGGCTCCATTTCGCCATCCAGTCGTCCCACTTCAGCTTCTTGGTCGGGTAGCCCAGCTCGGCCATGTGCTCGAAGACGGCGTTGGCGGTGCACGGGTTCGGCTCGCCGAGGTGGAAGACGGTTTGCTGATCGGCGGTGGTGCCCTTGTAGTTGGCCAGCGCGACGACGGACCGCGCGACAAAGTCGACGGGGGTCATCTCGAGCAGCCAGCCGTCGACGTCGGGCGAGTAGCCCAGGTGCAGCGACTCGACGAGCACGGCGTTGACGAGGTCGTACGTGTTGGTCGACCCGGATGCCGTGTGGCCGCTGATGGTGCCGGGGCGGTATATCCTGGCGGGCAGCCCGCGGCGGCCGGCCTCGAGCACGAGCTGCTCGGCCACCCACTTGGTCTGCCCGTAGCCGTCGAGCAGCCTCTTCTCGGCGGCGCCGACGTCGACGACCGTGTCCTCGTCCCAGCCCTCGGCCGAGGGCGGCAGCACGCCGTTGGTGGAGATGTGGTGCACGGTGGCGCCGCCGAGGCCCGCGAGGCGCAGGATCTCGCGCGTGCCGCCGACGTTGACGCCGCGCATGGCGGCGTAGGGGTAGACCAGGTTCACGGTGGCGCCGGCGTGGATGACGACCTGCACGCGGCGCGCGAGCTCCTCGAAGTCGTCGTTGGGCAGGCCGAAGCGCTTGCGCGCGAGGTTGCCCGGCTGGATCTCGACGCGGTCGAGCACCGCGTCGTCCCAGATGCCGAGGTCGAGCAGGTTCTTGCGCAGGCGGGCCATGCCGGCGCCCTTGGTCTGCTCGGTCGGGTTGGGGAAGCGGACCAGGCAGACGATCTGGGCCGACGTGTTCTCTAGCAGGTCCTTGAGCAGGAACGCGCCGAGGAAGCCGGTCACGCCCGTCAGGAGGATCGTGGTGGCCTCCTTGATCTGGCAGAACTCGGCTCCCGAAGCCTGGATGTCGTCGGGCAAAGTCGCGTCCGCCTTCATGACGCCGGGCAGGTCGGCCTGCACGGCAGCGGTGTGGCCGTCGCGAGCGGCGCGGACGACCTTCAGGTGACCCTCGAGGGTAGGATCCTCGGCGAGGCGCGGCAGCGGGACGGGGAACCCGAACGTCCTCGAGATGCGGCTGCCGAGGTCGGCCAAGCTCAGAGAGTGGCCGCCCATGTCGAAGAAGTCGTGCTCCTGGGTGATGGCGGCCTTGCCGACGTTGAGCGACTCGGCCCAGAGCTGGCGGATGGTCTCGAGGCTGATCTTGATGTCCTTGTCCTCGTCCTTGGTCCCGTTGGTCTTGCGGCCGGTCGGCGGCGGAGGCAGGCGGGCGTAGTCGGCCTTTTGGGAGACCTCGTGGGTCGGCATTTCTTCCAGCTCGACCCAGAGGGCAGGGATCATGTACTGGGCGAGGTGCTGCGCCAGGACGCGGCGGGAGACGGGACTGTGGCCGGTCTCGTCAACGGTCGGCACGGTGCGGTCGCCGGGCTCCTCCTTGTCGTGCACGATGTAGGCGACAAGCTGTCTCTCGAGGCCGTCGCCGTGGGTGACGACGGCGCACGTCCTGACGGCGAGGTGCTTGGTTATGGCGTGCTCGACGGCGCCAATCTGGATGGTGTAGCCGCGGATCTTGACCATGGACCCGACGCGACCGGTGATCTGCAGCAGGCCAGAGGGGAGGATGCGCGCCAAGTCGCCCGTGCGGTACATGCGGGCGCCGGGCGCGGGGTCGAAGGGATCGGCGACGAAAGCCTTGGCCGTCGTCTCGGGCAGGTTCAGGTAGCCCCGCGCCAGCAGATCGCCGCCCACAAACAGCTCGCCGACGTCGCCCTGCTCGACCTTCCGGGTGCCGCTCTCGTCCAGCACGTACATGCGCCTGGGGTCCATGAGGGGCCCCACGGCGCACACGGACGAGTCGTCGTCGAGCATCTCCCTCAGGTCGCCGCAGGCGATCTCGTGGGTCTCGCTGGCGCTGTAGCAGTTGAGCAGGCGGGTGCTGGGCAGGGCCTTGATGGCGCGGCGGACGAGGTCGGTGTAGACGACCTCGCCGTTGAACCAGACGGTCTTGAGGTGCGGTAGGCGGCTGCCGAGCTTGGGGTGGCGGGAGATGACGGTGGCCAGGAGGGTCGGGGTCATGAGGGTCTCGGTGACGCGCTTCTCGGACAGCAGGTTGACGAGCGACACCGGGTCGTAGCTCGCCTCGTCGGGGACGGTGATGACGGTGGCGCCGCGCAGCAGAGGCCGGATGATCTCCCAGATGAAAAAGACATTACAGGCGACGCGGTCGCCGGGACCGAGGTCGCTCACTTGGAAACGCAGATCGTAAGACAGCACCGGCGCGCGGTGCGGGTTGGCGATGCCCTTGGGGGTGCCCGTCGTGCCCGACGAGTAGGAGATGAAGGCTAACCTGTCGAGGTCGTCGTCGGCTGGGAGCGGCGGCAGCTCCTTCTTTGCGTGGCCGTTTGTCGCCGAGCCATTCGCCTGCTCGACGGGCTCGTCGAGGATGAAGATGGGGACGTCGGCCTTGATGTGCGCGGCATGAGCCTTCTGGGTGAGGATCACCTTGGGCTTTGCATCGTCGATCACATTCGCCAGCAGGCCTGGAGGGTAGGCGAGCTCGAGGACCAGAAAGGCACCGCCAGCTCGGAGTGCAGCGAGGCAGGCGATGACATAGTCTCCGCCACGTCCCATCAGGACGCCGACAGGATCGTCCCGGCCGACGCCATGCCGACGAAGCCTCTGGGCCAGAGCGGTGACATCACGGTCGAGCTCGGCATAAGTCCACGTCTTGGGCCCGTCCTCGAGCGCAGGAGCGTCGGGCGTGGCCTCGACCTGGGCGGCAAAAAGCGCCGCGAGGTCTTTCCTCGTGTCGATGATAGGCATTGGGCCTTTTGGAGCGAGATCTGTGCAAGCGAGCGTGAAAATACGCAAGATCTCTGCTCGTGTTAATGCGCCTCAGAGAACTTCCCGATCTGGAAAAAAATCAATCTCAGCGGCACAACCACAGCGCAGGTAGCAGCAGTGCAGGGGCAGGCAGCTCCGAGAATTGGCGCGATCTCGGCTGGGCTGGTGGGTTCGGTTTTTAGTGAGATCGACGAATTGGAGGCGGGCAGGTCAGCGGCGTGCCCTCTGTAGAATCCACTAATTCACCAAATGCCAGGGCAGGGTGTGATTTAGACTTTGGCCGCGCAGATCCTGTTCCTGGCTGGCTGGCTGGCTGGATCTTGAAGTCTGGTTGGTCTCCTCTCCTCTGATCTCTGCTTGCTGATGGATAGTATGAGAAGATATTATAGATCTGTGAAGGGGATAAAAGACGGTGTGGACGAGGGAGAGTCGCTGTTGTTTTGTTGCCCGGCCACACAGCTCAGCGTGCTTTCGAGAAGTTTCGCAACCCGGTGGATAAGGTACCTCAGCGTAAGTCTCCAGAGCTGAAGATCAGTCAATTGGCCTTGTCGGGGGCTGCTCTAGATCAAGGCTAGAGCTTCGTCAACCCACAACCTAAAAGCAGACGTTGAGATGAATGGTCCTTTGTGGATCTTCCGGGGAAGCACTCATTGATGATGAAGACGCCAACCTCGGTCGGCACGAGGACGGGCAAAGGAGACCTTTAAACTGATTTGACATCGCTCTCTATCGTGAAGGCTCTGCTCGTCAAGAGCTCCAGGGCTCCATTTTACCTCCTTATCGTGGCCGCCTCAATGGATCGCGAGACAGTCCGGCCCGGGCGAGTAGGGCAGTGGTGCCCCCATCTGCTAGCACTCTTCCGGTAATCGCCTGCTGACCGGTCCCCTCCCTCCATCGTCAATTTATTAAGGGGCGGTGATCCGATTTACTTGGTTGCGAGAGGTACTTTGCAGAAACCGCTCACCAAGGACGCCCAGGATCCAAGAAGAAAACCAGGAAGCTTCCCACACACTTGCGGCCTTGGCCCTCCTTTCCCCCCACAGTCGTGACGTCGCCGCTACGCCACGGCTCGCCTCGCGGCCACGCGGGTTTGTCGAAGGATGCTGGACGGTGCAATTGACTTTTTGCCTTTGCCAGGTACGTGTTTGCTGTCCACCATTCCATTGACTGTCCTGGCTTGCGTATTCGAACTCATTTGCTAAGGTTTGCGCAAGTGTCGCGGGGTGAGCGTCCGGTCTAGAGCCTGCCTCTCAAAGGAACCAAGCTGCCCGTGCCAGCCAGCCAGTTCGTCCCGGTCCAATTGAACCCCCAATCATGCATGTGCCGTCCTGTCGTCCTCGCGGGAGAACCAACCTTTGGGTGGTATCACGACATCGCCCCGGTCAGGCCTGAAAGCTTGTCCGCCTATAACAGCAAGCGGGAGATCACCCTCCCTCCCTCCCTCTCTCCACAGATTCTCGCCGTTGGTCCTCGACGTGAACATGACAGGACCTCTTCCGTCCGTCCCAGGCAACATGATTATCTTGCTCAGTGTGGGTTAGTTACCACACATGCGGCACGCATGCATCTCGGCCCGCGTGGGGAGCCCTGCCCTACCCGATGTCAGACTCTCCGTCCCGCGCTTGGCTCGGTCGCGTGCCTCTCTCTCTCGACTGCCGGTGTTCGAGTCACGTCTGGCGAGAGAGCTCGTTAATTAGGGCCACCGAGTAAGCTCCTCTCGAAGCAGTGATGGTGCGCGCACGGTAGATCGCGACGGGATGCAAGTCCTTTACGGATATAAGATCAAGTGCCTTATGTCCAATTGGCCGATGCAAGAATGTACAGGCTCTATGCAAGTATGTACAGGCAAGAAGAAACCCTTGAGCCCTTTCCATTCTGTTTGTTTCTCTCTCCCTCTCTCTCTCTCTCTATGCCTCGCGACGATGCTTGACGCACTTGGGCGGCGCCTGGAACGTCGAGCCAATCTCCCCCCACTTCATGTTGGAGAAGACGACCGCCGCGTCCGGGTGGTCCCGCTGGATCAGCTTCGGGTCGCCCTCGGTCTCGTTGCAGGGCCCCGCGTTGCCGCTGTCCAGCCAGTTCATGAACCCGCCGTTGTCGGCCCAGATGGAAAAGGTCAGCGTCATCCCCCGCCCGATCGCCCGGCCCATCGTCTCCAGCCCGCCGCGCTTGACCGTCCACGCCGCCGTGCTGTTGACGTACGCGTCGTTGATCGAGTCGTGCTGCTCCCCTCCGGCGCTGACGACCGCGTTCTGGATCACCTTGCCGTCCTGCACGTACAGCCGCCGGATCTCGGCGAGCGTGCCCGTCGGCGTCTTGTCGTCGGTCAGGAACTGCGTCACCACGGTGAACTTCTTGTTGGTGTTGACCGTCTTATCGCGGCCGTAGTAGTCCTTGAAGCCGTACGAGTACGGGTTGAAGCTGGCTGTTTTTTGGTTGTTGTTGTTCAGTCTTTCTTTTCGCTTCATGTTTCATTGCAAAACGTATGAGGAGACCAGGTCGACTTACCTCCCCACTTGTCGCACACGCCGTTGTCGAGCCCGCACTCCTGCTCTCCCTGGCACTTGTACACGCCGTCCTTGGTGCAAGGGTGAGGCGTGTACGTCTGGGCCAGGGCGTTGGCCTCCCAGATGTCCATCTCGTTGCAGCACGCTCCGTAGGCGTTGTTGATGTTGGCCTGCAGAAAATAAAGATCAGTGAAATGCCTCCTTTTTTTCTTCTTCAAATGCCTTTGCAAGTCAAAAAGGGAGAACTCAGCAGAATCCCACTCACCACGCCGTCGATCCAAGGCAGTGTCGGGCACTGCGCGTCGCAGTACCCGGTGCCGTACGCCGCGCCGGCGGGGTTCATCTCGCTGCGCCCGCCCGTGAGGTCCATCTCGCCCATGTACAGCGCGCCGTTCATGCCGCACACGAGCCGGCTCAGGTCGACGTCGAAGCTGAACTCGGCGTTGAGCAGCCGCATGGGCTCGTAGTCGCGCCCCGCGGCGTCGAGCAGGTAGGCCCGGGGCGTCACGACGCGGTAGCTCCCGTCGCCGTTGGGCATGAACTGGTTCAGCGTCAGCGCGTCGCCGGCCGTCTTGACGCCCTGCGCCGCGTACGAGGGGATGCCCTCGAGCGCGCAGTTCTTGGCGCACGACGCCGCGTCGGCGCAGGCGCCGCTGCCCACGGTGCAGGGCGTCGCCGGGTCGCCGGCCTTGTGGATGCTGCGCGTCGCGGCGTCGAGCACGACGGCGTTGGTCACGGGCTTGCACCCGCCCGCCACGGTGCACCGCTGCGTCGTCAGCTTCGGGTGCACCTCCGGCACGGCCGTGCCGATCTGCTGGGCCGCGACCAGCGTGGCGGACAGCAGCGAAGCTGCCGCGAGGGCTGCCTTGCGAGCCATGGTTGGTTACACGGAGAGAGAGAGGGCGGGGGGTTGGAACGGAGGCCTTGTAGGTGCGACGAGACGAAGATGCAGCGCGTGGGCAGATCTCACGATCATTCCATCATGTCTGTGCGAGACGCCCGCGCTGCTCTATATATCCATCACTCTCGTCTCTCAGCGCGCGGCTCCACGTCGCCGCCCTATACCCCCCTTGGTATGCGGGGGCCATCGTCCCGCCTCATTGACGGAAGCAGATATCTCCATTGCGACTCTTCATCATTGTCCCGTCTTGGGTGTGGTGGTGCAGGGGCCCGGCCGAGGACAAAGTGCCAAGCACCTGGTTGCAAATTGGTGACCGGGGTCAGCAGCCCCAGCTCCATGCAGGAACCGACGAGATCTGGACGCGGTCAATCCGATCAGCTCAGGAACAAGTTAGATCGAAACCCGGGCAGGCGGGCCTCGGAACAGCTGGCAGGCGTTCACCAGGAGATACGTCTTCGCTAACAGCCTACAAAGTGCCGTCCCACTACCCAACACCAACGGGTTTGATGGGTAGCCAGGTAGTTCTGTTAACAGTCTGTCCACTGACTCGACGATCACTTGCCGGGATTACGGCCCTCGCACCGTCCCGGGTCGTTGTTTCTGCAGGGGATGCAAGAACTTGCTGCTCTGAAGTGGAATTGTTGGCGTTGTTGTCTCGGGAATGGTTGCTCCGCATTGCCGTTTTGAGACGGGGGCCGAGGGTTGATTTCCGGGCAGCTCCCAGCTCTCCGACGTGCAGCTCATTTAAGCAAATGTTTATCCCAAAGCCAATGTCTTGGAAGCCGTCTTGGACACTGACGCTCTTATGGGTGTCCTGAACTAGTATTCCCAGCCATAGGTGAGCCACAGGTGTCTTGGCAGTCAAGAGGCGGTCCTCGCCACATGTCCTGAGTAATGACTTCTTGGCCAGCCAATGATGAATACTGAATTGAAGTGAGAAATCCAAAGACTATCTCGGACGCAGTGTGTGCCATTGCATATTCAACAAAGATGAGGCTCCCTCAAGTGATTGAGATTGGCGAATCATTCCCTCTGACGCAGTTGTGCTCTTCCATACGGTGCGCGACCCAGGAGTCGCAGTCTCGAGTGAATACTCCCACGCAGTGGCAGAATCTTCGAACAGCGGGCATCGGTCCACCATTTTGCACAACTGGCGCCTCTACCACAGTTGCCCGTCCTCCAGGTGGCATGCGCATCTCATAAGCCGAATGCCGACAATGATAAACCATGCGACGGTGATGACAAGCGCGAGAAGTGCGGACAAGAACATGCCAGCTCTGTCACGGATATCAGCCTTCTCTGCGGCCGACCTGACTGGCGGATCGACACTTTCCCCGCCGGTGGGCTGGGTTCCAGGCCGTCGATCTTCCAAGCCCCTACTGTTGGAGGACCATCCTATCACGTAACCCAGTATAGCCACGGGAACGACGGTAGAGATGTAGAGAGCCCTGTAAACCGGCGGTATCCCGAGCTGGGACATGGCGCTAAAGTGGGCTGGGAAGACTAGGACGGCGAGTACCTTGATGCTCCTGCCGGGAGGCGTCGCCACGGCACGGGGATCGTTTGGAAGAGTCATGCTTGGGATCGGGAGCATGCAAAGGCTGGCTGCGGTGTTGGGAAGGAAGCGTACAAGTTTGACAGGTTTACAACTGATACATGACGAACTCGTCAGTTCCGATGGAATAGATGACGGGAGAAGAGCCAGAAGCGCTCATACCTGAGAATAACATTGACTCCAGGAGCCAAGACTTGAACCAGGTACTCAGTTGTCTGGTCCGGCCGCTCAGGGGCTCACGGAAGGGGGGTTGGTCAGTCAGGTACTTCACACGGGCCGGCAGCTACCACCGGTGGACGCCGCCGAGACAAAAGATGCCGCAATGTTCAGACCGTGCGAGGTCGCCGGGGATTAAATACCAGAATGAGGAGCACGCGGTCATTTAGCCCGTTTCAGCGCAGAGTACAACAACGAACATCTGAGTACAATTTACGACCTCGAGGAGAAGATTGACGTGGGCTGGACAGCTGTGCCGCACCAACACGCAAAGCCTAACACGTGATGCAGACCACTGACCACTGTAACAAGGTGGATATTCTTCCTTCTCTCCATCTTCTCCTCATTTCTAAATATAGCTCTTTCAACGCAGCCCTGTCTCGATCGATGCTGTGTCTCGACAGGTGTGACCTTGACGGTAATGATTGTAAAGTGTGTGGTAACTATGAAGAGGACTCCCTTTTGCCAATATGCCATAGCGACCAACTTCGACAAGAACACGTATTCGACGCAGTACCCTTGATTGGAACAATGTTCATGATTTGCATCTTGACAGGGCTGGGATTCTAAGGCTGGCCCTTGACTCTGTGCATTCCACCCCATCTAGGGCAGGAAAGCCCTGTTTTTGTGCGCAAACCCGTCAACCAAAATCAAAGCCATCGTTGAGCCGGTCCATGAATGTTGGTTGCCTCGTGGAGAGGATAACCATTTGCTTCAGCCACCCTGTGCTTTTGCGGTCCCAGGCGTGCCCGGTGCATGCAGGGCTATCACGCGAAATAAATGCATGCCGTGATCACTGTAACCACGGCTGAGAGCAGGAGAGCGGCACCATGGCAGCCATGATCGTGGTCACTTGTGGCCGGCTCGCTCGTAGTGACTAAGGTGCCGAACAAATATGTTATGAGATAACCCATGACAGGCCAGAATAGAATAACAGTCGGATGAACTCGGGAGGTTTGAGATGTCGAAGTGCTGGCGAGAAAGTAGAGATGGGCTAGGCAAGCCAGAAGAAGTAATCGCGCCCCCATGATGCGCGAGCGAAGAGGGATGGCTGACATGAGGAACTTGGATGCATAGGATGCAGTTCGAGATAGTCGAAGGTCTTCAGGCTTGCAGCACCCAATCGAGGAAATGTTGACCTTATATGGCGTCCAAGGCTACTCGATTACTGCGCGTGCATTGAAAGTCTGCAAGTGAAGGTTGGTAACGACTTTCCCTGTTCCGTTGATCTAGATCGGGGAGAACCATTGGAAAGCGCAGCCGGTAATCAGCTCAACATTGAATGTTTATTTCATGGGGCAGGAGCCACTGACTGTATTACTTGGAGGAAACTACGCAAGCATCAATACTACCACCAATTTTGTCCCTACATTTTCAGGTTCCAAACTGGCGAGGTTGTCAATGCCCAGTCGACCTTTGATTATATTCGTTGGTTGAACGCAACCAAAGAATATCGAGTTGAGGTTCCGCTTCAAGCGAGGCTGGGCTAGCTCACCCCGTACGGAGAAAATTTCATATCCTGCACAGATATGCAGTGCAAAGTCAAGCCGGGCATCGTAGGTATTGTAGAGGCGCCGCCCTTCGTGGAGTAAACTCGCTCGGCAATGCGCGCGGCTCCATAATTGTTTTCACGGCAAGTAGCTAGCGAGGCCTCAAGTTTCTCCCGCATTGCGGGGACGGGGCCATTGATCCGAAAAGCCGCGAGCCGCGTGCCTCGAGGACCGAGGCCTGGACCCGGTCTATCTGGGGAAAGATAAAAAGAATGTCATCTCGATTTGATCTTGGGAGAAACCGCGTCCTGCTACGGTGACGGGAGCTTGTAAGACAACAACAACACCAAGGCCGAGCAAGATGACCGCCAAGCTCCCCAAACGCCAGCTTGGCAAGAATGGACCATGGGTGGAAGTGCCTGGGTTCGGCCTGATGGGCATCAGCGCTGCCTATGGAAAACCTCGGTTCGTGGCGCATTCACACAAAGTACCTCTGCACATCGGTCCTTTTTGAGCAATATTATCTGACTCTTGCATGTTCAGCCCCGACGAGGAGAGCTTGGCTGTTCTGGACCGCGCGTGGGAGCTGGGCTGCCGCCACTGGGACACGTCCGATTTCTACGGCGGCAACGAGGCCCTGCTCGGCAAGTGGTTCAAGCTGCACCCGGAGCGGCGGGGCGACATCTTTCTCGCATCCAAGTTCGGCCTCTCATTCGAGGCGGGCCGCAAGATTGTGCGGAACAGCTCGCCCGACTATTGCCGGAAGTGCCTGGAGGGCAGTCTTGAGCGCCTCGGGATCGAGTCGATCGATCTCTACTACGTCCACCGCGTGGACGATGTCACCCCGATAGAGAAGACCATGCAGGTTCTCGCCGAGGCCAAACGGTAAGTTCCAACCTTCAACATGCCCGTTTTATTCGCTGACGGCAACCACAGGCAAGGCAAGATCAAGTTCATCGGCCTCTCGTCGCCCTCCTCGGAGACTCTGCGCCGCGCCTGCGCCATAGAGCACGTCGCCGCCGTCCAGGTCGAGTACAGTCCCTGGACGCTGGATATCGAGGGCGCGTCCGGCACGAACCTCCTCGCGACCTGCAGGGAGCTCGGCGTCGCCGTCGTCGCCTACTCGCCGCTGGGCCGGGGCATGCTGACCGGCCAGATCAAGTCGCCCGACGACTTCGAGCCGACCGACCTGCGGCGCCTGCTGCCGCGCTTCAGCAAGGAGAACTTTGGCAAGAACCTGCTCCTCGTGGACCAGTTCAAGCGCAAGGCCGCGGAGAAGGGGTGCACCGCCGGGCAGCTGGCGCTCGCCTGGGTGATGGCGCAGGGCGAGGACTTCCATCCCATCCCCGGGACCAAGAACATCAAGTACCTGGAGGAGAACGTCGGGTCCGCGCAGGTCGAGCTGTCGCCGAGCGAAGAGAAGGAGATCAGGTCGTGGGTCGACGAGTTTGGCGGCATTGCAGGCCTGAACGAGCCGCCGGGGATGTTACAGGCCTTCGGAGACACGCCTCCTTTGTAAGGAAGAGTGTTTGTTAGTGCTAGAATATACCTGTAGCTCGGGAAAGTGCATGCAAACAATATCATAAAGCTCTTTGGGACCATCGGCATCGGGAGTCTTTTGTTGTTGGTGTACAGGCCTTTCAGATTGGAGGAATGATGTAAAGCTTGCGGTTTGCAGGACGAGCGCCCTCACAGAGAATTATCTCTCAAACGCGCCGGGCGGGGTATAAGATCCATACATCAAACTACCACTACCACTATGAATGGTTCATGAAACTTGAAAGGTTGTGTGGAATAGCCAAGTGATTTTTAAATCACCCCCACCTCCAAGAGTCAGCAATTGTCTCGAACAACTGACCCAGCGATGTATATTCTTCCATGACGGCGACCTACTCCCAGAAAGTCACGGCTCAATTTGGTAGCCTCGCGTCAGATGAGTTGATCAAGCAGTAGCTGACTCCCTATCCTATTCAGTCAGCTCTTCGGCCATTCACACAGGGCCTTGCGTGGCACATTTTTAGCCAAAGGCTGACGCAAAATCGACGGAAATCTAAGCATGATCGATCCATCACCATCACCAGCCTATCCCAAGCGGCCTTGAGCGCGGCTTGGCTCCAGCTATCGCACATTACGCAAGGCTCGTCGCTTTTCCCGGCGGATGCAAGAGGACAGACTACAATTCGACAAGAACTCCTGCATTTCCCCAACACACTCCATCCGGGCAGCTCCGTAAGGCTTTGACTATGCCCTGCCAAAGATCCTGAGCTTCATGATGACTGATAAGAGAATGTTATCTTACAGCAGCAGGAACCGAGGATACAGAGGATCGTGCGCCACAACGCAAAGGAGATGATGTTGGAGAACCCAAAGACATACAGGGAGAGGACCCAATTTGATTGGCGGTGCGGAACAGGGGTCAGATTTCAGGGAGGGATGGATACAAGTAGAAGGACGAGGCTGCGAAGGTTCGCAAGGGATACTCAGGGCAGCGTAAGCACATCTCGTCAAGCTTGGTCGTGGGAAGTTTTGACCCTTGATCGTATATTCGAGTCTATCCTACATACAAACGGCGAACCCCGTGTTCGGTACCCTCTGGAACAACTGCAACAACGTCCACGCTCGGTAAAACATTATTGTGTCGATTACGACAAAAGAGAGAGTCATGAATAATCCCGATACTCCAAGCAAAAAGATGTCACCATATATCCTCGTGATGAACGCAAATATAATCCCACAGCGCCTTTCCTCACCACAGCTCACAAGTCGGCTTCTTGTTGGGGCAGTTGAACGCCTTCAAGAACTCGGCCGAGTTGGCCGTCGAGCCCTTGATGCGCCCGTTCTTGGGCGAGTGGGCGTCAGTCTCGAGCGCCGTGACGGCGAACTCGGGGGACCGGTTGTCGCACCAGGTCTGCCCCCACTTGATGAAGAAGAGCTGCTCGTCGGTGAACTTCTCGAGGCCCGGCAGCTTCGGGTTCTGCTGCCGGCAGTCGCCGCCAGAGGAAGTACCCCCGCGCTTGGCCTTCTTTTGCATCGACCGCTTCCACGCCTCGAAGCTGGTCGCCACGCCGCCGCTGTCGGCGATGTTCTCGGGCAGCGTCTTGGCGCCGTTGACGTGCAGCTGCGTGCCGTTGGGCGCCGCGATGGTGAACTTCTCGTACTGCTCGACGAAGCAGTCGGTGCGCTTGGTGAACTCGGCGACGGTGGCGTTGTCCCACCAGTCGGCCTTCTCGCCCTCGGCGTTGAACTTGCGCCCCTGGCTGTCGAAGCCGTGGATGAACTCGTGCGCCACGACGACGCCCATGCCGCCGTAGATCAGGTACGAGGGGAACCCCTTGTCGTAGATGGGGAACTGCTGCCAGCCCGTCAGGATGTTGATCTCGTTGTAGTTGGCCTGGTAGAAGGCGTTGACCATCATGGGGGTCGCGAGGACAAAGGCCTTCGGGTTGGCGGGCCGCCCGAGCTGCGCCCAGGTCTTGTTGACACCGAAGCCGGCGAGGGCCAGCGTATTGGCGAAGTAGGAGTCGGTAAACTCGAGGCCGGCGTAGTAGTCGCGCAGGGAGGCCGGGTCGAGGACGTTGGGGTCCGACTCGGGGAAGCCGATCTTGTGCACAATCTTGTCGAGCTTGTCCTTGATGGCCGTCTTGGTCTTGTTTGCGACCCAGTCCTTCTGCAGCATTCTCTCGCCTAGCGTCTCTTGGATGTTGGTGGCCATCTCGTCAGTCTGCTTACGCGCTTCCGGGCTGTAGTACCTATCAATGAAGAAGCGACTGATGGCAAAGCCAAGGGTGTGAGGGGTGCCGATGGGGCCCAGCGAATTAACGAGGGAGGGGCCGCTTTCCATGTTCTTGACACAAGTTCGCCATTGAGCCGCCTCTCCATACTGAAGCCCTTGGGCCTTGATGGTGGTCCGATAGTCGTTCAATGGCTTGGTCAGGTCCGAGATCGTAAACTCGGCAAGGGAAAGGGTGGCACGCCAGATGAGGTAGTCTTTGAGCGCAGCGGGTGGGGTCCCGGCGACCAAGGCAGAGACGTTCTTCATATAGTCTTGCCCGAGCAATGTAATATTCTCTGGTTTATAGCCTTTCGGAGCCATGAGCTCGAAGATCGCCGGGAAGTTGAGCGCTGGCGCTGTAGCGTTGATCTCCTCCTGTGAGGCCCTAGGCACGAGCTTGGTGGGATCAAGCGACACCGGATCGCTGGCCAATCCAAGCTTCGCCATGCCATCGATTGTCGTTTGGAACTCCAGCATTTGGGTGACCTTCTCGGTGGCTGCGTCGAGGGTCAGGTTGCCAGGATACACAGCCTGCAGTATAGCGGCAGCATATGCAGTGAGCAATTTGAGAGTCGCCTGGTCTGTACCAGCAGGAATGTCTGTAAATTTGGGAGGACCGAAAACGGGAACATATTTGGTCTGAGGCGGAGTTAGAGAGTGTATGAAATCTACCAAACGAGTGGAAGGCTCACCTTGTCAAGATCATCCAGGTTTACAGTTGCGGAGAAGAAGGTCTGAATGTTGAACTGTTGGAGCTTGACCACGGCCTTGGCAAACGCATCGAGATCAGTCTTCTGCGACCCGGATTCGACCGGGAAGGATTTGGCAAGGTCTTCCAGAAATGCCTGCAGCGGTTTGACATCCAGGGCTGCAGTTGCTGTCATATTCATGCAGGTGTTGTAGGCCTTCTGCAGCAGGGCCCAGTTCTCCTTGTCGACCTCGGCCTGCTCTTTTGACAGCGACTCGGTCACCCAGCCGATATTCGATCCAGAAGGGTACGGCCCCTCCAACATCTGGCTGACATCCCATGTGATCTGCTGGTCTTGCTCAACGATCACCTCTATCGAGTTTAGGCCGGCGGGGACTTGGGTATGCGCATCCCATCCGGCGCAGACATCTGGCAGACCGGCTTGTTAGTCCAGTATTGTCTTCTGATCGAGGAGCGAAACCTACACTTATCAAAGTCCGTGCATGGGTCAATCTCGGTGTAGTTAGGCGCCATGGACCACAGCATATGGGAAGCGATCCGGATGCACTCTGGCGTCGTGCAAAGACCCCCTGTGGAGGCGTTGAGCGCCATGGTGTGATGTGGAGAGATGGCAACGAATATCTGAGACGCGCTCCACGAGAATGAAGGAAGGAGGGGAGGTGTGTTCGTGGAGAATATCGATGGTTTGATGATGGTGCAGCTCAACCAAGAGTCCAAGGCCACAGATGGTTTCGCGAGTCATCGTGAATCTTATAGTTGGAGCTTCCTTGCAGCTCTGTGCAACATGATTGCTATGACGTCCTTTCTCCAATTCTCCAAGTAAGCCTGTGAGTGCCGTTGTTCTCCACAGCACAGCATGGCGCCTTGCTGGCAGGTCGATTTGCGGAGATTGTACTCGCAGTGGAAGGCAGTCCTGCCGATGGTCCGGTTCAAGATTGGTCGCGCACGGCGATGCTAGCGAGTGCCCGAGCCGAAGCAAGGAAGTCGAGGCCAGCACCGCCTCAGCTCGGAGCCCTAGCTGCTCAAGACGTGTATGTCGGTAGAAATGTGTGGAGCGGGCCAATTCCCGCAATTGGCAATCAGCAGTACCGTTCTCATTTTCCCCGGGCCACAGATCGGCCATGAATCCATGATTCTGTGAAATAAAGATGCAGCAGCGCTTACCAACACTCCGAGCCACCTCAGCAAAGCCAGGGCGCCAAGGCTTCCAGATGAGCTTAGCCTTAGAGAATGGAGCTTTGTATGCGGTCAGCTTGCCGCCAAGAGCCAGGGGTGAAGAGTGACGCCGATCACCATTGTCAAGCGTGAGCTCTGGTGAGAAACGGACGGGGATTGCTGCTGCTGCTGCTGCTGCTCTCGGCCCTGCTTGCTCGACTCCAACCCGGGATGTCGCAGTGTGATTGAAGGGGGGTTAGGGGCATCTCCGAGAGGTAGAGCGGTGCCGCAGGCGTCGTCTAACGGTCGCTGCCCCGGTTGCCCGGGTAGCTACCCAGCTTGATGGCGATCCGCGCGATGATGATGGATGCCAAGAGTTTGTCTCGGAGTGTAAATTTAGAAGACATGCTCTGGGAGACTTCTAATTGCCAATTGCGGTCTAGGGCGGCCAGCTGTGAGCAGCCCTAAATGCAACCAGTCAGCACATCATGGATCCCTCCGCTTGCCCTGTGGCCCCAGCCCCGTTTGTCTCTGCATCAACCAATGGAAGTACCTGGATCGACACGGCCACTACCATGATCGTATTTCCACCACTTCATCTGTCAAGGCCAATGCTCCTGGAGAGGTTGTTTTCGTTGCTTCAGAGTTTAAAAGTAGGCAGGCCGGCTTGTTCTTCGTCGGTGGTTCCAGTCAGGTGTCTTGTCGGGCGATCTTAGTAGATGGTAGTTGTGCTCAGGTGGTGGAGGTCCAGGCTCAGCCGCATGCTAGAGTACACCCATGGATCGGCATGGTAGTCAGCATGGCAAACTACTCCAAGGAACAAGATGTTTCCCTTTCGGGAAGAGTGATCCATCCTTACCTGATGGTACCTTAGGGCCACATGCAGAAGCCGCTCTCCTGGACTGGGCAACGATCGTGGAGCTTGGCGCGCTGAAGTCCAACCAAAGCCCTGCAGGACTGCTCTCACCGAGCCCCCTGGATTTGGTATCGCTGAGCTTGGTGTGTAGTACTTCCTTAGTGGATGAGTGTAGCAGGATGGCTAGGTCCATGGTGGAAATAATTCGAATGACACTGCTTTGAAAGCAACCGCTGCCTCTGGCACTCGTCTCAAAATCATCATGCACACCCTGTGACCGTGGGACAAACCCACAGCTACCATCGACGAGTCTCTCCTAGCCCATGGAACAAGGTCGTTCTTCGAGATTCGCTTGGTTGAAAAATTCCATCCACTCCACACCGCTCCCGTTCCCGGCCGGCTCTAGACAACACTCCAAGAATCTACCATTAAGCAATTGTCTCTCCAGCAGATCGACAAGAACACTGGGTCTTCTCGTTGATGGTCGTCGAAAACGTGATAATATTGACGAAGATGAGGACGAGGACTGGCTCTTTCCTTGATGCCTTTGTAGCCCGATCGTTACCAGCAACTCACAACTCGGTTCTCCCGAAGATCTTTGACAGCAAGGTCGAACATGGCGATGTATCGTCCCCATTCAATAACGGTACGAGCTTTGCCGCAAGCCAGGACACCATGGCAACCACTTCAGCTACTGGCAATAGCATCTCCGGCTTTCTCAGGCCTGTTGAAAGTCCCCTAGGAAGGTATGGATCCTCTGCAAGACTCCCGAAAGGTGACCACTCACATCAAGATTGCTGACTGGAGTATTACAGCACTCTTCCGTATTACCCTGCTCTCGACTTGATACGCCCCGATATTGCCAGCCTCGAGAAATCAACCTCCTTATTGAGAGTGTCGGTGGCGCCATCGCGAATACATTCAACATCATACTTCAAGAACCCCTACATCTCATTTCGCCATCATGCAGTCCATCCACTTCGCCTTTAAGCTTCAAGTTCTACCCCGATTTCGACGAGGCATCACTGAGCTCGAAACGAAAAGCCCTAAATTCAGCTCTCTGTACGACCAACGAAATCGACCATCGACAATGCCATCGAGGCAAGCAGCTAAAGGGGGAGGGAAAAGACAATACCATGGCGCATATGGCAATACCTGACATCGAGATGTCCATACTAGACGAGCATCGTCATTCCGCAAGCACAAATCCAACAGCAGAGCCCTCTTCTGTCGCTCGTATTCCTATTATAATCAGCTTCAACGCCAGCGAAAGAAGTCTTTGGCTCAGCTCTATGATTGACATCTCAGCCTCGCAACCGTTCCGGACGGGCAAATGGAGACATTGAGCGGCCGCTCATGGGGAGACATTGGCGACACAACGGGTGGCAGCAGCAACGGCAGTAGCACTAAAAGTATGTTGACACCGTTCTTCCTAAGCTCATCGAACATGATCTGACAGCTTCCGCGAACGCCGGTTTCCATAGAAAGGACGTCGGCCTCAATAGCTCTGCCCAGCCTGCCCATTGGTAGTATAACGCCAGCTTCGCTAACACTGAATCCCCCAGTCAAGCCAGCATTGCCGCCTCCCATCTCGACCAGTTCTTCAGTCTCAATGCCGCCCGCCCCCAACACGTCACGGTTCAACCATGCCACCAGTGCTGTTCTGCAGAACTACTGGGCTGAGTGTGCTAAGGAATAGAGACAGGGGCTCTGGTGAGCTACGGTGACGGAAACAAGGACACCCCGGAGGTGATGCGAGACCTTGAAAGAGTTGAAAGGGTGACAGAGGGAGGAGAGCTTTTCGGGCAGCACGGTTTGCGGGAGCTGAAGAAGGTGTGTCGGTCGCCCAGGTCTGCGCAAGGCAGTGAGTATCTCGTGTGACGGGAGTGCAGATGATGGAGGATCGTTGGACTTGTTCCCCTGCGTAGAGCATGTTAGCCAAAATCAACCTTGACATGTGCAATCTGTCATTCTTCTTCCCCAATTCATCGCCAGGCTGTGGCTGTCGAAACCGTGCGTGAGTCCGCGGTTACGTATCACATAGTAGTTCGTGTTTTCCCAGCACGAGTGGAAACTGAACCAAGCTGGCATCCAAAGCCAAAGCTCTCAACCCCAACAGTGACGCAGGTCAGGTACCATTCGTCACACGCTGCTCTTGGCCATATGAAGGCCCATGAATAGCGATTCAAATCATCACAACCGCAGTACGCGGCACACCACTACCTACAGCACTATGGCGTGCCGCCATTCTTGACAGCTTCTGCCCACAAAGGCATGAGCATAAATATAACGTCCTATTCCACAACCCACGCTTCCGTGCTCTCGGTCGAGCAAATGAGCAATTCGGCCTGCGCTTCAACATTAGCTCTCCAAAGTCCAGCCAGTATCAGCACTTCCCAACCGACCTTCACTTACCCCGATCATGAAGCTCTCCAGCGTTCTCTCCTTGCTCGTCGCAGCTCTCGTTGCAGCCAATCCTGCCGGAGAGAAGAAACTCAACGCTCGCTACCGCGTGGTGCCGAGCGATCTCCCCAATCCCGGCAGACCCAAGGAGGCTCACGTCTGGGATCATAATGCCCATCTCTATGGAGACTATAGTCAGTCGCTTCCACTGCCCTTCTCTGCCCACACGCTCTTTGAGGATATCGAGACTGACCTTCTTCTGCCACACTCTCACAGCCTTCTACTGCGGCGTCTTCTCCACCGGAGCACACAACAACCTTCGAGTCGAGAACATCGAGAGACAGGAGCTGATCTGGACCATCGAGCCCGACTCCTGCGCCCGCGTCTTCTGCTGGAACACGAGCGCAATCTACGTCAGTCAGCGTTCTTTCCCTCTATCCCCTCTTCCCCTCTCTCAACGAATCCAAGCTCTCCTTACCACTAGTCATCTATCTCCTCTCTGACACACTCGCTCGCAGGTCTGCAATAACCGCAACGACGAGTCGCTCGGCATCCCCTCCAAAAACATCGGCTGGATGGCCGAGAGGCTGCTCACGCTGTGCTGCTCCCCTCATGAGGGCGGAACTTCCGGCCAGCTCTTCCACCCTACCGAGGGCTACAACGTCGTGATCGGCTACGGCAACTGCAACAACGAGGGCAGCTACACGCCCGACCACTACGTCTACCCGGGCCCCAACGGCGAGTGCCAGAAGTACATCGAGCCTGCCCTGCCGCCGCGCGCTGTCTGATGAGTGCTGGGAGCCAGGGACCATGGCGGTGACAAATTGGATACTGAGAGAAGAGAATAGGAGGGCAGTAGATGTATTCTTGGAGACCTTAGAGTAGTTTTATCAATGAGGGCAGGCAAACAATTGATCTTTTTTGGACTCCCAAACGCATTCTCTGGAGAAGCTTTGATGATACCTATCAAGCCACATGATGTGATTTCCCGGTTGACCATCACCAGCAGCACAAGACAAAGCGCAATTCATTGCATGGCAGTACCATTGATGAAGGCATACTGCTATCTCAAAGGAGCTTGGTGATCTATGCTAGACCCTTTTCCTTGATTCTCAGTAAAAGTCCCTTGAAAGAAATGTCCCTTTCTCCTGCCACTGAACTGAAATTCCATCGAAAATGAAGCCGAATTGACCGCTTCTCGCAAAAGTAAACCGAAATTCCATCGAAAAGGAAGCCGAATTGACCGCCTTTCGCAAAAATAAAGCCCATAAGCAGGTCATCATTGTCCTGTGGGTCATGTAAAGGCGTGTAAACCATCGCAAGCAAGAACTCATGATATCCTCCTACTCCCACTCTGACTCATTGCAGTGTGGTTTCGGCACCTTTCGAATTTCCCTCAAACGCCCGAAAACATGCAGCCTGGTATCGTGATGATGAAGGCCTCCTGAGAAGGAGCCTTGGAAGAGAGAGAAGAACAAACAGACAGAAACGAGAACAGCCTCCACTCATCCCCACGGTCAAGCCCGGACAGCATTTAATAGCCATCACGGTACCTGGTGAAGTCCCGCTTCTCCCGGCGGGTCGGAGAATACCTAACAAGGTCCTCCAGGCTGGTCTGGCCGGCCATGCGCTGCAGCTTGAACAGCTCGACCTGTCCACCCAGGCTGTTCCTGGTAGTACCGAGCCCGACGACCTTGTACAGACCATCATAGCGCAGGCCAACCTTGGGCGTGAACGAGCTCTTTCCAGACGAGGAGCGGAGAACGCGAACCAAGTTTCCGGTATCCAGCGAGGCCTTCAGCGCCTTGGTTCCGTCAGTCGCCTTGGGAGGGTTCTCGGGATCTTCATGCTTGTGGCTACCGGAGCCCGAGTAGTAAATGATATTTCCCAGATCACGGTCCAGGTCATCGTACGCACCAGAGACGACGACCGAGTACGCGCCGTGGGTCGACGAGCCGGAGATGCCGGCAACGCGGGCGCCGTGGGCGCCGTTGAACATGGCCACGAGCTGTATCGGGAACCAAGCGCCAACGGTCAGGCCGTTGTGGCCGTATCGCTTGGCATCGGTCGCCTGGTATCGGTCGTCGAGAAGGTAAGTCTTGGTCTTCGCGCTGTGCTTGATGATGGCGCCGTGCATGATGCCGTCCTCCCCAAAGATGGGGTGGTTCCGGGCTGGATACCGGATCCTCGGAGGCGCGGTGGCCTCCTTCTTCTGGGCCTTGGAAGGGCCAGCAGCAGAGTTGGACGATGAAGGCGTTGCAGCAGAAGCCGAAGCCTCTTCCGCCGCCTCCTGGCCGTCCTCCGCCTCGTCATCAACGTCACTATCGCCACCCCAATTCTCGTCCTCGAACTTGTCGAGGAGAGCCCGACTCCGCTGAACGAAGCGATCCGGGACCTTCATTCCCGGATCGATCACCGCGTTCAGGGTGACGTCGATCTTGCCGTCTTTCTTGAGCTCCGGCGTCATAGCAACAGCAGGAGATTCTAGAAATGCTAGGAACCCGTCAAGCTCTGGCTCACGGGCCTCAACAATGGCCATCTGCCGGAACTGCTCCGGCTTCTTGTACTGAACAAGAAGATTGGAGACAATGACCCTTCGGGTCCGAGTAAGGTAGTTGACCCGTTGCTGGTGGGTCTGGCCAATAGCAACTCCGTCCGGAACAGAAATTGGGGTGGTCATGATTGCTGGAGACTGTCTGGTCAGCATGAGAAAAGTGAACCCTTAGGAATGAAGATATTTCCCAGAAGCTGTACCTGATAGAAGAAGCTGGTTGGCACTTGTGCACTGTTCAAAGGTCAGTCTTTATACTCTGAACCCACTCAGATCCAGATCAGTCTGTATACAACATACCGAGTCAGTTCGCGTGTGTTTGCCGCAAAAGAGCTCACAACCTGTTGTCAGATTGCCAAAGGAACAGGGTGGAAACTGTGTTGACTGAAGTCAGTATCAACCCCAACTCAGATTTGGCTAACCTGATATGACAGGTGAGGAGAAGGTGAGGAGTCTATCAGACTGCCCTCAACTATAAGAGAGAACTCAAGTTGAGGGGCTACTGATTGCTAGCATTCTTTGAGTCGTTTAATTTTTGAGTACATACCTGATTTTGCTAGAGGTGCCTCTCTAGTGTAGCTTGAGATAGTTGAGAAGATGGTTGATATTAACTAGAAAAGATATTAGTAGGGATAAATAGAGGAGGAAGAGAAGATGTTCTAGAATGCTACTGACCCTAGACTGGTAGGGTTGGTAGATCTTGTTGGGAGGTGGCGGGCTGGTGGTTGGAAGAGTGGCCAGGAATATGGGTGGTGATGGATGATGATGGAGGAGAGATGGTCTGGCTGGGTGGGAAAAGTACTTTAAATACTCCTTCTTGGGGCCTGGGGGCCTTAGGATCTAACCACTTATCTTATCGCTTGGCTAAACCTCGGGGGAAGGGGCGAGGGATGTAGTGACTCACGTACCTGGCTTGATTGTAGAAGGTTGGCAGTAAAGGGTAGTCACGATGGAAGTGGTGGTGTTGAGGGGCTGGAGGAGGGATAGGACGACTTAGACGAAAGTAGAGGTGTTGGCCTCAGGCCAAAGCACCGTAAGTCGATAAGATTATCAACCACTAAGTGTTTACATTTCAGAGCAAAAGAGAAGAGAGAACCAACTTACACAAGTAGAGAAGATGTGTAAGTCTAACCTATACTAATACAAGAAATAATAAAAGAGAAAGCTAGTAGATTTCTGTCTAACATAAGTATTACCAATACTTATATACAAGATCTATCTCTTAAGATTTCACCTCTAATATCAAGAAGAAACTAAGAGTAATAAAAGACTCTATACTTATAAGTAAAAGATAAGAGTATCCCTAGAAGATGCTGTCTAAATCATGGAAGCAAGAGTTTGAGATCATAATATGAAGCTTACAGGCCTTGGGGTTTCTTGAGTGTCTGGTATTCCTACCTGGGGAGTTCGTGCAGATGCAGTGTTCAACCTCGTTCAGACCGGGAGGTGTGGGAGGTGCTGGCACGCAACTCAGGGAGGTACTTATGATACAGTGGGGCGCCTCACCAAGAATGAAGTCACTCCTGGTTTTGGATTCCCAGACACTCACAGACTCCGGTCTGAGCGAGGCACAGATTCATTTGCTCCCAACACAGCGAGGACGTAGCCTGCGCAACATCATGTAGGTTCAAGGCCAGGGAAAAGCAAAAGTTCACAGGAGATGCCAATGTTGGACGCCAACCCAAGGATCTCCGGCTTGGCTAGATTTGGGGCCCGGAGGTCAACTGGTCCAATAAAGATGGCGGCCCACCCACACGGACAGGAGTAGCATTCCCCACTGAAAACATCACCACCCCTGGCTCCTTCGAGGTTAGCCATGCGGGAACCAGGAACAGGCAGCCGCCCCCGTCTACAGCCACCGCCACCCCGTGCTGACTTTACGTCGACTTCACTCCTTCAAATAAGACCCTCAGCCCACCAAAACCCTGTGCTCTCTCTTCTTTTCCCCGACTCCCCTCGGACCCAACCCTTCTCTCCGGCTCGAACACCCTTCCAAGCCGCAATCCAGCAGCACCCAAGAACAAGAAAAAGAGACATGTCCTGCGGCAGTGGCTGCAGTCCCCACGCGGGCTTCCCGGACCCGAACCAGCGCGTCCACCCGGGCGGCAGCGACGTCAACGGCCACAGGCGCCACGCCTCGGCCCGCCGCCCGACCTTCTTCTCCCGCCGCCTCGCGCGCGCCTCCGACGTCCTCTCCGACCCGCTGCGCATCTCCTTCCGCGAGCTCGTCCTCGTCGCCCTCGCCCTCTTCGCCCTCTACCACGGCTTCTTCGCCGCGCGCACCTCCCGCGACCTCCTCGCCGTCCAGCCCGTCGCCGCCCTCTGCGGCCCGAGCCTCGCGCCCTGGGGCTGCGCCGTCCGCCTGTTTTGGATGCACTTCGCCATCGCCAGGATGTGGGTCGGCGCCGTCGTCCCCTGGGCCTTTGTCGCCGCCGCCGCCGTGTTTGTCGGGGAGGAGGTCATTCGCGCGGTGAAGCGGCAGGGCAAGAAATGAACGAGCAAGCTGAGCGAGGATGATGCGAGGGATCTCAACGGATATCATACATATTTTCTATCAGGGCAACGAAGTCCAGTGCATACGGAGGGCGAGAGAACCAGTCTCTGAATCAGGCAGGGTTGTAATGGTGGCTGCGCTGAGCTGCGGAATGTTGCGGGGCCCGCCTTCGAGGCGCGGGACGCCTGTTTTGGAGCGAGGAAGATCCCTTCATGTCCTTTTCAATACCATCAACACTTTTGAATATATCAATTTCTCATTGGTCTCGTTGCATCCCTGCCCAGCAGTTGTCGACAACAGCGCCGCTGCTCCGTGAGCCATTTTAGCACAAGTCTTAGAACCATGAGTTCTGGAACCACCCCTATCATTCTATTGAGACTTTAGACAAACCGGACACAGTTCCTCTGGCACCTCCGAAAGACAGGCGTGATCCATTGCCACCGCCGCCTACGTCAGGAAGCCGGCCAAGAGGAGAGGTTGCTTGTCGGCATGGGCTACTTCGAGAAGCATGGTCGCCATTCTGGTCCAGGAATGGGATCAGGTCCAGCCCGAGTAGCCCAGGTAGGCTCATAGCCTGGGGACAGGTGTCGGACGACCAGATTATCAATACCGCAATGCTGTCGGAGAGCATTTGTTGGGCTTTCAGAACAAGTCTCGTCGCTTCTTGGGCTTGACACCAGGTCAGGCAGGCTGTATCACTAGGTTCTTCAACGTGGCAGGCCCAACAGGCGGTGTCAATCCAATCCAGGACAGGTTTTCTGTCTCTGCCTACTGCACAAGTTGCAGCATATCGGTGGCAAGGTGCCCTGCACGCTTCCTAGAGTTGAGCTACACTACTGGTACCGAGTGACTCCTGAGCTGGACCCGAGAGCCTTACCTCCAGACTTGGTGATTCGTGCCATGTGCCATGAACGAGATGCAGGGCTCCTATTCATGACAAGAAAGATGCCTGGATATAAATGCTCTTCTTCCCCCCCCCCCCCCCTGACTTTCCATGTACTTGATTGCAAAACCCCAGATTTGAGAGCACAACCCGTGGCAATAACAAAAATGGCTCCACCACACGCGGTCGACCCCGATAGCGACCAGGATGGCGACAGCGGTTCTGCCGGTTCAACGTCGTCCTCTGTCAGCTACACTGCGATGCCCCCTCAGTGGAATTTAACGACGAGTCCCCACCCCGAAGACATCTCAGAACGTCTGCGCAACCTCGCAGTTACAGATCTGCGCGTGGGCTTCACGAGGCAGTCCTTTGCAGGCGAACCCATCTCGACAATGCACAGAAATATGGTGCATATCTACTTTTCCTTGCAGGAAGATTATGTGACGCGCAGCTGCACCTATGATTCTGTCACAATACGACCCATTCCGAGCCATAGGTATCTAGGAACCTGGCGCGAAGCCAACGTCTGGTTTATGCCTACAAACGCCTTCTGGAGACCCCAGTTCAATCGAATGTGCGAGCTCAGGTTCTCCAACAGCACCACCATCAACAACATTCTAGATACTATGATGGATGGTGCCTTCCACAAATTCAGCTTTGATGTCAACGATGAAGCTGACATCTACGGCTCACGCGACTGGGTGTATGTCTCCTTTGCTTACTGCTCTCTTTCCAACCTGGTGAGACCCTGACTAACCGCCGTGATTCTATGGCTTTGTAGCACTCAATTCCTCTACAGGCTCGTCGAACGCGATTTCCTTGACCCCAATATCGTGTCGACGGATCCGCTCGTACCGGGGCTAGAGGACACCAACATCTTCACCATCTTGGGCAATTTATACGTTGAACGACCCCGAGGCGGAGGCGAGCCATGCCTGATTCGAAGAGGCTATTTTGAACGGTACCCTCGGAGAGTGCGAACCTTCATGCGCTACGATGACTTTGGAACGAACGATGCTCCAAGGGATGAACATCCTCTCACAAATGGTGTCAGTCGGCATTCTGAGGATTCTGACTAGGCTTACTGGTGGGCCGCTCGATGGACTGGGCTTTTTTCTTTCTTTTTGGAGCACATTTACTCTTACTGGTAGAGTCAGATAGCGGACAATAAAAATTACTTTTATTTTTGGTGAAATCAGCATTCGATTTACTTTGGTGAAGGTGATGGTGGAGTGTTTGGCCTTGGAGAACGAGACGCTTTTGCTATGCAAGGTAAATTGGATTCGAGAGTAAAAGTCCCTTGCTTCCTCGGTTGCCACACCTGACCCATGGCCTGGAGGGCCAGATTGCACACCGATGGCTTCTGGGTCACTGGTGAGCTTTGAAAGCCTTTCTGCCCATTCTCAGCGCTGGGATTTCAACATCTCTGGGGCGAATGGCTGACAACCCATCTGGACAAGGTATGGCCGGGTGGGGGAAGATTTTGAATGGGAGCTGCCAAAGGCCTTATAATGAAGAACAACACTATCCCCAATAACAATAGCTGCTTGTGGTATTATGCCATAGCGGTTAGGGAGTCGGATAGTAGAAACTGCGGCACTTCAGCCATCCCGTTGGTGCAACTAGCTGCGTTCGATTCCCGATGATACCATTGCTATTGTTTTTTTTGCCATTTCTTTTGTCCGCCTCCCCCCCTTTTCCTCCTTGTTTCCTTTTTTTCTTCTCCTTTTCTGCTATTGAACCATTTAGGTGAAGGTAGTAGGGAGTGGTACAAAGGAGCGAATCCATGAGGTACGCCCTGTGACTCGCAGGAGCATCCACAGGACCATACAACAAATTGCAGCCTTTGATGTAGCTATCACCAGCTGTATCACCGCTCACCCAGCTTCCAATGTCCAGCCGATTCTTCTATAAATGATGGATGGATTCTTCCCCAGTCTCCGATTCACCTTGGCCAAATCCACCCACAAATTTCCCTTTGCCCTACCCTCACGATGGATTGTCCAACGCCCTGTCGAAATTGGGAGCTTTCCGGAGCTTCACGACGCTTTGTCCCCGCGTGGTATTCCGCCATCGACCGTTTTGTCTGCTGCTTCTCGAAGCGGACGGTTGATGGTGATGTCGTTCGCGCCGGCGAAGATGGCGGCGAAAACGCCGTCCATTTCGAGCTTCACCTGGAGAATCCATTCATGGACGGGGACATCCTTTACGACAGATTCACAATACACATGATCCCCGGCATCCTCCCGGGGAGCAGAGAATCGTATCGTCGCGGCGAACTTCGAATCGTAGCCCACCATGAGGGCTGCCAGAGACCGGACATTAACCTAGCTTGTCAGCTGAGCAGGGTCCCAGACCGCCGATTCACGTTGAGAGATATATGGCGTGCCCTCTATGAACGCCAGCTCTACAGGTTCCACTTCTTTTCCCGGAATGGACGGATGGAGGGCAGTCGCGATTGGGCGTAAGACTCTTTATCCTCGTGCATTCCCTGAAGTAACTGTTGGAACGCTTCTTGGCTAACGCTTGACGTATGGGGCAGTATTCAAGCCATCTACGGACTCCGAGAGGCCCTCCTGATCAAGGACTGGGTAGAGCGCACCGAGCCACGGTCTCTCTATCCACCGGAATTCATCGTCGAAACAATCTGGGGCTACCTTGGTTTGCGGTATCTGAGCGACCCCAGCCAAGATCCGCTGGTCGACCCTGTTGGACTGGGCTACTTCGACTACATTCGAGTCATGGGTACGTTTATGCCGTATTCTCTGGGATAAAGTTGGATCTGTCAGCAACGAGCCGCACACCAGATAGAGTCACCTACGACATGGCAGTCTGGTCAACTGAGGCGGGTGTTGAGGCAGAGTCAGGCTAGACAGGTTTGATGGGGTGTCATCTTTTCTTCTCGAGCTCTTTTGGTATTTCTTTTTGGAAGTAAGTGACTCAGTAGGAGTAGCTACATGCAATGCATTGCAGCGAAAGCGTCACTGTGTCAGGCTTTCCTTTCAGTGCGGCTCCATGCCTGTGTGGTGATTCAGTAGCAGCGGCGAGTAGCGAACCAACAACTAACGAAAAGTAGAAGCACAACAAGTATATATATTGGCCATTGAGCCGCCCGTCCCCCGATTTCTCTCTCCTTTAGCTTCGACACCGAAATCTCGTAAACAGTCAATCTTCTACCCAGTTCTCAACATGCCGACCGCCGAGTGGTTTCTCATTGAGGGTCAAGGAATCGCAGTTCCACACCCACTGAAGAGAATTCCCATCACCACGCTCACCGTTCTGTTCACCAACCATGATAGCGGAGCCGTCACCGCTGAGAATGGGCGGAAGAATCGGGTCAAGCTGAGGGCCCTCCTCGACCGGCCTTATGAGCATGGTGGGCTTCGGTACCGTTCAGTGGTCATAGCTATGGAGCCGACAGGAGCGCGTTCATCGAACCGAATGGGAATGGGATTCATACCGGGAGCGGTGCGGATCAGCCTTGGGGACCCTGCAGGCACTACCCCGGGCGTGCCGGGAACCGTTTACATCAACCGCGCCTGCATGCTCCCTGTCCGCGAGCCAGAGGACCCGAAGGCTGCACAGGTCGCATTGCAAGATATTATCGCCGCCATTCTCAGACACAAGCTGGACAGGTTTGAGTTCGTCCAGACTAAGAGTGGCATCCATGGCAGGAGAGACTGGGTGTAGGTTCTCGCCCCCGCAACACCAAATCTTGAAAATCGATTTATCTGACAGAGCATTCAGTATCCACGTCCTGGACGTGCTCTCGAGCACGGGCAAGATTCTCACGGGTGTGGAAGGCACAGTCCCTTTCCCGAATCCTCTACCACAGTCGACGCAGAGCATCATGCACTTCTTGGGGATGCGTTACCTCAGTGAGCCGAGGCACGGTGAGGCGATTCCTTGCCCCGTTCGCATGGGTCACTTCAGGGAGTACCGGCGCAGAAGCGATGCCAGCTTTCCTTATGATCTAGATCAGATGAGTTGAACCTTTCAGCATGCTGCGTCGCTTCACTGCCTCATTAGCCACGCACAGCTGGCTTCCTTTTTGGACTCGCATTGCCCTCAGCATGCACTTTTTGGAAGACTAGATATCTTGCTTAGTGATAGTCAAATTTGACATATTTCTAGAGAGCATCCTACTTCAGTGTATCCCTCCATGCGTGAGACTAACGGCAGCTGTTGGCGATGTTTGTCTCGTGTCAATGGAGGGCAAAATGAGGGGATCAAGCATAAACAGAAACCTGAGCACAAGGGTTGGAGAGACACCTGTGAGAGGGTTGCACTCCCAAAGCAGCAGCTATCGCGTGTTGACACGTAACAAAGCTAAGAGTCTTGTGCTATCTTGCACTCTACACGTGGTGCATGATTTGATGCTTGAATACGTGTCACAGCCTTGCACGACCAGGGCCGGTCAACCCATAAAGCGAGTATCTATCGTGAGACAATTTTGCTTCTCGATTTCTCTTCTTCCTGACAGAGGTAAAAATGGCTCATGCACACACTCGTGCCGTGTCCGGGGAGATTTTGCTACCTCACGGGTGGCACCTCCCAGAGCAGGACATCAACGATATCCCATTCAATTTGCTGAACCACGAGATCCGCCACATCAAGGTCATTTTCACAGCCATCGCACGCGACCAATCCGTCTTCGTGGATGGAAATAACGACGTTCAAAATCATGTCTTGATCCAGCTTCGATTTACCACCGGCTACTATCAATACAAGGGAATCTATCTGGAGATGATTCCTCGGGAAGATCAAAACTGGCGAACCATAGGAACAGCTCAATCCCCTGGGCAGAGGTTCAAGACCGGATCGTTGCGCATCACGCCCGCCTTGGCCTCCATTCAAACTCCAATGAACAACCGGGTCTGTCGGCTTGAGGTCCGAGGTCTGCTAACCGTTGAGGATCTCCTGCGCAGCGCCATTCTTCGCGAGAACATTCATCGATTCTCCTTTATCATTTCACCCTCGGGCGTGGTTCGTGGTCACCGTGACTGGGTGTAAGTCCTCGACTCTTGCAGAAGATAAAGGCCATGGTTATTAATCTTGTTATCTCGTTGATAGAGCTCAGTTTCTGCACCGTCTGACCGCATTGGACGAAGTGAGAGCCGAAATCATCAGCACTACGCCTGCAGACGTCTTGATGGGAACCAATGATATCTTTGATGCAGTAGCCATGCGTTGGACCAGCCATCCTCGAGGCATGGGCATTCGATCTCTGATCGAGCGAGGGTTCTTCGAGGATGCCGCGCGTTACATATCGACGAGCTGAGGGCAGGACGAGTTGGCTGGCCGACGGGTTCAATCGGTGTATGCAAAATGTATGATGAAGGGCTCGGAAGTTTGGACAAGATGAACGAAAAGTTGCCAGCAGGGAAGGACATTTCCTACAGCAAATTTCTCATTTCAAGTCCTCAACACTCCGGCTTGCCCATTTGGGCATGCCTGTAGTAGGCTATTTCACAATCAGGCTTGCATTAAAGCTCCGCCAGTCGGGAGCACATCGTCGGCAATGGAGTACCATTCTCGGGTAGCATGATGTATGCTCGGAGACACCGAATCATTGGTTTTGCTTACCTACTTATGCGGTCATCGTTTGCGAGCGTTAGTGGCAGCGGCGCGGCGCGGGAAAGCCTCTCGGGGACCAATGGCACGACACAAATCCTCGAGGAGTAGTAAGCGGCGATCAAAAAACAGTTCACGATGGGGCAAAATCCCATGTCTTGGCGTAGCAAAACAGGGGTCCTGCTGCGCCGGGCCGAGACCAGAATTCGGCCATAGAGCTTGCCTTCCATGATAGTGTGTCTCCCTTTTAATGCTGCCCCCATGGCTTGAAGCAATTATGATCAAATCATCGCGGCATCAGATCCACCCTTGTACATCAGCCCATCATCCGCTAAGGCAAAGGCAGAAAGCTTCAGGAAAGCCGACCACGTCCAAATACCAGCTGAGATGGATCATTTGGCCGAAAGAGGGAACCTATTCACAAGAAGCGGTCTGCACGCGTCGTATGGTCAGGCCAATTGACTGTGCTGGAATTTCAAGCGGGCGAAAAAGCTCGTAAGACATCACCGAAGGCACGATCTTGGAAGAAAGATATAAAGCCATGGGATTTCTTCGATGGCCTATGGAAAGAACACCAGGATACCAACCAATTTCTGAGCACTGAACTCATAGCCTCACACACCGATACACCTCAAGCCCACTCAACACTCAACATGAAGACTTCTACCTTCTGCGCCCTCGTTCTGGCCATCGTGCCCCTTGCCGCTGCTTGCTGCAAGCAGGACAAGCTCACTTCATGTTGCGGCAAGGGCAAATGCAACATCTTTTGCTGCAATTGCAAAGGCGGTGAGTTGCGACGAACGTGATCCATTTCTGCGCTGCCTTTGATGAGTCCCCTTCCGCTAACTTGGCATCTTCAAAATTCCACAGGCTGCAAGTCTAAGGAGGATTGCAAGGGCATGGACCTTCCTATTTGTTGGGGCGTCGGCTCCCCGACCAGGCCTGTGGTCATTTGCACGAAGGATAGCAAGACCGGCGTGCTGAGAGACGCGTCCGACGAGACCACCTTGACAGCAGACTTCTTTGAGAACATGGACGCCGACACCGAGGCAGCCGGGCTTGCCAGCCTCACTGCCGCCGGCTTTTCGGGCCCCGAGGGCGACGAGAGGATCTTCTCCGAGGTTGACAAGGATGGCAAGGGCCACTTCACTTATGAAGAGTTTCTGACCTTTGTCGGCGCCAAGGACGACGAGGAGTACCAGGCGTACTTTGCAAAGTCAGTGACGAGCATCTCCCTTCTCTTCCCTTTCCTTCTACATGCCGATACTAACCTCTTTCTCTATCTTCGCAGGTTTGACCGAAACTCCGATGGAGTCATCACGGTCGACGAGATGCGCGAACCCGTCGACGATGCGGACAGTCCCGTACAGCAGGGCCCTCGGCAGAGCGGTCGCCCTCACCAAGAGCTGTAGAACCGCCTGAGGAGTTCCTGTTTGAAACAGAGCCAAAACTCAACGGCTGCATAGATCAGGAAGGAAAGGATGGAGGGCTCCAGAACATTAGCATGATGGGTGTGTGTCGGTCTCCCGATGGTGAATAGGGTTATTATGATGTGCAGGGTTTTGTTTGGCTTTCAGTTATATGGGTAAACTTATTAAATTCGACCCCAATGGTCTACCTGACTCATCCATGTGCTTCCTTGTCCACTCTCCTTCCGTAGCCAGCTGTGATGTCTTTTGTTTATGGATACCTTTTGGGAAGCTTCTTCGCTAAGGGGTATGTTATCTTTTCCATGTCAATGCCGTGACAGCACGCTTCCATTTTCTTGACGAGATGCCCGGGACGACCGCGATAGTTAAGCCCCTCTCAGGCAGATCTGTGGTAGGTCTACTACCTCAAACACGGCACATACGCTAATCTGGTCTCTGCTTGCTTTACAGTGACACCATTCAGGTACTTGTTGCATGTAAACCCTTGACAAGCGAGAGTGTGCAACCATTACTGTGGTGTAGCATGCCATGCCCGACATGCCCGACTGTTCTGGTCTGTGATTCAATGGCCACGCCACGGATCGCGCACCTGGCATCACCTATCTCTTCATGTATATATTTACCAGCGTCTACGATTCTCTCGAAAGATTCCGAAAACTGTAGTCCAGCTCAGACCTGTTCTTCATCAACCTCCAACACAAGAGAAAGAGCACCACTCAATAACTGCCGCTTCCAAAATGGGTCAGAAACAGACGTTGCCTCGGACGAGGACTCCCAAGCGTTCAAGGGAGCCAAAGCCACAGCAGCCAGATCTTGAACCAGAACTCGAATTCCCCAGCGAGGGCTACAATGTAAGCCGGACTGGATACTCGAACATGCCGAGACCCTTCCTCGGCCGTAGGATTAGCGATATTGTTGTCGAATTCAGCAACAGGCACACAAGTGGCGTGATGATTACGACCGAGAACACGCTTCCCAATGAGGTGACCCTCAAGCTCGTCTTCGAAATACCCTACCGTGGATACAATGGCGTCCGCGTCCGCGTTTTGGCCGATATGTCGATGAGCGCTATCCAGATCGAGGGAGTGCCGTCGCAACCAGGCAAGCTCCTGTTTCAGCCCTTTGACGTCTCCCACCAGTCGGTGCCGACAACTCGCACCTGTGACCTGGAGCTGGCAGAGGGGGTTACCTTGCACTACATCCTGGCCGTGGTGGACAGTTGGGGCTTGCAGCAATTTGCCTTCACCGTCCGGGACGGACAATTTCGCGGCTGCCGTGACTTGATGTAAGACTGCGTCAGCGTTGTCGTCGTTCACCCATCACGAGTCTTTGGTTGCTTTTGACTTGCTGTCCGGCCCACACACGCGGAAATGGGATGGGATATTGACTGGACCTCTCTCCGAGACGTCAGGACGCAGCTTCTCTATCGACTTGCCACGTCGGAAGGGCTCAGCGGCACGATCACGTCGACTGCACCGCTGGGCCAAACGGTCTACTCTACGGACATATTCGCGGTCCTGGGGATGCGGTTCGTTCGAGAGCCCCTCGGGAAGTCGTTTGCGTGCCCCATTGTCCGTGGAATGTTTATCGGCTACGAGCGTTGGGGAGACTACAACATGCCCTATGAGGCCTCGTTTGCAGCCGCGCAACTCATACATCAAATGGCCGACCTTGCGTGATGCATGGCCGCCGCCGGAATGGGTACATGGCCTTTTTCTTCTTTTTTTTGGAGTCACTTTTGGAATGTTTTTGGAGTGGATTTCTGCGGCTATCCTTACCTTGGTTGAATCTACAGCAGTCATCGAGATGTGAATTGAAGTTTAGATACTTCATCCAACTAAACTTAATTACCTCATTGTTCTCTCTTGGGCTTTGCTGGTGAATGGCAGTACCAAGGCTCTTCAACAAAAGAAAATGAAACGCACACAGGGCAAGAGTAGCCTTTTCTTTGTTTGGTTGTGTACATTGACTGACTACTGCTTCTCAGAGTTCCTCAAAGATTGGCGGCTCACATTCCTGAGATAACCTGAGGGTCTCGGCTTGTGGATGTCCTGCGCTGAGAATTCATATATAGACGACTGTGATTCACTCAGACTATTATACCGTCAGCAAAGCACCTTGGATAAAGAGCTCACGGTTGGTGATGTGGTGTCGGGTCGGGTGATCGCGTGAGCAGGTTGGCCGTGAAGCCAAACGGGCCAATGGATGTCCTAGCCAATGTAGCAGCTGGAGGATGGCGAGTTCTGCAGTAAAACACGCTAGCCATGCCATGGGGTTTTGACACAGTGAGCGCTCTCGACCACCGTAGTGGAGTCTCTAGTCCTACCTCACTGTTGGGTGCTGTTTCTTCCATTAGCGCTAATGGGACGCACCCCTTTTTCGACCCCTCCACGCACAAATCTTCTCGGTGCCCGGGGATTGGGCCAAGATCAGAACCGCGCTTGGATGAGCTTCACTTCACCTCATCGTCACCTACCCCTGACGTCTTGCCGACGACAGAATCAGATCTTGGCTTCAGTGACTTTCAACATAGCAGCCACCGCATACCTTCTTTTGTTCATTTCTGCTCCCTCGCAACCCCCTTCCTCCTCGATTTAAAAGCACCACCGGTCAGGCGACAATGAGCGGCTCCTGATCTCACTGCATATCTCAGTCCACCAAACAGATCGCCCAACATGAACGTCCCACCCGGATTTACCGATGGCTCAGCCTACTGGGCTCGCCTGGCTGCCTTCCGCCAGGCCGACCGCGAGCGAGAGGAGATGGTCACCGAGTTGGTTACCAAATACACCCATCTTATGGAGCAGTTTCAGCAGAAATGTGACGACCTTGAGAATGAGGTTGCGTCACGACGCATGTGGCACAAGCGGGCCACTGAGGCAGCCAACAATCTGACCGATCTCAAATATGTTACCGTGAGTCAGCCTCTTTTCCGGGGTTGCTGCCCCTGACTTGACTGGACAGCATGCTAACAAAAGAGCGGTTACAGGAAGCTCACCCTATGGTGTTTGCAATCATCGACGGGGACGGCGCCATCTTTCGTGAGGAACTCATCTCTCAGGGAGGCGCCGGCGGATCCCAAGCGGCTCACTTGCTGCAAACCGCAATTAAGAAGCATCTCAAGGAAATCTACGCCGACACCAATGTCGAGACGTGGAATATTGTCGTCCAGATCGTGCTTAATCAGGACGGCCTATCAAACAAGTTACAGAGCGTCAACCTCGTTGACAAGCAGGACGACCTTGCCAATTTTGCTCGTGCCTTTGGACGCACGCAGCCGCTGTTCTGCTTTGTCGACGTTGGCTCGGGAAAGGAACAGGCCGATCATAAGATTCGAGAGATGCTTCGTGTTATGATTCGCAATGCGCAGTGCCGCCACATTATATTCGGACCCTGCCACGACAATGGATACATTCCGGTCCTGAAGCCCTATGAGCTCGATTCCGACGTCTCCTCCAAGATCACTCTTTTAGAGACGACCCCAGCCGGCCCGGGATTCCGCCAGCTTCGCTTCCCTCGCGCCGAGTTTCCCGAAGTCTTTCGGTCCCAGCCCCTGCCGGAGCGAGCCATCGTTGCGCCCCCGCCACCCACCCCGTCCCCTACTATTCTTAGCAAGGGATCCGGATCCGACAAGAGATCGCCCGCCGGGAGCTACGCGGTTGTTAGAGGCAGCAATAGCGAGGCCAAGGTCATCAACATCGCCCCGACCAAGACGCGGCCCAAGCTGCCGCCCAAGTTCCTCGTCCTCAACGTCGACCGCGAGCGCCTCGACGAGCCGCTCATGCGGACCGACCCCTCGGCCCTCAAGCGCGTGACCGAGCGGTCGACGGCCGAGGGCCGCCTGTGCAACAACTTCCACATCACGGGCACGTGCAAGGACGAGGACTGCGCCTACGTCCACGGCCCGCGCGTCGGCGCGTCCGAGCAGCTCGTGCTCAAGCACAAGTCGCGCGGCCTGCGCTGCTACAAGATGACGGGCTGCAGGGACGTCGAGTGCCCGTACGGCCACCACTGCCGATATGGTCGGAACTGCGATAACCAGCATAAGTGCCGTTTCGCCGACACGCACCATGTCAAGCTTGTGAGTCTTGCTGTTCCATCTTATCTTTGGTTTTACCTTTTTCCGTCCCGCCTTTGATGGCTAACGCAGATATGCATACAGACACCTGCCGTCCGCGCCTACGAGGACGGAACCGAAGAGCAGATTAACCACTAGTAATTGTTTAGTCCTGACTCGGGATGATCCGAGCGGACATGGGCTTGACCTTTCAGGGTCAGCATGGCCTCATACTACGACTTAAAGAGAACAATGAGATACAATACATAGCATGCGTTAGTTTTACGTAGCAGTCATGAGCAACACTCTTTCCCCTCCGTATCCTTTTTCCAACGTCCTCACATCTCACCTGACTGAGTGGCTTGTGTAGAAGCTGTCAGCGCGGTCATCGACCTGATGCTTGTTGTCGTCGGTGAGCGTGTAGGCCTCAATATGTTCCCCGCTTTCATCCTCATCTCACCCCACACCGATCGGAAACAGCCGTAAGCACAAGCACAACAGTACAACAGTGCAGCACACCAAATTCCATTGTATCATTCCTGTCTCGTTTTCATCACTGCTTGGCCTCCTTTTTGTATTTAATGTATTTTGGTGGCGCAACACAGGGATGGGTCTCCTTGAGAAGGTACTCGATCTCCAGATCCCCCGGGATATCCGGATCTCCCCAGACGCGACACGAGTGGTCTACACCACGAGCCTCAAGCAATACCATAGAGTAGGCGACAATCTGCCCTCGACGCTCTGGATCGCGCAGCTGGACACCGCCAAGTCGGCGCGGGCGCTGACGGACGGCACCCGCAACGACCGGATGCCCCGCTGGTCGCCCGACGGGAAGCATCTCGCCTGCTTATCGGACAGGGCGGGGGATCCGGGGAAGACGACCGCGATCTACTTGCAGGAGATATCTGGCGTGGACAAAGTCGGCGAGCCGAGGGCACTCACACCGGACACTAACGAGCAGCGCATATCAAACTTCGAGTTCAGCCCCGATGGCAAGTTCATCGCCTATGTGAAGACGCCCGAGAGGTCACCCGAGGACAAGGCGAAGAAGAAGGCCAAGGACGATGCAGTGATCTGGGGCGAGGACTGGCAGTACGCGCGCCTCTACCTGCTCGACGTGGTGACGGGCGAGATCGACACCATCTTCGAGCACGAGGCCAGCGTCGGCGACTTTTCGTGGAGCGACGACGGGTCCGAGATCGCGTTCACGACGACGCGCACGCCGCACGCCGAGAGCGGCTGGCTGCACGGCGTGACGATCTCCGTCGTCAGCGTGGCGACGCGCCAGGCGCGGGAGATCTGCTGCGTGCCGCGGGCGGCGTGGAGCCTGACGTGGTCGGGCTCCAAGGCGTACTTCCTGGGGTTCAACGACCCGCAGTGCTCGCTGACGGGGCTAGCGGTGTACGCCGCGGACCTGGCGGGGCGGGACCGTCACGCCGCCGCCGCCGCCTTCGAGAGGGTGGCGCACGGCGACACGGACTGCGCGCAGGGGCTGGCCCGGGCGTGCGGCGGCGAGCTGCTCGTGCGGGTGGAGCGCGGGCTCGAGGACCACTTCCGGTTCCTGAGCGGGCGGCTGGTGCTCGGGACGAACAGGGTCACGAGCAAGTTTGACGTGGCGCGCGGCGGCGGCGGGGAGGACGTGCTGGTGGGCTCGCAGGGCGACTTCAACGCGCCGATGGAGGTGTTTGCCATCACGGCGTCGGGCGCCAGGACGCAGCTGTCGGATCACGGCGGGGAGCTGCGCGCGGCCTACGGCGATTTCTGCACGTGGACGCACCTGCAGTGCTCTACGCTCGACGGAAAGGAGGTCCTGGACAACATATTCCTCACGCCTACTGCGCGCCACCGCCACCGCAGCAAGGAAGGAGCGCCGCTGCCGACCATGGTGCTCGTCCACGGTGGGCCGTACGCGCGCGTCGCGCCGGCGTTTGACGTCCTCGACACGTCCTTCTCGGCCGTCCCGCTCCTGCTGGCCGAGGGCTTCGGCGTGCTGCTGCCCAACTACCGCGGCGGCAGCGGGCGCGGCCGGCGCTTCGCGTCCTACAGCTACGGCGGGGCGGGGCTGTACGACGAGCCGGACGTCGTGGCGGCGACGCAGGACGCCGTGCGGCGCGGGCTGGCGGACCCGCGGAGGCTGGTCGCGATGGGGTGGTCGCAGGGCGGGTACGTGTCGTACCTGGCGGCCGTGCGCAACGGCCGGCACGGCCTCGGCTGGAGGTTCCGGGGCGTGATACCGGGGGCCGGGATCACGGACCTGGACGCCATGGTGCTTACGTCGGACATCGGGTACGAGCAGGCCGAGTTCATCCGGCGGGCGGCGTGGAGGGGCGACGGGCTGCCGCAGGATGGTGATGGCGAAGAAGAGTGTCTAAGGAGGGCCCTGGAGGAGGAGAGGAGGGTGCGGCGGGCGTCGCCGCTGTGGGGGTTCAAGAGGGCGGCCGAGGAAGGGCGGATCCCGGCCGTGCTGATGCTGCACGGCGGCGCGGACACGCGGGTGCCGGTGTCGCAGGCTTGGGGGTTCCGGCGGGCGATGGAGGAGGCCGGACTGCCGTTTGAGATGGTGACGTATCCGCGAGAAGATCACTGGTTTAAGGAGAGGAAACATATCGAGGACATGTTGACGCGGGTGGTGGGCTTTGTGAAGAAGGACATTGGGTAGAGTGAGAGATGATGAGTGAGAGGTGGGTGTTGAGGGTAGAAAGGATGATGGAAGATCATCAAATCACGGGCTTTTCAGTGAGCACAAGGGCATCTCAGAGAATGGATTTTAAAAGCATGAAAGAGATACTCCGCGATAGAAGCCGTAACGACCGCAGCCTCGATCCGGTGCCGGACGGAGCACACTCCGATGAAGCATCCCGCAGCCTGGTGTGAATCAGAAAAGTGAAGCCGGCCCGTCATCCGGTCGGGACAGGTGCGAGGCCCCACAATTGTCCGTCCTGTCTTTCCCCAAAACGAAAAGAAAAAACATCGCCCCACAAAATACCACTGCCAAGATTTCACATTTTTTGAGCCAGCCAAATCTCCCCCAAATCAGCCAGATTCGCATCCACGTGACCTCGACTCGGCAGGTAGGGTTTGCAGTCCCACACCCTGACCAGAAAAAAGTTCGCCCGCCTTTTCAAAATTTGCTTAGCTTGGAGACTTCGAAATCAACATCCAGGCCTTGACCACGAAACCATTCGTTTTCCGTCAACCCAACCAAATCAGCAGCAATGGCCAAGCTTTCGTAAGTTGGACCTCTATCCGATTGTTTACGAGCGAACAGCGGTCTTTCTCGAACCACGACGGTACCGGGCACGACAAGCGCGCGCGGCGGGGTGTCTGATGAGGTGCAAGAGCTGGAATTGATCGTGGGAGAGGGTGTCGGGGGCAAGAAATTTGGGGGAATGACATTTCGGCGACCTCACGCACGACTACACACCTCGAGAATATCCCGCTGTTGTGCCCGGTTTCGAAATACCGTCTGTTCGGAGAGATCGCGAGACGCAAAGCATAGGAGGGAACGATGGACAAATAGCTGACAGAACTCTGCTCACAGTCGTGGTGCCCCCGGTGGCAAGCTCAAGATGACCCTGGGTCTCCCAGTGTACGTTTTCCCTCCCTCCTCTCGGACGAATCGACCATGGAGCCGATCTCGAAACCGACCGACCGCGACGACCAGACATGCGACCAGACAACGAGCTAACATTTTTCCTACTCTAGTGGTGCCATCATGAACTGCGCCGACAACTCTGGTGCTCGCAACCTGTACATCATCTCAGTCAAGGGTATCGGTGCCCGCCTGAACCGCCTGCCCGCCGGCGGTGTCGGTGACATGGTCATGGCCACCGTCAAGAAGGGAAAGCCCGAGCTGAGGAAGAAGGTCCACCCCGCCGTCATCGTCCGCCAGTCCAAGCCCTGGAAGCGCACCGACGGTGTCTTCCTGTACTTCGAGGACAACGCTGGTGTCGTAAGTTTCTACCTGGACCCAGTCTCAAAAAATCGGCTGCCGAGGATACCGCGAGAGGAAATTTGCTTGAGCAATCGAGGAAGGCGGTGGTGCCAGTAGGACGGCCTGGCTGGCTGGACATGGCATCACCGAGCGATGCGAGCGATCATGTGATGACTGCAGAACATGCTGCCTCGCATCCCTTCTCGGAACGGACCACAGATTTCCTCTCGAGGTAGCCCGGCTGCGCTACACTTGGAACAAAATACTGACCGCTTTTCCCGCACAGATCGTCAACCCCAAGGGTGAGATGAAGGGCTCCGCCATTACCGGCCCCGTCGGTAAGGAGGCTGCCGAGCTGTGGCCCCGTATTGCCAGCAACTCCGGTGTCGTCATGTAAAGTGGTTTTCTCGCATTGGAGCGGCGGAAAGGGTTACGACATGGGGTGTGTGTGCGTTGTCCGGGCTTGCCAAGAAGAATCTCTAGAAACGAGACTCGATGGCCCCAAACGGGTTCCGGGAAGGAGAGCCGGCGGGAGGGAAGAGTCACAACGGGAACGAATTTCTGCGTTGGGTTTTGGCAGGCTTTGCATTTGGCCACGGTGTTACACGGAAGACTCATCATACCAATGGCATGACATAAAAATGGACAATTGAGATCACTCGGAGCAGTCCGTTTGTCGCAACGCCGTGTTTCCCTGCATGAAGATGGCCGCCGTGACAAGGGTGTGTGGACAGACATTCATCAGCAGTACCGGCAGTCAGCCCTGTCGATCCACGGACCACTCTCATGTTCTGTCACCCAATGAACGAGCCCACAACCCTCAGGATAACTTGCCTGGCCATCCCTCCCCGTCTTAGCGCTACTGAGCCCTGGATGCTACCTTATTCCCTGAGTTACGGCCGTAGTCTCTGCATACACGACCTCCCCCTCCCTCCTTGCTGGCTCGCTGCCACGCAGGTTGCCTGCCTTGCTGATTAACTACCTAAGGGGACCGCACTACCACCAACCGGGCGTCAAAGAGTAAGCACTTGCGATTTGCCCGTTCCAACGTGGCAGCGAGACGAGACAGCACATGCGGCGTAGTTCGATGCGGGGTGGAGATGGGCTTGCTTGGGGTTGGGCGCTAGCTGAATCTCCAAAATGGAGCACTGCCACAGCTTGACAGGGCCCATGTGTGCATGCCAGTGGCTGCGCCCAAGTGACGTACTATTCTACGCTTTACGAAACCAGCGATAATATTCAACGCGCTTGGCTGCAGTCGCAACCTCGAGGTGCTTTGCTTCACCCATGTGCACGCGCCATCCAGCATCCATAAGTGAACCAATTAAAGCGCCCTCCCAGAGTCGTCCTCTATGATTGTCTCTGGAGGTGATACCCCAATGTCATGAGAATAGGTCGGCCGGAAGACGACAGTTCAATGAGCTGACCCAAGCACCATGCTCAAACGGATCTCCCACAGAAAGTCGCGAAAGGGATGCTCTAGCTGCAAGAGGAGACATGTTAAGGTACGTTATCTTCACCCCGCCCATTAGCTCTACTCGCAGGGATTGCCAGATGACTGACAGGGACCCGTTCCTCTCTCGTGTATGCAGTGTGATGAGACTGGACCGCCTTGCTCCAACTGCAAGATCCGCGGCCTGGACTGCAACTACAATGTCATAATAGACGGCACCAGGTCCATCAGGCCCCGGCCCGCCAACAGCAGCTCGCCGGACAATGTGCCGTCCGGGGCCGGCGCGCCGGCTGGAGACGCCGAGGAGCGCCGGCTGCTTGAGCTCGAGCTCATCCACCGCTGGTCCACCCACACCTACAAGAGCATGTGCTCCCTCAAAGAAGACGAGGAATACGTACAGAACATCCTGCCGCGCAAGGGTTACCAGCACGCCTTTGTCATGGACACCATCATCGCCTTCACCGCCCTCGAAGTCGCGACGACCACTGCGCCCGCCGCTAACTCCAACACATCTTCCCCAGTCGGCACGACGCCGACAACGACGACGGCAACACCAGGCTCGTCGTCCTCATCACCATCCACGGGGTCAGTCGGTGCCGTAGGAACCACGTCGCAGCAGCAAAGCCCCCCGACGTCGTCGGCGCCCTCGTCAAAGTACCTGCGCATCGCGCTCGAGTACAACGACCGCGCGAGCGCCGGCTTCCGCGCCAACCTGTCCAACATCACAAAGGACAACATCTCGCTGCTCTACATCTGCTCGGGGCTCGTGCTCGTCATCAACATCGCCATCCCGCAGTGCCTCGAGCTGCACGGCTTCGAGCGCCAGAGCACGCTCGCCAACGCCGCGCGCATGTTCGACCTGCTCAACGGCATGCTCGTCATCGCCTTCGCCGACTTTGACACGCTCATGAGCAGCGACTATGCCCCCTCGCTGCAGGCGGCCCTGGCGCTCGGCACGGCGGACCCGCGCGAGCACCTGGCGCAGGAGACGATCGACGCGCTGGCCCTGCTGCACCCCGTCAACGACCGGAACTCGGAGCTGCTGGGCGAGCAGGCGCAGCGCGACAACGACGAGAGGCCTCCCGCGGAGCGCAACCCCACGCACGAGGAGTACAAGGAGATGGTCAAGTTCATCGTCATCTGCTTCGCCGAGGACAGGCGCGACGCCATCAAGGGGTACTGCCTCGGCTTCCCGGCCTTCTGCGGCCCGCCCTTCCCGCGCGCCATCAAGGAGCGGGAGCCGATGGCGCTCTTCTTCCTGCTCTACTGGGCCGTCCTGCTGCACAACCTCGGCGCCATGGCCTGGTGGGCGAGGTCGGTGGGGAGGAGGATGGCCGAGGAGATCTCGGACATCCTGCGGCGGTCCGGGCTGTACATGGCGTCGCCCGAGGGCAGGCAGGCTGTCGCGTGGGTGCGGAGGCAGGTCGACTTGCCGGACTTGCCGGACTCGCCGGGGGTGGAGGGCTGAAGAAAAAGAGTGTTTTGTCTTATTTTTTGTGGTTGCGAAAAGTCTATCTAAGGGGTGTTGCCACTTTTGCTTTGTGGCAATATGTCTATGGACAAAGATATCTACGAAGAGAAAGAAGACGAGGAGTATTAAAGGGGCAGCAAGAGCGGCGTTTTGGGGAACTGCACCACTATCTCTCTGCTCAATACCAATACAAAATACATGCAAGATACCAATACAACTCTACGACTCAAGGAAACCAAAATGCCGACTAGCCAAATCTACGCTTTCGTGACAGAGGGGTCTGCCGTGCTCAGAACTGGCGCAGGGGCCTGACGTTCCTAGCAAAGATGGACTGGGCATCGATCTCGCTCCGTCGCGTTGCCCCAGTAGGAGGCGGGTCAAACAGCGGCGTGTCGACCTCGCAGGTCGCGCCCACCTTGGGCATCGTGCCGTTGACAAAGTAGGCCGCCGTCGTGGCCGCTGTGCAGCTCGAGAACATGGCAAGCGAAGCATGCTATAATCAAGGCGGCTATGTCAGCCAAGGCACTTCCTAACTGTATTTGCAATTTCAAAACAGACAATAGACTCACCCCGAATCCTTTGTGCTCGAGCACCACGCTCCCTTCCAGGCCTGCGCTCACGTTCTTGGCCGAGACGAGCGGCGTGAGCGGGTCGAACGAGTTGCCCACGATGAGCACCGGCTCGCGCGTCTTGGCCACGAAGTCGCCCTCGTACCGCTCCGCCGCGTCCATGCGCCAGCGGGCGCACTGCAGCGTGACCATGTCGAGCACGTCGCCCAGTAGGCGGCTCCGGGTGCGCAGATCCGCGAGCACGGGCCGCGCGCCGGCGAGCGCCGCGAAGCGGTTGTGCTTGTCGCCGCACTTGATGCCGAAGTTGCCGTCGAGCAGGGCCTCGGACGAGGGCGCCGCCGACGCCATCGCGCCGATCACCGCGTCCATGATCTTTGGGTCGAGGCCGCCGCTGCCGGGGAGGAGGGTGTCGAGGGCGGCGACGAGCAGCGGCCAGCCGGATGGGGTGTAGAGGAACTCGACGATGACGTTCTTGATGAAGTTGTAGTCGACGATGGAGGTCTTGTAGTAGATGGGATCCCGCTTGAGGGTCTCGATCAGGGTGTAGGTCGCCTCCTCGAGCTCCGAGGCGGTGGCGTTGCGGCGGGCGAGGGCGCACTTCTCTGGTCCCGCGGCGACGCAGGCTTTGAACATGGCGGTCCAGGTCGCGTCTGTGGCGGCGAACTGCTCCTCTTCGCTGGACAAGGGGCAACAGATTATTAGTATGAGCAAGACACACACTCTCGCTTGTCGCTATGTCCCGTGGGCGACTTACAATCCGTTAAAGTACTCGTGCGGGTTGAGCACGCCGTCGAGCACCATCCTGTCGATCTTGTCGGGGAACATGGCCGCCGCGGTGGCGCCGAGCGTGGTGCCGTACGAGAAGCCCCAGAACCGCAGCAGCCCGTCCTCCTGGAGCGCGTCGACAATGTTCATCATGTCGCGGACCACGTACGCCGTGCCGAGGAACCTGCCCGTGTCCTTGCCGCTGTCGTAGCAGTTCTCCGCCCACATGCCCGTGAGGGCCCAGAGGAAGCCGTCCGCCACGTCCGAGGAGTTGCCTCCGATCGGCGGGGTTCTCATCAGCACAGTGGCCTTGTCGGCTGCGCTGACGAAGCACGTGAAGTTGAGGCTTTTCCCGGTGCCGCTGTTTGCTACGGTTAGGTGGGCTCTGGACTGATTTGCGAGAAACATAATATGCGTCTGAATTACGTACCGAGGATCAAATGCAATAAGGTCATTGTACCCGCCACTCATGCTGTTCGGTGCAAGAGCACTTAGTCAACAAGCTTTCTGGTAAGATCAGGATATATATTGCCAGGCCAAGCTTACATCTGCAGCGTCGGCGCAATTTTTGCCAGCGACTCCATGGCTTCCGCGCCAGGACCGCCAAAGTTGAGCAGAATGCTCCCCTTGGATTTACCATTGCTGGCTGGCACCCTGAGCAGAGGCTGCTCAAAGGTCTTGCCGCACGAGCTGTTCGAATAGTCTATCGGGAGAGGGATGCTGGCGCATTGGATCGGGGCGCTCGAGTTGATACCATCGCAAGGCCCCCAGTTGATGGCGGTCTTGTTTGCGTTCGAGGCATCGTCGCGAGCACCAAGCGTCCGGGCGGTGACAGTCGAAGTTATAAAGGAGCTGAGAATAGCGAATTCGGAGAGATGGCTGGCGAGCTTCATGATGGGCTTCGTATACACACAACAGGAGAGGTCGGGAGAAGTCTGGCGAGTGTGCTGTCTGGCTACATCGGGAGAGCTGCCAAATCAACCGGGACTTGATGCCCTTATATACGCATGACTCTTGGCAGGCTCCTCAGTCGATGAGACCTCCTGCCTCCTCATCTCGAGGCATTGGCCGCCGACATAGCCAGGACAGAGAATGCCTGTGCCCCTCACAAACGGTCCATTTAGAGTAAACGACATCATGTTCCGTCTGCGACTCCCGGATCGTCAGCCAGACATGATTGGTTCGCATTTCGAATACGCGCGGGTCCGTCAAATCTTAAGCCGTAAGCAGGCACAGCACACTGGGGTTTTAGCGGGTGTTGCAGCTCAGCCCTGCAATGTGGGCAATGTGGGAGATGACGATGGCAGCTCGGGCTCATGTGTACGGCGATCCCGCTTGACGAGGCCGTTTCCTCTGCCACAGCTCGGGGAGGAGGCCTCGAGGCATGTTCTTCTTTACGAATACGGAAGACCTGACCGAGTCGCGAGCGCTTGGCAAAGCAAACAAACCATCTGCCAGCTTGCCAAGACCGATGTCCCGAGGACAGCAGATGACAAAGTCGATGATCCCTACCGCTGTAAGCACTGGCCATGCAGGGTAGTTGGGGGTGTTAAGTGACCAAAGACGATTGAATCAATCATCATTCTCTTGGCCAACCATAATAACAGTCACCGGTACACGTTATCCATGACGACCGCACACACGACGACACGCACTGCATTGAGCACATGGCACACTTGTCCTCCATAAAGGGTAACTCTGGATGAAATGCTGCAGTACTTCCTTGAGGCCCAGCCCACTCCTCAAACCCCTTTCTTGATGATATCGGCCGCCCTCTCAGCCACCGCGTACACCGTGCTCTGGATGTTGCCCCGCGGAATCAGCGGGAACACGCTCGCGTCCACCACGCGCAGGTTCTCCGTCCCGTAGACGACCAGCCTCGAGTCGACCACCCCGCCCTTGTCGCGCGGCAGCATCGCCGCCGTCCCGCAGCAGTGGTACGTCGACCGCGCCGTGTCCAGCGTGTACCTCCTGGCTACCTCCGGGTCCGCCAGGAGGAACGAGTCCGGGTGGTTGCGCGCCCCGTCGGGTTTGAGGTACGCCGCCAGCTCGGCCCGCTGCCGCAGCTTGTCGAGCTCCTGCAGGTGCCGGGCCATGAGCTCCAGGTCCGCCGGGTGGCTGAAGTACCGCGGGTCGATGGCCGGCGCGGCGCCTGCGTCTGCCGACGAGATGTGGCTGCTGCCGCGCGAGAAGGGGTAGCACTGCGCGAGGGCGAAGGTGAGAAAGTTCTGCGGCATCACCGTGTTCCTGGTCTCCTCGTGCAGGTTGCCCTGCGCCGGGAAGATGAACCACGCGCAGCTGCTCTCGTCCTCCCGCTCAACGATAGAGCGTACGGCGGCGACAAAGGTAGCGTCCTTGGTTGACGGGGGGTTCTTGTCTAGAATCTCGCTGATAGGGACCCTTGCGCTGTCCGGGAGCGGCATGTACGCGTGGGACTGGATGCCGCCGACGGTGAGCGGACCCTCGCGCTTCTCGACGTAGAGCCTCTGCGCCTCGGCGAGGGCTTCCGGCTCCTGCCGCATGAGTGCATCGACGGTGGCAACTCCGTCGGCTACCTCGTAGCTTACTGCCGTATGGAGGTGATTCTGGAGGTTTTCACCGACGCCGGGGCTGTCTACAACGACAGGCACGCCATGCTTCTCGAGTAGGTCCTTCTGACCGACCCCCGAGAGCTCGAGCACCTTCGGTGTGTTGAACACGCCTGCGGCGAGGATGACTTCCTTCTTAGCGGAGAATGTTTCGACATCCCCACCCGCGACGGACACCTGCACACCCGTGGCTCGAACATCGCCGCTCGAGTTGGGCCGGGAGAATACGATCTTCTGGACAGTGGCCTGCGTGACCAGCTGGACATTGTTCCTCTGAGCAGCAGGTGCACCGTATGCCGAGTACGAGTAGCTGCGGACCTTTTCGACCGGATCCACCGTGGCAAGGTTGCTGTACGCTCCCACCGACTTGCCCGAGAACGGATCTAGCCTCCATATTCAACACGTCGACATTCCACAAAAAAGAGGCACTCCGGATCCTGACTTACCACCAGTAGTAATCTTGCCCATCCCCTTGAAAGCCTCGATCCAAGACTTGGCGACGGGATTCTCCTTGACAGCCGGAAAATACACCTTGAGCGGGCCATCCGTGCCCTTGTCCTCCTCGCTCAGCCAGTCGACCCCGAGGTGCCGCCTGGTCTCCTCGTCGGGCTCCGTCAGCGTGCAGCAGCGCCGAAAGTACGGCCGCAGCGCCTCCCACCCCCAGCCCTCGCTGCCCAACGCGGCCCAGGCGTCGATGCCCGCCGCCGCGGGCGCGACAAAGGCCTGCCCGTTGATGGCCGACGAGCCACCAAGCGCCCGGCCCTGCGGCTCATCGATGCGGCGGCCGCGCAGGCCCGCCTGGGGCACGGTGCGGAAGGCCCAGTCGGCGTCGGTGTTGAAGAGCGTCATGAAGAGCGCGGGCCCGCTGACGCGCGGGTCGGCCGAGAGGTCGGCGCCGGCCTCGAGAACGAGCACCGAGGCCGAGGGGTCCTCGGACAGGCGGTTGGCGACGACGAGGCCGGCTGTGCCGCCGCCGACGACGATGTAGTCTGCCTCTTTGGCGGTGGTAGTGCTGGGAGCCATATTCTTGCGGGAGGTTGCAGAGTTGATGCTTGTCTATGCCAGAATGGTGATTGTCGAAGAATGACCGAATGAATCAGTTGGGTTAGTGATCGATCCCGTCCAGATGGAAGTTTTGGAAAAGATCATGGATGATTTACTCAACTTATACCTATAGATTTGATGCTTGCTGATGATGATCCTTCTACTCCTCCTTCGTACACATCGTGCGAGCGGCGAATCACAACGCGATACGCCTCATAGCGACCCGCACATAGTAAGCACTACATCCCGGACGCCATGCAAGTTTCTTAACCATTCCCTGATTTGTCTGTTGCTCTGGGAGGGCTTTGCCAGAACCAGACATAACTTTCACGGTGGTGTCTAGGTCAAGGTTATCACGCCTATTGCACAGATATACATCAAATCCTGTGATATTAACAAGTCTCTCGACCCGAACGGCTTCATTAAGAACCAAAGCTTTTGCAGCTATCTAAGATGTAATTATGCCTGACCCAAAAAGTACTACCGATACCCTTTCAGGGCACTACCAAAAGGCTGCACGCTCGACACGTATTCCCAACTACTGCTCCTTCTCGGTGGATGAGCCCGATGAGTCCTCCTCGACGACAATCATGTCATGCACTGGGTAACGTGCCGCCGACTCGAAGAAGCCGTGCTCGATCTCGACCGTGATACCACGGCCAGGTGGATCCGAAACCCAACGCTGCGACAAGATGCTGAAGATGTCTCGGTAGCCGTCAAATGGCGGATCCGTCGACTTGTGTAGACGCACGCGTTGAGAGACCACGCTGTAGCGCGCGAGCCGCGCGAAGTACTGCATCCTGTTTGTTCCAATGTTCATCAGCTTCCTTGCAAATCTCACAGATGATATCCCAATGCGGATGGGCCAACTTACCACCAGTCGCGCTGGCCCCGCTTGACTCCTCCAGCATGGCAAGCAAAAGAGAATTGGTGCAAATCCTCGCAGGACAACATGTCCTCGAGGAGATGGCTCAGGGTAGGGCGCTGGCCGGGACGTACCCCGACGCGGCAGATCCGGTTGGCCGGGTCCCAGATCTGTCCCTCGACGACCGGCGCGATCCTGAGCATGCCCATCTGCAGCCGGCCCACATGCTCGCGGTTGGTGTGGCCATAGAACTCGCCCTCCCGGGGAGCAATCTCCAGGGAGACGCCGGTGTATCTGCCGTGGTTTTCTCGAAATCTTATCTCGACAATAATGCGGTTCATGAGCTCATTTCTGGACGTTACGCTCCCACTGTTGCCGCGTGACTGCCGTAGGAAGTATATCTTCATCTGGCCGACGACCTGACGCAGCAGGCGCAGTGGAATATTGTCAACATCCTGGTCGGGCAGAATCCAGCCCAGGACTGGGTAGTGAGGCTCAGTGGCTTGTTGGGCGGGTCTTCGGCTCGTCATTGTTCTCTTGTATGTTCCGTCGCTCCGCAGTGGCTGCTCTATACGGGTGCTGATGCTGTGTAGCCTGCCAGTGCAACGGATCCCGGAGATCAGGGGCTTGGCGAGGACCTCAATTATATAGGCATATGAGTTCATGGTGATCACGGTCGTTCTGGTGATTCGTTCATCATGGGAATGTCGATTGTGGGAGTGTTTTGCAAAGTGCAGATTCACGACTGCATCTTGTATACACAGACTAGCCGGTGACAAGGGACATCGACCTGGACTGGTTCATGGTCGGCGAGCCACAATTTAATCTCGAATCGCGGCTTGTACGCCGGGAAGGTGTGACATAGCCGGCTGGCCTTGACCCAAATGCCAATGATATGTCTCCATTAATGCGTGTGTCACGGTGGCATCCGTCGTCAGGTACAGTCCCGCATTGGATTTGGGCCTGGTGATTGTCAAGAACTTGGCATGAGAGGCATTTGCAGCTTCTGTGCCACCAAAAGAAACAGCGGGCATATTGAGCTGGAGATGATTTGGTGAAAGTAAAGGGTTAAAATCCTGCTTTAAGACTGACAAGTCCATGAATAAAGGTACCAAATACGATTCACAATAGCACAAACTGACAGAAGTGTGAAGCTCCAATGAACGATATCTGCCTCTCTATTCATCGTCATCCGACACAATGTCCATGTCACTGTTCTCTTCCTGATCGTCGTCTTCCCCTCCGGTTTGCTCATGTGCAGCCCAACGTCTCTCATTCTCCTCCTCCAGCTCTCTTCTCAGGTCTGGATCCATATCCCGCATCGAAGTCACGTATTCGTAGTCGGGGTCAATATGCGCAATCTGATTAGTGAGGACCTGTTCGTTGCCTCTAACCTTCTCGATGCGCTCGTCGTGGCCCTCGTCAGCCTCGTCGCGGTACCAGTCGCGTGCTTTCTCCCGCCCTTCCCGCTCACTATCGCCGGAGGCTGATTAGACATGTTGATAATGAAAAGAAAAGGGAATGAGTGTTGGGGAGGATGGCATACTCTCGGGCCGCCTTTTGCGTGTCCTCGGCATGGTCAGGCTGCTGCTGACTATCCCATTTCTCGGGGTCATCCTCATTCAGGTCGTAGTTGTCCTTGGCTTTGTCACCCAGCGATTTGAACTTCCTTTGAAAGGACTTGTAATTTGGGATCTGATCGTCCTCGTCTCCTTCAAAATTCCTCTTCTTCGCCATAATCTTCAACATAGTCATTGTCTTGGCCAGTCATTGCGGATCTGGTCTAGGAGGTGGTTGATGGAGCTCATATCAGATAGCAACTTTTCAGTACAGACAAGAAATTTAAACAAGAGAAGAAGAACAGGAATGCACCCCGGCATTCGTGCGTCTTTTATACGAACCACGGCACCGGAAGTCTGTCACAAGGCTTTGGCTTAAGGAGGGCTTTCCGGGTGAGTCTGTGCTCAAGTCTGCCTAGTGGCGGGATTATTTGGCTTGGGCAGCAAGGTGACCCAACAGTTTTGCACAAATCACAATCGAAAGTGATCCATACCGAAGCCATCTACGGCCTGAAGGCCTGATGTCAGTCCAATCAGGCATCTGACTGGTTGCCTTCCAAGGATCCGAGTGCCGCACGTGCGAATAGCCTATGTCAGTATATCGCGCTTTATCGGGCATACACTTCACAGCGCGCATTCTGTAGCTGTGAGCATCTCGAAAAGATGGAAACAGGGTACGTCGTTCGAGGCTTTGAATTATGATGTTTGATGTATACCAATGCAGTGGTACTGCCTAATCAGCGTACAAAAAGAAGAGACTATGATGACTTGAGAGTCTTGCTTACATATGGTGAGCGCCTGCTGTCATTTCATGGCATAAGGAAGTACTGAATCATTACAATACATCGTTTATTGAAGACATGCCTCACACTCTTGACCTAGCTGGATTTGAATTCCACCCAGAAGAGATACATATGCAGTTGGTAATTCAATCACGGTCACAAAAATAGTAGCATTCGCCAAGCTGCAGTGGGACCCGGCTCTCGGGCTGGCGTCCCGGCGATGATGCTTGTCCTCGTCCGAGGACTCATGTAGGGCGTCGGCAGCTGAAGATTGTCCGGAGTCATAGAGCGGATGGCTAACATGGGGTAACAAGGGGAGAAAACTATTACTTAATTGAGATGTGTCCGGCACTTGGGAGCGGCGGGGCGGAGATGGTCTCGACACTAGCAGAGAGACTTATCTCGAAGCCGGGACTGTCCAATCGGCGCAGGGCTAGCAGTGATTCAGTGAAGGGATGACTTGCTTAAACTCTTATCTCTGCTTCCAGCCTTTCGACTCGCCCATCTTAGCTGGTTCGTCCCTCGAAACGCGGTACTTTCGATGGATGGGGAAGAAAAGCCACCAGATCGCGCCAGTCCGCAATGCGCATAGATGGCCGACGGCATTTGTACGCACGACTTTTGCACTTATCTAATTATCTGCTCCCATTCTAATCAGTGGAACCACCCCTCCATGATGTCGCGCCATGGGTGCTGCGCTTGTTCTGTGGTGATCACGGCCATGCCGTCTTAAAAGAGCCTCGTACGTCCGCCTCGAGAACCGCCTTGAACTACCTTTCTTTCTCGGTCACCCCACAGACAGCCAACACCCATCCTTCAAGTAATCGACAAGATGGTTGGCAACACCGATCCCAACCCTTCTCTGGCGCAGCTCGCTGCCGATGTCAAGGTCAACGTTCCGGAGGACGGGCCGGTGCCCCTCGAGGCCGTCTCGGTCCTCGCTCCGACCATCATCGACCCGGCCGCCGAGCGCCGCCTCGTCTGGAAGTTCGACCTGCGCGTCCTGCCCGTGCTCGCCGTCATGTACCTCTTCAACTCGCTCGACAAGGGCAACATCGGCAACGCCAAGACGGCCGGCCTCGAGAAGGACCTGGGCCTCGTCGGCAACCAGTACAACCTGCTCCTCTCCGTCTTCTTCATCCCCTACGTCCTCTTCGCCCCCGTGCTCGGCGGCCTGGGCAAGAAGTTTGGCGCCGCCCGCGTCCTGCCGATCATGATGTTCGTCTTTGGCGCCATGACGCTGCTCGTCGTCGCCGCGCGCAACTTCAGCGGCCTCTTCGCGCTGCGCTGGTTCATCGGCATGGCCGAGAGCGCCTTCTTCCCGCTCGTCATCTACTACCAGACCACCATCTACCGCCGCCACGAGCTCGCCCGCCGCCTGGCCATCTTCTACGCCGCCTCGAGCATCGCCGGCGCCTTCTCGGGCCTGCTGTCCTACGGCACCTTCCAGATCAAGGGCGGCGCCCTGGCCCCCTGGAAGTACCTCTTCGTCGTCGAGGGCGCCGGCACCATCCTCGTCTCCGTTTTCGCCTTCTGGTGGCTGCCCTACAGCGGCCCGACGGCCAAGTTCCTCAGCGCCGACGAGAAGACGCTCGCCCACTACCGCCTGCAGGTCGACTCGTCCTCGGTCGTCGACCAGAAGTTCGACCTGCGCGACGCCCTCCAGATCTTCAAGCACCCGACCAGCTGGGCCATCCTGCTCATCGAGGTCTGCCTCGGCGTGCCCCTGCAGTCCGTCACGCTGTACCTGCCCGTCATCGTCCAGCGCCTGCGCTACGACACGGTCAAGACGAACCTGTACACCGTCGCGCCAAACATCACGGGCGCCGTCATGCTGCTCGTGCTGTCCTTCGCGTCCGACTACTCGCGCCTGCGCTTCCCCTTCGTCGCCCTGGGCTTCGCCTTCACGCTGACGGGCTTCATCATCTACGCCTGCGTCAACGTCGAGGCGCAGCTGCAGGTCGCCTACTTCGCCTGCTTCATGATGACCTGGGGCACCTCGGCGCCCTCGGTGCTGCTCGACGTGTGGTACAACAACAACATCGCCAACGAGAACCGGCGCATGGCGCTGACGACGATCGGCGTGCCCGTGGCGAACCTCATGGGCCTTGTCTCGTAAGTTGCTGCCCGGAACGGACTTCCTTCCTTCTCCGCAAGAGCTCTTTGGCATTATTTTTCTTCTATTCGACCCCTGTGTGCTAATCTTGTGTGTGACGTACGTTTGCAGATCGAATATCTTCCAGAGCAAGGACGCGCCCAAGTACATGCCGGCGCTCCTGACGACGGCCATCTTTGGCGCTGTCGGCTGCGTGTGCACGCTTCTGCTGGGAGCCTGGATGATGTACGACAACAAGAGGCGCGACCGCGAGGAGGGGAGGACTATCTCGGCCAAGGATATCCCGACGGAACTATTGGCCGATGGGCCGGCGAGTCTGCACTACCGCTGGCATCTGTGATGCTTCTGAATAATGACGATGGTTCTGTGCCGAGATACCGGGGCCTAGGCGTTAAGGTTGATAATTACATCTCGTTAATGTAGCGAATAGACAACACTATGATCATATTTTCCCTCTCAGAGTGCATCTTGTTGAACCATATCGAAGTAGAGTGCACTTGCCAGGGCATAACGTTTCTGGATCTATCATGAAGAGAACTATGTGTACCAGAACTGTTGGACTATTGCCCGAGGCATATCTGTCACGACAAATCCTTGCTATGCGGTAAATAAAGTAAAGCATAATATTCATCATGCGCCTTAAGTTGGGACGACGGGCTCGCTCTCTTGAAACCCGACTAATTGAGCCCAAATGCATCTATTGTCTATGTGCTGAAACATTTCAGTTCTTGTCAGGATACTGACACCAGGCAACCATTTTTTTTAGGAATTGCCTTAAAGGATCGCGTGGGCGTCTCTCCAACCGAGATCGATGTCTCAATCGAATGACTTCACATCATGGAATGAACAGCATACTCAGTTCATTTAGTGACCATGAGTATTGACCGCCAGTCCAGCTCGCAGTGCGCAAGTGTTATTGCATCCATGAGCTAGCTACTCAAGACAGTGTGGAACTGTGCAGACCCTGCACTACCGCGTATATTGGGAGATCCAGCTTTTTCCCAACTGCAGCTCACTCGGTGTGGTCGACGTCCGCGTTCTTGGCGTGCTTCTCGGTGTACTCCTCGGCCGTGAGGGCGGGCCGCGTCTTGGCGAACCGCACCGTCGCCCAGATGGACGGCGACTCCCGGAAGACGAGGTCGATCTCCTCGAGGTTGCGGCCCATGGTCTCGGGGAAGAAGAAGTAGACGGACAGGGGGATGCAGGCGCCGATGGCGGCGAAGACGATGTAGAACTGCCAGCCGATGGTGTTGATGGCGACCGGGGTGACCATGACGACCACAAAGTTCCTGCACCGAACGGTTAGCAAATCGAAATCAAGCTAGGCACGGGAGGGAGTCAAAATTACAGGAGAGACAACAAAAGAAAAGCAGTGAAAAAAGCACATACCATAGCCAGTGGTTCGCGGTCGAGATGGACGACATGGCCATGCGGAGGCGGATGGGAGCGACCTCTGTGCAGTACAGGAAGTTGGCGCCGAGGAAGCCGATCGGGACAAAGGTGTTGTAGAGGTAGATGAAGCAGCCGGCCGCGATCTGCGCCGCGCGGTTCTCCTTGTCGAAGGAGGTGGTGATGGCCAGGGCAATCATGCAGCAGGACATGCCGGTGCCGGAGAGGATAAAGACCGCACGCCGACCGAACCGATCGATGGTGACGAAGGCGATAAAGGACGACAGGAACTTCCACGTCAGGGCCCCGCCGGTAAGGATCCGGGATAGCTCGCTGCTGAGGCCCAGGTTGGTCTGGAAAAGGGTGGTGGCGTACACGCTGACCAGGTTGCTCCCCGACATCTGTTGGTAGAACTGCAGCAGGATGCACAGCAAGAAGCGGTAGAGGAGCTTGTCCTCGCCCATCTTGAGCATGTCGCCGAGCTTGGCTGCGTGGCCCGAGGTCTCCTCCAGAGAAAGCTCAATACCACTGAGCTCGGCCTGTACCTCCAGGCTGTCCTCGGAATGGCCCCTGAGCACGGCCAGAGAAGCACGGCCCTCCTCCATGCGGTTCTTCATGACCAGCCATCGAGGAGACTCGGGGAAGATGTACACGGAGGCCATCAGAACCAACGAGAAAGCGATGGCAATGGCAATTGGCGGGCGCCATGTGACAGGACCGCTCTTGAACTCGAAGAAGCCCAGGTTGATCCAGGACTCGAGGGTGTATCCCAAGCAGATGAACAGGCCGGTCACAACGACATGTTGCCCTCGGTTCTTTGCTCCCGAGGTCTCACTCTGCCATACTGGGACGATGGAGCTCAGCTGTCCAACACCGGCACCGATCAGAACTCTCCCGACGATAAACTGAGCCAGGCTGAACGAGGAAGCCTCGAGGACCTCGCCGATCAGGGTGAAGATGGCGGCGGCAAAGATGACGTTTCGGCGGCCAAACATGTCTCCGGTGTAAGAGCAGGACAGAGAGCCGATGAGGGCTCCGATGACAAACGTGGCAACGACGAATCCCTGGAGCGTAGACTTGCGGCTCTTTTCCGAGCCGGTCGAGTGAATGGTGTCGATCTCTGGAAACGTCTTGACCCAGTCCTGCTCGGACAACAGACCGCCGATGCCAGCCTGGTTGTACCCAAAGAGAATAAAGGACGGGGCTACAATCAAAGCGATCTGGAGCTTGGCAAGGGCTTCGCCACTCAGGCCAAAGGCTGTCTTGAACCCCATTCTCTCGGTGTAGGTGCTTGTTCGCCCGGGGAGAGATACTGAGGAATGAAGGGAAGGGAAAGGTGAAGTGTGTGCTTCAAAAAGAAAAATATGTCTGGGGCCCGGGGAACTGGTCTCTTTTCAATCCTATCCCATGATCCATCCGGGGCCCTTCTGGGGCTCCCACCCTGCCCACACACATGGCTTAACAAGACGAGCGGAGAGAACCTGGAGCCACCGCGCCCCGTGGCTCCCATCGACTGTGTCAGAATCAACGAGTCGTCTGCTCCGCTTGAGGGAGACTGCTTACACCAGTCAGGAGAGCGATGATCTGTTCGTGCCACTGACGCAGGGGGATCACTGACTTTTCCCGCACGGGGTTTTGCAAATGCTGTGTAGACTCCCGAACGGTGATCTCACGACGGCATTTTCTCGGAGGGCCCCGTTCTCGTCTGCAGCCCAGGCTGGATCCCGGCCCACCGGCGTTGATGCGGCTACTGCTTAGCGCTGCGGCAATGCGCCAAGTTGCCTCGTGCCGGCTTGGCCGGCAGTGCTTGTATTGTCCGCTAGTGCCCACTCCGTGGGCCTGTTGCATTACTCGAGACAATACCTAACTGGGCGGTCTGGGACTGGGACTGGCCCTAGCCACATTGTTGCCGCTATCCTGTCTGAAAATTCGCCTCCGGGAAAAGTGTTTATTAGGCGGGTTAGGGCTTACTCGATGCCCATCAATACATGGAGGCACAGCTTTCCACGAAGATCATCACTCTTGCAAGTTGTTCTAGCTTTGTCCAAATGACGATTCAAGGAGCTACTTGTATATGTAGATAGGTATCCCACACCCGAGCGGTAGTGAGTCGTAGGCTTTGGACGGCGGTTTGAGATTTGTGATGCCAGTGGGCAATGATTTGACTCTCGATATCCAACATGATGTAGGGCTCGAACACGGTAGCACTGACCACATGTTGTATTGCCGCCGCATCCGAGATTTCACAGGAAATACGCCTTATCCATCAAGTACAGGCTCTATCATGACAGCGATCTCTTGTCAAACCCAGCGTCTTCCCCATATTGCTGACCGAGTTCGACGGGGCGAAGGCAGTCTTATTAGGGAGCTTGCTCCGGATATTTCTCCACAATATCAACATGCTCCTAGATCTTAGGGCCAAAGAAATGGAGCGAGGAAAAAAAGACTAGCATCAGCAGGGGATTTTCATGGCAATAAGTATGACTAGCCTCCCTTGGAGCACGCCATCTTAGTCTCGCTCAAAGTGTGGCATCAAATCACCCGTCGGTTCGCGGCAGCAATATTACCTTGAAACATGGACTTTTGGCCCGTCAGCCTCTTGGACCCCCACGCCTCCGGAGAAACCCGGGTTCTGGTCGAGGACAGTTCCATCTGCCTGGGGAAGATGCAGCATTGCTCCAGCTAAGATGACATAAAGGGCAACTGGTAACCTCACAGTCTCTTCCCCTCCAAACCCGGAACAACACCTCTACTGTCAGTCATCAAGTGAGGTGGTAGATAGGGGTGACTTTACAGGGATGAGATTCCCTAAGAGAGTGACAGGTGTTTCCCAGGTTTTGAGAAATATGCAAAGGAACAGACATATATGCCAGTGGTCTATTGTTGGTGTATTGCTATTCATACGACGTAGTTCGTCGAGACCTTTCTCTCTATGCCAAAATGCTTCAACTGCCACAGCCAACGGCTGACAAGCTTTCCCAAAAACATAACTCGAGGAAAGGGATGGTCAAAGTGATTGTGCCTTGACGCCTTTCCGGCTCTGAGCAACGCAGGGCTATACGAAAGCCTTTCTACCTCCAACCGCCGCCGCTAAACCGACTCTTCGCGCGAATCACCGCCCTGCTCCTCCTAGCTAGCCATCTCGGTGTCCGCATCAGAGTCCGGCCGCCGAGGCAGGTTCAGCTCGGACAGGTACTGCATCGAGGGCGTCGTCCAGCGGACCATCCGCGGGAAGCGGCCGTTCTCGATGGGCAGCACGACGCTGTCCCCGTCGGGGAACCAGCGCCTGGTCAGCACGCCAATCGCCGTCGCCGGCCGCGGCGTCTCCGGGCCGCCCTCCGGCTCGGCCAGCTCGCCCGTGATGATTCGGCGCTCCAGGAGCCGAATGAAGAACTGCATCCTGCGTAGAAGGGTAAAAAAAAAGAAACATACAACATCAGCCCATAGCTCTAAGGCCAGCACCAAGTAAGAAAGGAAATGATTGCAGCCAAGGAGAAAGATAAGGAAACAGCGAAGCAAACAGAAAGAAAAAAACTCACCAGAAATCCCTATGGCCGATAAACCTCCTCGGCCCTTCGGGCCTATGCTCAAACCAAAAGTCCTGCATGCGGTGCTCCCCGATCATCGCCAGCATCTCCCGGACCGTAAAGGACCAGCCATCCGCAATCGGCAGGCGGAAGATGCCCGCGGCGCGCGGGAACCGGTACGCCACGTCGGTGAGGTAGACGTACAGGCCCGCGCGGCGCAGGCCCAGCACCTCCTCGGGCAGCAAGGGCGGCGCCTCCCAGAGCTCGAGCACGCGGTCCCCGGGCGTGTTCTCAAAGGGGCGGACCTCCATCCGCAGGCCCGCGAACTGGTCGACCTGCTCGCGGAACTGGGCCCAGACGGCGACGCGGTTGGTCAGCTCGTTGTCCGCGGCCACGACGGTCTGCCCTCCTTCTTCGGTGGAGGACGACTCCTGCAGGAAGAAGACGACGAGCCGGGTGATCTCGCGGTCCTGGACCGGCGGCTCGACGTCGTCGACGTCGTGGATGGGGAAGACCCACCGCGAGACGTCCGGCGGCAGGACGGCCGGCTGGCGGCGGCGCGGCGGAGCCATGATCGATTGGTGGGCTCGCAAAAGCAAGTCAACTGTCCGTGTTGATGTTTGCTAGATCAAGAAAGACAAAGACAGGGCAAACTTAGGGCGTCTAGGTTCTGCCGGGTTTCTCAAGCGAAGAAGGGAAGTACATCAAAAGCAGGTCTCTTGGGAAGGAGAAAGCACTGCATAAATACATGGGTGGAAAGGGTCGTGAAGAGTGGTTGCATGCCTGTGATTTGGGGGCCGCTATTCACTACCCAGACGGATGTCCGATGGTGACAGGCGTTGAGACGACATGAAGAGGCAGCGACTCTGCGTGATACATGAGATGTTGCACTTGTGATACTGTAGTTCAACGTGCGAATGGCTTGTTAGTGTTCTCGCGGGTTGGTCACTCGTCGAGCAAAATGTGACCTCAAACTGGCACAGGAAACCCAAGGAAACCCTGAGTAGGTTCGCACAGGGTGTGCTGTCACTTTGTCACGTTAGTTTCGTCGCAGTGACCCTACACGTGTGACCTGCGGGCTTGTATCCTACGATTCAACAAACCGGAAAAGAATGTAGCCACCCGAAAGCTTGCGAGCGAGTACCAGAAACATGGATGCCTCCAGTCTCTTCCATGTTTCATGGGAAACCTCACGATTCACGATGCGTATCAGTCTTCAAAGTTGAACTGCCAATTGTCATTCGATAACCCCCCAAAAGAGGGTTCAGCTGCTGGCAGCATGGCATCAACCGCCCAACAAAAAGAAAGACATAACAAATGTACACGCTGTCTCCCAGAGGGCGATGATTTATATAGTACAGATTCATGTCGGAGTCGAGAAAAGAAAACAAAACAAAACACATCAGCCGTAAGTACTTTTTCCTTTCCAACCGGCACGGTCAAACATGACACACAAAGAAAGACTTGACAAGAAAATGATATGGCTTGCATGAAGAAAAAGGGAGGCTAGATCCCACCCTCGTTCCGCGAGATGACGATGCTAAATCCTGCCCGCCTCTGTTCCGCAATGGATGCTGCGCTGCAGAGTGGAAAGGCCACTCAGGAGAATAGACGAGAAAATGCTTAGAGAGAAAATGAAAATGCAGGTCTGCTGTCCGGTGTAAATGCATATTACAAGCCAAGGTGGGCAAAAACGAAAAGTGAGGAGAAACAGAAAAGACACGCGATATTTTGGTCGTGATATCATCACCACCCCGAACCGACCGAGACCTCTCTCATCCTACAACTTGTCCATCACCAATATGTTCCAGTTCTCCGACTATATCCCCCAGTGTCGGCTCATATCAAAGGTCCTTCCAAGGACTGCCCCATACATCCTGGTGGCGTAGTAGATAGGTGAGGATGGCTCTCTCAGTTTCGTAGTTGATCGTGGCAGATTTCGCCGATAGTATCTTACATCGCCGGCCCCATCGGCACAGGCGTGGAGCCGGCGCTGCTTCCGGGAGCGGGAGTGGCCGCGCTGCTCGGTGCGGGAGTGCCAGCCGTGGGCGGCGCCGGGGGGACAGTGGCAGCCTGCGCGGCAGCGGCCTTCTTGGCAGCCAGGGTGGCCTTGCGCTTGGCGACAGCGGCCTGCATGGAGCCGTTGGCCCATCGAGCTGCGAGGAAACCGAACGTTAGTCATCGGGTTGAGAAGTAGATAGACAAAACACGCAAAGGTAGGGAAAACTTACTCTTCATAGAATGGCTCATCTTCTCGCTCTTGGTCATCTGGGTATACTCCTTGTGCTCTTCGCCGCCATTCTCGCCGGTAGGACCACCAGAGGCACCACCTCCTGCAGGGAGCATGATATGCTGGGCAGGCGGGGCAGGAGTCTGCACACGCGACGAGGAGGCCGAGCCGGGCAGCGAATTCGACGTGGGCGTCGGCATGGGTGCGACACCAGACGGGTGGCCCGGGTTCGAGTAGTGGTGCTTGAATTTGACTGGTCGCGGCTTAGGCGGACCAGGCTGAACGGCTCCTCCTGCGGGAGCGGGTGCCAGGTGCATGTGCTGCTGAGGCGGCGGCGGCGGGTATTGTTGATACACAGAGGTGCCTGGCATGGGGGCGGGGGCGGAGTGGTACTGCATGTCCTGGCCGTAGGATCGGGCTGCAGGTGCGATAGTCTGGACCGGTTCGGCGGGAGTGGGCTGTTGAGAAGACTGCTGGGTTGCCTTGACTGTGTTTGTGACTCGGCGACGCTTCGGCTGTTGGGGAGGAGTAGAGTTTTGCTCCTCGTCATCTTTGAATTTGCGACGCCGCTTCGGGCGGAGAGAATAGTTCGACTCGACAGTATCAACCGTGCCATCAGATCCGGAGGAGGAGGGGCGCGATTCATCATCGTCATCAGCATCGGCATCAGCAGAAGACTGAGTATAGAAACTGGTGGAGGCAATCTCGTCTGGCTTGTTGCCGTTGAGGACCTTGATGCGACGCTTCTTAGGCTGCGGCAGCAACTCCGGGTTCTCGTTCTTTGGCTCATCTTTATAAGCTGGCACGGGAGGAACCTGCTTGCCCTCATCGGCCTTGGTGGCACGCTTCCGCTTCCCACGTCCCGTCTTCGGCTGCTCTTCTTGGGCAGCCTCTGCGGCGGCTCTCGCTGCTGCTGCCGCAGCCATAGCGGCCTTGCCTGTTCCTGGAGGGCGACCTCGGCGCTTCCCATGCTTAGTGAGAGACACTGGAGGAGGCAGATCTCCGTTGACGTCGTCAGCTGCGATGGTCTCGGCGTCAGTCTCCGCCTCTTCTTGGGCGAGAGCTGCGCCTCTTGCACCAGCATTTCTACGACGGCGTCGAGTGGGTGCTGCGGCGGCGGGAGTACCTGCACGGCTAGCATCACGGCTCTCATCCGAGAGCACCTTCTTCTTCCTGGTTCGTTTGCCAGGTCCGGTAGCATCCGGGTCGATTTCGGCTTCGACAGCCTTCTGGGTCATCCTGGGACGGTTGCGCAGTCTGGTATTTTGCAGACCTTCGCGCTGCTCCTCCGGGTCCTGTTTGCCGACCATGGCCTCTCGTGGGTCATGCTCAAAGAAGTAGATTTCGGACATGAGCTTGTCCTGTTGCTTCTGCCGCAGCTTGCCGGGGTCTGCAATGAACTCTTTGGCGCGGACTCCCTTGATAGCGAAGTCACGCTCCAAGACCTCGGTGTCGGGGTTGTTCTTCTTGAAGGCCATGTTGACCTTGTTCTCATAGTTGAGGTCCTGTTGTCGGCGGCGCACCGCGTTGTCCTCGTCGTCTGTGATCTTGCGTAGCTCGTTGTACTCGTCCTGCCAGGTAACAAGTGTGTTGTTGACGGCAGCGAGGACATTGAAGAGGGTATTAGTGTCCATCTTCTTGTAGTCCTTGAGCGCCTCGACAAACTCCTCGGGATCTCGAAGCTTCTTAAACGCATACTGTTTTCTTGATCGCGTGGGTTTGGGGGTGCCTTCAATGCCGTTGAGAGCAATCTGGGGGGTGCTCCCAGGCGCAGCAGAGTCGGTGGCCGCATCCTGGCGGTCTTCGACAGCTGGAGACATGGCAGCAAAGTCGCCATTGGGGGTGACGATTCCGGACCCACCGTTGTCGTCCGGACCATCTAGGCCGTCGAGCTGATCAGCGACCAGCTGTTCTTCGATGCTATCTTGAACATCAAGCTGGGCGGCGTCGGCGGCCTCGCCGGCAGCTTCTCCATTTTGGTCGGCACTGGGCGTCGCAGCGACCGAGTCCTCGGCAATTTCAGGGAAGTAGACCTGGCCGTCAACATAGGGGCTGAGGAGGGCGAAAGGATCGCCGGGAAAGGTGGTGCTGTTAGCAGCCTTGGCCAAGGACTTCTTGCTCAGCTCCGGACTCGACTGTTGTCGTGCAGTCTCGTTCTGCTCGTTTGCAGCGGACTTGTTCGAGGGAGAAGGGATCTCATCCTCCTTGGATCCCATTTTGATAGTCGACTTCCTACGTCGACTAGAGCGACGAAGCTCGCCAGGGCTCTCCTGAGAAGGCGCATCGGGCATAGAAGTGTCTGGCTCCTCTGTGGCGACACCATCTTGTTTAGGTTCGGATATAGATAAGGGCTCGTCGGCAGCAAGAGTATCGACTGCAGCCTCGGCTGGCGCAGTGGACTGTGATTGCAGCGGACTAGGCTCTGGGCCGGAACGTTCCTGTTCCGTGCTCGCAGTAGCAGGTAAGGCAGAAGGGGTGCTAGGAAGCTCTGACTGTGGCTGCGGAGATGGCCTGGTCTCTGCTTCAACAACTGGAGCAGGCACTTCCTTTGGCTCCACCTTGTCGACTGCGGCCTCGGGAGCAGCTTCGTCGACAGCAGCAGGTGAGGCGACGAGGACCGGAGTAGGTTCCTTGGAGGGGATGGTGACAGGCTCCGGGGAGGCTTCCTTTGAAGTTGGTTGGCGCTCATTCTGAAGATCAGGGTTCTGCGTAGTTGGCTCTTCCTTAATAATGGGTTGAGGCGATGCGTCAACGTCGCGGTGGGTAGTGTTAGGAGGTGTGGAAGAGCGAAGAGACTCGGATAATAGCTTGGACCGTGGACGGATCCGGGTGAAGTGTAGGACTCCGTTGAGAGCAGTGACATGGGGGTGAGGTTCATCAGAGCTCTGAGTGGGCTCCGGAGACTTTTGGGGTTGCGGCTCAGCCTTGTCTGCGGCCTGAGAAGGCTTGTCCTCCTCGACAGCGGAGACTTTGGCTGGTGTAACGGCAGCAGGCTCCTCGAGAGGTTTGTCGACGACAACCTTGGGAGCAGGGTCGGCGGCGGCAGAGACAGCACGCTGGGATGGGGCAGGCTGTTCAGCGACTACCGGCTGCTCGGACTGCTCAAGTGGCTGGGAGACGGGTTCGGCAGCAGGTATATCCTCTGCAGATGATTTGCTCGATTCTGATTGGTTGAAAGAAGACTGCTCCTCAGAGTACTCCGAGTCGTCATCATAGGTGACACCGACCTCGATGGTATCCTTGACATCGTTGTCAGAAGACTCGTCAATAAAGACGCGATCGTCGGTAACAGTCTTCCTAGCCGGAGCGGCCGGCTGCTTGCGCCGGGCGGATGCAGGAGAAAGGACCTCACGCTGGCGCGACAAGCGCAGTTTCTTGGCAGAGTGGTTGCCGGCATCATCAGAATCGTCGTCAACGACGCTGAAAGTGGGTTTCCTCTTGCGGCCGCGCTGGCCAGAAGCCAGGACGTTCTTACCGTCGGGCCGCTGAGCATCGGCGTCGGCGTCCTGCTCGATGTGGCTATAGTCGATGCGGGTACGCTTGCGGAGGGAATGGCCGCCCTTGGAGACGGTCTCATCATGGGGATTGCCATCGCCATCAAACTCAAAAGTCTGAGAGCGCTTGCGGGTCATCAGGGTCCTCTGTGACATGGTGGGCGAGGGCGTGGAGTAGGAAAAAGACTGAGAAAGGGATGATGGCTTAGCCGACCTCTCAGACCGAGGTGTCCGAGATGGGGAGATATTGTCGGAAAAATCGCCTGAACGCGCCATGGAGGGAGCGGCACCACCACGCATGCGACCGCCGCGGGACGGAGCCGAATTAAACGGGCGGGCAGGAGAAGAATAAGAAGATGCAGGGGAAGAGTTTGCAGTGAAATTGGGCATGTCAGCACGCGAGTGGGTGAAGATGTGGTGAGACGAAGCTGGTGCTGACGATGAGGACAAAGCTGCTGAAGGAGGAAGTGTGCGGCGCCGGGATGGGGCACCAGCTGCTGCACCAGCGCTGTTGCTGCTGCTGCTTGCGCTGCCGCCACCGCCTGCGGCACCACCACGCGCCCGATCCATTGTTGCGGGAGCGAACAGCAGCAGTCCTGTCTGCTGGAGGCGATGTCAGTAGAGATGCGCGGCTGGGGGTTAGAGACGCTGGGACGGGTTGCAATTTTGTGTGTAAGCCAGCCAGCTTGCAGTGTTTGGTGTTGCAGGCGCGGGTAAGTAGTAAGTAGTAAGGCGGCTGGATGCGGCGAAAAAGTGGATGATGTGTTGTGTCAGGGAAAAAAGGAGGAGATGAGTAAAGCGGGTGTGCTAGCTTGGTAGCTTGCTTGCTGGGATGGACTTACAGCCAGAAAGCGTGAGCGAGAGAGAGAGAGACAGAGAGACAAAGAGGCGCGCGCAGAGTTTGCAGCGACCAATACCGCGCGCACTGCAGGCCGGACAAAGGGCAGAGCCAGATCAGACAATGGATGCGAAGCAGACAATAGCCCTGGCCGGGTTCAACAATAGGTCTGGTGTGCAGAACAAAGGGCTATTGAGGCCAGAAAAAAGTGACTGAACTGACTGACTGAATGAATGAATGAATGGGACAGGCGGACGGATGATTTGCGCATGTGCCTCACTCTGTCGTCGACACGGCTAGGCGGCGCTGCCTCAGCGCACGCCAGTCAAACAAAGCAGCACCAGCCAGCCCAGGCCCGAGCCAGCCCCAGCGGATGCACCACCCACTGAAAGCTGCAATTTTTTGGGTTTCTAGTGGCTGCGACCGAAGGGGCTTAGCGGGTCAGGGTCAAGCCACACGGGCCACACGGGGATCCAGACGGGTAGGTGGGTACGCTGAGATGCGCTGAGATTGATGGCGAGAGCATCAGAAGAGGAGAAGGACGTGGGATATTCAGCATCCATTCAGTCACCATGGCAGCGTAGACAAAAGGCAAAAATGGCATCATTAAATCTATTGACGGCACATCATTCACCGGCACTATTTTTCTCGTCTCTTTTGTTACAGATTGGCGTCGCGCTGTGGGCATGAATCTGCGCTGTCTTTTGTCTCGGATGCCAAAGTACACGAGTTCCCCCCCATTTTTTTCCCTTTTCCACGGAAGACGACGCCCCAGCCAATCAGAAATTCGAAATCCCCCTCCCCGTCTTCCTCCCATGACTCTAAGCCCATCCCGGCTTAGCCCATCTCGTGCAGCTCGTGTGGGCCAATCATGCACCCGTGACGCAAGGCAGGCGACGGACGGGCCATGCATAGCAACAGCAATCACTCTGTACCAACTTCGTACTCCGTAGCTGCTTCAATCACCTCCATCACCAGCCTACCATTCCACAACGCTGCGTGTTCTGATTCCTAATCTTCAAGATTGCCAACAATCCCCTTCCGTCTGGCGTGCCAGGAGCATCCCAGACCTCTGCAGCAAGCAATCCATCCATTCGTAGTCTGTCATCTGTCGTTACCACCGCCCACACTCTGACTCGGAGCACACCCCCTCCCTGCCCCGACAATGGCTAGCAAACGCGCCCCCAAGGCCGCTCCCGCCAACGACGACCTCGACGACCTCTTCGAGGGTATCGGCGACGAGAAGGCCGCCCCCAAGAAGGGCACCAAGCCCAAGACTGGTGTCCCAGCCGCTGCCAAGGGCAAGGCTGAACCCGACATCCTCGCCGAGCTGGAGAACGAGCTGGGCGAGAAGCAGCCCTCCCGACCACACACCCCGCGCATCAAGGAGCCCGCCAAGCGAGCCACCGGCACTCCTCCACCTGCCGGCGAGAGACTGTCTACCGAGGACCGACCTGCCGCCCAAGCTCGCAAGTCCGGCGACAGCACCCGCTCCTACCATGCCAGCTTCACCCCGAGCGCCACCAGCTCCGACCTGCACGAGGCCGAGAAGAAGGGCCCTGTCGAGCAGACACAGGCTGCTGCTGCCTCTGGCGGCGGCTGGTGGGGCGGCTTCCTCAACACGGCCACCGCTGCCATGAAGCAGGCCGAGGCTGCTGTCAAGGAGATTCAGTCCAACGAAGAGGCCAAGAAGTGGGCCGACCAGGTCAGAGGCAACGTCACGGCCCTTCGAGGATATGGTATGACACCCCCGATCCCGTTAGCAGTTTGTGTGTCCACGCCAATAGACTAACACACCTTGTTCAGGCGACGAGCTCCGCCACCGCGCCCTCCCGACCTTTACCAACATCCTCCACACCCTCGCTCCTCCCATCTCCTCCCACGAGCGCCTCCTCATTCACATCACTCATGACATGGTCGGCTACCCCTCTCTCGACCCCCTCATATACGGCGTCTTCTCTCGCGTCATGGCTCAGGTCGAGGGCGGCGACCTGCTCGTCATCCAGCGCGGCCAGGAAAACACCCTCCGCTCGCCGACCGCCGACAAGCACTCCTTCTTCACCGGCGCGCACTCGGCGGCTGGCTGGCGCGACGGCCCCTGGTGGCGGGCCTCGGACCTGCCCCGCGACCTCGGCAGCGTCAAGGGCCTGACCGAGGGCACCAAGCTGTGCCGCGCCAGCGCCGAGGCCTACGCCAACGACTTCTTCGCCGCCCAGGGCGGCCTCGAGCTGGCCCGCCAGCGCGCCATCGAGCCCGTGTCCGAGTCCAACCCGGTCCGCAGCTCGGACCTCTTCCTCGGCGTGCAGGCCATCACCACCGAGGGCGACAGGGCTCTGTTCGCGGGCACGGCCGCCGGCGAGAAGGAGAAGGCCGACTCGGCCGTGCTCTCCGAGGACGACACGGACGAGCTCGTCTGCTTCGCCGTCTACGTGCTCGACCCCGTCCACGAGATCGTCTTCCACGCCATCAGCCAGGCCATCCCGGCCAAGTGGATGCGCTGGCTCGACGCGCCGGCGCCCCTGACGCCGGCCAGCAGCGCCGAGGACAGCGAGCAGGTGCCGCCGGGAGGCGGCGGCGACCGAGACCTGGACCTGGAGAGGGTGCCCGAGGAGATTCGCGAGATCGTCGAGAGCGGCGGCGTCGACCCGCGCGAGTGGGTGGCCGAGTGGCTCGAGGAGGTGCTGACGCTGTCGGTCGGCGTCGTGGCGCAGCGGTACGTCGCGCGGCGCATGGGCGTCGGCGAGGGTGGCATCGGCAAGGGCAAGAGGAGGATGGAGGAGCTGGTGCAGGAGGGCGGGGGCGAGGCCGCGCGGGCGGGGCTGATCTGAGAGATAGATACAGATACCTCTTTTTTGTTGCACGCTTGATGATGCCTCGCGTTGCGCTTTTGGATCATGAATGCCGCTCTCTGCTTTATTACAGTTGTGATTAGGGCGGGCATTTCTGATGAAACGCGTTAATATTCCCTCTTGCTGATTGCTTGGAGGAGTTTGGGATGCAGAGCAGTTCTTTTTTACTAAGCAAATCCAGATAATGAATGCCCAAGAATTGGAAGATCTTTTGACTATGGTCTATGGTATTTGCTCTGCTCTTGGGAATGTGTGGTTGTTAATATGTTATTAATTCTCAACTTGACGATACACACCCTTGTCATCGTGAGTATATGGGAGTCATAACTTGACATATCTAATTATTGTTTTGCGTTTTCGGTATTGGTCTGATCCGGTTCAAGTCAAGTAACAGTATCTAATCGGCAATGCCCTAAGGAGATACTGTATATAATACCCGTGCTCTAGTTGTTCTTTAATAGATCTCAACATGTTGCTAACATCCGGATGTGGTTATATCTTCTCTATTAAATCAAAGATGACATTCGCGAGGGCTGTATCTGCTACTATCAAAATGAACGCAGAAAAAGGGCAACCCCACACCAAAGGAGGAGATGCCATACGCCGGTATTCATAATCGCCTCCCGGATCTCCAACCTTGGAATTCTAGCAAAGAATCAAGCTTGTTTGGCTCTAATACTTGCTGATGATGTTATTCAGGAGAGCGATGTCTCCCACGCGCCGCCATCGGCCGCCGCCGGCCAAAAGGAGTCAAGCCTCACCCCGCTAATCGCATATCGGGTACGCTCGAAAAGTGCGCATGAAGCTTATCAACACCTGGGCGATCGCCGCCGTCTGGAGAGAAGCCCTCGCGAGACGGCAATTGACAACTCCTATCTCCAATCTTGTCCATATCCTCCACATCAGCGGGCTTGGCCACCATCGGCTGGCTGGCGGCGCGGCCATTCCCGAGCGGATTCCATGGGCTGTGACCGGCCGCGTGCTCCTCTCCGCACCTCGACTGGAGGGGCCTGTTTCCCCAGATATGTCTTCGATTCCCAGATTGCGACCATGTGACACGTGCCGGCATCGCAAGACCAGGTGTGTCAAGCCGCCGGACAAGGATCAGTGCATCCTGTGCGCCTTTCACGGCAAGAAGTGCACCTATCTACGGGGTCCGCCGTCCCGGCCTCGACGGCAGAGTGGCACGTCCCCGGCACATGCGCATACACATCTACCTACACAAACATCTTTCGATAGGGCAGCGATAGTCAGTGCTCCTCTTGCTGACAATGAACTCATCACCGAGCTTCCACACTCCGAGGGCCATGATATGTCCCCTGCCAGCAGTGGCCCGGATAGGCCACTGGAGGGAGCGTCGCCTGAGGACTTTATGTCTACGGCACCGGCTCTATCTCTGCTCGAGGGCACACTCGGCCTTGACCTCGACACCCACCCCGAGTTTATCGGACCCAGTAGCTTCCTCGAACCCGCACTCCTAGACATCCAACGGCCCCGAGATGCCTCCACTACTGGACAGCCATCGGCGCCACACCGGCCGCCACCAGGCGGCCAGGCCCGCCGCCTCGACGACCGGACCATGTTCCTCGTGCACCCGGACGAGGCGACGGCCTCGGAGGCGCAGCGCGTGGCCGACTGCGACGCCATCGAGGACTGCGTGCGCCCGCTGGGCAAGGCCCTCGTCAACCTCTACTTCCGCATCGTGCACCCGAGCTACCCGATCCTGCACAAGGGCGTCTACCTCGCCAAGCACGCCGTCTCGCACCGCATGTTCTCCCCGCCGCTCCTCGCCGCCGTCTACCTCATCGCGCTCGACTACCAGCTCTACGACCCGGCCACCACCGCGGGCGGCGGCGGCGGCGGCGCGGCCCCAGCGCGGCCCAACGGGCAGGCGGCGCTTGAGGAGATCGCGGAGCGCACCATGGCCGACGACCTGCGCCGGCCCAAGCTTAGCACCCTGCAGGCGGGGCTCCTGCTGCTCCAGCGCAGCCGCATCGGCACGGGGCCGTCCGGGTGGATCCTGACGGCGCAGATGGTCGCCCTGGCGCAGGGGCTCGGCCTGCACGTCGACTGCAGCGACTGGTCGATCCCGGAGTGGGAGAAGGGCCTGCGGCGCCGCCTGGGCTGGGCGCTCTACATGCAGGACCGCTGGGGCGCGCTGGCGTGGGGGCGCCCGACCCTGCTCGCCGACGACAGCTGGGACCTCCGGCCCTGCGCGCCAGCCGACTTCCCCGAGGCGGCGGACGAGGAGCAGGCCTCGGAGGCGGAGGCGGCCGCCGACGGCTCAGTGCCCGCCGACACGGGGCGCGAGGCCTTCATCCGCCAGACCGAGCTCGCGCGCCTGCTGTCGCAGGTCCTATCGTGCTTCTACACCACCGCCGCGACCAAGCCGGGCGGCGCCCTCGACGCCATGGGCCCCGCGGCGGCGGCGCAGCTCGCCAAGCCGCTGATCCTGCACCTGCGGGAGTGGCACGCCGCCCTGCCGCCGGACCTCGGACTCGAGCACATCGTCTTCCGGCGCCTGTCGTGCGCCGCGCCGCTGCAGCTCGCGCACGCGGCCGTCGAGGTCGCGATCTAGAGTAGGCGTCCTGCGAGTCGAATCCTTCTACCACGCTGAGAACAAGGCTTGCGTCCTCAGCAGTGAGGGAGAATATGGACACGCAGTCGAGGGTGCGGCAGGCCGGGAGCACCC